TATAAATAGATAAAATAGCTCTCTAGCTATTTCTTCTTATTTAAAGGTATATTTTAATTAGTATAATTTATCTATCCTATAATAATAAGTAATACTTCTATAATCTAGTATAATTTTAAGTAATTTGGCTAGTCACTTCCTCTCCTAATCTATTATATTATATTAGTCTAATAAATTATATCTGGAGATATACCAGCCAATCAGAATACCTACCAGGCCCCATCCTAGGTCTGATGAAGATTCATCAGACCAACCCTTGTGGATTATATACCAGCCAATCAGAATGCCTACCGGGCCCCATCCTAGGTCTGATGAAGGTCCATCAGACCAACCCTTGTGGATTAGATAGGGTCCTAAAACATACGGCGTGGTATATATAGTAGTTCAATGTAAAGATTCTTTTATCATAGGGCTCTGTATTCTGTAATGGCAGTTGGGAGGGGCTTGGTAATCCCTGCGGTAGTTCCTATCTGTAGTTCTTTCGCTTGCAAATCATGCAGTTGTCTAGGTATCTATGAGTGATTTTGTTCTATATATCCCAGTAGTAATGTTGCTTAACGAGTTTCAGAGCCTTCGTCTACCCTAAATGTATGGTTAAGAATTAATAATATATCTTGTCCAGAAGCTTTGTTTATAAGTTCCCTGCAGCTAATACTATAGGATATTCTTTAAATAGTATAGTAGCTTTCTAGGTCTGTAGTGTTCTCTCTTTCTAGGGCAAGACTGATTCACTTGCGGTTGGCTTCGAGAATTTAGTCTACTACTAGTATTTCTTTGTCTAATAGTATTCCAGCAGTTTGTCTAAAATAAATAATAATAAGATAAACTATATGTATCATCAACTTGATAGTAGTATAGGATTAATTGAGAATATGAGAAATGGCTTATAAGAATACCAAATCTACTATATTAGAGTATCCCTGTACTTAGCCTCTGCAGGAATCTGGGGCTACGATACACTTACTACTAGTAAGGTATCACTATTGCAGTGTGGGAGTTCCGCGATGACCATCCGCTCCTCCAATACCACCAGGCGATCATCCAGACGGCGGAGATGTGGAATTCTTGGAATTACCTGATGTTCTTTTCGTTCAGTCGCGTTGTATCTGGAAAGTCTCAGCATACTAGTAGGGTGGTGAGTTGAGGCAGGGTGCAAACCTTCTTCACTCTGGATCTGGAGCACTCAGCTCATGATTAAACCCACAATCCATACTCCCCGTTGGCCTGTGGCTCTTACGGAAATTGGTCAAAGCGGGGAAAAGTTCACTTACAGACAGTTTCAACCGAGTTAGAGAAGGAGGGAGATGGCGGCTGGACATTTCAGACAGCGATTGTGTGTTTGCGGCCAAGCAAGGGATGGGGCTATCCACAGATTGGACTCGAACAGTGATAAGTCCACCACCCCGAGCCCGAGTAGGCCATGCTTGGCAAATCTGGACCCTCAGGACTCTTTTTCGGGGTTTATATCCATTCTATACTATTTACTGGAATCAACTCCGTACTCGAGGGTGTCATGGCCAAGTCTCTTCACTCTGTGCCAAGGGAGTCAGTCCGTCATCAGCCCTTCTCGGTGGCCGCGGAATCCGGATAAAAAGGAAACCCTCCCCCTTGCCCCCCTTGATTAGTAGTTGATACGCACGGGGTGGATCTTGGCCTTCTCTCTGCGTCATTAGAACATTCCCCGAGCCGTGCCATAAGACCCTGTTTATAAATGATTTGGACTCCCATGGTCAGGTTGTTTGACCTGCCTCAGTACACAGCACTTCTTGGGGATGGACTCCAACCCGGCTGACCCTCGGCTCGCAGCCATCAACAACCAGAGCCCACCATGTCTAGAGTTTGCCAGCACTCCCAGCTCGAACTCGGATGGAGGAATTACTTTGGCTGAGCAAACGGGAAAGGAGCTCGGCCCTCTCACTCGCCTGGCTCGCACACTCAGCGAAAAATCCAAACATTCGCAGCATCCCCTTCCTTTTACCACACAAAACGACGCGCTCAATCCGCATAGTCCTCACTTCAACGCGCGGGCCTGGGCCAAGGCATTCTACGAGTTTCGCTACAATTCCGAAAACAGTCCCTCCTCACGGGTGGCCGGGGTCGCGATCAAAGACCTGAATGTGGCCGGTTATGGGAGTCCGGTAGACTACCAGATGAGCGTTGGGAATGCTCTGTTCAAGCTACCAATCCTCCTCCGACAGTTTCTCGGTGGGACAAAACGGAAGATTGAGATACTGCGAGGTGTCGACGGGCTACTTCGTCCAGGCGAGCAATTATGTGTGCTGGGACCCCCAGGTGCAGGCTGCTCGACCTTGCTCAGAACCATTGCGCAGGAAACACACGGCTTTGAAGTCGACGCGGCATCATACATCAACTACCAGGGCATCACGCCAAAACAGATGTCCGCCCAGTTTCGCGGTGAAGCCGTCTATACGGCTGAGGTCGATGCACATTACCCCCAACTCGTCGTGGGGGACACGCTGTACTTCGCTGCCCTTGCCCGCGTTCCGCGGGAGATACCTGGGGGGATGACAGCTCAGGAGTATGCCACTCACCTCCGGGATGTGATAATGGCACTGTTCGGGATCAGTCATACCATCAACACTAAAGTCGGGAACGACTTTGTACGGGGAGTGAGCGGAGGGGAGCGAAAGCGTGTCACCATCGCCGAGGCGGCATTGAGCTATGCTCCGTTGCAGTGTTGGGATAACAGTACACGAGGCTTGGATAGTGCCAATGCTGTGGTATGCATTTCCTCTGACTGGGTCCTGTTCCATTGTCGTTTCGCGCACGCTGACCTCGTTCAGGAGTTCTGTCGGACGTTGAGAACTCAAGGTGACATCTTCGGGGTGACGTCCTGTGTCGCCATCTACCAGGCACCCCAGGCGGCCTACGACGTAAGTCAAGATCCCCCAGTAAATGGACCAAATCTCACGAACCGGCCAGCTTTTCGACAAAGTGACCGTTCTTTACGAAGGACGACAGATCTACTTTGGTCCCGCGCAGGAAGCTAGGGATTACTTCATTCGCCTGGGATTTCACTGCCCCGATGCACAGACGACCCCCGACTTCTTGACCTCGATGTCCAGCCCTGTTGAACGAATCGTTCGCCCCGAATGTGAGCATACCGTGCCCCGAACCGCCGATGAGTTTGCCCAGCGGTGGCAAGATAGCCCCGAGCGCCAGGCTTTGCTTGACGAGATCAACCATTATGTTGACCAGCACCCGTTCCACAACTCGGACCTGGATCAATTTGTGTCGGCACGACAAGGGGAGAAATCCCAGGTCCAACGGCGGCAGTCTCCATACACCTTGTCGTACTGGGGCCAGATACGCATCTGTCTCTGGAGAGATCTGCAGCGATTGAAAAACGATCCAAGCGTGACTCTGGTAATGCTCATTGGAAATTTCTTCGAAGCGTTGATCATCTCTAGTGTATTCTACAACCTGCCGGATAATACGTCGTCCTTTTTCTCTCGTGGGGCGCTGCTTTTTATGCTGGTCTTGTTAGCGGCCTTTGCAAGCATGCTGGAGATCATCAACCTGTACGAGAAACGGTCAATCATCGAGAAGCACAAGCGCTACGCCCTGTATCATCCAAGTGCGGAGGCTATATCATCCATCATCATGGATATGCCCTACAAGATCATGAACCCCCTGCTCGTCAACCTTGTGTTGTATTTCATGGGAAACCTGCGCCGGGAACCAGGGGCATTTTTCTTCCTTTATCTAATTGCATTTTCGATGATGATGGGGATGTCAATGTTCTTTCGCTTCTTCGCATCAATAACCAAGTCGCTTGAGCAAGCTCTTGCGCCCTCGTCAATTATTCTGCTTGCGCTAATCCTGTACACGGGATTCGCTCTCCCTGTCAGCTACATGCGCGGCTGGGCCTCGTGGATCCGGTGGCTAAATCCGGTCTCGTACGGTTTTGAAGCTGTGATGGTCAACGAGTTTCACAATAGGGAGTTTCCTTGCGTCTCTTTCGTTCCCTCTGGGCCCAGTTATGAGCATGTGTCGAGTATAGAGAAGGTCTGTTCGACGGTGGGAGCAGTCCCGGGTTCTAACGTCGTGCAAGGCACCGCCTTTGTGCAAGCCTCGTATGGTTACGAGTTCAGTCATCGCTGGCGCAACTTTGGCATTATCATTGCTCTGACCATTGTCTTGGCCATCTGTCACCTGGTTACCACCGAACTCGTTTCTAGCCAGCGCTCCAAGGGTGAAGTGCTAGTGTTCCGGCGTAACAAAATGCGTCAAGCCTCCGCGACGCAGCAGAGAAGGGACGAAGAACACGGGCCTGGCGCTGGAGTACCGGTAGAAAAGGTTGCAAGCCAGGGGTCAGAGAGTATCTCAGGGGTGGAGAAACAATCATCCATCTTCCACTGGGAAGATGTGACCTACGACATTAAGATCAAGGGCGAATCAAGGCGCATTCTGGATCATGTTGATGGCTGGATTCGTCCAGGCACCTTGACAGCACTGATGGTAAGCCCCTTTTCGACATGTCTGGACCCCAGAAATAATTCTAGTCATACAGGGCGTCTCCGGAGCGGGCAAAACCACCCTACTAGATGTCTTAGCAAGTCGCACGACCATCGGCCTTATAGGTGGCAACATGCTGGTTGATGGTCGAATACGAGACGAGTCTTTCCAACGGAAAACCGGCTACGTGCAGCAACAGGATCTTCACCTACACACGTCTACCGTCCGAGAGGCCCTCGAGTTCAGCGCCCTACTCCGCCAGCCGCCTCAGTACAGCCGGGCGGAAAAGCTGGCTTATGTCGACACCGTCATAGATCTTTTGAACATGCGAGAGTATGCTGACGCCATTGTAGGAGTCCCCGGCGAGGGCCTCAACGTGGAACAGCGAAAACGACTGACAATAGGGGTGGAACTTGCCGCACGTCCCAAACTCCTGCTTTTCCTCGATGAGCCAACCTCGGGTCTGGACAGCCAGACCAGCTGGTCCATCTGCAATCTGATGGAGACTCTGACCAAGAACGGGCAGGCCATTCTCTGTACAATCCATCAACCATCGGCGATGTTGTTTCAACGCTTTGATCGACTTCTGCTTCTGGCCAAGGGCGGCAAGACGGTTTACTTCGGCGAGGTTGGCCAGGGATCCCAGGTTTTGATGGAATACTTGGTCCGTAACGGGGGATCTGCCTGTCCCCCGGGGGCCAATCCAGCAGAGCATATGCTAGAAGTGATCGGGGCTGCTCCAGGAGCCCGGACGGACATTGATTGGCACACGGTGTGGAGAAACAGCCCCGAATACCAGGATGTACAGAAAGAACTCGCGAACTTGAGGGCATTGGCGAGCCAGCCCTCTCCTCTGTCAGATCCACAAGACAGGTCAAGCTATGCCGAGTTCGCCGCGCCCTTTTCTGAACAATTGAGTCAGGTTAGCCGCCGTGTTCTCCAGCAGTACTGGCGCTCTCCTTCCTACATCTACTCCAAAGCCATATTGAGTGTTGGCTGCGTAAGTCCTAGTCGCTCCCCTTCAGCTGTGGTTGCTGGTGGCTGATCGCCGTGTCCTACCTGTAGGCTCTCTTCATTGGCTTCTCTTTCTTCAACGCCGACAACACTCGACAGGGCCTGCAAAATCAGATGTTTGGTGTCTTCCTCTTCCTGTTCGTGGTCGTCCAGCTTGTCATGCAGATTATTCCATCTTTCGTCGCCCAGCGGACCCTCTACGAATCTCGCGAACGGCAGTCCAAGACATATGCGTGGCAAGCATTTGTTCTCTCCATCATCGCGGTGGAATTCCTTTGGAATACGGTGGGTTTTCCCGTGAATCTCGATTCTGGTCAGTGCTGAACAAGCTCCCATAGGTCATGGCGATACTTTCCTTCTTGGCCTGGTATTACCCCGTTGGGCTATACCGCAATGCCGAATATACTGGGGAAGTGCACAGTCGCGGTACCCTTACTCTGCTCCTTATCTGGGCTGTATTCTTGTTCACCAGTTCGCTGGCACACATGTTGATCGCAGGGATGGACAGTGATCAGCTGGCATCAGCGCTCTCCAACATCCTTTTTATCATGATGTATGCATTTTGCGGGATTCTGGCCACCCCGGATGCTCTTCCTGGGTTTTGGATCTTCATGTATCGAGTCAATCCCTTGACCTACCTGGTCTCCTCCTTGCTATCGACAACACTGGGAGATGCCCCCATGCATTGCGCTGACAATGAGGTCTTATCTTTCTTTGCTCCCTCTGGAATGAGCTGTGGCGACTACATGCAAGCGTATCGGTCGGTCAACGGCGGCTATGTCTTGAACCCGAATGCCCGGGGCAGCGAGCAGTGCAAGTTCTGCAGCTATGACTCGACTAATCAGTACCTTGCTAGTCTTCAGATCCAATTCTCAGACCGTTGGCGGGATTTCGGGCTACTTTGGGTATACATCGTGGTCAATACTGTGGGAGCTATTGCGTTCTACTGGACTTTCCGTGTGCCCAAGGGTAAGAAGACTTAGAGGTCTTCTATCGTCAGGTGTCTCTCTTCTCCATTTCTCCGTGTTGCTACTCATTTCTATTTACGTGGGTATATCTCTAATATTTGTCACTGCCAAGTTGCGGTTCTCCCTCCACTGTGCCCTGTATTGTCATATCTCAAGTTGCACGTAGAGCGTCATGCTCTCCGTGCTCCACCGGAATTCTGTTATACATATCCCTTTTTTCGCGGAATTGAGATGCTATGTAAATATTGCCGGTAAGAACCTGTGAGTGAAAGATACTTGACATCTTAGGGTTTACACATTTCCGTGTTCTCGCCCGGTGAGTTCCACTCGAAGCCGGTCATGTAGTTATCTGGAGTCACAAAGTCGAAAGTTTTTTTTTTTTCTTGAGGATTTAGTCTCCGGTTAAAGGATTGTGCCACTATTTTATCTTTCAGAGATACATCATCATTCCTGGTCCGGTTTGATCCAGGGATCTTGATAATGCCTGCAGAAATGGCACACCGTCCAGAGTGGTTGTGGGTTGTTGGTCGTGGGGGATGACTATGGCACCATTCCAGCGGATCTGAGTTGTATTCGTCGCGTGGGATTGCAGAAACCCAAGGGCTCCAGACTGTTTCCCAGGCCTGGACTTGATTGAGAAGCCTTTCTCTCTTCCCTCTCATACCGCCGCATGGACTTGCTTGCGTCGTGTGAGTGTAGTAATACAGTGATTCAATGGACAATGACGCTAAGGATATTTACATGCTTCCAAACAACTCTAAACCCGTCTATCTTGCTCGCGTATCCACCTAGGCGGACTTGCTGACCTCTCCCTTGACCCAGGCCTCGAGACCACCAGCGGCGATGATAGCCTGCACGTTGGCAGGGAGCTCGCCCACCTGCTCCGTCCAGCTCTCGCCACCTTCGCCTTCCTGCACCTCCACCTGGCTTCGCTTCACGTCCCACGTTAGAGTCCAGCCGGTACGGCGAGTAGGCTGACGCTCGGTACCAGCGCCAGCAGATGGCTGAGAGAAGCGAGCGCGGAGACGCTCAACCAGCCGGGGCACCTCGAGTCCCATCAGGGCGTTGTTGATACTGTTGCGGGAGAAGATGTTCCCAAAGCTTCCAGCGACCACCAGAGGGATTTGCTTGGCCAGGATGGCCGTGGCAGCCTGTTCCCGGGAGGATCCGCAGCCGAAGTTGAAGCCAGCCACGAGAATGTCGCTGGGCTTGGCGATTCCGTGAAACTCGGGATCGTAGTTCTGCATACAGGCCCGAGCCATGTCCTCCTTGGAGACGTTGTCCTGGTAGGTGAGTTTGCCGGGGTAGATGCTGTCGGTATCGAGGTTGTCCGCATCGCAGAACAGGATCTCTCCGCTGATCCGCTCGGGGAAGCCGGGCAGGATCTCGGTGGCCGACTTCTCGGAAGCACCCTGGGCCGTCTCCACGCGATCGATGAAAGATTCCATTTGCTGCAAGAGGTTGGTGAGCTGCTGCTCCGTGGTGGGTTCGCGACCGGTCCCAAATCCATAGTCCACACCGGCCCACTCCTCCGGGGGCACCTGGAAGGCGCCGGGTCCCGAGATGACACCGCTGAGAGCGCTGGCAGCCACCACTTCCGGGCTGGCCAAGTATGCCTGTGCGTCACGCGAGCCCATCCGACCCTTGAAGTTGCGGTTGCTGGCACTAATGCCCACCTCTCCAGGCTCCAGCAGGCCCTTTCCAAGGCCAATGCAGGGGCCGCATCCGGCAGGGAGGGGCTGCGCGCCCGCATCGAGCAAGATTTGCCAGTCACCCGTCGATTCAGCAGCCTCCTGCTCGGGGGCAGAGGCAGCCGCGATGTAGAACTGAACGCCCTCGGCAATCTTCGGGGTCACACCGGGGTTCGCCTTGGCGGCGTCGCGGAAGACTTGGGCAGCAGCGGCCAGATCCGATGCACGAGAGTTAGTGCAGGAGACGATGTAGGCGCGGTTCACTTTGATGTTCTTGGCAGCGAGCTCGTTCAAGGGGGTAGCGACCTTGACCGAGTTGGGGCCCGAGACGTAGGGGGAGAGACTAGAGAGATTGAGGTAAAGCTGTTTGGCATATTGGGCATCCGGGTCGGCAACAAGGGGGTTGGCGAACAGCTCGTCAATCCTCTCGTGGGTGATGCGCTCGCGCGTGGTTCGATCGTCGGACAGGGCTGCCTCGGTCGCCTTGTACCGCAGCCAGCGCTTGAGGGTGGTATCAATGGGGAAGAGACCGGTGAGCGCGCCCCATTCGGTGGTCATGTTGGCGATCGTCAACCGACTGTCGACGAGCAGACTGGCCATGGTCTCCTCCGAGCCGGTGAACTCAATGGCGTGGTTCAGGACATCGCTCTTGAAAAGCCCACACAAGGCGACGATCACGTCCTTCCCCGTAACGCCCACGGGGAGCGTCCCGGTGAAGGTGACCCGCGCCACCGGGGGAATCTGCCACCAGGTGCGCGAGGTGGCCCAGATACTCGCAGCATCCGTCCGGACGACGGCGGTTCCCAAACAGCCCACTCCGCCATAATGGTTGCTGTGACTATCGGAGGCAACCGCCATGGTGCCCGGCCACGCATATCCCTCTTCCACCATCACCTGGTGTCCGATACCCCGTCCTGCAGGGTAAAAGTCGATCCCGTGTTTGGCAGCAAAGGCCTCGATCTGTTGGTATTTCTGAAGATTGGATGGGCTGGTATTCTGGACATCGTGATCCAGGGCCATGACGATCTGCTTCGGGTTGTGCACCTTGGTGGCTCCCATCGACATGAACTTCAGCGCCACCGGCCACGAATTGTCATGCGTCATACAGTAGCCAGGCGCGAGACTGATGTAGTCGCCACTGCGAACGAGTTTTCCGGGGGGCAAACCGACGGCATAGCGCTGCACGATCTTTTCGGTCAGGGTCTGGGGGGTTCGGTTCTCGGCGGGAGTTGTCGCGGGGGCCTGCTCTTGCTGCGAATGAAACCCTTGCGCTCTCGCAATCGGAGTGGTGCTCAGATAGCGAATGGAACGCGAAGGGAGCGATGTAGCGCCGGATCGAAGGGGAAGGGGGATTCTCGTGCTAGAGACTCCGAGCGACGGAGCAGACCGAAGCCGAAGCTGAAGCTGAAGGCGTTAGAGGGAGATTCGCGAGGGAGGGAATTTACTCACCGGTCGGCGCAACAGATTGCAGAGTTGTCTCGCCATTCTCTTGCTCAACAATGAAATATCGAACACGAGGAAGGAGAGATGGAGGAGGTTGAGTCACACACTCACTGCAGAGGGAACTTGGAAATCAAAGAATTTTCCCCGTCGCCGATCTCGCAATGACCCAAAAAGGCTAAGGGGGCGAGAAAGAGGCTGGTCAGGTGATCTGGGGTAATGCCAGCCACTCACACCCCGCCATTTCTAAGCAGTCAGTGGCGGCCTGAGGCAGCTATCGGGCGGCATGACTCATTTATCACGGGATTACGTCTATATAGTATAGTATAGTATAGTATAGTATAGTATAGTATGGTATAGTATAGTTATACTTGGTATAATCCCTATATGTTACTACTTCAGATATGCATTAATTTGAATCACTTAAAGAAGTGTGTGTTCCCTGTTAACAAGATTGCTACTCTATATACACCCTTTGCTGTACCCTCTACCCCGGATCAAACAGGAAACCTTCATGCTATTGAGATCGGAGACGCCGGAAATCGCTTGTGCAGCTCACGGAAAATGTCGGCGGCACTCACTGCATACGTGGTCATGTCCGAGTCATCTTGGCCCACCACCATACAATAAAGGGCCCCATGGGCCCCCGCGTCCACCACCCATGCCCCAATATCTTTGGGGAAAGAGACCATGCTCAAATGGTATTGGTATGCTGCCGTCAGATGGTAGCCCAGTCTGAATGCATCGGTCCGGACGGGATGGCGAGGGCTGCTGCCCAGCAAGCACCACAATGTACCCCGGGGAGAGGTTTTGCTCACCTTGGATGGACTGAGCATGAGCCATCCCCCAATCTGGAGGCGATTGCATTTGGGACTCTGATCGCACAGACGAAACAACGCCCAGTCCTGCTCGAGGGACCAATAAATCGGGTCGAGCATGCCCGTATCTTGGTATTCAGGCAGATAGCCCACAGCATGATTGTCATCACCGTCCGTAGCGTACCGGTACATGGTGTCGGATCGGAAATCCACACGATACCGCCTTCTATCTCCATCGGGAGTTATCCTTATATCTTGAATGAATGGATTCAGGGCTGTGAGGGCATAGTATACTCCATCGATGATCACAGTTCCTCCTATGGTCGCCGTCCGGTCCGAACCGCTGGCCACTCGAATTCGAGTGCCACACAAGTTCTCCATTGGCTCCGTATCAGGAAGAGTATACATATGGGGGTTGGTTGGTTGGTTGGTGGATGCGGCTTGGGTCATTTCTTCCAGTTGGACTGTCGCGATCATGGCTATTTATCTTGTTCGTGGGATCTATCTTGCTTGGTGGTGCTTTGTGCGGAGCGGGAACGTTTCTTTATATGTAGCCGGAAGATTACATTCTAGTACTACTAGCATCATTCTTGCGGACACCCATCACAAAACCACTCACTTGAAAGGAGACGCAGTAGTCTTTCTTTGAACCTTCTTTCGGCCCAGAGGGAATGTCAAAGGTTATTGTCTAGAGATCCAACCTGGAACCTAGGTACCTAGCGAGTGAGGACGTCCAGAACCGCTGATTGGGCCTCGTCCACCACAACCCTAACTGCCTCGGCGAGAGCTTCATCCAAATCGCCCACACACTCCACACGCCTGGCCCAGAGATTTCCATTGGCCGCTGCCTTGGCAATACCGCCGTAGTCGGGTCCATCGGCGACGAGGGAGATTCCTAGCTCTTCCTTCGAGAGCCCGACCGCAAGTCCATCCGGGTGCACATCTTTCAAGCACTGACTGGTGGCGTTCCAGCCGCCATTATTGAGGATGATGGTCACAAAGGGGCACTGATAGCGATGGCTGGCCAGTACACGGCCGTGGGGATGGAAAAGACAAAGCTTCCATCCCCCATGATGCTGCACACAAAGGGCCGGGCCGCCGAGGACAAATCCTGCTCGGTCTTCTGCTGGACCGCCGGTCGATGGGAGAGATGGTACCGTGCTGCGGCCAGATGCACCCCAATCGCAGCTCCGCCAGCCCATCCCAAGCCGCTGCCTCCCTTGGTGAGATGTGAGCCGAGTCGGTGCAGACGAAGCTGCTCCGTCATCGCCACCAGGTTGGTGACCGAGTCGGTTACGAAGATCGTCTCTTGAGGTAGCAGGTGGCGCACACGATTGCACAGATAGTCCACACTACAGGCTGCGTCCGGCGTCGAAAGCAGTGCAGCGGCACGAGCGTCAATTTGTGTCTGACCCTCGCGGTACGCCTTCTGCATGATCAGGGCGCGAGACTTCCAACTTTCACTGGCCTGCAGCTCGGACAACCGGGGAGATGCAGCGAAATAGCTGGTAAGCTGACTCAGAGCGGCCGCTGTATCCGCCTGGAAGGTGAGCGATGCACCAATATCGAAGCTGTTCATGCGTTCTTTGCGGGGGTCGAGGTCGATGTGGATGATGTGGGCCGTCGATGAAGGGCGCACTCGAGTCGGAATCCAAGGCACATCAGCATCCAACACTAAAATCACATCGGCCGATTGCACGGCGGGAGCGGCCCCCGTGCCGCGAGTCACGCAGGCCGGATGAGTCGCTGGAAAGCTCATCTCACGCAGCTCCGAGTCAAACACTCTCAGGCCCGGAATCATGTCGGCGAGAGCCACCAGCTCGTGGACTGCTCGGTGGTTGCGACCTAGATATCCGGTGATGACGAGAGGAGCTTGCGCTTCGAGTAACGCGGTTCCAATCACTTCGACCTGCTCGGTAGGGAGTGAACCCAAGAGGCAAGATGGCAGAATCTTTCGTCGCAGAGGTTGATCGCCATGCGGTAACGTGGTGGCCAGGATCTCTCGTGTCGCTGTCAGATACACAGGCCCGGGCGATCCTGTGGTGGCCATGAGAACTGCACGATGCACCACAGTAGACACATTGTGGGGTGACTTGATTTCGACACTGTAGCGACTGTAGGGCGCCACGAGCGCAGCTTGATCTCGAATGTCCTGGTACCATTGCACATGCTCCGATCGCGAGCCCACAGCCTCCCCAAGAAAGGTGGAGGGGGCGATCCCTGCCAGGATCACCACGGGGGCTCGTCCACTGGATGCATTGTGCAGTCCCTGGCCCAGCGCTGCCGTCCCCACATCGACATGGGCAATGACACTTGCTGGTCGGTGACTGATGCGCGCATAGCCATCGGCTGCCGACATGGCGACAAACTGAAGGTCTTCTCGTTAGTTCAGAGACGTGGCGTGGCGGACTCGGGAGACGGTGATTGACCTCATGTTGAAACAGGATCATCTTGGGATACTGCCGCGTGGGATCATTCTGTCGGCGCACATAGGCCTCGATGATACTGGGATGATCAGACCCTAGCACCGTGAATAGGTAATCCACTCCAGCCTGTTGCTTGTCAGTGCGTCTCCAGCTGCAGTTCCTGGTGGATGGCCCTACCTCGGCCAGAGCTTCCAACAGCTCATCTGCCACGGTCGGACCAGCTCGATCTTTTGATGCAAGATCGTTAGACATGGTGTCATTGAGGTCGTGTAGATGAAGGACAGAACCACCTGAATTTCCTTTTTGTTTTTCCTTTTTTTCCTGATCAGTTTCTTTTTGCCTGCCTCTTATCATTCATCACTTGCCCTTTAGGAAATCCGCCTTGCCTTCGACCGAAAGAAGGGTGGGGGAGTGGGGGGTGGGTTGAGGAAATGCACTGGCGGATTCAAGGTAGCCCCGCACACAGCAGGGGCCTCGAATTCTCTCAATTCATTTGCCAATCTTCGGAATAAAGTATTTGACCCTTGAGCCGAGTGGAGCTCCGAGGGATCAGACCATGACAGCGCTAAGAGATGATGGTGGTTCGAACTCCCTGTCGGAGGACTGCAACTATAAGCACTTGGTGAGACTTAGGGCTCCTGCCGCCGGGCTAAGCCGTCCCCCATTCTGAGACATGCAATATCACTCACTGCCTTTCAACACAGATGTGTGAGGGAACAGGAAAAGCAAGCTAAAAAAATAAAAAAAAAAAAAAAAAAAAAAAAAAGGGTTCCAATGCAGCGGCAAATGAGACAGGCAGAAGGTGGCCGGAGATAAAGGAAGACCACCAACTCTTCAAATAATCTTGCTTCAAGTAAGTTAAGTTATTGGAGTCTAGCTAGATAACAGATAATCATCTCTCTGCCGGCTCACTATGCATGGCAATATCGGTGGTCAGAATGATCTGGCCTTTGGCAATCGCCCCCTGGCTCCCGATGCTCCCCGCATCGGCCTCTGGCTCATGTCTCTCTCTTCGCCAGCCTGGCCCAGCTGAGTTCCTTCCTGTGATTCCAATCGACTCATGCGATAGCTGCGTCCAGTCCTGGTTCGGGTAGTTCGGCTATGTGACTTGCGGGATCCATTGGACAGAGAAACGAACCAACTGGGGACCAACTTCTGTGCGGAATGCTTCAAGAAGGGCAGGCAGGCACAGATAATGCCCGTACTGGCTTCGATCGCACTCCACAGCAAAGCGTCAAAGGACCCCCAGGTCGGGTCATGAATGGTGGTGCTGGCCTCCATGGCCCACATTCACGCACACGAACAATCCCATGCAGAACACCAGCATCACGCCAACCTTGCGAATCCGGTCCAGGTGAAGCTGAGCGAGCACTGGCAGCGGCATGAGGCAGACCCAGATATCCATCGCAGTGTTGTAGCCGGCCCATGACCACCGAAAGCTAGTATTATCGACACATTTCTTTGGGCAGGGTTTTGTGCCAGCTGGCCTGCACAGGAATGCACTGGAAGATGGTCGCTAGCACAAATCCAAAGGTGCTTGCAATGACGAGGCCAATGGTCACCCAGCAGACGAGGCGGAATGGTCGAGTGGGAAAGATTCGTAGGTAGAAAGTGAGGAAGCTAAGCTTGTTGAGGCAGAGAACGGTTTTGTAGAGGATTTGGAAAAGCGAGAAATACTGCGTCCCGGCGATTCTGTCAGCTGCAGTCTGCACACTGGCTTCGATCAGTTGGGAAAGATACCTTCAGCGCTAGGACAATGTTGCCCCCGGACCGTACGACATCGGCTCGATGACGACCAAAGGCATAGTGACAGGCTATATGCCCGCCCCCAGTCAGCATCACTGGATCAGCAGCGTTAAGGGGATCAAATCATACCCAAGTCGCCTATGACGGTATTCACAATTTGAATGACCTGGCTCTCTGGTCAGCAGGTAATCTCTGTATCGTCCTGGCGTGCAAGATATACCATTGAACTCTGAATGATTGCATCGTCTGCCGAGATAGGGGTTCTTCTGTACACTTTCCAGACAACTCGATGAACGACCAAAATACACGCAATAGCAGTCAGAGCCGCGGTCACCCGGACGAACAGCGGGCCTCTGTCCGGGACGTCGGCGACATGCTCAGTCATGGCTGTTCAACCTCTCCCTCTTCCAGAAGCAGACCGATCTTGAGGAAGATGAAGGAGAGCCGGGTCCTGGTGTGGCAAAGTCTTCTCATCGCTCGAGCAAAGGGATTGAAGGATTCAACACGCAGGATGAAGACAGGGCTCGCTCGGCCAACTTCGTGTGCGCCAAGGTTACTGGCTGAGAAACAGATCGTAGTCAGTCTACAGCATCAGCACCTTAACACCAATTTGGCACCGGTCCGGCATTCTTATCTGTACTGCCTGAAAAGTGGAAATGCCGATTCTTACTGTTCTGCATGCGAAGCGCCTAAGCAAATGCGCAAACTATACACCGTACAGGTACATGCGTGGTCCAAGACGGGAAATTTCTGCTCCACCATACTGCCACGCAGGGTTTCAGCTGCTTATGCACCGTCATTATAACGATCAGCCAGGGACGGGCATTCGATCATCCATGGGGACGAATTGTCACCTATTGAGGGGGCCCTGATACAGTCTAGTCGCTGCCGAATACTGCGCGTAGGCGGGATGATGACCCAGCCAGCATACTCGCTCACCCGGTAAAGCCATGAATAACAAAATGGCCCTCTGCTGCATCGCGCCATGAACAGGATGAAAAAATGCAGGCGTGGGTCCGGAGCGGGACGGGATTATCGATGAAATGTGGACGGGAGGAGGGGAGCGTCCGGACGATTTCCGCGCTCAGGGTCCGCGGATCAGAACCCTAATTACTGTATACTCCGTATGGTCTGGCCAACATGCAATTACCCTGTGAAATGTGGACCCTGGGTGCGATCGATACCCGGCTAATCATACGTGCTCTTTTATCGAATTCTTGATTATCCAGGGGAGCCGGGGGCACCAACTGGAGCCACTAGGGCTGACTATCAGACTTAGGCCCTTTTAGCTCCTGCATGATAGATTGCAGTGGGGCCCAGTCCTCAGCACATACACACCACTTCACAGCATATACTCAATAGTCTAATCTGGTCAATACCTGCAACCCACCCAAGCTACCAGCTTGCATGTTCCATCAATGACATGCTGGCCACAGGTCGGGCCAGCAGTTTCAAACGGAGATTATCTACTTTATACTGGCTTGGCCGAAACGCTCCCTTGCCACCCCTGACTACTGATTCATCATACTCCTCGGATTTTCCGCTTTCAATCCCACCTACAAAAGCCGACATCTCACGCCACGTGCATGGGTAGTTGCTTTTTTTCCCCTAGTCCCACTCTCTTGCCGACCGTTTTCGCAGTCGATATAGCCATGAAGAAGCATCATCCCCCGAGTTTGATCCTGGCTTTGGAGAAGAAGTTGTTGCGAAAGCTTGACTGGCGAGTCATCCCCGCACTATGGTTTCTCTTTCTGGTCTCGTTCATGGACCGGTCCAACATTGGGTGAGGACCCCACACTATCTTGAATGTGCCAGCGGCAAAGGAGACCTCTAACCGTATAAGTGGGCTCTAGAAATGCCAAAATCGCTGGCATGTCCAAGGAGTTGCATCTGGTCGACAATGACTACAACCTCGCCGTCATCATGTTCACGGTCGCATACGTGATATTCGGCATGCCCCTCCGGCACCAGCTCCAGCGTCGTGGGAATCGGCCCGTCATTGAGCTTCTGCTTCTGCACCGCCCTCCCCCGACCACCGTCCGTGGTATCGTCCTTGTTCACCAGCCGCCAATACCGTCGCAACCGCGCCTTCTCCCCCTCCCCGAAGAGCGTCACCGGCTCCCCCAGCTCCCGTAACCTACTCCTCACCTCATCCGCCGACAGCTCCTCCCCAGGCGTAGCATCCCCCCCACCATCACCACCACTACCACTCTCTTCGTTACTGGAGGGCACCTCCGGCAGACCCAGCCTCCTCCTCCGCTCCCGTTCTTTGGCTGCCTCCTCCTCCTCGCGCCTTCGCCGCGACTCCTCCGCCAGCCGCCGCCTCTTGTCCTCGCGCTCCCGCCGGCGCGCGGCCTCCTCCTCGTCGAGTTTGCGTTTCTGGGCGTGTCGGGCTTCACGCTCAGCGGCCAGCCGGGCTTGTTCTTCGTTGTAGGCAGCGATGCGCGCGGCTTCGAGGTCGGCGCGACGGGCGTACTTTTTATTCGGGACGGGTTCGGGGGTGTCGGGTGTGGGTGTGGGTGTGGATGTGGGTGTGGGGGAGCCTTTTTTGGCTTTGGAGATTTCTTTTGCCATTAGACTTGCGAAATCCATTGTGATGATGATTTTGGGGGTAGCATGCGTGGTGTTGGTGGTGTTGGGCAGAGGGGACTGTGATGAACGATAAGATTAGGTGAAAGCGGAGGGAGAGCTGGAATTGCCGTCGGGCGGAGAGTAACTGGCATAACTTAAGTCAAGTCAGTCAGTGTGATTAACGCGGCGGGAGAGAGAGTTCCGCGCCGCGCATCCATCCATCCTCCATCTTGCTTTGATCCATCCAGCTACAACCAACCTCCACCTACAACGCGAACCTCACAACACTGCCTACTTATTTTGACCTTCTCCTCCCACTCAGCTCAACACTCAAAACCAACCTATGCTATGACCACCACCACCACCACATAAAACCCAATACCGTGAAAAAATGACAAACCGCCAAACCACCACCCCCTTCCACCTCAAACTCTTCTACCGCGCAAACACCTACCACCCCCTCTCCGACTTCTCCCCTTCGCCCCCCAACAACAACAACAGCAGCAGTGGGAGTGGGGGCACCCTCCCCGCCCACCACCTCCAAATCTACACCTGGCCGACCTGCTCCCTCCGCGAACTCGCCCACCTCCTGACCGCAACCCTCCCGCACCTCCTCCCGGACCCGCCGATCGGCACGCGGCTGAGCTTCCGCCTCATCTACCCGGACACAAAAGGCGCGGCGGCCTTGAATCTCACCTCCGACACTGTCGGGCGGGGCCGGTATCTGTCCAAGGAGATGGGGAGTGTGGTGGTTGCGCCGCGGGGGTATTCCGAAGACCATCCGGAGGGAGGGGATGCAGAGCGCCGGGGGGAGGAGGGGGGGAGGGACCTCGACCACGACCACGGTTCGAGAGCATCTCGCGCGGCGGGCGGCGGTGGTGGCGGCGGCGGCGGTGGTGGCCTCCGCATGAGCGGTGCGGATGCGGAGAAGACGTTGCAGGATTTCCGGTTCGTGATTGGGGATTTTGTGGATTGTGCGATTATCCCCCCCTTGGAGGATGGGTCGGTTGCGCCGCCGCCCCCGCCGGGTCTTGCTTCCTCTGGGAATGGTGGGGGTGGTGGCAGTGGGGGTGGGATGAGGGCGTTCCCGTCGGGAGGGAGGGAGGAGCGGTATTTTGGGGGAAGGGGGGGACGAGGGGGGAGGGGGTTTGGAGGGATGGATCGGGAGAGGGAGAGGGAGAGGATTCCGCCGGGGGATTGGAGGCGTGGGGAGAGGTTGCCTGAGGGAGCTGGGGGTGGGCATGGTCATGGACATGGTCATGGTCATGGTCATGGTCACGGGGGGTATGGGAGGCGGGAGAATGGCGGTGGTGGGAGGGAGAGGGAGAGGGAGGGTGGACGGAGGGGGTGGATGCCTTATTGAGTTACTTGCTTGCTTGCAGCTAGTTCTAGGGACGATGATGGAGCTATAAAGTGCTTGTAATCCCGCGCATGGATGTCTGTACGATAGACAAGGAATGGCATATACCCAGACTGCCTGGTCTATGCACTCTGTGCTGGAAGCACGACCACAGATACTCGGTAACAGTAAAGACAAACTCAATTGAACCGTCGCGGTATAATAGATACACAACCCTCGCTACCCATCCTCACATAGTAGCTACTAATCAAACCCTACCACTCCACAATGGTATCTCCCTTCCGCTTGCCGCGCAAGTCATATTTGCCCTGTTCAATTAGTCCAACAATCCCCCCTTACCCAAGCGGACAGAACCTACATCAGTGGTGTAGGCAACGTAGCCCAGAGCTCCCGGAATCAGAGCCATGTACAGGAACGAGAACCAGGCATGGCGCGGCGTCCACCGGAAGTACTTGTATCGGTTTGCGGTGAGTTCTGCGCGTCATCAGTCCAAGGCCCAGTTTTGAGACTCTCGTGGCAGCAGGCTGGCAGTGTCCATTGCTGCACAATGGACTGTACTACTTCGAACATCGGAGGGGGAGGGTACGGACCGTAGTATTTCTGGAGGGCCGGGTCGAGGATCAAAGCTGAGCGATGTTAGTGAAATCGTCGCAGGAGCCTTAGCATCAGAGGCAGTACGTACACTTGCTGGGGCCGGCCATGGTGGCGGTGTGGATGAGAATGGCTGGGGTGGACGACTTCTTGTCTCTAGACTGGCTGGTTGGTGGTGATGTCGGGTTGAGAACGAACGTTGCGGGCAGCACGTGATGCACAGTCTATGCAGATGAGTCAGCTGCACAATTCTACGCAGGGATCATTTCACTAACTACATCAATTTAACTATATTCATGCAACAGTCAATTCGCACATTCCGCTACTGCAGCATGCATGTGAAGGGAGTATCTCGGCCAGACATCGTATCTTGTCGATCGGATCGAACCCCAAAAATGGGATCATCCCAAAGATCGGAAGAAAGAAACGCGCGCAACTGATCCCCCCACCCACCGTCATGACGCAGCATCACAGGGTCGCCCCCAGAGCTACTGTACATCCGAGGTTCACTCGCTCGGGCTTCCTCCGCGCAATCCTTATAACAATAACCCAGTTTGCCGCAGACGACTCCTAGCCCATAGACCTCAACCCATCGCTACACAACCGATAACACAGCAGAAATGACCGACCCCAACAAAGGCGCCAAAATCACTCTCTACTGGCACGTTTCCCCCCCCTCCCCTTCTCCCCTTCACCACCCCAATCCTAATTTCCCTGTGTGGCAGGCTGGCGCAATCCCGCTCCCACCGCATCCTTTGGCTCCTCGAAGCCCTGCACCTTACCTACGAACTCAAGATCTACCACCGCGGGCCCGACAAACTCGCCCCGCGCGAGCTGAAAGAGATCCACCCGCTCGGCAAATCGCCCGTCCTGACCATCCAGCCTGCGACTGCGACTGCCACCACCGACGCCGCCGCCGATGCGGACAAGCCCATCGTACTGGCTGAATCCGGCCTGATCATCGAGTACCTCCTCGACCACTTTGGGGAGAATGCCGACCACCCGCTCATCCCGGCGCGGTATCCCTTGGACAAACCCGGGGGCGTGGGCGGGGAGACGGAGGCGTGGTTTCGGTATCGGTACTACATGCACTATGCGGAGGGCTCGCTGATGCCGTTTTTGGTGATGCAGTTGGTGATGGATAGTACGTTGTTCTCATAGCTTTTTGCCCCTCCCCCTTCCCCGGACCTTGTTGAAGGGGGTTGGAAACGCAAACAAGACTGACATGTTTTTGGGGTGGTTGGTGTAGCGGTTAAAAACCCCCCGATTCCCTTCTTCCTGAAGCCGCTTCCGCGGATAGTGGCCGGGCAGGTGGAGAAGGCGTTCCTGGAACGCAATATCGCGGCTCATCTGGATTTCTTGGAGACGCAGCTGCGCACTAGCCCGAACGGCGGGCCGTATCTCTGTGGGGATGTATTGACGGCGGCGGACATCATGATGAGTTTCCCCGTGATTGCCATGGCGGGGCGGTTGTCGCTGGAAGGGTATCCCACGTTGAGCGGGTATGCGGAGAGGCTGCAGCAGGAGGCGGGGTATGTGGCGGCGTGTCGGAAGATCGAGGAGGTGGATGGGAAGTTTGAGGCTTCTCTTTAAGGCCCCCTTTTAGGGCTGTTCTTGCTGTTGAACGTTAGGTACGTGATAGAGGGATTGATTGGTATAAGGTTAATGTAATGTCTTTTGCTCAGTGATTCTCATGATCAGTATGCTATCACTGCACCAAAAAAAAAAGGTAGCTATATACGCAACACGCAAGTATATATACCTCCCTCCCCCCTTCAGCATCAACGATATACAGCACCTAGATCGTTTTGAACTTTTTCGCAATCTCCTCCTCACTAAATTGCCGCGTCTTCCGCCGCAACATCTCCGCCTTCTCGTCCAGCGTCATCGCGATCTGCTCCCCCATCGGCACCAGACACTTGGCCAGATACCGATAATCCTTGCGCAGCAGCCGCACGGTGATCATGATGTAGTCGATGTTGCGGAAGACGAGGGCGTGTTCGGCGGCGTAGCGGGCGTGCTGGCGCAGGAAGGCGACGGGGTGATCGCGCCAGTGCCGACGGGGGTTGAGGTGGTGGGAGGTGTGGTAGCCGTCATTGTAGCAGAAGCGGTTGCTCTAAGACATCGTTGTTAATTTCTAATTGAAGCAAAACACAAAACCATAATTTTTGGAGGAAGGGGCAAGGCCACATACAGCAACATCAATTAAGGTAATACTCGACCGAAAATCCGAGTCGGGATCGACCTCATCCACAAAGGCATGCTGGCCCCAATTCCCCACCATCAAGCCCACGCGTAATTGCAACAAGGGCAACAGCAACACAAACAGCGTCGGGCGCCAGCCGCCATACCTCCACGCCAGACACAGCATCGCATAGCTCCCCAGCTCCCACAGCCCCGCCTTGAGCGCAGTCACCACCTGGCCCCGCCGCAGGAAATACGCGGGCAACTCGCACCAGACCAGAAAATAAAACCGCGCGACATAGCAGGCGAAATCCCACGGCGAGTCCCGCTGGTACCGCAGCGTACTGGACAGATCGCGCGGCCCGTTGCCCTCAACGTGGTGGTGCTTGACGTGGTGGTAGTAGTAGGAGTTCCAGGTGTGGCCCATGAGGGGGTCGAGGAGGTAGGGGAAGAGGCTGTCCACGCGGGTGATCAGGGAGGAGGAAGAGCGGGTGAGGATGCCCCCCATGTGGATGTGCTGGTGCATCATCAGCGTGTAGGTGCCGACGTAGTAGGATTGCATGAGCCAGTGCAACAGGCCGTGCCACCAGTGGAAGGTCCCGAAAAATAGGTACAGGGCGCTCGGGACGGAGGTGCTAAAGTAGAGCAGCAGGTGGGTGAGCATGACGACGTCGGTCTCGACGCGGACGAGGGAGCGTGCCGTCTGGATGTAGGGCTGCAGCAGCCAGGCGGGCACCCGGCGGCGCAGCTCCGGTAGATCCCAGGTCACTGTCACGGTGGGGGTGAAGGTGCTGCTGTTGTGCGGGTCGTTGAGCGACTCGAGATGCTGCAGCGTAAGTTGCGCTTGCGCGTCCAGTGCGGTTGCTTGCTCTTCTTCTTCATTTTGACTGGGGTTGGAGAGATTGGTTGCTGGTGGTGTAAGTAGTGGGTAGTAGTGAATGAAATATGAAGCTTTGGGGGAAGGCAGGGAAGGATTCATGCTTACGGGTTTTCGGAGCGGCCGGCGACTCGGCTTCCTTCAGGAGATGCTCCAGCACCAATCGGTCGGGCACCGTTAGGTTGGGATCTATATATGTGGCTGGGTCCATGACAGGAATTGCATGGAGATGCAGCCAAAGAGGAAAATGTCTAAAGAATAAGAATAAAATTAAAAATAGAAAATAAAAAAAACTTGGAAGCGGAGGAGGTACGGCGTAAAGGACAGACAAGCTGGGATTAAAATGGGCGGCTCTGGTGAAAAAGGGGCAAGATTATCAAGTGGATCAGTCCATGCTTGGCATGTCAGATCAGTGGAGCTGCGATGGTGGGGGAAATATGGAGTTGAGTTCGTGACTATGAGTCTATAATGAGTCTGGAAGAGTCTGAAGTAGCAGGAAGAACGACTTCCACAACTTCGAGTTACATTCGCCATGGAGTGGTATTCTGGATGTCATCATCATGAACAGTCTCATCAGATGACTCCACAACCCTAAGTTAAGCCATCGCTGATCGATCGATCTATCGCCGCAATGATTAGTAGTAGCAACACGGTCAGTGTTTACGATCACTTGCAGTACGATAAGCACACACTGCAAGATCTGGAGGGAAATTGATCCATGCGGCAGATAAGCTTAAATTGTCCAACCCAATTGCAATTGGTGTTTCTTTTCAAGGGCAGTTGTGTTGCCCATACTTTAGTAGTAGTGACTAGACGACGTCATTACTTTTTCCCCTCTCTTGGCTGTACCACCACTTCTGATTCTCAATAATTATTACTACTTACCAGCAGATGATTTCCCCCCTCACAACTACATAAATCAATCACCTCCACCGGAGCATCCAACATCACACACCCTCACCAACCATACAACCCCAAAGAAATCAACCCAAAATGAAACTAACGCTCTTCTCCACCAAATCCTACGACACCCACTACTTCACCACCACCCTCCACACCCTCCAAACCTCATCACCCGACCTGCAATCCCTGACCCTGACCACCCACCCCTTCCCCCTCACCCTCTCCACCGTGCCCCTCGCCCACGCCAGCACCGCCATCTGCGTCTTCGTGAACGACACCCTCGACGCCCCTGTCCTGCACGCCCTCTGGGCCGCCGGCGTGCGCGCCATCCTCCTGCGCTGCGCCGGCTTCAACAACATCGACTTGCCCACCGCCGAGAATCTGGGCTTCTTCGTCGCCAACGTGCCCTCGTATTCGCCCGAGGCGGTGGCCGAGTTCGCCGTCGCATTGCTGCAGACCCTGAACCGCAAGACGCACCGGGCGTACAACCGCGTGCGCGAGGGGAATTTTAATCTGGAGGGGTTCCTGGGGATGACCCTCTACCAGAAACGGGTGGGGGTGGTGGGGTTGGGCCGGATTGGGATGGCGTTTGCGCGGATTATGCGGGGGTTTGGGTGTGAGGTGGTGGGGTTTGATCCGGTGCGAGAGCAAGGGTTTGCGAAGTTGACTCATGACGCAGAGGGTGGGGGGGACCAGGCGCAAGATGAATTCACAACCCAGCTCAACGGCCGCTACCTCCCTACCGTCGAGGAACTGCTGGCGCAGTCCGATATCGTCAGTCTGCACTGTCCCCTGACCGAGTCGACGAAACATATCATCAACACACAATCCCTCCAGGTGCTGAAGCGCGGGGCGATCCTGGTGAATACCTCGCGGGGCGGCTTGATTCACACGCGCGACGCGATCGGGGCGTTGAAGGACGGGCGATTGGGCGGGTTGGCGCTGGATGTGTACGAGCAGGAGGGGGATTTGTTCTACAATGACCACTCCGCGGAGATCATTCACGATGATGCGCTGATGCGGTTGATGACGTTTCCCAATGTGCTGGTGGCGGGCCATCAGGCGTTCTTCACGCAGGAGGCGCTGGGGGAGATCGCGCAGGTAACCTTGTCGAATTTGGCGGATTTTCTGGGCAAGAGACCGTGTCAGAATTCGTTGGTGAGGGAAGGGCATTTGTTTGTGGAGGAGGATAAGCAGCCTGTGCGGTTGTAGTGTGTCTGATGTGGAGGTTGCAAATTGACAAAGTATATGTCTCGAGTGAGCTGGAATATCAGTATACAAGAAAAATTCTCAAATCTCGTCATGCATACTCCCAGTACCTTGAAGTCTTCCGAACCCACCTGATCCCGCACGAGAGGTCTTCAGTTATGCGGCAGTTTGGGTATCGTAGGTCAGTTGTTCGTTGTGTGTACGTAGGGAACTAGAGGAAGGTAAGCTCGTAACAATAGCTGTCACACTCCATGATGCATCTTGCTGATCTGGAAGAGTAGGAGCCATAGGGCATGTCGGGATGGATGAGGCTGGCAGGGGAATGTCGTAGAGTGATTCTGTGGAAAAGCTGTCTGAGAGAGTGTTGGTACTGAATTCTGGCATTTTGGGAACCAAGCGGGATGAAGTACGTTTCTGTCTTCGTTGTTTGTCGAGGCTGGTGCAACCGTCTTGTAAGTGGCTCTGAATCGGACACTCGGGTGACTATACGCTTATCCGGATGGCTTTGAAGCCAATTGTCACCGATTCCGACTGTATGAGCAATCGTCACCAGCGGGCTCCACCATTGTTATATTCATTGATTCAAACTACTGTATAGTCACTCAATCCCAGATGACACCATCCATAATGAGAGGGAGCAGCTGCAAAGTCATATATCTCTATACTAGGCCCCTCCCTCAGCAAAACACAAAGCGAGCAATGCGATTGCAGTGCGGCCATGTCATGTAGATGACTTACTCCTGCTCCGAGTCATTCAGATCACTGCTTGCTGAACTACAATTGCTGATCACAGCCAAAACATGGACTCCTCACAACGACCTTCGTAGCTACCTGGTTACATGGCCTGGAAGCTCCGACATCCAGCCTAAAGCTGTCTGGGATTGCACCTTATCTCAGTTACGAGGCTGCATGATTGTGATATGTGGCTCGAGATTAGTAGATTCGAGACCCGATCGTTAGCGTTCAGACTAGTTCTTGACAATGTTACTTATCTCGCGTATGCAACACCACCGAGAAACAAACACTGTTGTTTAACACTCCATGACGAATGACTAGTTCGATACGCGGGTGACAACATTGTCGGAATATATATAGTTGCATTAAATCTGCACAGCAAATAAGACAGTATGGCCGAGCGGTCTAAGGCGATAGACTAGAAATCTATTCTCTTCGGAGGCGTCGGTTCAAATCCGACTGCTGTCGTTTTTTACACTTTTGCTCCCATCACCACTCTCCGCTCTAAGCTTAATCCTTTCTAAACGACCAGTTTGACTTGCTGTTGATTTATCGGAATCTTATCAAAGCCCTGGATCTCCTCCAGGCTAGGAGATAGCATCACCGCCAGATTATGCAAGAAGATCTATGCTCCTCAATTCATACCCAAGGCTCTCAGATTTACTCCGAGTCCCACCATCTATGTAACAATCTAAAAGAGCAGATAGTATAAACACCACACATCACCAACACCCAGTAGCCAAAGCTCATTCATCATATACATACCATCGCCACTCTCTACACCAAATCAATCCCCCCCAATCAATCCCACCAACTCCTCAAACTCCCCCGTATTTCTCAACATATCCCAGAACAACCCCTGCTTCTCCACCAACTTCCTCGGCGAATCATTCCTACACCAGAAAAACATTAGCCAAACAGACTCTCTCCCACAAGCAATAACAAAGCGAATCGAAAAAAAGGTACATACTCAACAATGACCCCCCCAGCCATAACCAACACGCGATCATAATCCATAATCGTTCGCAAGCGATGCGCGATCGCGATGATCGTGCAATCAGCAAACATCTCGCGCAGGACGCGCTGCATCTGCATGTCGGTCTCGTGGTCAACGGAGGCGGTTGCCTCGTCGAGGAGCACGACCTTGGAGCGCCGGCACAGGGCGCGCGAGAGGCTCAGCACTTGGCGCTGGCCCTGGCTGAAATTCTCGCCGTTGGCGGCGACGGGGGTGTCGAGGGTGAGGGGGCGGTGGGTGGTGCCTGTTCGTGTTTCTGCTGCTGATGTTTCTGCCGTAGGGAAGGATGGGTGGTGGTGGTCGTGGTGGTGGTCGTGGACAGGAATGTGAATGGAGGAGGTACAGGCTGCGAGGGCGGATTGAAGTTCAGATTCGCTGGACTCGCCAAACGGGTCCAGGTTGGACTGGACGGTTCCGGAAAAGAGGACGGGTTCCTGCGGGATGAGGGTGACGCTGGTGCGGAGGCGGTTCAGGAGGATGTGGTTGATGTCGACCCCGTCGATCGTGATGGTACCGTCAACAATCTCCACAAACCGCAACAGGGACAGGCCGAGCGTGCTCTTGCCGCTGCCGGTGCGGCCGACGATGGCGATGCGTTCGCCCGGATGAGCGACGAAGGAGACGCCGCGGAGGACGTCGGGGCCGTCGGGCTGGTAGCGCGCGGTGACGTTGGAGAACTCCACGCGGCCGGAGGTGGGCCAGCTGGCCGGGAGACTGGTGAGGGCTCGGTGATGCTCCTCCTTGGTGAACTTCTCCTCCGGCTCGATCGCGGCGTATTCTGTCATGCGCTGGAACGAGTTGAGTTCGATTTCAAGTTCGTTCATCGTCCGCACCAGAGTCAAAATCGTCTGGCTGAGGCCGATCGCGTTGGTGAGTGAGAAGCCCACGAGGCCGGCCGAGCCGGACCAGAAGTAGGCGACGCAGCCGGCGGCGGCGGACACGGAGGCGGCGCAGAAGTCGGATCGCACGGAAACCCAGCGGTTGCAGTTGTACTGTGCCTCGGCGGTGCGCGAATGCACGGCCAGCTTGTCGGCCAGCAGGGTCTGGAAGACCTGGTCCATCCCGTTGCGGGCGCGGATGACGCTCAGACCCGAGATGGAGTCGGTGAAGTGCGAAAAGACCGGAGAGTAGCTGATGGAGCGAAGTCGTTTGATGGACACCTGAGCACGGGTGTACATCTCGCCCATGATGAAGCCCGCGGAGCAGATGATGGCGGCGGGGAGGGCGAAGATGGGCATGATAGACGCGACGCTGGCGATGCGCAGCAAGAATCGTAGTGAATTCTCGATAGACATTCGCAGCCATTCGACCAGAATCGTGTCCATCGACCGCGTGTCGTTGCCGAATCTGTTGATGGCGCGCCCGATTGGGTTTTGGTCAAACCAAGCAATAGGCGCAGACAGTATGGCGGTCACCAGCCTCTGATGCATAGTTCTGGCGGCCACCCAACTGCCACGTTGGTAGATGAGATTGTTGCAGACTTGCAAGAAGAGGAAAGTAAAAATCGCGGCCGCATAGATCCCCAAGTAGAACAAGGTATTGACGTGTTCCTCCTTCTCGTACGCCCCCGTCCAGATCGAGAGCCAGTAGGTGATGGAGAAGTAGGCAAATTGAACGGAGATAGTTGCTAAAATGACAAGGGGAGCGTACCCCGCGCCGCCGAAAAGACGCATATAGCTGAACACTAGACACGGGTCAGCAACGCTCACTTCTCAACAAATGATAGACTTACTCAATGTGCGAGGAACGCGCCCAGTAGAAGATGTCTCCTCAACAATGCGTCCTTGCGCAGCGTGTTGATCGGCTACAGGAGGAACAGGGGGCATTGGAAGCTCTGACGGGGCGTTGAAGGGTGGTTCTTCAGCCGTTTCGTCCCCAACTGGTATCAGATCAGGCGTGCCGCAGCCTGCCGGTGATGCAAGCACCGGTGTGAGAGCCCGCGAAAGAGTTTGGGCCGGGACCAATTTGCCATGCTCAAGACGAATGATCGACTCCGCGTCTTGCAAAGCAGCTGGGTAATGCGTGACCAAAACAACAGTCCTGTCTTTGAGCATCCCACTACGGAAACACTTCTCGTACACAAGAGTAGAAGTGTGAGTGTCAAGGGCAGAGAAGATGTCATCCAGCAACAAAGTCGAAGAGAAGGAATATAAGGCCCTAGCGAAAGACACCCGCTGTTTCTGACCGCCGGACAGAGACGTGCCCTTCTCTCCGACTCGGGTCATATCGCCAGCGGGGAGCTGTTTCAAGTCCTGCGCTAGACCGCTTGCCTCGACCACGGTGGCATACCTATTCTCATCGAACGGACCGTAGAAGACAATATTCTGACGAATTGTATCATTCTGAAGCCAGGGAGCCTGTGGGACGTATGCAACATCAGGCGGACAAGACGCTGTCCCCGACTCCATGACGGTTTCACCCAAACAAGAGAGTAGCAGAGTCGTCTTCCCGCTTCCAGTCGGACCGGTGACTACGTTGAGCGCATTCGGTTTGAACTTGATGGTCACGTCCTGCAGCCGGAAAGCTGCAACGGGCGTCGGCCTGAATGTCGCATCGATCAATTCCAGCGGCCCCTCCGGATGCCGCTTGATCTCATCCGCTGTCTCGAGGAAATTGTCAATGCGGCGCAGCGACTCCGATCCCTGCGCCGTGTATCTGCTGACGTTGGAAAGCCAGACGAATAGAACACGCAGAGTCTCCATGATCGACAAGGAGGTGAAGGCAATCGGGGCGCGGAGCGGTTGACCTGTGAACAAAATGTAGGTCGAGAACATGACGAGTAAGCTCAGCAGCGGCAACAACTCCCCGGCCATGGATATCAGTGCGGCATACACACTCCTCCTCCACAAACGACGTTGTTCCACGCGACGGACCTCGTTAATCGAATTTATGGCGGCGTGTTCCCAGCCAAAGTACTTCAACGTCCGGATCGAGTTTAAGTACTCGGAGATCTTAGATAACCGAGCATCGGTAGCCCGCATAACAGAGCGTTGAATGCGGGACACCTTGCGTGACGCCAGAGCAGGGAGGGGCGACAGACACAGCAACGTGAGGACCCCAAACAGCGATGGCCAGCCAAGCATCTGATACAGGAAAATCAGCGCCAGTGTGATAGATATGGGGCCTGCAGTAGCCAGATAGAAGATATCGCGCGAGTTGTAGATAGCGTCAACATCGTACGACATCAAGCTCGTTAGATTCGCTTGGCGAGTTTCAGGCTTCCCCTTTGACTTTGCTCCGTTTTGCGACTCTTCCTGTTTCTTAGTGTGGTGGTGTTCGCCCACGGAGCCGTCGTAGATGTACGAACGCATTGCGGTCTGATAAAGCTCTTGAACGAGAGAGACATTCACCCGAACAACAAGGCGAGTAGACGTGAAGATATACTGCTGATAGCACAGCGAGCGCGTCATCGGGCCAACAAACAGCAGCGCGATCCACAAGGCCGGGTGAAAGACCGCGCTCTCGGCGTCCTCCAGATACGCCAGCAGCCGCAGCATCGAATACGGAGCCATAAAATCAATGAACGCCGTCGTCGCAGACCAGGCCATCATGGTATTGATCTCGCTCTGCAGCAAGCGACAGAGCGTGCGGAAGGTCTTGCCGCCCCGGCGGCGCTGCATCTTGATCTTTTCGAGCCATCTCAGCGGCTCGTCGTAAGACGGCAAGGGCGGGAGATCATCCAGAGTCAGATCGCGGCGGCAGCCCCGGAAGATCACGTAGGTGATCCATTCATAGGAACAGTAGTAGGAGAATAGGGAGCATGTCTCTTCCGGAGACGCTTTCTCCTCCTTCAGCGAGCGCTCAATCTCGGCGTCACCTACCATGGGCCGTCGTGGCCGGGGCGTAGCGAGGGCGATAATCAGCACAGCAGCCAAGCTCGCAACGATTGCAGCGCCAAGGGAGCTTGGCCGGTAAGTGGCATCCACAATCGTCATGGGCACCAGATCCTGCACCACGGCCAACAGCCAGGCCGCTACTGCCAAGCCGTTCATGTGCCGGTAGAGATGCGTTCGATAGCCATTATTCTTGCAGCAGATATAGCCCACGCCCAGGAATACCACGTATGTCAACAACAGAGAGCGTTTCCAGCTCGCGCCATGCTGTATGTCGAGCCAGCTCAGACAACAGGCAGCCAAGGCAGCCGCTAGGTGCGCAAATGCTGTGGGAAGATGAACTAGGATCTCCGAGTGACGGTCCGCTGATTCGAGGTTGTCTCGCAGCTTGAGTCGACCGGCTCGACGAATGAAGCGAAAGAGTATCGGGAGTAGGGCGAGCACCCATGATGTGAGCAGTAAAGCTAGATGCAGGTTCCCTGCCGCTATGAAAGCCGACGCTCTCCGAGTGCGACATTGCCATATACTCCTGCAAAAGTTCCATGCCTATTAGTGACAACCTCAGCATACCAAGCGTTTAAAATGAATTACAGACCGCTGAGAAGAATCATAGTCAGCGACAGGCCCAATGGTCTCTCCCGGACGCTGCGAAACCGTAGGCCCGATCGCCTGTTGCAAGGGCGCAATAAAATGCTCCATCTTGGGACGACGATGAGATGGAGCACGAGCACAGCAAGGGAAGACGACCCTCTCGATCAAGTCATAAATCAGAGTGAAGTCCCGTCATAACCGAGCGCGCAGAGACTTTCAAGAGGCTTATCACCCGGTCTTATTTGTCGGGGACTGTTATTCGACAGCAGCACCGCCCATTGCGTGTAGTGTAGAGCCAATCGCCGGAAGAGTGGCTTAAGCAAGGGACTAGCAACGCTAACTGGGGCTGGCGGGAGGCGTTGGCGTAGTGGGCAGGGGATGAGAGGAGATGGAAAAATGGAGACTGAGGGGGAGGAAAGTGGTGTCATCGCTTGCAGAGGGAAAATAACGGCCGTTGCCGATAGCGGGGGGGGTGAAAATGAGGTAAAACCTGCTGCCATGGAGAACATCGGACCAAATCCTTGTGGCTCCGATCCATGGATTGTAAGCAACTGAAGCAGCAGCGGTGGATGGCCTGGGCTTGACTGCCTGAGGCTGCAATCTGATAAGCCTCTCCACCCAATGACAGGCGCGGATCTCGCCCACGGCCGGGAGGTACCGAAGTGATGCCTAAGGCAGACAGCATTCCGTACTTCCTCGCTTCTCAACATCATGCTTGCTCCTGCCATTGTCTATGGGACCTTCAGTCCCTTGTCTTCTAGTACACTGGTGAATAAACCCTGATTAGACTTCAAAAAACGCTATCATTCTTCACGCAGCTGACCCCCGTACTTTCTCTTTATACAACGAAGATGATACTACCAACAGGAACTTCCCCACTAAGTATAAACAAGGTGACAGCGGGTTCAAGCCCACCCAACAGTCCGAGGGCCAGTTCATTATGACCAGCTCGAAAGAGCCTTAAGAAGCCTAGACAATGGAGAACGGTCTAGTGCCCATGTTCATTGTTAGTACATGGCTTAGCCTGGTACCAAGAAACACTGTGCATGAAATGGTTGATTAGCTGGGAGGGACATCCTCCGAGATATGGCTTACCAAAACTACAACGCGATTCACTAGGAAGCATATAAATGGACCTACATCTCCCGTTGTCCCGCTATTTTCACACAGCGCAGGTTTCCATTTTGTGAGTGCTGCCTATAGTTATCTCCACTAAGCGAGAGACATCAGGGCTTCGCTGCGTGGAACTAATGATATACGCGCAATCTCAAAGTGAACCTAACCTGTACGTGTAAGCCTCAAAGCCCCGAACCCCATACTCCTAGGTCAATAAGCCTCAAGACCGATCCACATCAAAATGGCGCACCGGCCTGAACATATCATCGAGCTCAACAAGCAGCAGTTGAGGGAACTAATCAAAGTCCTGAAGATCAGCACCGACCAGGATGCCGCCGATGCCGAATATTTCGGACAGACACGCAGTCCTAAGACCGTGAGGCGCATCAAGGCAGCCATCCAAGCACTGCCGACAGAGCTATACGCGGGGCGCTCGCGCATTCCCTTTCGCACGTACAGTCACCGAGAGGCGAAGGCGGCCGTATTGTGTGATGTTCATGAAGGGCTCAATGGCTATGTCATCGGCAGCGCTTATTGGCGGCTTCGGCAAGAGTTGACCGACCATCTGCGCTTTCTGGAATGGTACCATGAATTCTTGAGCCCAGAAGTCAAGGCTTTCCTCGAGGCCCTGACAGCGACCAAGGGAATGTGGTGGGTGCCGGAGACTGAGGAGGACATACCTCCCAAAGGGGCAGTCTGCTTCCAAGAGAATTGCTGCCAGGCGTGTATGCTGGCGAGAGTTGTGGTCGAGCCATGGTGCCTGTTCAATGTCCGCACAGCCCTGGTCAGTCGAGTCCGCACCCGGAAGAGACACCGAGTCCCGGCGTTGCTCCCCTTCATTGAGATTGCCATCCGTGAATTTGCCCCCGAAGGTGAGAACATCGAAGCCTATGGAGGTCTCCCGTGTGACTTGGCTTACAAGAGCAGTGCACTGGCATACGACGTCAAGAAGGTACGCAAGCATGCTGCCTATTGTGCCAAGAGGGATCGTAAGGGAAAGGAAGCGAGGGAAAGCGAGCAAGCCATGAACGGCCAAATGATTCACCGTCCAAGCTCTCGCCCAGGTCGTAAATCCGCGCCAGCAAATCTCCAGTTGGACAGGAGATTGCCACAAGCGGGTGTGCCATCGACGTTGCAAGCCAAGGCCAGCCCCATGTCGCCACACAACAAGCAGATCAAGCAGCATCCCAGCTATGCCAAGCACCCGCGGCCACCGCACTGCCAGGATGACACCAGGAAAGGTGCGGCTGTCAACGATATTATCGAGGAGGTTACCAGAGTCCATATTGAATACGCGGGTCACGCTGTATTGGTGGCCCCAAGCCACACAAAATGCAATACTGACGGAGTGTCAACGGTTCGACCTTTGCTTGTGAAGAAGCAGAACACCGAAGGCCAAGGTATTGACCCGACATATGGCGGACCTGCCTCGCCAGCAATCTACATCGAGGCTGATCCCCTGCCTGAAGGATTAGGCGGCATTGGTAACTCAGATCTTGAGTACTCAGAGATCGAGGGCTCAGATATCGAAGACTCAGATATTGAGGACGCTAGGCTCGATCAAGAGCTCCAAGCGCTGCGACTTGAGAAGTCACTTCCCTCCCTAACTGATAGTTTCCCTTCAACGGCGGAGGTCACGCCCCATCGCCGGGCGGAAGACATACTCGAACTGAGCAGCTTCTGCAATGAGATAGCTCTGGAGGAAAAGGCACTTTGGACGCCAACCTTCGTTGAACATATCTTGAGGCAGCCCTACCACCTGGACGAACCATCCTCCTCGGAAAGTAGTTTCCATACTACCACGCGATCGGCCGTGCCATTCTTCAACATGTAAGGGACCGATGAAGGGCGTTGAAGGAGATTTGCGAGCAGAGTGGTGGAGGAAGCACATGGGAGAATGGTTTGTATACAAGCAGCGAACTCCATGTACATTGCATCTTAATTATATAAGCTTCGGATGATAAGCTAAATAGATAATGATGAACAGAAGATAATGATGAAGCGAAGCAAAAGGAAACCAGTCATTAAGCCGCAGTCTCACAGCTGGGTGTGAGGGTTCGAGTGCAGTCCAAGATAGTACCGAGCAAGAAGTAATGAAACCATGGTATAGTCATCGGCGTAGTCTCCATGAAACCGAAAGGGATATTAGTAAAACATAGGACAAGGTCAAGGTAGCGAAGAGTAAACAGCAATACCCGCAGTGGTCAGGAGACGGCCTGCAGCTCCTAAGACCTCCATCGAATGGTAAATATTAGCAAGAAGATAGTGACAAGCAAACTTTGCCTGAAGCACAAGACGGCCAAGGCCGCCTTATTCAAAGGACGCTGCTGGCGACACCATGACTCACACCCTTGAATCCATCGACGTGAGGGGACAGAGTCACTGTCTTTCTGCGTCGCGGCCGCGACGTTGACTCATCTCGTGATCGAGCAAGCGTAGGCGTAGTGGTCCCAGAAGAGACAGAGTCACTACTTTCGTTGGCGATGCCGGCAGCATCGTTGTCAACCTTCTTCTGCGCAGCTTCGCGGGAACGTTCGTAGCGGAGCTGGACGTCACCTTTCCACTGAGTTTTAAAGAAACGATCCCAGATGGTGAAGAACGGTTGCGAGAAGTTAGTTTTGATGCCCCAGCTTTGGTGGTGAATATCATGGTAAGCCGCGTTGTTCGAGGTGAAATGCTGCAACGGGTCCCAAGGGAAAGCGTAGCCGCAGTGATCATCCACAGTTTTGATGGTGGAGAACGTGAAAAACCACATGCCCTGACGATTGCTCATGCAGGCCGTCAGGAACGCAATTCCGGTGCCGGCAGTATCGAGCGCAAACCCTTCGACAGGGTGGTTGTAAAGGGCTCCGAAAGCATACGGCACGTACAGTCGATGGTGACGGGAATGGAAGGTCACTGGTCCACAATCAGTCTTATGCTTGTTTTGTCTCCGCGAACTGCGAGGCAAGAGCCACTATCTCACTCACCATAGAGCCAACGGTTCATGTGCATCGCGCGATGCAGGAAGTACTGCCAGGTATCGACAACACAGACAGCCCACACGAATTGCAGAGTCGGAATGAGGTACCAGTAGATGGCACTGGCGGCTGACAGCTCCCAGTTGGTGAAAGCTGGAACCACGGCTTCCACTCCGCTCTCCAAGATCATCGACTGGGTGACTCCTGGGTAGCGACCGCCGGCTATAGCTCCTCCAAGCATCGACCAGCCATTCTGCGAGAGATTCTTGCCGAGACCCACTGCGTCGATTCCAACGAATGCCAACAGCTGGGGGATCGCCTTTTGCACCAAGCGGAGTCGACGTGCCCAAACCGCAACATTATATTCATCCTTGCCCAGATATTCAATATCATCAAAATATGCGAGTGCCAGGCCAGCCATCGTTTGGATGATCTGCTGGAGAATGACATCCCTCACCACCTCCCAGCGCGTGACATGATTTCGCTTCAAGACTTCCGCGGGCGTGTGCAGACGGTATTGCGGAAAGTAGTCGTTGACATCGATATAGTGATAGACCATAGACAGAGCCCAGTAGGCGATGATGGGAAGTATAAGGGCGAGGAGGTTGTCCGGGATGGGAGCAAGAAGCGGAGGACGCGGCGTCAGGGTATAAGTCGGAAGCGGCGGGAGGTCGAAAACGACCGAGGCATTGGTAGCCATGGCGAAGTGGTGTTGCAGTTGGAAACTGCGAAGAGGTGTATATGCAGTAGGACGGCAGAGGAACAAACAATTAGGCACACTGCTGCATCGGTAGGTGAAAAATACCAATGTCGATGGCGAAGCTACTGGTGCTCAGTCCGTTCGTCGATCTGGTCGGCCCTTAGATCGAAGGGAGGTTGTGGAGTGGGGAGTTAATAGGAGATGAGACCCGACTAGCGATAGTGATGTACTAAGAAGAAAAAAGGGTCGGGGAGGGGGTAAGGGATAAAGTAGGAAGATATAGAAGTTTGAGGGTAAGTGGGACGGGCAGTGGCGGAAGAAGGTGTTCGGTGGTGGTGAGATCCTCTGTGCTTCTCGGGATGCTGGCCCAGGGGAGCGGCCCACCACAAACGAAAATCAGGGGGACACAACGAGGCTGACAATCACTATCGGAGAACTGATAGGGATCCGAGGTTAGAAGTACAGAACAATGCAGATCGAATGACTCGAGACAAGGTGGGAAAGAGGTTGAAATTAAGATGAGGTGGTGAGAAGGAAGGACTGAGGATGGGAAAATTAAGGATAGTAGAGGAAGTGGTAGTTGAAGGATTAGATCTTTTTCTTTTCTCTTAAGAGGAAGAGAATGTAAGAGAGATACTAAAGATTGACTATTGAAGATTCGGAGGGGGAGACGGAGAAGGCATTGCGAGAGGAAAGACCGGCCGCAGTGGCACCACTGGTCACGTATGGTAAAGCCCCGGAGGCGATGCTGGCTGCAAACAGCAACAGACAGTGAACTGGAGGGCAAACAGGAGGCGGTCAGGTACCCGAAGACGGAGATGTGACAGGGTAATCTTACTGGATAGACAAGCTGTGCATTGATGCCTTAGGCAGAAAAGAGGGGAGCAGTAACTTAGTAATCTCGTGCAGTAATTTACATACTACAGAGAGTTTTTCAGACAGTACATACTAATACTCCGTAGTATTGAGTCTGCAATATGTACGGAGTCAAGTATTCAGATATTCAATTGAATATCGATTCAATTCAATAATACTTACCACTATCTCTCCATACAGTCCCTTCAATTTGCCATCGGATTCTTTCCAGACTGTTTCCATCCATCGTTTCTCAGGCCGAGACACTTCCTAGACAGGTTAGTGCATCCGTTGTTGCCCCTCGAGAAGAAAAAAGACAAGAAAAAAAAACCCAAAAAGACCCCACCAAACCTGGAGGGAAAAACAGCGCCACTAAAAGCAATATTAATCTTCATCTCTTCCCCTCTTTTTCTCCTCCTTCTTCCTTTTCCCTCTCTTTCTCTTCCAGCCCCGTCTTTCTCTCTCTCTCTATCCCCTCATCTCCTTTTCACTTCACATCTCACACCCGTCAAAATGATTATCTACGAGGTATGCCATTTCTCCTCTGCCTGCTGATCCTTCTTCCCTCGGCATCAATAAACAAACCACGTTTCGTTTTGCAGCCCAAATGCAAGATGACAGGAATGTCGACCACCACACCACATTCCGTACATGCTGCATGCAGCTGTACCCCGTTGGGAATCTGACATGACCCTGTCTCTTGCTGTTTTGCTTCCCTCTCGCAATACAAGTTCATTTTCTTCTCCAATATAATGCACCTCCACTAATACACCACCGTTGCTTAGGACATTATCTCCGGAGACGAGATGGTCTCCGACACCTTCAACCTGAAGGTCGTCGACAAGGTCCTCTTCGAGTGCGACTGCCGCAAGTACATGAAGAGCCAGAACGAGGACTTCCAGCTCGAGGGTGCCAACCCCTCCGCCGAGGACGGTGCTGAGGATGACGGTGGTGAGGGTGAGAAGATCATGGTCCACGACATTGAGGACCAGTTCCGTCTCGTCTGGCTCAAGACCGAGGAGGGTCTCAAGCCCTCCAAGGATGCCTTCAAGGGTCACCTCAAGAGTATGCCTTCCCTGCTTTAATCACAAAGCATTATCAACACCTTTGAAGAAACTCGATCGGACGGAAATAGCTAACTCTCCGTCTTCAACTACAGCCTACATGAAGAAGGTCCTCACCAAGCTCCAGGAGTCCGGTGCCAGCGAGGAGACCATCGCTGAGTTCAAGTCCGGTGCCCCCGCTGCCGTCAAGAAGATCCTTGCCAACTACGACAACTACGATGTCCTCATGGGTCAGTCCATGGACGGTGATGCCATGTATGTCTTCATTCCATTTCTGTATCCATTCTACCTCCAAACGAACCATTCTAACTAACATGCCAGGCACGTCCTCATCGACTTCCGTGAAGACGGTGTCACCCCCTACGCCACCCTCTGGAAGCACGGTCTCAAGGAGGTCAAGGTCTAAAGGGATTTTGCTGCGCGAATCACAAAGCCTTTTATTACCTTGTCAATCGAAAAAAAGATTAATATACCCCACAACCTACCTTAAACGTCCTCCCAAACCCCTCCTGTTGTGCGAAGAATGTTGTCATGAAATCAAGAAATCTTGGCTCGAAGAACCAAAGAGGGGATAGACCCCTTTGTGCCTTTTTGACCAAAAGTCACGCCTCATGAATTCCATAACTTTTTAACGGTTCCATCTATTGTTGTTCCATTCGTCTTGCACTACTTTATTCGGCACCGGAGCTAGATTTTCGGATATACGTAATTCGCTTTGCGAGGAAAAGTAAAAGTTGAGAGCGCAGCACGATAATTAGCTCCCTGCGAATTGACTATAGAAAACGGATCAAATTACAAGCACAGCTTGATTCAATGTAGAACTCGTTATAGTCTTAACGTGACATTCGCATTATATAGACACCAAAACCGTGACATGCATATTCGCTAAATAACTTAATAACCCGCCCAATCAGACCTGTGCGTCTCCGGCCGATGATCGCCCCTACCACCACCCCCCTCAGTGCCCAGATCCCCAAAATCCAAACCCGTGACCGGGTCAAGTTCCATGAGCTCGTCGGCGACGGGCAGATGCTGCCCGAAGACGGCGTCCCACTGGTCCCAGTCGAAGTTTAGGTTGGGATCCACCATCGACGGCGGGGTGGGGACCGTGGCGGGCGAGGCGGTGGCATCGACGAGAAAGGCTGGGAGGGCTGGAGGATGATGGCCTGACTGATGGACAGAAGGAGGAGGAGGGGGAGGGGGAGAAGGTCCCCCTCTCGGTGAGGTGGTGGGGTGGCGCTGCAGGGTTTGACTGAAGGTGAAGGGTGCTGGGTGGAGGCCTGGTGGGAGGTGCATTCCCAGAAGCTCGTTTGAGGATGATATAGAGGGACCGGATTGGAGTAGGGGTGATGAGGCTGATGACTCTCTTGGCTGTTGCTGTTGGTCGATCGGGGAGGAAGGGGCGAGGGGGTTGGTAGTGATTAATGGGGGACTTGCTGGTTGTGAAGGGGATCGTTGCTGCGGTTGAAGATGGTGTTGAGTGGGAGAGGGGAGCTGGTAGCGGAGTGAGCTGGGGCGGGGGTGGGATCGACTCATGTTGGGGAATAGCCTGGAGAAGTCCTTGGGCTGTCGCCGGGAGGCAGCTGCATCGGTGTCCGAGGCAGTTGCGTAGTCGTCAGCTGTAGCAGCCACGCCTGCTTGAATCTGCGCCTGTTCGGACCATAGCCGATTGGGATCGAGGCCGGCTCGCTGCCAGGCCTGCTGACGCAGCCTGCGGATCATGTCCCATGCCTCGCGACCACCGTCGTTCAAGGGCCGTTGGGTCGAGATGCCGTCTTCGCCGCCGACAACCCCTCCGTCGGGGCCGGTCATGGAGAAAATCTTATCGATGTATGCCCGGGACTTGGGCGCCTCGGGGCTATAGGGTCGTTCGTAGAGATCAATAAGCATAATCATGGTAGCATGCATTGGCTGATGGTTGCCGGGCCAGCTCCACTGAAATGGTTGGAAGTCAGGATCGGTTGCGAGGGAAACGAATTTCTCCATGAAGCCATGACAGTGGCGGAGAGCACTGCTCCAGGTTAGTCAAAACCGACAGCGTGGGTAAGTGCGGGACGCACCTTTGTCTCGCAGCAGGCCAGATTCGGCTCTTTGCGTTCTTGAGGAAAGGTTGATAGGCGACACAGAAAGCCTAGCAACAGGCCGGTTAGCATGATGTCCTCGCATTCGCAGCTATAGATGTAGTCACGTACCTTGTCAATGAAGAGAGAAAGGACAATCCTAGCCCACTTGTGAAAGGACACCAGGACTGGTGAATGATACTGTTCCGGACAGCCATTCGGCCCTTCTCCGGGTAATTCAATATCACTGCCGCGGTTCTCAGCAAGCGAGGAAGTAGACCAGGATCTAGTCGAAGGAACCGACGAGACATCGGTCGACTCGGCCTCCGGGATACGAGAAACGATGGAATTCAAGTTCTGCTGCAGCTCGACCAGAATCGTCCGAAGCTCTTCCATATCGCGTCGTGTTAACGGCCTGGTGCCGAGCTGGATCTTCAAAATTCGTCGAACAGCACCTAAGGAGCACGTGTTAGACTTCTAATCACACTATGTTGCTTGAGCTGCCACCTACGCGCCATCGTATACTTTCCCCGAGCTGCCAGGTAGTAGACGTTGACCATTGATGGACCGCCACAAATGGTCGGGTCATCTGGATTGTCGGGAAGCCTCAGGCCGGTCATGACTAGTCGATCATATTTTTCGGCCTCTGGAGTACCGAGCAAGGTATCTTTCACCTCGCTGCTGTCACGGACATCCCAGTAGTTCTCGTCACTGACTAACGGAGGTAGTCCACTAGACATGGCAACCACACCGTCCATATGCACGATATGCCACCATATGCGACGACGATATTCTGCTTCACAGGGTCCGATACCGAACTTAGCAGGATCCCGGTGCAGACCCATGGTCTGAGCGACTCTCATGGCGAGACTGACGAAAAGACTGCTCGTTAGTGGCTCTTCCTCCTTGGCAAGTATCGTCTGAACCAGAAGGTATGCAGCCAGGCCTTGCAAAGAAGGACTTCGGGGAAAAGAGATCTTGGTCAACCATCTTGTCACTTCGTCGTTGTAAGCCTTCGAGAGCGTTGCCCGTGACGACACATTGAATTCAGCCTTGATGGTGCGGAGTGATATGGTGACGGAACCACCATACCAGATTGCATAGAGCAACGGTATAAAAGACGGGTCCGGGCAAGGGTCGCCCGAGTAGCTGCTAGAGTCATACCAGTCCCAGAACGAGTAGTAGAGCTTGTGTATGGTCGGGGGATGAATGACGGGGGTAATGGCGTGAACTCCAGACATAAATCCTTTGTACAAGACGTGACTCTGTCGCTTGGTCGGCATATTCTCGAGCATCTCCGGCTCCACCACCTTGCCCTTGATAGACGGCGATTCACCCGATGGGAACAATACGGACTTCTGGAATTTTTCTCCTCCGGATGTCTGATCAACGCCGAGCTCACCAGCGCCATCGGTTCCGGGCTTCCACTGGCGACTAGGTGTGGCTTCCATGGGTTCCGCGACAGTATCTTCGGCCGAAGTCTTGTGTGAATTCGACTCAGGATGGGAGCGGTTCTGCACCCTGAGTAGCTCGTTGAGCTCATTGATCTGCATACCCATCAGCAACGAGCATCACGTAACTCCTTGAGCCAGTAATGACACATACCTCGTGAGAAATATACGCCCAGTACGTAGTTCCCACATATCTGCCTCACAATCAGCCGCACAGTCCCAGCCCAACCGAACCCGCCAGGAAACATACCTCGACCGACCCCCATCCTCCAAACTTAGATGGCCCAGATTCAGACTCCCAACTGGATCAACCAAGTCCGTCGCATGACCGGCCGGTATCGGGAACTCATCGCCGCTCGAATCCGCCACGCGACGCGGACTGTCCGAGCGCGCGACATTGGCCACCTTCGACGTCGCCCCGCCAGCCACACGCGGTTCTTTCTGCAACAGTGACTCCGAGCCGGCATTCTGCAACAGCAGTAGCTTCTCCGACGGGTTAAGCGCCTGGCTGCTAGTCTTGCTCAGCCGCTCAATCATCGAGGTGAGCTTATCCAGCCGCGCTTCAATCCCCTGTGACCCCAGCGGCTGCTGCTCCGAGGAGCCGCTCCGCTTCAGATGCCCGTAGAGCGATTGGAGATCATCCATGTCCTCCTCCTCCAGCTGCTGCGACGACTCTCTGCGACGCTTGACGCCTTGTCCGTCCTTGAATGGCGCATTGCGCGCCTCGGTGGTGTCCTTTTGCGCTGAGGCATCGTAGACGCATTCGGTTTCGTTCTTCTGGCAGTTACCGCAGATTGGATGGACCTGGACGCCCACGGCAGCGTGATGTTAGCTTACAGGAGAACAGCGCCGAGAAGCAAATAGTGGCTATCATGTGGAATTACCTTGTCGCATTTCACCTTCCGTCTCCGACAGGTGTGGCAGCTGTAGCTGGCGCGGTTGCGCGTGATCTGCCGGCTGCCCGGTTTCCCAGCCCGGGGCGCAGCGGCGATGGAAGAGGAGGCGGATGCTGGAGTGTTGTCATAGCTATTGTAGCGTAATGGAGGAGATCTGGGGCTGGGATCGGCCTGCCCGCAGTTGGACGAATTACTGGGAGGTGGGCTGGTGTTCATGGTCCCTCGGTCGCAGTGGCGGGGTTCTGTGATGATCCATTGACAGAGTGGGAGGGGTACATGGGGCAGAGGGCTGCGCTTGGGGGAGTATTGGATCTTCTTAGTCCATGAGTAAGTAGCCTGAAATCAACTGCACAATACAAATGGCAAATGCGAAAGAAGTCGAGGGAATATGAAAAAAAGTGAGTGTCAGGCAGCGGGGGGTTGGCAGATCATGGATTATTTGATGGCATCCATCCGGGGTAAAAAGAAAGCGTTATCGGCAATCGCCGTCCTCTCCCGGGCCAATAATAGCCGTGTTAAACCCAAGCCTGGCCTCCGTCACCACAGCATCCATGATGTCTTTGTAGAGGCATTCATGCCAATATGGTTGGTGAACTTGATGTTGGCGCACCGATTCTAGCTTATCAAGCATGTATGTATGGTATTTACAACTAAAGGAGGCCCGAACTACGAGTTGCACCAAACGTGATAATGACTCCAATATCAACTTGGTATCATGAGAAAAGCAAAGATGCTCGTTATATATGATAGCAACACAACGCCTTTCGCCCATGCCCATGCAACCCAAAGCATACTATGTACCACATGAACAGTCCCACAGGTATTTCAACCACGCTAAGCCTTGCCCTTCTTCTTGTCCTTCTTCTTCTTCTCGCTGCCACCTGCAGCGGGAGGGCTCGCACCGCCTAGACCACCCAGGCCACCCAAGCCGCCCAAGCCGCCCATCATGTTTGCCAGATCCGCCATCCCAGGAATCTCGGGCATACCAGGCATGCCCTGCATATTCTGCATCTCAGCCATAGCGTCCTTGAGCGGGTTATCGCTGACTCCACCACCGCTATACGCGGGGGAGTGAATGGGAAGGATCTTTCCAATCTTCCAGCCGCGGGGGGCGGGGGGTGCGGCGGGGAGTTTCTCAGGCACGGGCAGTCCTCTGATTCTCAATCGGTAGGGCGAAGCTTCGGTAGTGGGGTGAGCTTTGAGGTACTGTGCCACAAGGATGTATAGATGATGTTCTAAGACGACAATTGTTAGCGCCAATCCTATCGACTGCGAACAGTGGGTTGGGATACATACTGTTCTTGATTTGAGGGTTGACCGATTGCCCGCTTTCATCCTTCAGCATCACGCGCACGCGACCAGGGTTGGCCCAGTCCTTGGGATGCAACTTCTCCGGCTCAAAGCCCACGGTCAGTCCCATCATCTGCACTGCATCGACGATGTCTCGAGCGAGCGGGTTCTCGACAGCCAGTTCAGCGCCGACCTTGCGGCCCTCGGCGCGGGACCGCGACTTGTCGAAGTATACGGGGTACAAGCATTGGTAGTGTTTAGGGATCTCGCGCGTCGGCTCCGGGGGAGGCCTCGTGGGCATCGAAGACGTGGTGGGAATGCCAGCAGGGGAGATGATGGAGTCATTGGCGAAGCTGGCGGAGGGGCGGTCGATGGGCACAACTTCCTCGGGGTCGGAGTCGTATACCTCCTCGACTCGGGCTGATCGCGACATTATTGATGACTGTGTGTATTCCCCAGTGAGAATGTCGTCTGGGTATATGGCAAGTCTAGGGATGGATGATGGGGGAGTCGAGAGGCGAGGGTAGAAGCAGTGTTTGGGGGAGGACGGAGGTCGGTTTGGCTGGCTGGCCTTTGTGCGGGAAGGGAAGTTTTAGTGGTGCGGAGCGGGAGCTCATCACCGCCCGCCAAACAGCTGTCCGTCATCTGTGCTGTGGTGAAAACAGGTTGACCAGTTACTGGGTACCTCAGTCACAAGCCATACAGACGGCACAGCTTCTTCTTCTTCTTCTCTTTCTCTTTCTCTTACATGATATTGATAGAAGAGTCTAATCTTGTTGTTACTGAATAATCACTGAACTTGACTCTCTGCAGCTTCAAGCACAGGCCTATCACATACGAAGTCATACCATAAACATTGCCCATCAGAGCTGCACAACTCCGCGAAATAGCTTAGATCGGAAAGCAGAGAGTGTACAAGCTGGCCACTGAGCATGAAGTTCAACTGACTTTCAGCTGCCGCCTTTCTCCCTTCTTTTGCCGGCCTAGAACGATGCACAATACATACTCTACCGTCCCTACAGACCAATATACATTTGCTGTTTCTGGCCTACTCTGAAAGATATCCACTTTACTCCTGCTCCTGCACTTATCTATAACTAATGATCTGTCTGCTTCTTTCATGGAGGTACTATTCTGTCTTATCGATCAACCACAGACCACGAACCCCGGAGATCGGCCCCGTCGGCGGGGTCGACCAACCAAACCCTCGGCTTCCCCAGGACGATCGGCTTGCCGAGTTTCACCCCCGCTTCTCCCCCACCTGGAAGACGCCAGGAACTGTTCGCTAACAGCCCTTAAATACGAGCAATGCTCCTGCGTAATCATGGAGTTCTTGGGGAAGTGCACATATTCCTCTTCAGCTCAACTCACTCATTAATCATTCGATCTCATTTGGCGGAACCATGACGCAACCAGGTACAGTCAACCAGAGTATACATCCTGAAGCTAGACCTATGCATCTGAACTCAAACACAGTACAAATCACCACTAACAGGCACCAGAGTCAACCCTCCAAAGCGCAATTCTCCATCGAGACACTCGGCGTGTCCCCAAAAAGGCCATCGGCGGCAAAGGCTGCTACATCTTCCTCGAAGATGGGACCAAGTTCCTCGACTCGACCGGAGGCGCAGCCGTCGCATGTCTCGGCCACGGCCACGAGGAAGTCCAGCAGGCCATCACCGACCAATTGAGCAAGCTCTCCTACTGCCACTCCGCCTTTTTCGGCACTTCAGTCTCCGAGGAATTGGGCCAGTTCCTGACGGAGTCAACGGGAGGCCAGCTGTCGAAACTCTTTGTAGCGAGCTCCGGTATGCACCCCCTCACCCGCATACTGGTAATAAGGTACATATGCTCCAGACCCTAGCTAATCGACCCCTTCCTTATCAGGCTCCGAAGTAGTGGAAGCAGGTCTCAAGCTTGCTCGCCAATACTTTCTCGAGCTCCCCACCCCACAACCGCAGCGCACGCGCTTCATCTCCCGCAAGCCCTCCTACCACGGGACGACGCTGGCCACCCTCTCCATCGGCGGCCACACCAGCCGCAGACAACCCTTCGAGCCCCTCTTCGCGGACAACACCTCCCACGTCTCCCCCTGCTACCCCTACCGCGGCAAGTACACCGGCGAGACCGACGACGAGTACGTCGCGCGGCTAGGCGAGGAACTAGACGCGGAGTTCAAGCGTCTGGGACCGGATACCGTCTGCGCATTTGTCATGGAAACTGTCGTTGGAGCTGTACGTCCTCTTTCCCCCACTACCCCTGCAGACCCCTTCCCACCCTCTGAACACACACTCTCTCTCACACACACACCTCCTCACTAACGCAAACCCATAGAGCCTAGGCGCCGTCCCCCCTCTCCCCAACTACCTCCGCACCATCAAATCCATCGTCCACAAACACGGCGCCCTCCTCATCCTCGACGAAATCATGAGCGGCATGGGCCGCTGCGGCACGCTCCACGCCTGGCAAGCCGAAGGAGACGGCGACGACGTCATCCCCGACCTCCAAACCATCGGCAAAGGTTTCGGCGGCGGCTACGCACCCGTCTCAGGCCTGCTCATCCACGAGAAGATCGTGAGGGTCCTCGACCGCGGCTCCGGGGTGTTCCGGCACGGGCAGACCTACCAAGGCCATCCGGTGGGATGTGCGGCGGCGCTGGCGGTGCAGAAGATCATCCGGCGCGACAATCTGCTGGAGAACGTGAACCAGATGGGGGCGTATCTGGGGAAAGAGCTTACGGCGCGGGTTGGGGGGCATGCGAACGTTGGAGAGGTGAGGGGGAGGGGGTTGTTTTGGGGGGTGAGTTTTATCTTCCGTTTTCCGTTTACGTTCCTGGCCGGGCGAGGCATTGTGGCTAACTAGGGGTTCCTCGGGTGCGAAGATCGAGTTTGTGAAGGATCGAACGACTAAGGAGCCGTTTGAGCCTTCGGTGGGCGTGGCGGGGTTGATGCAGGAGACGGGGATGGAGAGGAGGTTTGGGATCTCGTTGTATGCGGGGACTGGGACGGCGGACGGGGTGAGAGGGGATCATGTCTTGTTGGCGCCGCCGTATACTGTTACCAAGGAGGAAGTGGATTTGATTGTGCAGAAGACTGGCGAGGTGATTGATGAGGTTTTTGGGAGGTTGATGGCTGAGGGGAGGGTTTGAGGAGTATGGAGCATGAGACGAATTTAGGTGCGAAAGCTTCATAAGAGGCGCGATACGGAGTAGAATTGAATGAATTAGATAGGAGGCTGCTGGAGGAGATTATCATATTCAGCCATGCATCCATGGAGAGGTCTTTCTACCTTGTCCTTGCCTACTAGTACCGCTGGAAACTTCGCATCCAACTTCCACCTGCTATCCTGGTTCGCTTCTACAATCGAGCTAGTTCGTTTCTACCTCTTGTCTGACTTTCTAGCGTCAACCGGTCCAAGGCCCATGAAACCCACCTCTAACAAGGCCAATGGACTCAATCCAGATTAAGGTGTATTTCACTAAATCGAGATCTCGCTAAACATAAGCTAGATTCCGCCGGGGCAGCTTTATCCCCAGACCCAAACACGAGATACAAGTACTTGAATTGGATTTATGCCTTGGCTTCAATAGCCGCAGCCTTCGCCATGGAACGATCCTCCCCATTGACAAAGGTGGCAGCAGCCGGACTCTCCGTCCACATGCTGGCCACCGTTTCCACAGCCCGTTCAATGACCACGCGGATCCGATCCCGCAGCACTGCATTCGCACACTCCACGTCCAAGTTCTCTAGCCAGACCCGCGCAACATGCTTGTCGACCTTGATCTCGAGACCTGGGAACGGGATTCCCAGCGCCTCGAGACGTGCCAACTCAGCGGCCTCCAACTCCTCCAGCTCTTCCTCATCATCATCTTCCTCTTCTTCTTCGTCCTCTTGCTTGATGGGTGTTTGGCCGTCGGCCTCGCTCTTGGTCTCAGGGTTCGCCGTGCCGTTGGTGAGCCGGTTGGGAGGGAGTCGTGGCCGCTCGATGGCCACAATTTCGGACCCGAACTGTGCCTGGAGCATCATAAGGAGACGTCGGAACCGTTCCTCAGGCCCTAAGTAAGAGTGCGGGTTGGGCAGTCGGTCAACATCGTTGTAGTGGTGGTGATGGTGGTTATGCTTGGCAGATTCTGCAAAAAAGGTTAGCGAGATGCGCTGCAGCGGAGTCCATCTTGCAACTCACGTTTCACAGATGCAGGACTGCTTTCCACTGTGAGAAGCACGGCCATGACAGCATCCGCAACTCCGTCGTTCATCATGTTTCCTTCCCACTCGAGCTCAAGTTCCCGGGTGCGAGGGTGGTAGCGCAGCAGCACACAGCCCATAACAAGATACGTCTGTGTGTCCTCCATGGGGATCTCCTCATCGGCAGCCTCCTGCTTCACTTGACTTTCTTCCGAATCGGAAGTTCCGTCTGTGCTCTCTTTCTTAATGTCCTTTTGCGAAGCGCCCACTTCTTCAATGGCGCCGAAGGTCCCTTCAAGCGCCCACTTGATCAAATCTATGCTTGCAGAGCTCAACGTGAGGTGCTGCTTGCATGCAATGGTGGTTGTCGTCAGACCGGCGTACTCCCGCAGATCATCAGGAGCCATCAACGACAAGTCAAACCCGTTCTGCACGAGGACTCCAGCCATCAAGTGACCGTCATCCTCTTCCGTGGGCGGCGCAATTTGGGCCAACTTACCAACGACCTTTGCAATCTTGTCTTTCTTGAAAGGAATGCGGACCTCGTCGCAGTTCGCCGGGGTGTAGACCTTCACCTTGACGGTCTTCTCTGCGTTGAGACTGAGCAGTTTGGACTTGAGGCGCATCATCTGATGTTTCTCGCCATGGACCAGGATCTGAAAAGATCAGTCAGCTCGGTAGCGCGTTGATGCTCAAAGCAAGACTCACCACGACAGGGGCGGAAACCTCCTCAATGAAGTTCCGGTTTTCGACGCCGTCCACATGTGCTGCAAAACTGATCTCATCCACAGTACACCGGCGGGGAATCATGACCTTTTGCTCCTCATCGCCGCCAGCATTGCCTCGCCTCATCATTCCTGTCGTTGCTCTCGACATGACCGCAGGGATCTGTTCGGGTTCGTTCAGGATCTGTTTCGCCATCGTGCCTTCCACACTGTAACCGGTCATGACAACACCGTTGCGCTCGTTAGGAGCCCACCGCTCCAGCAGCTCTCGGCTGGTTCCTGTTTGCAGCATACCCGGCGAAGCCAACATGACGCATCCTCCGACATCATCAAACCGTTCCAAGCTGCGCAAACTCCGAACGAACTTGAAATCCCATGGCCCGGCGCTAACGCTCTTGTCCCCGCTTGCCTCCGCCTCCGCCATACGCTGACGGAAGAGCCGCTTAATGTTATCGTTCATTGCACCTATATATGTCTGATACACAACCATACATCTTCGGGCTGTGTTTCCGATGTAGTAGATGGGGATCTTCTGCAGTTCGGGATGGGTCTCCCAGTATTCATCCAAAATAAGAAGAAGTTCTTGGGCGCGTCCTAGAGCGAACACCGGCATCAAGACCCTGCCTCCGCGATTCAGGACGCCGGTAATCGATTTCATCAAGGCGGCTTCACGTTCCAGACGCGGCGGGTTGGACGAGATACCAAACGTAGATTCGGTAATGAGCACATCAATCTTGATGCCCTTGGGAACCTCCGCCGGGATCAGATGGCGGTCTTCCTCTCGGGAGTAATCGCCGGTGAATAGGATGTTCAGGCCGGCGATGGATACCAGGAACATGGCAGCGCCGAGGACGTGACCAGCGGGGTAGGGAGTGACGCGGATGCTGTTGATGGTGTGGGTTGTGTTGAAATCGATGGTTTCGATTAAGGGGAGCGTGGATAAGTGGTCATGTTCGGTGTACAGGGTAGTGCGCTGGTCCGAGGAGGAGGCCGTGTTGCTCACTCTCACATTGTCCTGAATCAGCCATTTGTAGATAGCCTTGGTGGCGTGCGTCATGAATACACGACCCTTGAAGTTGGTCTTGCTGAGTACGTATGGTAGGGCCGACGAATGGTCAACGTGGAAACTAGGAGAAGACGGAGCATATATCAGCGGACAATCCGTGAGGCACCAGCAGCACTAGCCACTGATGTGATAGATGGTATGGATCGCGTGGCAGATACAAGGACATAACATGGAATATAACATCATATTTATTTGGAGTCTCAAGTACATGAGCGGGGATGAAGGCGAAAGTAAATTCCACCTGCCATCGGTGGCCCGGTGCGCATAGGTCTACACATGTGTTCGCCCACAGGCTCTGATGAGCTCGCCCTGCATGATGATGAACTGGGTGATGATGACAAGGGTGCACGCAAAGGAGAAGTTGGCCCACATACTGGCTAATGAGTAGAATATCCACCGTACTCAGGTCGAACTCGTCAAAGAAAGGTAAAGCGGAGAAGCCTTCCTTTGCGGGATGCATACCAGCATCGAGCTATCACAAAGTTGGCAAGTCAGCATGGCGCCCGAGGAGAACAGAGATCTTTTGCCAATCACCCACCATGACAGTCTTTCCTTTGTATTGAATGATATGACAAGACCGTCCGACTTCATTGCCACCTCCCAGACAGTAGAATGCCAACTCGTCGGATGGGTCGACCGGTTCTTCATCGACAGCGGCGTTCAACGCCGCTGCTTTACGTTTCGTCGCCATGGTGCGCGCTTTAGCCTGCTAGGTGATCGGATCGAGCAAGTGACAGATGAGTTCAGCTATGCGCAATGCAAGATCCACTTGTTCGGTTGTTGAGGTTGGGCGATATAGTGTAGCTCCGGCAGTTCGCTGGCCTGCCTTTGTTCTATCTAAATGGAGTCAGTCAGCGCGGGAACCACAGGCCATGACAGGCGCTGAAACAGGCGCTCGAAGCAGATCAGCACTGAACAGATGAGCCGTGAAGTTGTAAGTGGTGGTCACGATCCTTCACCAATGCCAATACTAATCCTGGCGCATTTCCCGATAAGAAAGAGTGCTATGGCCCGACAAGGAGGACAGGGAAAAAGAGACGCGGTCGGCCATGGCCTGGCCGTTGTTAGTAAGGAATCAACTCGGGAAAGCACGTGATGGGCTTTTCTGCCGCACCGGGTTTGGGAAGCAAACCTCGTCCGCCGAAGCTCCCCTTCCCGTTTTCAAGGCATCATCGCTGGCTTCTCCGTCACCCTCATTCCCCCAAACTGCGCACGCCCCCTCGACGACCTGCCCGTGATATCCCTTCTTCACCTGGACTCTGTGTTTGTTTTGAATGTCGCTTTCGATGTCGTGAGATGGTTACAGTTGGTGGCGGTGGCGGTTATCAGCATTCCGCTCAGGTTCTCTCTACAAACGACGCGACGCATCTCCAATTACGGCCAACAGACGTGACTGAGTTCAATCTGAGTTGAATGTGATTTGTCGACTGTCGCGAGCTCTTTCACCATGGCGCAACTACCGCCTCAGTCGCAACACTATGCCCCCTCCTACTCACCTCCGGGGCCATCGCCGTCGCCAGGTGCTCCGTCGCCAGTCCCAAGCGGCGGGATTCCTCCACCTCAGAAGCGACAACGTCTCTCTCCTCTTCCACAATCCCAGTCGCCGTACGCCTCGCCCAGCTTCGGCACTCTTCAACTCCCACCCAACCAGTCTGCACCATACAACGCCAATAATCTCAATGGTGTCGCGCCTCCACCATCTCCAGCCCCTCCTCCCTCAGGCACGATGGGTCCTCCGTCGAGACCGGTTGAGAAAGCTACGGATGCTGCTGAGTTGACTGACGTGCTGGCATCATCGGGAATCGACGTACGCGAGGAAGAAGCTTTCCTAACTAGCAGCTATTCTGGCCCGGGTGTCCAGGCCCAACAACCTCCTCGACCTCAACAGCCCCCCGCCCCGCAGCAACTTCACCATCAACCACCGCCTCCACCCACCGCAGTCAATACCTCATTTACCTCTCAAGCTTCGACCGGCACTGCTCCTTCTACGCCCAGTTTTGGTGACAACTCATACTATAAACCACCTGCGACCCAGGATTCCTTTCGCACGGAGCCCGCGTCACAGCCACCCGCTCCTTTCAAAGACCCCAATGAACCAACCCGGGAGGATAGTGAAGCGGCGAGACGTGCGCAGTATCACCTCCAACACTCGTTTCTGTTGACCAAGGTTTTGGAGCAGAAGTTGCAGAAGCGAGGCTTTGAGCTGGGCGTTCGGATCCCGGCGGAGGGTCTCTATCACCCGGTACCCGGTCGTCAACAGCCTATTGAAGTGACGGGACCCGATGGTTCATCTATCATCCGGTCTGGTCAGACGATCTTGAATCAGACGGGGGCTCCCCTGCTCGATATTCTGAGTCTCATGTCGATTGCCTGCGAGGAGCGTTTGCGCTCAGTTGTGGACTATTCTTCTACACTGGCGAGAAGTCGCCGCGCACACTCCCACGGTGTGGTCCCCGCTGATTGGAAGGATCTGGCGTCTGCAGGTAGTGCGACGAATGGTAGTGCGGATATTCCCAGCACGCCAGCCAAACGTAAGCTTCATTATTCATCGCTATAGTCTCCGATTTGTTAACAGTGTTAGGTCCCAACTCAGCAGCCGAACAGCCGGGTACGAGATCTTTATTAGACAAATACCGCATCATTGCGGACAAGGACAACTCTAGTGAAGACGCCCGGGCGCGCAAACGGGCCAAACGAAGTGCAAGCGCCATTCTTGGGGACGGAGTGACCAGCCGCGCCGAGAGTGTGGACGTTCCTGGCTCTGAGGCCTCAACACCGATTGGGGAGAAAGCGCCCAGCCTGGACAGGAAGGGACTCACCAAAAAAGAAGCCAAGAAGCTTATGGATGCCAAAGCCAGCGAAGCCCAACAACACCAGCAATCCGTGGAAACGGCACGATTGGCGACCAACAGCATGCTCTCGGGCCGTATGTTCGGCGCGAAGAAGTCGTATTCCTGGTTGAATCGCGGACCGGCTGCAGGTAGTGGTTTCTCCACGCCATCCCGCGTCAACACGGCCACGCCTACCGTCGGCAGCGAAAAGCCTGGTCGCTCGGGCGAGCCCGCACCGGCCCCCGCGAAGCGACTGGGCACCTGGCGGGAAGATAAGGAGAAGGGCGCTGGGATCCAGGTTCGGGATATTGTCTTCATGCTTGAGCTTGACGGACGTGGGCCCCGCCATGTGCAGAAAGCCTATTCGAAGGATGTGAAGGAGGACCGAGCAGATTGAGGGGGCGGTTCCTTTGCCACTGCGCAGGATCGTGGTTTATCTGGCAAAGTGGGTAGACTCGGCGGCGTTGCCCATGATGTTTTCTTCCCTTGGATGCATGAGCGTTTGAGCTTTTCCTTTTTCTTGTGAGCAAATGGGGTGATGGAATCATTTCGTTCTTGCAGTTGATATCGTGACACTCTTACTACTACCCATGTCTTTTCAATTTGCTATGGTTCTACGGCCTGCTAGCTTTCGGGGAATAAGCGAGAAGAGGGACAGAAGTGATAACTGAACTGTCAAATGAGAAAAAAAGGTAAAATCATGCAGCTATTCTGCGGAGACTTGGGATACTATCGATCTGTAGGACGGAGTACACCCCGTTGTGTTAAGTTATCCGGAACTAAGTATGGTCTGGAAGATCGGTCAAGGACCTGAGGCATCCAGGCGCAACCCGCTGAGCCCTTCCATCCGTTAAATTCAGCTCCGAGAATCCCGCGGACAATCCCAAGGATGCCGCCTGACCATCATTAGGGGGGTCTTACTGCTTAGATAGTCGTTCGACCATTCTTCAACTCAGCTGTCTTGAGTGGTTGCTGCAGAATACAGTATAATTTCTCTCACTTCGGATTATCATACCAACCAATCAACTTCAAGCGAGCAAGTATACTGCAATAAGTAAGCTCAGGGCCTTCCCGTAGTCAAGACCACACACACACTCTCTCTCTCTCAAAACCTTTCCCCGGCCATTGCATACAGACACATACTGCACTCCCACCGGAAGCCAGCAGAGTGAGTGAAGCGTCGAGAAAGCAGCACCTACCTACCCCTCTTGACCTCTACGTAGCAAGTCAAGAACCACAAGAAAAAAAAACGAGGCACAGTACACGCACCTCATGGCCCATCATCACCGCCCATCCACCGCCTCCAGCACGAACAGGAAGAACCTCGGGCAATGATGTCAGAGGACGCAGGGACGGAGGGAGAAGCTCAGCGCATGGGGCAAATGCACGAGTAGTTAATACTGAGACCCCATCAGTCATCGTTTTCATTGACTAAGTTAGTTATTACGGAGTACTTGGTTAAAAAATTACAGGTTATGGGTCAACGGGGCAACACCACCGCGACCCGCTAGAGACAACCCGACGCGGAGAGGAAATTCGTTAGTGAGAAAGAGCTGAGGGGGGGGGAGTGGGCTCCGGTTCCATCCATTGAATTTCCGAGGGGCTCGAAGCAACGGAGGCACTGCACTGCAGCGGAGATTAGGCCCGAGACGGGGAAAGGGAGCACGGAGTACTAGCTAGTCGTCAGCTACTGAGTAGTTAGAGAGAATTTGCTGAAGGCTGAGTCGAGGGGCGTTGCTGTGGTTATCGAGGAATTGGGTTAGTGATGGTACTGTCTGTGTGTGTGTAGTTGAGGGTGGAGGTGAAATGAAAGGAATGACTCTTGCATGAAATATGAAGCATGAGGAGTAAATACGGCGAGTCTCAGGGACCAGAACGTAAGGGAGGAAAGTATGTCTCCGGTCAACCAAACGTGCCGGAAGTGCAGATGCTGACGGGTCTTACTGTCCTGTGCTTTGCTTTGCTTCGCTCTACGTCTGTTTTTGCCACTACATAGAGAGACCAGTGATAGTAACCTTGAGGTACTGTATACTACGTATAGCTCTCCCTGTTTCTCCAGAGAAAAGGGATGGATGCGTTCTTGCTGAGCACGTTATACTTCTAGATCCTGTGTACAGAACTCTGGATATCTCGCAATGGCTTTTTCTATATACCTGATTTATATACACTCAGTTATCCTTTCTTTACTAGTAATTCAAATAGAGGCACCCAGAGTACGGAGACTGTACACATATGCAACCACAAGTGGATTAAAGAATAAGCCTAGACTTCGCCTCGTTAACTTACTTTTCTCCTCTCTCACTAAACCACTGAGTGGGCTTTTTTGCCCTCGCCTCCGGGGCTGATTGGGGAGGAGCCCAGCGGATCGACGGGGTGGTGAACCCAGTCTCCGATCAGAAGATGACGACGGGAGGGAGTTACTATTAATGATCCCTACGATCGGCTCAATTATTCATTCTTTTCTTTTCTCGAGAAGAAAAGGGGAGAAAGACTTGCACGATTGGCAAGGGAACAAAACAAGAGTAGACGGCAGCATGCATACTGAATATCGGAACCACCGAGGGAAAGACTGGAAATTGGGGGCAAGGGTGTGCGTGTCATAACCCACCGACCGTCTCTCTGGCTTGGTGCTCGTGCGGCAATACAAGAAGAATGATGATGAAAAAGGATGATGAACCTGATGATGATACGCCGCGGAGGGTCGCAATGGGAGAAGATGGGAATTGCTTGCTATCGACAAGTCCGCTAACCCTTCATCATTGCAGCATTCACCAGCTGATTAGGATGAATACTGGTACTGGTAGTGGGACTACTAGCAACTGCTGTAGCCATAGACTGCAATGACTGGATGGCTGTAATCTCCCTCTGTTGTATTCATGATCCTCGAGTCCGGAACATAGCATGCATCCATACTATCCTCCATCCATAACTAAGTACACTCTCTGTATCGCCTCCTCCATCATGAATTCAGTCAATCAATAGTAACCATTCCCACAACGCCCTCCCCGCCTTTAGCCTCATGGTCGCTGTCCCCATTCTACTAACCCCCCTTTGATTTTCTCTTTTCTCAACGCCATGTAATTAATTTTGTTCATTGCAATTCGGCTGTTGGTGAGTGTCAGTTTCAGTCAGTCAGTCATACGCGGTTCTTCTGATATTCCCCGACCGACCGCCTCGCCTCCATCCATTCATCCATCAATCCACCATTCTGCGAATCCCCACGCTGCCTCCTCCATTCTCACTCACTCACTCTCTCTCTCACTCTCCCTCTTCCTCTCTCGCTGAGTTCCCTCCCTCAACTCTCCTCTTCCTCACCTTCTGCGTTGATACCCCCTCCCCCTCTTCTCAATCCCACCTATACTGGTCCTACCCACCTGGGGAAACTCGACGCGACACGCCAATTTCCCCAGGCTACGACATTTGGAGTCCTCCCTACTGCGCTCGACGAAACGACCGAAAGAGTGACTACCCAGCACCGCCGTGACGCTGCGGTAACGGTCGACTACGATCCGACCACTCCCTGAACCGCCTCCTCTTCTTCCCTCTCCTTCTCCCTCTTCCACAACCCCCCGTCGATTGCGTGCACTCTTCTCATTAACATTGTATTCCTCTCAACGACCATCCGCCGCTCGCCTCGACCGGCTGGATCTCGCGTCTCCTCTTCTCCATAATGTCTACCCCTTCGACAGCCACCGCGACACACCCTTCGCATCATCAGCAACACTACGCATACCCCCATCATCAACCCTACCAGTCAACCCCATCGTACCCAACCACGTCCGCTGCAGGCACGGCTCGCCTCGTCACCTCCGCCTATCCCTACACTGTCAACCCTCAGACGACCTCGCTTCCCTTCGTCCAATCTCCCAAGACCATACCCCCGGTTCTGACGCCCACAACCGCTTCCACAACGACCGCCATGCCCCCCACGCAGAACCTGATCAACAGTGCGGCCACCGCCCACAATGGTCGGAGGAGGAAACCCAACTGGGGCGAGTTCTATAAAAATGGCATACCAAAGGAAGTCATTGTCATCGATGACACGCCGCCTCCAGAGCAGTCCCAGGACGCCTCGCGCAATCTGGCGCCGGCTTACATGAATGCCCCGAATGGGACGGCGCCCCAGCCGGCCAGCAAGAAGCGGCGCACCGGCCCCGACACGACCTACGACCTCGCGGCTTATGATCGACCCTCTTTCTCCATCAACCCTCAACAGTACGGCGAAGAGTCCACAGGCGAGTCTCTCTCCACCGACCGAACAACATCTCTACACACTACCGCGCCCACCTCGCTGTCCCAGGGCAGCACAGGGGCTAGCAATGGCGTTTACTACGAAGACGCCAACACCGGCCAGAAACGCAAGCGGGTGACTACTCGAAAGTCGGCTCGTGATGAACAGAAGAGAAAGGAGTTGGAAACCGCTGGGGATGCGTTTCTAAGTTACGTTCCGCCTCCGAAGCCCATCATCAAGGCAAAAGAAGTACCAGTCCCCGTGATCCGCGACGTCAGTATTGTGATTCATCCCGGAGACTATGCAGTAGCGGCTAACATCAATTGCAGTATGGTAACCGAGGTGAGAAATATGATGATGACGACGGCCATTACATCGTGCAGCCCAATGTGCCGTTGACCGATCGATGTAAGTCATCCGCGTGGCGACAAGCAAGCCTGGACTAACATTTGCAGACTCGATCGTGAAATTATTGGGCCAAGGCACGTTCGGGAAAGTGGTCGAGGCGTACGACAAGACCCGCAAGACCCGCTGTGCGGTTAAGATCATTCGCTCCATCCAGAAATATCGCGATGCGTCGCGGATCGAGTTGCGAGTCTTGTCTACGTTGGCCTCGAATGACAAATCCAACCGGAACAAGTGCATCCATCTACGGGACTGCTTCGATTTCCGCAACCATATCTGCATTGTGACGGATCTCTTAGGACAAAGTGTTTTCGACTTCCTCAAGGGAAATGCCTTTGTGCCGTTTCCCAGCAGTCAGATCCAGAACTTTGCCCGGCAATTGTTCACCAGCGTTGCCTGTGAGTCTCCTTCGTTGATCATACCATGCAGCTGCTGACCATGCAGTCCTTCATGACCTCAACCTCATCCATACCGATCTTAAACCCGAGAACATTTTGCTTGTCAGCAGTGCCTACCAGACCTTCACCTACAATCGTACTATCCCCTCATCCTCTTGCGCGATCTCCCGCAGCGCCCGGCAACGACGTGTCTTGCTCGACAGCGAGATCCGGTTGATTGACTTTGGATCGGCGACTTTTGACGATGAATATCATTCATCGGTGGTCTCAACCCGACATTATCGGGCCCCCGAGATTATCCTCAATCTAGGCTGGAGTTTCCCCTGTGATATCTGGAGTATCGGATGTATACTCGTCGAGTTCTTCACTGGAGATGCTCTGTTCCAGACCCATGACAACCTCGAACATCTAGCCATGATGGAGGCCGTGATTGGTGAGCGGATTGACACGAAGCTTGTCAGGCAAGTGATGCAGGGGGGCCGGAGTGGGAGCCAAAACCAGGCTGCAAAGTAGGTCTCCTATCTTCTTCGACCTAGGCGGTTCTAACCTCCGCAGGTACTTTTCTCGCCTCCGGCTGGAATATCCTAACGACCAGACCACACGGGCCTCCCGAAAATATGTGCGGGCGATGAAACAGCTCATGGTACGTGCTGGCGCAGCATTAACAGCCGGTAGCACCACTAACGAGGCCCAGGAATTTATCCCAAGCAATACCAAGTTCCATCGACTATTCCTGGATTTGTTGCAGCGCATCTTCGTCTATGACCCGAAGAATCGAATCACCGCCAAAGAAGCCTTGAAGCATCCGTGGTTCAAGGAGTCGCTCGTGGACGACGGGACTGAGGCTCTCCGCATCGGGGAACAATTACAACGCAACGGCCAACGTCGTCAGTGAGGACTCTTGGCTGTCTCTGTCAAAGGGACACTGCGCGCCAACTTGCACGGCATACTGCGAGCCGGCCCATGCGGCCTCGAGCTCTTCTGCCGGGTATAGCTCCTTTAACGATAGATGGATTATTATTTTCTTTTGGATAGTACTTATCAGGGCTGTACGGGATGCCCACATGACGACGACCGGGTATAGGCAATGGGAGAGGATTCATGGCGTTTGGAGTTTGAGCTTTACGTCGCAAAGCTCCAGTACCGGATGGTGAATATTCCCTAGTTGCTTGTCGGACTTTGAGGGAAGAAAAAACCCGTGTGGCCGCCGCGAGAAATCATTTGTGGTTGCGTCTGTTTCTATGGGCTATTTGCTAGCCATCCTACCTTATATCTATTACTGCTATATTTGATACGCCTGCATTAGGTTTCTGGGCGTGGGCCAGGATCTACCTGGACAGTGATTATGATAGTATCTATGATACATGCGATACTCGTTCCTGCCTCCGCTTACGCTTTATTTTCATTGCTCATATGAACCTACGATGTATATACCCCGTGTTGCGACTGATGCAACAGACTGCATGCAAAGGCTTGCCAGCCATGTGAACTGAGTGATATTCATGATCCCGGCACGATGCCTTCTTGAGCTTGATAGACATGGTCTAACTCGAGCTGTCTTGCCTGCAACTACCGAAGAGATATACATCTACAAGATCCCACAGGTATAACCAAGTCTCTCAACTGGTGTCATGATATATAGAGTAAATCTACATTCGCTAATTCAGTTCTGTGAAATGCCATCTTTTCTAAAAACATTACATCGTGTCCCATCCCCCTCTATAAATTCCTCCACGGGCCCTCTGAACCCCGTCTTGACCAGAACTCGCTTACTCGCCGCGTTATCGTGATTCGTAATCGCCCACAGACCCTCGTCCACATTCTCCACGGCCGCGGCCCCGTACGCCTCGGCCATTTGCGCCTGTACCTCCCCGAAGAACTGCTGACTGAGGTGCTGCACCGCCTCTGTCGCGTACCCCCTACCCCAGACGGAGGGGTGGAAGATGTAGCCCAACTCCCACCGGTCCTTGGTAGAGGAGCTATGGTGTTCAGCCCCTTCCTCCGGGGAATTCAACGTCTTCAAGTTGGGGTCATCCCGCTGCGACGGGGCGGGCTCCATCCGCACACCCATGTTGCCAATAACAGGGCCTGCTGTTCCGTCTGGCGATACCTCGCGGATCACGTAGCACATGCGCGGTGGTTGGTCCTCCCCGGAGAGATATTTGGTGAGCCAGCTGCGGGTTTCCTCTAGATTCTGGTCGGGGAGTTTGCGCATGCTGGGGTGAGTGGATTTTAGTTTTTTCCCGTTCTCTCGGTGGGTAAAGGGGGGGGATTCAGCACTCTCGTACCTCCATCTCATGACTTCGGTTTTGTTGCGGATCTCGTGCATGGCTTCCAGGTCGGACGGGGTCATGGCCTCGAAGAGGAGGCGGGGGGTGGTGAAGCTTGCGGGTTTGTACATTTTTTTTTGTGTGTTGTTTGGTCTTTCTGTGCGATTGGAGTGTGATGATGATGATGATGATGAAGAAAGGGTTGACTATATATAATTATACCTGTATGTCTACTTTGGTGGTTTGGGTGGGATTGAGTTGGTCCTCAGGGTTGATCATTCATATTTATGTTTATTAGGAGTTGTTGTTCCTCGTATTACGGCTGGTGCGAGTGAGTCATTGGCTACAGATAGATTAATCGATTACATTTCGGAGAGTGTCTCCATTTCCTGAAAAGGGTCTTGGAGGCATATCAAGTTGGTGCCGGAATTTATCTTTGTTAGTGAATGGGGATATGGATTACTCATGGCAGTCGAGGTGGTTGTAGTGGGAATTGGTATTGTGTAGTAACATATCCTCCGTCTCACTGAGTTGGCACTTGGTGCTTTGCGTAGTCCAGTGAAAGTGTCAAATTAAATCGTGTTCCTAGAATGGCCTGCATGATCATCAGATTGATTTCTCCACCAGATCACCTCACTGAGATAATGTAAATTGCACTTTCAATTCTGCAATAACCATAATGTCCGATGATTATCATATTCACTGGCTAGAATACTACCCATTTGCACTCCAGACGACTACTTATTCACTGCTGGCTTCTTCAGCGGCAGGCCTGGCTTATTTATACTACCCTCTTCTCTTCCTCCTTCTCCCTCCCTCCCTCCATCCTTTCTCCATCATCCCCTCTAACTTCCTTCACATTCCATCATCCTTACTTCTTTCATCCTTCTCACTTGTCTCAAACGCACTCGACTTGAAGTTACAATGACACGAACGACACCTACACTTATCATTATTCCCAAGATGGATCGATACTATCACCCGCCCAATGCATTCACGCGACGTGGGTAACCTCAGATTGAGCTGCCAGATAATTTGCGCACGCTATGGAGCGACGAGAATCAGGACGCGTATTGGAACAGCCAGGTAAATGCCAACCCAGCTCCCATGGAAGGAATGTGGACTGAAGAATAGCAGTCGAGTCTCTTCCCAGCCCGGCAACAATTCATACATGGCCAATCAACGAAGAAAGGCACCATATTCTGGACCTCTAGTCAACCAGTCTTGGAGTATGTTCATGGCACTCCTTCAACCAACTCTACGAAGCTATAGCTCACACGGACAGGCAAGCCAGTATCAACTCCCTGGCTCAAGATCCCTGCTGCGGTAGGAAAGCAAGAGCAGCCGGCCTGCAGAATCACTGTTGACGCGTCTGAAAGAAGTGGATCGTCCCACCAGCTATGTTCGAAGACTGATCGCACCCCTCACCACAGGGCGTCCATGTTCTGTTTCCGGCAGCTCTGCGCGGGCAGCAAGGAAGACTTCACCGTCCGACTGGAATTCACCCTGAACCTGTCCGCAACCCTGTCTACAAACGCCCAAACACCCCCAAACCCCAAGCCCAACTGCAAGATCCTCAGTTCAGTACTCACATACATCGACGAAATCCTCACCACAATTGAGACCACCAAACAATGCATCCCGCTTCCCTTCTCAGCAGTGGCAGTACTTGTGTCCGCGCATATTGCAAAGGACGCGAAGGCCATGATGGACCTGACTTCGAAGACGATGGAGACTAGGACAAAGAGTGGAACACCGAGATCCAGAATGTAAACGCAATATTCAAACTCGATCCAACCCCAGTAGTCGCGCCCCGCGTCTACTGGCTGGGCTCCATCGACGAGAATCCTACAACTAATTGCAGCATTCATGCTCATCCACCCCTCAGCCACCAAATGTACCTGCTTCATGGCAGCGATCCAGGAACCTTGCGATATGGTTTGAGACAATTAAGGTGGGCAGACCCTGGTGTTGTCTTTCACCAAGCGGCCTAAGCCTACTATACGATCTTTACCCCACCGGCGACCAGCACGTCACCGTGCCCATCGAGTTCTTGAACTTCAACATCACTGCTTCTGCGACGGACCAAACCCGACGATCCTCTTTGACGGAGTCCCAGGCCTCCTGTGATTGACTTGGCACCTCACCGCCTCGGCCACCGTGTAGATAGTGTTCCCCAGATAGCCTGGAATCCACCACAACAGCACTCATCACTCTTTTCTTAAAATTTCATTCAGATCAAGCTCCTTGAATCCTTCAGGTTCAGATAAGGGCAAACCCCGAAGGAGGGACTTGTTTTCTCATTCGACCTCTTGCCTGACTAGACAGGCGTGATAGGGGCCCCCAAGAGCCTTCTTCTAGCTTGATCTTGGACACAAAAATACGGTGTCAAATATCAGGTCACTAGGGAGGCTTCTGGTTTATCAATTCCGATCCAGTGAACTAGTTCTAGTTCAACTCGGTAAACCCTCACTGATGCCGAGAGCCATCACAGATTTCGGGCCCTTTCAATACACGGATAGTGAAGGGGAGTGGGATGAGGGTCTGTACCTCCCTCTGGAGGACCCGCCGCCTTCGCCTGAGGATGAGCAGTCAGCCACTCACACCCGGTCAGGACCGGTGACCGACTTACGAATCACTATCTTCAGTGAGAGTGAGATCCCACATCTTTTGGACTTTGGTCAACCAGCCTACCTCGATCTGAGGGGCATTAACCTCAACACCTTTGTTGAGATGCCCCAACAACGTTGCTGGAATGTTCATAATGTCCTTCAGGAGGCGCAGGCACGTCTAAAATGGCTGGCTAGTGTCTCGCCTGATGTCTTTCGTTGATGTTAATCAGCTGCATCCCGCCATCTACTATGCTCATGGGGTCGAGCAGTACCAAGCAGGGCTGATATCGCTGCATCGGAAAGGCCGCCCGAAGATGAACAGCCACCTGTACAGGCCTTGGACGCAAAGCGCGTTCAACAACCTTGCTGGCCCCCTTGGCTACAGCCTTGCCCGTAAATGGGAGTCTTTGACCTCACAGGGGCCGGGCGAAGCTAAATTAGAAGCATGTGAACACACAATCAACAGGATGCTTCCCCCATCATCAGCATCCACCACCATCATCCATATCTATCTATTTATCATCTCAATCACTAGCTCTATCACTAGCTCTATCACCAATCTCCGTTCTTGACCTCAGAAGAGACTTGAATGAACATAGCCAGCCTTTCCCCTGGCTTGCACAAACTACATTTCTGCCGGAGACAGTTATTACCGTCCTGGAACATCATCAACACCGGCACATTGCCGTATCAATCAGAAAGCATCATAGTCTTACCTATGCAGACGAGAAAGGAACCCTGCCCCCGCACGCTTGAAGCTGAGAATGAAAGAAGATCTCGGTGTACCAGTCGATAAGCGCAACCAGTTCGGATGCGTTTCCCAAGGCTCCCGCCGGAGTCTAGACGATTAGCAACATCCAGTAAGCAAAGCTGTGAATCCATACCGCTTCGCAACCGCCGCGTCGACCGAAACACTGCTGGCACAGGATCGATCCGGCCGCATCCAAAACACAGTTAGTAAAGAAGACCTCTTGTTACTCTATCTCCTCAGATTTAAAGTCCTTGACTGCGGTACGAAGGCAACATATGCACCAGAGCCACTTAGGCTTCACTACCGTATCACAAAGGACTGCTAAGTTTGTCTAGCTCTTCGACTACCAGCACGATCTCTACCATGCGGCATATCAAGAGATTTAACATATCGCACATGATACACCAGCGAAGAGAACACAAAAGAGACACAGAGATACTTCACATAATCCTATCTCTACTATATATCCCGCATATCACCCATCTTTTGCTATTAGTTTTCTATCTTTCCGGATTCGGAATACATAAGATTATCCCCGGCACCCGAGCCCGGTGACTCGGTCTAGTGAGAGGAGCATTATTTATAATAGAATAACTAGAATATCATGGTTGGGATCTCCAGAATAACATATTATAGCGGCTATGGGAGTCGTGAGGTAATTAATAGTGGATCTGTATTCTTCCGGTGTCTATAAGGTACTGACTTCTTGCTACTGGGCTACTGATCTCTTAAGGATCAGTCTAATCTGTGGATATAGACTACCTTTGTCATTGCTAGACGAATCCATGGTGTTTAGTGGTTGATTCCTTACCTAGGTTTCTACCCTGACAAGTAGATCCTATCACCTTTCACTGCACAGGCCTTTCCCGGGTATAGCCTGGGTCTTCAGGGGACTGTCAGGTCATGGCACTCTCGGCGGTACCTTTCAATTGAAAGGCCCATGGTGGTGAGCATACTGGTCATGACAGCAAGCGGTGATGCAATGTGAAGTGGCAACGGCAGTCGACAAGACTTCCGATGACACAGATGGCAAAATCGGGATAATCACTTTTTCCAAATTGGTTGAGTTATTTCAAAGGAAGCTGCGTAAAAGAGAATGATGAGATTCCGAGCACAGTTCGGCATTTCCTGCGATACATTCGCCCCCGAAGCGGCTCAGTCACTGTTTATGAATACACAACGCGTAGTGTTCCCCTGCTTACCCAGGTGGTACACCCCAGGTTCGCCTTTTTTAGCCCCCCTACTGAGATCCAAGGAGGAAAAAGGGAAAGCAGCAAGCTAGATGCCATCAGTGCCAGGGGACTATGAGAAGCTATGCAAGACTGCTGCGGAAACATCTTACACTTCGAATAGTGGCTCGTTTGGGATTCGGTTTAGTTGCAGTCCTAGGATCACAGTGGTGGAAGCAGAGTTATAGTGCCGAAGGTTAAGCACGTAGTAATATCGTATTGTAGCTACAACTTCTTATGCCTCATTCCCCTCTCACCTCGCCAGATTTCAGCATCCCTGACGGTTATGGTGCCAAGCTTATGCATACAATCCATTCAGTTGCCCTTGCTATCTGATAATCCATACATGGTTGAAATGATCCGGACATCTCTCCTTGATGTCGATGCTAGTGTCGTTGTCCTGTTTCTGAATAGGGCCAACCCATGTTTGTCGTACTAGTACATTCCATTATGTGGGAACAACAGGGATTTACGCAGAACCACCCAACCCCGCCAGACCGATTATGTGATGACCCAAATTGGGCGGCATCACTCATTGATAGCAGTCCATGAAGACCGGCGAGAAAGATAAGCTAAATAAACCAATGGATAATGCGGCACTAAGTGAAAGCGTTTCTTGGTCTATTCCAGACTTGGCCCTCACACGCTACATTCACCTCCCCTTCAGAGGAGACAGGACGGTAAATACGTGCATACGTACTACAGTACGTCTTGGAATTGGTACAGTAGTAGTAGTAGTAGTAGTAGTAGTAGTAGTAGTAGTAGTAGTAGAACTCCCTTAGCCGAGAAAGGATGCTTGTATCAAGTCCCGTGGTTAAAATGGACAGACAGGCATGTTTGTCCCTCGACCTTCCATTGCGTTGATTGAGGGGCTCTCCGACTGCGTTACGGGGTAGATAAAGATAATAGCTTCGCTGGCATAGCTTATAGTCTATACCAGCTGACTCAAGGTCAGGCAGCATTTCATCATTGTGAATGTATTTGTATGATTGAAATTGGTTACATACAGTGCAAGGTATCACAGAGCCGTTGCCGGAGGATTAAAAGACAATAAGTAACCCTTGTCACTGGGTGATGCAAACACGGAGCCGCCCGGAAACAAGATGAGACGGTCCAGAAACAAAGAAGGGGGTATGTCTAGCTCCAGGACAGAAGAATAAAGGAGACCGGGATGACTGGCCAGCTCTCTGCTCCTCGAGGCGAGAGAGAGGCATGGGCGGGGTATGAGGATAGGTAGCATGAGATAAGGAGGGGTATTGAAGGTACATGTATGTCAAGTAGAAAAGAAATCAAGTCGTACCAGCGTATCTAAGTCGGGGGTTCACCGGAATCGATAGGACTTATGGGCTAAGGGTGAGGTGGGTACAGGGCCGACTCCACCAACAGGAACTCGACCCCGATTGTTCTTTCGGGTAGGCGTCTGCGTCGCGCAGAAGACGCAGACATAGACAGACGGGAGGTTGGCCCGTTCGAGACCAACACACTTGGTATGCAACCAGTGACTGCATGATTCACTGTCCCTGAGTCAGGCTAGGACAAGGTCGCTAGTGTTGAGAGTCACTTACCATTGGATCATCAGGTGGCCACCATTGTCCATGGAATTACAGACACATCTGGTTCCCCGACTGGGATTGCTGAACCGATCGGTAATCGGTGTCGCAATGTCGGGGTCCGTCATCGTCGTGGGCGAGGTGTTCAGAGCTCGCGCACCGAGGTCCAATTCGGCTCCAAAGCGCGGGGGCGACGACCGGAGATGGGCCAATGAACGGTTGGCACGACCGATTCGCGAGCTATAACTGACAGTATGAGGCCGCAGCGGACGTCCCCGCTCTTGTAACACCTTCCGGAGGGCATGCTGAGCATCGCCGCTGCCCTCATCGACATCATCGAAGGGCTCTCCGAGTGATCCGGCACTCAAGTAAGATAGATCCGAGTGGAGCATGCCAGTCTGTCTTTTCGGGGTCCGTTTCCAGTCATCCAGAGTCGGTTTGTATTGGGGTCGACGAGAGAGTCCGCGCGAGGATCCATTCCAAGGGGACATCCGTCCCGACTGGGACGATGCTGCCGTCGAAGTGTAGGAGCCCTTGGAGTGCGGCCGTGAGCCCGAGTCGCTGCGGGCCGTCACCGACCCCCCAGCATCAGAAAAGGCGAAGGACGGGTTGCGACTGGGGATGACGGGGTATTCAGAATAGTCGACCGAGTCATACTCGCTCTCTGTTGTAGAGCCTTCGAGATCCATGGCAGTGATGGGATCGGTCAATCCGGTTGCCGCCTCTTGCACGGGCTGCATCTCAGTCTTGGCTCGACCATCCCGGCCGATGCGGAGGACTACAGACTGAGATCGTGTGGGAAGACTGGCCGCGGACGTTGAGCGGGGCATTGACTGCCGCATGGACTTGACAGGTGACAGGCGACCCTTGGATGGGCTCTTGCGGATGCCATTCGTCGTAGACATCGTGCTCCCCACACCTGAGCGAGCAGCAGAAGCAGTGATGGCTGTGTGGGTGACACTTCGAGTCAGCGTCGGGCGAGTCTGTCGAGGAGTGTAGTCATCCTCCTCCTCCTCCTCGTTATCAAACACGGAGAGCTGCTGGTGGACACTCTGTGCCCGACGGAGCTCTTCCCGCTTAGACTCCTCGGTCTGATGGTGGTAAGGCTGGCGAGCAGGCCGACCAAAGAGCCTCTTTGCGGGAGTTGGCTGGGGCCCCCCAAATCGACGTGCGGGAGAGCTAAGGAACATGGCTGGATCCTCAGCCTTCGCTATCGGGAGACGAGGAGAGGTAGAGAATGGGGCGGGAAACAGCGCAGCATCGGTGGTAGTGGTAGACGACAGGTTGTAGCCGTTGCTATTGAACTCGGGAAGGTCCATGCTGCCCTCAATTGCAGGCAGTTGAGGGATATGGAGATCCTGCAGAGGCGGGGGATTGAGCTGGAAAGGGCCACTAGTCTGCGGACCGAACAGATCGACACCACTTGTCGAGAGACCCATTCCAACCCCATGGTTGGCCAGGTCCTGATCCCAGAACAGCCGCTGCTGCGGGAAGAGAGGGGAGGCGGAAGGATTCAAGGAGCCGAGTTGGAACGGATCGGGAGACGAGGTGAAATCGAAAAGCCGGGGAGAGGCTCCCATGATGCGGCTAGGAGTCTCCAGATGAGCGCCCACGGCATGGGAATCGGAGGTCCGTCGACCGGTGCCCTTGTTCTCACCACACTCCGCCATCTTCTTCCGGGAAGCACTGCTCGGTGGGGGTGTCTGGATGGTGGCAGCAGACTTGGCCGAGTCAACCGTCCGTGGACCGTCCTCCTCTATGAAGCCATTGGGTTTGGACGGCCGGCGTCGTTTCGCTGTATCTGTATCCTGCTCCGTGCCTTTGCTACCCTTCAGATTTGTCTCGGCTTCTAATGGTCGGTCGGGGCCATGTTCCGGCAATCGGAGGGGATTGATCGAAGGGGAGGTTATGCCGAATTTCTGGGGGGTTCGAAGAAATTCCGGGCTGGAGGCATAGGGATCGGAGGTGTCCCAGGTAACTCGGGGATCGAAGAAGCTGGACTCGAGTTTGGGAGTCTGAAAGGCCGAATCACCAAAAATGGTGGTCGTCGGAGGGGTCCTCGTTGGAGTCTGAGGTTCACCGTGTGGATAGCTGAAGCTGAAGGTAAAGGACGGCTCGGTCAGTATCATGGTGCACATCAGCGGCTACTTCGGGGAGGATGCGGAGTTCGACAGGAAAGCTCCGCGGAACCAGCCTAGGGGCCAGCGAGGACAAATTGTATAGATGGGCCAATTATATACACAAAAAGAAGGGTGGAGAAAAATCGCAGCACAAGAGCACACAAGCACAAGTATTGAATAAGTGGCTTTATCAGGTAGTGTGAAGAGGGATAAAGAAGACAAAGCAACCCCGCTTGTGCCAGCCCGTGGTGCCGGAGGTGTAGGAGAGAGAATATTGATTGAATGAATGGACTGGGACCAGAAAGTCACATACCTGTGAACGGGGTGATCCCAACTCATGTCAGCAGCAATTGTATGATCCCAGCAACCATTCAATTGCAAAGCTGCCAGGCAACCCTCTCGCAGAAATTTCAAAATATTTTGTGGTTCGTCAGGAATGTTCGAGGAGAGGGGTTCGGTAGGGATCGAAGTTGCCGACGAATGTGAAGTTGCCCGGGGTCATGGAACTCGAGTTTTGCGTTTGGGACCCCTGCGAAGGACTGAGCGGAGGGGAAAGGGGAGGGATGGACGATTTAGCACATAGTAGGAGTAGTAGTAGTAGTCGAATCGGAGGAGGAGAGGCAGGATCCTAGGGAGGGAGAAGGAAGAGGAGAAGACAGCGGAGGGTCGTTCAAGAGAGGGAGGAGAGGAGGAAGAAGGGAGGGAAGGAAGTAGTAGTTAGTAGTGGAAGTGGTTGTAAGAGGTAATTGTTAAGAGGAAGAGGTCGTAGTAACTAAGTCAATAGTTAAGTACTCCGTAGTAATGAGATTTGAAGATGGATGATGGTAAGAGAAAAGGTTCAATTCCAAGAATGAATGAATGGTGCTTCCGGCGGAATGCGTTCGTTCGTTCCCTTCAATCTGTTCCTTTAGATGTTCCCTGAACCGAAGCAGTCAGCTGTAAGTATCCCAATGGTCAGTCTATCTTTCTGTCTGTCTGTCTGTCTGTCTGTCTGTACAGTTGGTTCCCAAGGAGACGACAGTCAAGGAGAGGTGTTTTAAATTAGGGAGAAAAGTCGTTGAGGAAACTGAATTTTATGTTTTCGTTTTCCTCTGTTTGTAATTTGGTAATAATTTTTGACGGGGGTTTTTTTTTTCTTCCTTTTTTTTTCTTTTTACATACATCCGCAGATCCACTGGAGAACCATTTTCAATGAAGAGATGAAAAAGACTACGGAAGGATAAAATTACCCTCCAAAGAACCGGTTCTGTGACCATCTTCAAATCTTCACTGTGACACCTGAGACTTTTAGTTACCAAATTCCCAGTCATATCATACTTTTCTATAGTATTTTCTCCGTCATCATCATCTTCATCATCATCGCCAACCTCCTTCCGATCTAGCCTCCACCCTCTATTCGGGAGTGGTGGAGAATCGGCATCTGGATGGCAAGATTATATCTTGACCGGCTCGTCGGACAAGCTTGTGATCTTGAATGAGGACACGGAAAGCGCCTCAGAAGAGGCAAGACTGGGCATCATAGACTGCTGAATAGACTCCATTCAGTGTGCAGAGAGCAGAGGAACCAGTCGTGATGTATGAACCGGGATCCATTAGCGATCGAGGTTCCGCGGGTTTATATACGGATTTCCGGGGCTGGCCCTGGAGGATCAGTGCACCCCCAATAAGAACAATATCCGCCTCATTCATTCCCCAGACCGGCAATCCAACCATATATGTCAATTTCCCGAAGAAAGGTTGACGAGAGAAAGAAGATGACCACCGAAGGTATTGATTGCATGGACACAGCCCCAGTGCAGCTCTGGGGAGTTTCAAAGCGCTCAATCTTCTGATAACAAGGAAGGGCGGTTCAATTCCGTGGATCGTCTTATCTCCTTCTCCCGCACCATCGCAACGGCCGGCTGCACACGCTGCTTTCACCAATCCTTCAATCGCGAGGCTCGAATCCCTATGCTCAGGTTGATATATTACCTCTCACCGAAGCTCTGTAGTCAGTACGGAGTATATCATGGTTTGATTGCTGACTTTGAGCCGCCGTCGATCGATTTCCAACTGGTCAATCCCAACTCCATCTTCGGAGTCTTGAAATCCTTCGATAAAAGTTCAAATTGATCACGACTCCCTTACCCGGTTGTCGATCCAGACTCCATCGCGACGGGGTAAAAGGAGGGGGGAATTAGATGGAGTCTTGCTTAAACCCGTTCCCGAGGACTAGATTCACTCACTCAACAAACGAACCTCGAATGATTGGCATTCGACTCGACCAGACCACGAGCCTAAATTACTGTGTACTCCGGTATTCTGTTCTATCTCGTTCAGCTCCCGGCTAGACGGGGAATTGGAGCAACCAGACCTAGACGGAGCTCGCTCGAGCTGTTCGAAATTAATCTCCTCTCCTCGGTTCGCCTTGGCTCTGAACCGGGAGAGCGATGACGACATGGTGGCCCTGATTATGCCAACTCCTGAACTTGGACAGCTAGACCATTCTTGAGGCTAGTAACTAGCCTTCAATCTCCCCCCGCTGCAGCTATCCACTCTCTCTCGGGTGAGGCGTGGTGACAGAAAACGTAGACACGCTCTCCCACACAACGCTCCCACACAAACGACACCACAAGCACAAACAGACAAGAGGGGTTTGCTAAGTCCCAGACTGGTAATCACTGCATATCCTTCAAACCCAGCATTGATTGCTGGCAAGGAGGTTCTGACGATGGCGGAAGCTGCAGTGAGAAGCGGAACTGACGGGCTGGGTGTAATATTACCTCTTTGGGATAAGTCCCGCCCGACGCACTTATTGGGCCAGCGCGATCGGACCTGAGACGCGGCGCCCTCGATCAGTCATTATAGTATCTTAGTCTAGACTAATCTCGGACACAGCGATGGAGAACTACTTAATTGACGATGCATGCAATACTAACTAACTACTACGGAGTTGACCTGTTGTTTCCTGGGGAACTGCCATTGGTCCAAAAAAAGAAGAAAAAAAAGGTTAAGGACGGGGAAAGGGGAGCCTATCCCAGGCAGCACAGTGGCCCTCCAGGCTTCCAGGTCCAAATGCCAGTTGGTCTTGTTCTCTCTATCTCGTCCTCATCTAGGTCAGTCACGCTACTGGGAATATCCCTACTCGGCTTAACTGTCTCCCCTCATCCAGCTGATTACTGATTGGTCCTCATGATGGCTGGCCTAAGGGGCCTAAGGGGCGGGGTTCGTGATCCTGTCCTTTCAGCTTCACCCACAGACCAACAACGACCCTCCATCAAGCGATTAGCCGCTAGAGCTGCACGCGAGCCATGGGACCTGCAGCAGTACTTAAGACGCCCTGCGGTGTGATCCAGCTGGACAGACCGACCCTCCCCTATTTTATTGAATAAATCCACAGCCCCTGACATGGTCTCGATGCAGCATGTGCATTATACCCCCTCCTAATGATCGATTCGGCTATGTTAGAGTTGGAGACATCAGCAAGGGAGTACATACTTTTCCTTCGCTGGGCGCTCCAGCGCCCCAATCCTCCTCCAAACACACACAACAGACCCCGAGGGAGGAGGTGAAGCAGGCATTTGCCCTTGTACTCCGTACAATCAGCTAAGATCGTTGCAACTGCTTGATAACTAGACTCTTCTTCCAGCGTCGAGAACGTGGAGCAGCCCGATCTTTTCATGCAGGTAGCGAAAGCTAAATAGTCAGCGCGATAATCAAACGTCCGTCGCTCCGTGTAGACTTGAATTGGAACACACTTTTGCCAATATGCAGCCCGCTGTAGCTTATTGATTGATGTGTGCGTACTGCATAGAGCAGATCACCTAGTTGCCCTAGGTGATTTGTCTGTATGGTCGATCTATACGAATGATGCAGTCTCGCGACAGTATTTCCGGACATTTGATGCAGAGAAAGCACATATTTGCAACGATAGAAAGATCTGCCAACGTTCTCGCAACCTAACTGCGTGGCCACTTGTTGCTTTTGACTTTCTTTCAGCTAGTCTGTCACTGTCCATGCGATCGTATTAGTCTCACCTATCAGTGGCTATGAATGTTGCTCGGCTATTCTTGTCCGCAAGACAAGATGAGAGACAATGAAAGCCGCGCAGTGACTGATCTGAGTTCCCGTATGTACTACATTATGCGCGAATCCCAAAGATATACTTGTAGCGGTGGATTTCACCAATGCCGGAAATGCATGGTTTCTGCACTATCAGGCATGGGGCTGTGGTACAGCCATGGCCACGGTGGGTGCCTTGTCTCCGAGGGTCTTGGATGCCTCGATATCCAGGCATGAGTAGAACCAGCCACACTTTCCCTGTCACCGCCACAATACCCACCGATGACGCCCCTCTGTTTGTCCGCAGCTTAAACGCCGCCCGCCTTTCTTTAAGCAAGCATCATTAGTTCGGAGTGACCAAGTGTGCGCTGTCTTGCGCCAGGCACACTCATTATGCATCCTTGATAACAAAGGATCGGATACACAGCATTCACTCAGTCACAATGGATGTGCCACTCTTTGACCATCACCTCCCCCCACCCGCTTCTAATAGTCGAACACCATCCTGAATCCTGCACTCGCTTATCTATCGAATCCTCCGTCGACCGTGGACTTCACAGCACCGCAGATCCAATCGACCATTTGCGTCAGATAGATACTAGTGCTACCTACGACAGTCGCTTCGTTCTTCTGCAGACACAGCTATAACGCTTCCGAGTCTGGTGATCTTGTACATTCGTTAGCCTCCTTGCGACAACCCTGTCCTGACCATCATGCCCGTCCACAAGAAAGGCCGGCCCCAAGTTGCCAAGAAATTCAAACAGCGCATGAAAGCTGGCATCGGCCTGCCAGTTGCTCCAAGTTCTCCCGCACAAGCGCGCCGGAAGAGTGCTTTGAGGAAGCGTGATCGGGGTGATCCCGGAGTCGCTGCGGGCACCACCAAACATAACCCTGCGAAGACTCAGCCCCGGACATGGCAGCCCGCAAAGGCGGGCAAGACAACCATTCTTCCACCGTCTTCTGACCCTTTGGAAAAGGTACGTGACCGTCATTCGTGAGAGGCGGGGAAGGAGGTAGCGCGGGGGGTTCCCATGGCCCCCCGTCGTTGATACACCTACAAGGCCGCCCTTGCGTCTTGATAGTGCAGTGCAGCACTGGCGCAGGCACACGCAGGGACAGTCGTAGGTTACTGACAACATACCTTGCTATGCAGAATTGCTTTCGTCGGGTTCCGTGCCCCACGAACTATACTTTCGTCCCGAAGGGAGATGTCTACATCACTCGGCACTGTCGCAGTAAAACGAAAGAAGCCCGGCAGGTTGTCTACGTCGTCTATGTGAGTGGGCTCTTTCTCCTTGTCTGCAGCCCCGGCAACGACATCAGTACTAACCAACCCCAGGACGACAAGGGCAAGTCCACCCTCGGCCTGCGGGTCCCGTGCGATATCCACGAAGCCGTCCGCAGCTCCGCCGCGAACACAGCCCAAACTCGGGCCCATGCCGTTCAAGCTCGAGATGAGCGGGACCTGTCCAAGGCCCGACAGATCCTCCGCACCCAATTCCCGCTTATGCCGGATAATGTGCTGGAGACGATTGTCAATCATGCCTTCTTGAAAGGCGCCGGCCGCGTCGGCCGCGCCACCACCGTACCTGACAAGCGGAAAGCCATTCTAGCTACGGAAGCCCATATCCGGCACACCCAGACCCCGTACGACTCGCTTCTTCATGCGGGTCTAGCGAGGGAAGAGGCGCGCGAGGCTGTTTTTGGGCTGGTGCGAGCAATTCGGGCTGCATGGGAGGGCGGCGATCCGGAGACGCTGAAGAAGGTTCTTGCTAAGCGCAACCAAGCAAAGTGATTTTTTTCAGTGTGCTTTTCCGTTCAGCAGAGCCAAAGTCTTTGGTTTCTTTTTGTGTCTGGCTACACGTGCTTTCATTGGTTTGCGATCGACTATTTCATACCTTATAGCTTTGGACTTTGGGGTTTGCGACACCCCGCATAGCTGATACCTCTGGTTGCATGATGTCATTTGGTGTTATGGGATTTAAGATGAGGCGTTTTATTTTATGAGGGTACGCTGCCTAATTGACTAGACTCCACTACAAGCACGATTAATGATATTCCAGTTTTGTATCTTCATTTGCATACGCAGTATTGTTTGCCTGAGAATCTACAATTTCATGTACGATCTATCAATGGAGTCCTCCTGAATCTACCTTATTAAAAGCACATATTGATCCACAAAATCAACATAAAAGATCTCATCAAAAAGAATCGCCTTCGATCCACAAATTATCCAACCTTGAGCCCAAACCCAACTTCCAACAGTACCAAAACGAGAGTGCGTACACACCAACACATGGAAAGACAACACGAGCCCAACGGAGCAGATCCCAAAACGCCAAAGGAACAATCAATCAAAGTGACAAGACGCCCCCAGACAGCGGCGTCGCCTTTTAATAGCACCCGCGATCCCACAATCCCGGCCCCTGACAAAACCTCGAGATGAGTTTCTCATGCGTCTCGTTCTCGTATCCCAGCGGCACGACCTTGTCATCGTTATAGATGAGCGGATTCTGGTAGTCGTCATCGCAGTCACTGTACACCCCCACGCCGTCAGCACAGCGCCCACGGGAATTCCGCCCGTAACACTCCCCCATGCCGCTGTAGATAGAGCTAGTCAGCCCTTTGAAAGAAGTGGATCTATCAGACTCGACCTCCTCGCTGTAGCATGTAGAAGTTCCATTCTCTGCGCACTCCTTGTCCTCGTCCTCGTCCGCGTCCTCGGGATCCATCATGGCTCTCGCGTGCTTTGTGATGTGCGCGGACGCCAGTGCCGGGGCCGTGGAGAAAGGGAGCGGGACGCATTGTTCCGTAGTGTTGATGGTAGCGACAATCTCGTCGATGTAGGCGATCACCGAATTGAGGATCGCGGTGGGTTCGCTGTTGGGGAGGAGGTGGGGGTTTGAGGCTGGAGTGGCTGCGTTTGCGGGTGTGGGTGTGTTTGCAGAATGGTCTGCTGCAGACAGGTTCAGGGAGAATTCCAGTCGGACAGTGAAGTCCTCGAGGGTGTCGTAGCTGTCTAGGAGGGTGTTGGCTTTGGTGATACTGTGCTCGTTGTCGCTGTCGCTCTCCGAGTCCCCATCACCACCACGCTGAGAGACACCAACAAAATCATGACAGCTACTACACTCCTCCCACCCCTCATCCTTCCCACCATCCGCAAACCCATCCTCCTCCCGTAGCGGAACAAACTTCCACAAAAAGGACCCCGCAACAGCAGAAGCATGGGTGATGGCACGAGAGATTCTCAGCAGCAGCGACGCAGGCGACTCCTGGCCCGAGGTGATCCCGCGGGCGAGCAGTCGGCGTCTCAACTTCTCGCGCGCGGCGAGGAAGTACTCGCGCTGGGCATGGCGGTCTTCCGTCGCAGAGCCGATGATGTTGATGTTCAAGAACTCGACTGGTATGGTGACGTGCTCTTCACCGGTGGGGGTCATGTGGTAGATCCACTCGGTTTGGTGGAGGAGGTCGTGGGAGGGAAGGAACTGTGTTGAGGCCATGGCGGTTGATAGCTTTTCTGGGGACTGTTTGGAACTGAAAGGTGAGAGAGTATGAGTCTGGTTGAAGGTGAAAGGGTGGGTGGGGGTTAGGGTAGTTTGGTGGACTGATGGTGATGATGGTGTGTGTTGTGGCTCTATATAGCCTCTTTCAGGTTGGGATGGAAGGGTGAGAGTCAATACTTTAGTTGCTAGCTCTTTGAGTCTTGGGTATGATGCTCAAGAGATATAGCGGAGTATCTGGTTAGTTGTTGGGTATTCTTATTGTGCCGATCTTTGTGTGAGTGGGATGAGAGGGAGATGTCCGCTACATAAGGTCGGTTTTGAGGTAATGAACACATGGCATGATTGAGAAGCACAGAGGTGCACTCATTCCCTCATCTCTTGGGTCTTGCTCTCTGTGCCTTTCCTGAGGCGGAAGTGTCATTCACCAATGCCGCGAACCTGCTTCCGGTGCTCCTACTTTGCTTATGCTCAATGATTCGATGCGAGCTACTATGTATTGGTTCAGATCATGTCTTACAGAAGCATACTGTGGTATATCTGGTGTCTTCGTTATTGTAATTCTGCTAGTTGCCTGTGACAGGCACCTAGTAAAAGCGAGGATCATGGTGCACTGCACTGCACTGCATCACAACTACTAAAAGGTAGTTATCCAGTGGCGATCAGGGCAGTCCATCCATCCCGATCGGGATTTACCCCATTAAGGCTAGTCCACCCGCTACCCGCTAACTCAATCCAGCCAAGCAAAACGTGACGATAACTTAACTTTTCTGGAGCTCCGCAATCGTTCAGCAGGCCTTGAATCGTTGCTGCAACTCCGCCTCCATTTTCAAACCTCAAAGCTTCCATCGCGATGGAGGGCGTCGACGTGACCGAGTCGCCTCGCAAGCGCATCAAGACTGACAATGCTGCCACGACAGACGAGGATGCTGTGCTGTCCCATGCCGGCGGACCAGTGGCGGAGGAGATTCCCGTCGTCGCGCCAGTTTCGGCCGATGATGCGCAGGCTCGGAGGGAGGTTGAGGTCGGCATCACCGGCTATGTGAGTGCGGAGAACGAGGGGTTCTCTGGTATTCTGAAGAAGCGGTACGTCTGGTTCCTCGATTATTGTCTTTAAGAGGAATAAGTGTCTGACTGACGGCTGTTGCCCGTCTAGGTATACCGATTTCCTGGTGAACGAGATTGTCCCCTCTGGTGAAGTCTTGCATCTCCAGAATGTTCCTGTGCAAGAGTCTTCGGGAGAGAGCAGGCAAAAGACGGAGGATTCACAAAAGCCGGCCGAGAAGCCTCAGGAAGACATTGCTCAACCTACGCCCGAAAAAGATGCGACACCAACCGCCGATACCCCCGTCGCCGAGTTCCAGATCAGCGATGAGGATAACACGCTTCTTGAGTCCCTCTTCGGTGAGGAGTCCACAAAGAAGATGCTAGCGCTGAACAAGCGCGCTCTCGAGAGTCCTAAGTCGAGGCCCAGCGACTTCAGCAAGATCGCCACGGTCGTGGTCAACGATCGCGATTTGCGCATCAAGATGCACCAGACCATTCGTCGCGTCTTCAACTCTCAGCTGGAGTCTCAGACCGACAGCGAGGGCCTGATGAACATCTCCGTCGCTCCGAACCGGAACAACAAGAAGGCGCAGGGTGGCCGCGGCGAAGGCAACGGACGGGCGCGTGTTCCGATCAACTGGGATGAACTGGGCGGTCCCTACCTGCACTTCACCATCTACAAGGAGAACAAGGACACCATGGAGGTCCTCAACTTTATTGCTCGCCAACTCAAAGTCAACTCGAAGACCTTCCAGTTCGCAGGTACCAAGGATCGACGTGGTGTGACGGTGCAGCGAGCGTGCGCATACCGGATGCAAGCCGAGCGACTGGCGAAGCTCAACCCTACTCTCCGTAACGCAGTCCTCGGTGATTTCGAGTATCGCAAGTACGGTCTCGATCTCGGTGACCTCAACGGCAACGAGTTCGTCATCACCCTTCGCGAATGCGAGATTCCCGGCGTCGTCGACCTGCATGACCGCGAAGCCGCCATCGCCAAGTCCGCCGATCTGGTCAAACATGCTCTGCACAACCTCCGGGAACGAGGCTACTTCAACTACTTTGGTCTGCAACGTTTCGGAACCTACGCCACGCGCACGGACACCGTTGGCGTCAAGATGCTTCAGGGCGATTTCAAGGGCGCCTGCGATGCTATTCTCCACTACAGCCCACACACCCTAGCCGCCGCACAGGACGCAAACGCCGCCGACGCTCTCATCAGCTCCGACGACCGCGCGCGTGCCGAAGCGATTCACATCTACACGACCACCGGCAACTCTGGCAAGGCGCTCGAGAAACTTCCTCGTAAATTCTCGGCCGAGGCCAACATCATGCGTCAACTGGGCCGCTCGAAGGCCGACTACCTCGGCGCCCTGCAGGCTGTGCCCCGCAACCTGCGCCTGATGTACGTCCACGCCTACCAGTCGCTGGTCTGGAACTTTGCCGCCACCGAGCGTTGGCGGCTGTACGGCGACAAGGTCGTCGAGGGCGACCTTGTCTTGATCCATGAACACGTCGACAAGACCGCCTCCGCCAACGCCACCGGCGCTTCTGCAGCCGCGACCGCGGAGGCGGCTGAAACGGTGGATGCCGATGGCGAAGTCATCATCACCCCGCACGCGACGGGCGACAGCGCCTATGTGGCCGAGGGCATCACCCGCGCCCGCGCCCTGACCGCCGAGGAAGCCGCCAGCGGCAAATACAACATCTTCGACGTCGTGTTAACGCTGCCCGGCTACGACGTGCTGTACCCGGCTAACGCGATGACGGCCTTTTACCAGCAGTTCATGGGCAGTGAGCAGGGCGGGGGACTAGACCCCTTCGACATGCGCCGCAAGTGGAAGGATGTCAGTCTGACGGGCGGGTACCGCAAGCTGCTCAACCGCATGGGGCCGGATTACTCGGTCGATGTAAAGATCTACGAGCAGGATGATGAGCAGTTTGTGGCGACCGATCTGGAGAGACTGCGTGGAGGCAAGGATGTTGCTGGTGCTGAGGATGCTGCGGATGCTGCTGCTGTTGCTGCGCCGGAGCAGGAGAAGAGTAAGCTTGCTGTGGTGCTCAAGTTCCAGCTTGGTTCTAGTCAGTATGCTACTATGGCGCTAAGGGAGCTGACGAAAGGTAAAGTCAAGGCTTATACACCTGACTATGGGAAAGGGCGGTGATTGCCTAGGATGATAAAAAATGTCAGGAAAAGTGTACTGTACATATGCGCATAGAAATTAGTAGAGATCAGATCAAAATCTACTACGGCTTTGGTCTCACCTGTTACAGAAGCGATGCACGTGCAATGCCCACAACTTCAGTAGCGAGGAGGCGATGGGAAGAGTCCATAGGATTGGTCGCTGACAACCAACTAAGCTCAAAGGAATGCGATGAATCTCACTAATGCAGCCTTGCGTGGCTGTGTTGGCGTTTCTTATGCAGGAGGCAGCCATGTAACACAGAGGGGCGGAACAACAACTGAGTTGAGTATCCTGTCACTTGCTACATACTACGTCGTGTTATGTATACAGTAAAGTTCGGTGCAACAAGAATCAATCTCCTCATCTGCAGCTCCGGTTGATTATCTCCTCCCTCGTCCAGCCCGTGCGATCACAATCCAGCCAAGTCCCCGGAATTTAGGGCACAATCGGGGGGCCACGCAATGCGCCAACGTCTCCAGACCCCGTCCCCCCCCGAGCTAATCTGCATTGATCAGGCTATTCGGTGGAGCATGATTCATTCATCCACATTCCTTGTGAGTATTTTTCTTCTTTTTCTTTCTTTGCTTTCTTTCTTCTTGTTTTTCTTGTCCATAAATCCAACTTTCATCCAGCATGTGCCAGTTGTACATCACCCTTCCCCTCCAACAAGCATTCAATGCCGATCATTTGACTGGCGTGTGGGCGGAGGGGGAGGAGGGGGAGGGGGAGCTACTGTATGTACTCCGTACTTCATCCAATACATACAGCGCTACCCGTTGTTTCATCCTCGTGAGCGGACAGCACTACTAAGTACAGTACTATTCTTGTTCTTGCATTGCGCGTCATCCGTAGCATTAACCGACGCCCGTGTCTCGCCGGTCGTGATTGGTAGCCCAGTCGTACTTGGGCCCTAGAGGATGCAGTGGCTGTACGTTTCTTAGCCCTTGTTTTGGGCAATCCTCCGTCGCCCATAGGTTTTGGGAAGTTACAGTAGTTATCTTGTTTAAGCTACTGGCCGATGTGGCTGCGCCCTGTCGTGTCTTTTTCTAAGCGGGTTTTTCCCGGTGTTTTGTTTGTCTTTTCTTTTTGCGCTCTTGCTGGGGTTTCTCGCCTGGGTTGAATGCAGTAACTGCAGTTGATTGCTGTTGAGCTTTTCTGGTAGGAATTATTTTTAGGGAAGAGGGGTTTATTGTGGTAAGTGAAGTGATTGCTGCTTCTTTGTTGCTCTGTGTTGATGAGGTATGTGGCCCTTGAAATTTGTGTTATGTGTCTCTCGTTGGTTGACTGTGTTGTCAGTTTGGTTGGTCCTTGCAAGACTGTCTGTCCTCAAGTCCTGGGGTTTGTCTCGACTTGTATTGTCTATATCAGAGTTGTCGAGGGTGTTCGACAGCGTTGCTACATAGAACTTTGCTTGCTCTGGACGTGTTCTTCCGACCTGCTCGGGATCGAATTCGACTACCGCCGTGATGTCTGCGGCAAGTGGTGAGAGCCAATGGATGTCAGGTGGGAGCACGGATGGATCACAGACGGGCAGTTCAGACGGCTCGGGGAGTGAGAACAGTGGTAGCAGTGGAAGCGGTGGAAACGGTGGAAACGGTGGAAGCAGCACATCCCAATCTGAAGGATATACGTCTCCCGCTGAGTCCACGACTGCCAGCGCGACAACACCATCAGCAGCCGACTCTTTTCTCACGGCGACTCAAACCGCTACTCCATCATCTACAAGATCCGCAACCGCGACGTCTACCTTGACTTCCTCCGCCAAAAGTACGACCAGCAACACCAAAACCCTCGCAATCGCCATCCCCGTCGCTATCGTAGGCGCCGCCATCATCCTCGGACTTCTCTTCTTCCTCCTAAGCCGGAGACGCCGACGCCGTCGAGGCCGAATCCTCGCCTCGACCTCCCAGGTCGACGTCGTCACCGTTCCCCGACAACCAATCCTACCCCAACCGCAGCAGCACTCCCCCCGATCACTCCAATCGGCTCAAGCAACCCCATGGGGACTCGGATCCACAAACAACACCCATAACATCCCTTTCACCGGGCCCATCCCATACAGCAGCCTCGACCATCACCCGACTCCAACCGCCCAGTCACGCAGCCTCGAGACAACCGATAGCCACCACAACCTGACCGCCGGAATCGACACCACGATCGAACAACCACCGCCATACTCCACTCGTCCCGAGCCGGCGGGGACGAGCATACCATCCACCACAGTGATGACGGGCGGCGGCGCTCCGTCCCGACAATCGTCGAGGCGCGAGCGGCCGACATCCCCCTTTGACCATCCTCTGGACGACACGGTCTCGGAGATATCCAGGTACAGTCGCGGGCCATCCCTGGTACATCGGGCGAGTCTCGACGAAATCTCGTCCGTGTCGTCAATGGGTGACGATGAAAGGCGGCCGGCGATGCGTCATTGATTTTGCGTTTTTTGCGCTTGGAGAGGGGATATTTTGGGTTTGGGCGTCATGTTTATTTATAGGCGGGCGTTTTGGGTGCGGTGGAGCTGTTTTCCGCAGCGGGATTTAGTTGATTCTGGGACGAGAAAGTATATATTGAGAGCTGGAATTATCCGTTCCAAGGCGTCGAATGTACACAGTGAGAGATTGTCGGAGATGTGGTGTGGTGTATCTGTCCATACAATGGAGTCACTACCGCTTTATACTCGCGAATTGAGCAGCAACACTGATTACCTGGGACATCTTGCAATGCTCCTGCAACAAGGCTCGACTCCTCATGACGAATCAACCAACTGATCATGACAGCGACATCATTGTTTGACATAGTATCATAGCGCATATCTTTGAATCATGATACATCAACTGGGTCCCATAGCTCAGTTGGTTAGAGCGTAACGCTAATAACGTTAAAGTCGAGGGTTCGAGCCCCTCTGGGACCATCTCTTTTTTGCATTGTTGGCGTTTTTCATGGTACACTCCATGGTCCCAGCGGTTCGTGGTTGCCTAAACCCTGGGACTGCACCCCGATTCGCGGTCTGCCGCTGTTCAACGCCAAATAAACAATGCCAGTCAATCCCCCGGAATCGGCATAATGGCAAGCATGTGCCCGCTCACTCGAAATTGGCTATTTCTGGGAGATCCGGCGAAGCCGTTCTCCTATGATCATTTGTGCAAACATGCCACCAACTTGACTGATTCTGGATGTCGACAATGATTACATAACCGACTATCTCCTCATTAGGACATGGCGGTGCACCATAGCGGACCTACAGGGCTTGGGCCTGTGGCTACCCGCCAATCGTCGGACTCCACCATCCACCCTAATGATATCACCACCGTCAGGGTCCAACTTGTAAGTGTCGGAGTAGTGTGGCTGGTGACATCCTCATCACCCTTCCTCCCCCCACCAAAGCCAATGAAACCAGCTGCCACTGCTGGGCTTCATCTGGGGATCGTCGCAATGCGCTCATTTCCCCTCTCTGCAGAGCCATGCAGAGCCCGTGGAGTACCCCCTCCTGCGCCTTTCGGCTGCGGTGGTCCCCCAACGGGAAAAAGGCCTCCACTTCATCCACTGATCGGCTTAACGGGCACACTCACTCAGCCCCCCCGTCCCTCAGGCCTAATAACAATGCAATTCTGCTGCCTTCCGGGGCAGGACTATTGCAAATTTTTCCCCCCTTCCACCAGTATATGTTTGCTCGTGCCCATAAACCCGTTGAACTTTTGGCTGGGAAGCCTAACTGAACTGCACGTCCGGTACAATTCGGATACAACGACTACAGGGTCATTTCTCTAGACCATCTGGAACCAACAACCCTATTGTATAGTATACACGAAGTCTCCCCAACCTAAGCTCCAATTGCCAGGATGGGTGTCGGCGGCGTCATCCTCCGCTTTGCGAATCTCGCTATTCGCATCCTCCAGTTTCTCGATGCCGCAGTCATTCTCGGCATTTTCTCATACTTTCTCGCCGTTCTCGCTCGGCATGATCAGACGATCCCCCAGTGGATGAAGGCTGTTGAAGGTCTGTCAGGTGCAGCAACCCTGTATGGCATCCTAGGCATCCTGTTTACCTGCTGCCTCGGCGGAGTGACTTTCTTCGCTGCTATCGCCGTCATCCTCGACGTATGCTTTGTCGGGGCCATGATTGCTATCGCCATCATGACTCGCAAAGGCACCCAGAGCTGCTCTGGCAACGTCGACACTCCGTTAGGCTCAGGCGCTAGCAATGTCGACGACCCTAACACCCACGTGCGGCTCGGCTATGCCTGCGTGCTGGAGAAGGCTTCCTTTGCTGTCGCTATTATCGGAATGTACGTTGACTCCCATCTTTCCTGTCCACTAAAGATCCTTGAGATCCAGAAAATATGTATTCTAACATGAATGTCCGATCTAGCTTCTTCTTCTTGATCTCCATCGTCCTCCAAGTCCTCCTCGCCCGCCACCACAAGCGCGAGAAGCGCTTCGGCCCCTCGCCCGCCAACGGGTATACGTATGGCACCGGCACCAAGCGTCGGGGCTTCTTCTGGCGTCGCAACAAGAACAACCCGGAAACTGCCAGTGCGGACGATATGCTTCCCAACCACCCGACTCCTCGCGATGTCGAGCTGGGAACCTCGCCGACGGAGAAGACCAGCGGGGCGGGCGATCTGTTCACGCGCAACAAGCATACCGCGCCGGAGCCTGCAGCTGCTCCGGGCTACGGCTACGGGAACTCTGCTTATTCAGCCAATTACTAGACGTCGCTTGAACTTGGAGTTTGTCTGTGTCTTTGTCTGTGTCTGTGTCTGCTGAGCCGACACCAACAATGGGACAGGAGCTTCAACCAGGAGTGGCTGCAGGCTCGGCTTGGTGACGAGAAAAATGGATCATGAAGTGGGTGTGCCAGCATGGCCTTTGGAAATATTTTTGATTGGTCTTATGGCTGGCCGATAGAGCTTGAGCCCGAGACCAGGGATGATTTATGTGATAGGATGAATGCTTACCGAGGAAGATACCGTGGGACGATCAAGCTTCCTTCTGTGGATATACCCTAGCGGATTTATTTTTCCGCCCCTAATAATCACTTTGATGTTGTATTATAATGATTAAAGCACTTGTTGTCTCGATTTCCCATAAATTGTTGTTGTTAAGGTAGGTATTTACTTGTAAGTTCTAGCTCAGCTGTATTCCTAGGGTTTGATACTACGGGTGCATCGGCGGTTTGATCGGCCGATGCAGGAACCGCAGCGCCGGGCCATGCTTAGTGGTAGTGTATACACAGTATGTACGTAGTTAAGTTAGTTAACTTACCTGAGTTAGTGCCCGTGACTAACTACACAGTAACAAGGTTAGCGCCCTCCCACTCTGCTTGCCTCAGGCACTCTTGTCTAAAGCCGAAACTCGATCTCGAACCGATGTTCTTCCTTTGACTCTCTTGCATCATACCCTCTCAATCCTACCCCCGATTCATCTCCCTGCACAATGATGATGCATGGGATTCCCGCACCAAATAATCCGGTTTTGCTTCTTGCTTAGAATCTCTTTTCTTTGTCTTGTCTGACGATGCGTTCCCAATTCTGTCTCACCTAGAGCCCTAAGATCCTGCTAGATGTATTGGCGGGGGTCTTCTTTGCCCAGGTCGTGGAGGATCGATCGCGCTTTTCGATATGCCGGACGCGGCCAGGAATCTGGCTCCTCCCGCCAGGTTCGCCACCCCTCATCGGCGGCGAATTCGCTTTCTGCCATTACACAATCGCAGAGATCCTCCTGCTCCCCAGCCTTAGCCTTTATTGCTTGCAGGCGCCGCTTGTCGTACTCGAGCAGACCTGCTATACATTCCTTATCTTCTACCTCTCTGTCACAATCGATGACCCCTTCTGTTGCAACCAGAAGAACAGTAGCAACAACCACATTCATCCCGTCTCGCCCATTATCCGGAGCAGCTGCGAGTGAGCTCATCGCGCCCCCGGCTGTCGAAGAAATGGTCGCCAGTGAGATCAAACCAGACGTTGCGGGTGGCAGCCAGCCCGACGGCACAGATCAAAAGGGCATGAAACCAGATCTCGAGTCCATTGAGGCAACGAGCGATGCTGCTGCTGCTGTCCCAATGGATCCGGAGTCGGATGATGACGTCCCCGTCGAGGCGGAGGAGTTGCAAGACGCATTGTCGCGCCCTCCACCAGTTCATAGCAGCTACCTGCCTCTTCCCTGGAAAGGGCGATTGGGCTACGTGAGTCTCTCCGTTTCGTGTCTGGTGGTCTGCTGTGGATTCAAAGAGTTCCATCTAATAGGAACCCCTCTCGTATAGGCTTGTTTGAACACCTACCTGCGGTACTCAAACCCGCCCGTCTTCTGCTCCCGAACCTGCCGCATTGCCTCCATTTTGGAGAACCGACACCCTCTTTTAGACCCTACGCAGCCCCCTCATCCGAAGAACAATCGCCCGGACCGCGATCAGCCGGCCGATGTGGCACGTGGGCAGGCGTATGTGGAGGCGCTGGGCCTGGCGAATGCCAAGGATCTCCTCAAGATCATACGCTGGAATGACAAGTATGGGATCAAGTTCATGCGGCTGAGCAGTGAGATGTTCCCGTTTGCGAGCCACAAGGAGTACGGCTACAAGCTGGCACCTTTTGCATCGGAAACGCTCGCCGAGGTCGGTCGACTGGTCGCGGAGCTCGGTCACCGCGTGACCACTCATCCGGGCCAGTTCACCCAGCTTGGATCTCCTACTGATGGCGTGGTGGAGAACTCCCTGCGCGACCTGGATTATCATTCCGAGATGCTGCAGCTGCTGCGCCTGCCCCCTCAGCAGGATCGTGATGCGGTCATGATCCTGCACATGGGCGGGGTCTTTGGTGATAAGCAGGCCACTCTCGACCGGTTTCGAGAGAATTACAAGGGTCTGCCGCAAGATGTCAAGAACCGTCTAGTGCTCGAGAATGATGACGTGAGCTGGTCGGTGCACGACCTTCTGCCGATCTGCGAGGAGCTGAACATTCCGCTTGTTCTAGACTATCATCATCATAACATTATCTTTGATGCGACACAAGTCCGTGAGGGCACTCAGGATATTATGGGCCTGTATGACCGGATCCGAGCGACCTGGACTCGCAAGAACATCACGCAGAAGATGCATTATTCGGAGCCCACTGCAGCGGCCATCACTAACCGCCAGCGGCGGAAGCACAGCGACCGTGTCTCCACTCTGCCTCCTTGTGATGCGACCATGGATTTGATGATCGAGGCCAAGGACAAGGAGCAGGCTGTATTCGAATTGATGAGGACGTTTAAACTGCCAGGCTTCGATCTCTTCAATGACATGTTGCCCTATCAACGCACCGACGAGAACAAGCCGTTTAAGCCGCCGCGGAAGACGAAGAAGAAGGAGGGGTTTGTGGACCTCGAGGGCCAAGTCCCTCCTGTCCGAACCGTCCCGGAAGAGGAGGTGGGTATGGGCGGGCCCGACAGAAGGGTTTACTGGCCTCCGGGCATGGAGGAATGGCTCCGACCGAAGAAGGTCGTCCGTAAAGTGGCCCCCCAGAGCCCTCGAAAGACGCCGGCCGCGAAGAAAACCAAGGACGCTACCAGTGCTGATTCACCGGTGCCCAAGAGCGACCCCGATGCCAACGTTAAAGAAGAGACGGGGGCACCGGTTACACCGGCTTCCAAGGTCACTCGACGGGTTCAGCGCACTCCTAGTGCCAAGAAGCCCACGTCCAGGAAACGCAAGGCATCGCCGATTGCCTCGACGCCGTCCGCTTCGGATACGGAGAATCCTGACGTGCCAGAGCTTCCCAGTCTGTCTCGTGCGCCGACCAACGGTGCCCGTCGTAGCACGCGGGCGAGGACGGTGAATTACGCGGAGGACCCGGATTCCGCTTGAGGCGGTGGTGCCTTGGGCTCCTACGACTTCGCAGCGTCGATTGGCACTGCACCCTAGACGTGCATGAGGAGGCCGTGCATAAGCACATGCCATGCACTTGGGAAGGGATGGATGCTAGATGATACTTCAAGCATCGAGATTTTCCTGTCACGCCATTTGCCACAGAAACGGGCATTGAGAGCCGGGCAGGGCAAACCCATTGCGTCGTATAGAGTCGCTGGGTCTGATGTACTATTCTGATGTACTACTGGAAACGATAAATCTTAGATAAAGTATATAGTTACTCCGTATAGTTATAAGGCTAGCCTAGCTATATGATATCTACGTACTACTATGTGATGATGAGGACATAATCGATAAGAGAAGTTTCCCAATCGGGCCAAGTGTTCTCCACCGCGGGTTTCTTCCGGCCGTCAACTTGACGTTAGTTGCGCTTCTTCCTTTCCTCGCCCGTTCAACTCAACCCTCTTCAGCCTTTGACTGTGAGTTTCCCTCACTCAGCTCCGATCTTAGCTTCTGCATCTGATTTTGATAAATCATTCACAGGCACCAGACTTGATATTTTGTGGCTTTGCCTCACTAAGCGATGATACCCCTTAACTGAGCATCACGACCGACCCTCTCAACCCCCGGGAGGAAGTTCGTCATCGCCTCCACACAAAAACAACCGGTCAAGAGTCTAGACTAACCTGCACCACTTCTTCGTCTCTCCCTTCATCGTCTTCAATTTGACCTTCCACACAACACCTGGTGTGTACATTCCAAAGCCAACAAAGCAACGCACAAGAAACCGTGGCTCCCAAATTCCCCCCTCGCATCCACTGGCGCCCACCCCCTCTCCCTCCCCCTACTCATCCTCCCACCACCACCACCAGACGCCTACCACCGTCCCTCCGCCGCAACAGCAACAACAACCGCCCTCCCCTCCCCACCCCACCACCACCACCACCATCCTTCCGACTCCTCTCGCGCGGCCACTCCTTCCTGAAGAGAAGACTCTCGTCCTCCCCCTACAGCCGCCTCTGGACCCTCCTGCTCGGCCCGCACTCCCTCCGCCGCGCCCAGCTCCGCCTCTGGACTCTCCGCCACGAAACCCTCCCCGCGCTGCGCCATCGCGCTCAGGCTCGCATCTACCGCGCGATCGTCCGGCGACAGCAGGCACGGGCGCTAAGGCGGTTACAACGACGACGGCCACGACTCGGCGGGTTTCTGCGCGGTTTCGGTGGTGGTAGTAAGAGCAGTGGTGGTGGAGTGCTGGGGTATTTGTTGGGACGCGGAAGGCGGTTTAGATTTGGGTTGTTGGATCATCCCAGGGTTGCTGCTGGAAGGGGCTCTGGGAGTGGCAGCGGGAGTGCTTCAAGGAAAGGGATAGGGGAGGGAGCGTCAGTATCGGCGGCGGCAACCACGACAACCCCCATGTCGCAGTACGAGTCTTCCACTTCCTCTTCGGGAGCCTGGCAAGGAACCCGCCGCAAGAAGGTCTACGATTATCTCAAGGCGGCGAACGAGCTGCGGCAGACGTATGCGGCGCAGTGGGCGGCGCAGCTGAATGGGCAGCAGCGCGGGTATAATGATGAGTATTTCGCGGGGGATGCGCCGGGTGCGTTTCCAGATGTGGAGATTGCGCGCTCGGGGCTGGAGGAGATGGTTATCTTTCCGAGTTACGGAAGGCGGATTGTGAGGAATCGCTCTCGGCAGGAGGATCGAGAGGATGCGTTGCCGGGGGCAAGGAGGGGTTCGAATGCGACGATTGACGAGTATCGGGGTCTTTCCGATAGATCGGATACCAAGGCGCAAACGGTGGCTGGGTTGGATGATTATGAGGATAAGAATGCCGTCGTTACAGTGGATGTGCGTGGGTGGTTGTATGCGCCTCATCGCGGGCCGATGACGCGGAAGCATCGCTTGATGATTGCGTTGGCGAGGAAGTTGAGTGGCGTCCCTGCTCCAGCGAACAATACGGGTGGCAGTGGGGATGACGTCGGGGGTGTGCAGCAGAAGACTGACCGTCGGGAGGATGAACTGGTCGATACGGAGGCGCAGTCCATCATCAAGGGGGCAGAGGGCCGCGCGGATCCGGCTTGGAAGGAGAGTGCGCTGGAGGAGAGAGGCGATAATCCGGACCTCCCTGGACGTCCACTGCAGCGGACTGGGACCTCGTCGAGTGTGGCTACCACCGCGACGACGCAGATGACCAAGGATGAGCTTTCGATGGCCAACGCGCATTTGATGGAGCGGTTGCGCCCGTTCCTCACTAACCCGGTCACGGATATGCCGGTGACGGTGTTCTTCTTCGATGAGAACAGGAGCCAGTCGCGGAGTATCATGACGAATGTATCCGGCCACTTCAACATGCGGGCCGCGCTGCCCTTTGTCCCAACCCACATCCGCGTCCTCGCCTCGGAAAACCTGTCTGTTGTGAAGGAGGTGCAGATCATCGAGCCATCCGGCGTCAGCTTGATTAGTGACATCGACGACACGGTCAAACACTCGGCGATCGCCAGCGGTGCCAAGGAGATCTTCCGGAATACCTTCATCCGCGAACTGGCCGACTTGACGATCGAGGGCGTGGCGGACTGGTACAATCAGCTGGTCAAGATGGGCGTGGAGATTCATTATGTCTCAAACGCCCCGTGGCAGCTCTACCCCCTTTTGGAGCGGTACTTCAAGCAGGTTGGCTTACCACCGGGGTCAATCCACCTCAAGCAGTACAGTGGGATGCTGCAGGGTATCTTCGAGCCTACGGCGGAGCGCAAGAAGGGCAACCTCGAGCAGATCTTGAAGGACTTTCCCTCGCGGAAGTTCATCCTTGTTGGCGATAGCGGCGAGGCAGATCTCGAGGTCTATACCGATATCGTCCTGGCCAACCCGGGCAGAATCCTGGGGATCTTTATCCGCGACGTCACCACTCCCAAGAAGAAGGAGTTCTTTGAGAAGTCTGTCGACTACCTGGAACACAAGCCCTCCCGGACCCGCAGCGATCCTCAGCTTGTTGACGAGTCTGATTTGGCCGGCAACCGGCCGGCGCTCCCGCCTCGCCGACCTCTTGCGCCGCCCCACCCGTCTTCAGATGCTATCAGCTTGGACAATGGGGATCTGATTGATTTGCGTGATAATGATGAGCGGGAGGCTTCGCTCCGGGAGAGTAAGACACCCTCGGTGTCTCCCGCCGGACGGACCCCCCCGGCGAAACCGTCGAAGCCTTCTTCGCTGCGCTCGAATTCGACGAACCCTGATACGTCGGTGGGTGGATTGATCAAACGGAAGCCCGTCCCACCACTCCCACCGCGCCGAGCATCTACCAAACCCGAGGTCTCGCCGGATCGGAATGTTGGGGCTGCAGACAGCAGCACGGTGCAGCAATTGCCTACGCGACCGAAGACAGCCGGCGTCGACCAAGACCCCGACGATGCCAGATCCGCACGTTCGAGGCAGCCTGCTCCACCCCCGCCCCCACCCCGTCGAGCCAACACGGCAGCATCAGTCGCAAGCTCCGCCTCCTCGCAGCAACCCAGCCGGCCCACCTCTCAGGAACAACAGCAGCAATCCTACCCGGCTGCAGCCGCCTCCGCAGCGTTACAATATGCCTCCGAGCGCCTCAACTGGTCCGCCTCTCCATCCAGCATCCTCCGCACCACCCAGTCGAACTCCTCGCTCAGTCGGACCAACACCGGTGCCCTGGATCGAAGCGGGGGAGGATCTGAGAACGCATACCCGCCCCCGCCGGCCGCCCCGCTGCCCAACAAGCGAGAGGAGATGTGGCGGCGGCGGTGGGAGCGCGCGCAGGAGCTGCTCGAGCCCCAAGGTGTGGTGTTGGGGAGCTGGCGCGTGGGTCGCGATGCGCAGGATGTAAGTGTGTGGTTGGTGCAGGAGGCCATGAAGGAGACCGGGGGGAAGCAGGGTTGAGCATATATGGTCTGGTCTTGATATATGCTTGCATGCATGGATGCAAAGGTTCCCGGGAGATTAAATTCCATTCCACGTGTGTGTGAGAGAGGGTGCAATTATGACGGGATAGACTACATACATACATGCATCTATGGCTAGTGCTTACTTTGTATATAGCATTAACTGACTGAATGAGACCATATACCGCTAATGAATTTGGTTGGTGGTATTTGTTAATGATTGATGCTCCTGCAGTAGGCAGTAGGGGGGGATGATCCGGTGATGATATTCGAAAGAGCAAACAGAGATCCCTATCTCCTACCTCCTCCTCCTCCTCCTCCTCCTCCTCCTCCTCCTCCTACCTCCCTCTCCCTGAGCAGCGAACAAACAAGCAAGGTAGAGGCGACAAAAAGGAACGCACACTCCTACCTCCTCCTCCTCATCCTCCTCCTCCTCCTCCTCCTCCGCCTACCTTCCTCTCCCTGAGCAGCGAACAAACAAGCAAGGTAAGAAGCGACAAAAAGGAACGCACACTCCTACCTACCGCTCATCCCCCAGGTGAGGGTGGAGGAGTGCAAAAAGATGGTCCCAGAGGGGCTCGAACCCTCGACTTTAACGTTATTAGCGTTACGCTCTAACCAACTGAGCTATGGGACCCAGTTGATGTGTGTTTGCTTAACACTTGCCTACATGATGGACTTGTCAGTTTGGAAAGGATGTGATGCGATTTGGGGGGCAGTGGTGGGTGGCTGGCCATGGGTACTGGGGTTTTGTGGGTGTGTGTCTGGTCAGAAGGTAAATCTTTTGGATGGTGTGGTAGGGATTAGTGGGGTCGGGGGTTCTGACCCGGGAGCATATCCCGGGAAGTACGGATTGGTATGAAACTTGGGACTGACTTTTGCCAGGAAGTCGGAGAGAAGAGAGGGGGCCGGGGTCTCCCCCCCCCCCCCCCCCATCTTCTAGTGGTCAGGGAGGAGTTGGACGAGGATTTGGAGGGAAGGGAAGGGGCTCGGGGAAAGAAACCCCCCGAGTAAAAGTTAGAGCTGAGTTGGACTCGGAGTTGGGAAGAAGGGATTACCGTAGTTACTGGTGAAATTAGGGCTGAAGTAAACCAGGGAGTTGAAAAGAAAGGTGGGGGTTTCCGGAGGTACGTCGCCCCCGGCATATCTTCTTTCTAGAGGTTAGGCTGAGCTGGGTATCGAGTTTGGAGGAAGGGATGACGGTAGAAATTAGGGCTAATTGAAGCATTGAAGCCAGGAGTTGAAAGGGAATTGTGGAGGGGGGAGGGTCCGTGGGTTGTTCCCGGGCTTTATTGATGTATTGTAGGATGGGCACGCCCTACCTTCATCGAGATTGGGATAAACGCACGGCTTAGGGACGGAACAGGTGAATTACGGCCAAAAAGGCACAGTGCAAGCAAGAGAGCAATAAGTACGGAGTAATAAGTAGGTTATAGCTCAGTGAGCTTTTTCCTTTGAAAAATTCGTGGTACGATGGTCGAATCTAACGTCTACCCTAGGTAAGTCAACCGAGAAAAAGCAGTCCGATGCGGTTGGCTATATGTCCCATGACTGGGATAAAGAGAACCTGCTTGGCTAGTGGACTAGTGGTACTTTTCCGATGGGCAGTGCTTACTTGCTTCCTAGTCAGGTTGATAGTGAAAAGTCTTCTTAGTATGGCTCTGTTTTCCCAGGAACTAGTTCATGCATTGTTCGACGTGTCGCTGCCTTTTCTTCAGGGAGTGGATTATTTGAGACTGCTAAGTAAGCCCTTGTAGGGAATCGAGGTACGGCACGAAATGCGTAGAGTACTGTATGAGGCTATGTCGCGCACGGAATTACCTTAATAGTCATTCGGTGGGTTCTGTGCTTGCTACATTCGTGTTATCTTCATGCTTGTCAAACAAGTTTTAGGGCTAGCTTGAATCTTCACTACTCACTACTTTCTCTGCGTCGAGCTCTTTAGATAACATACACATTCCGATATCACCCTCGGGGGCGAAGTCCGCGAATTGCAGACCTGGGTACCGGAACTGGGTAAGAATGCCTTTCCCTATGTGTTGTGTATTTCTTACCCCACGCATTAGTATTCTGGTTTGTATGACTGACATTGAATCTCTCTTACTGGTCTTTCGGGCTGCTTGTCTCTCGCATAAGATCGGCTGGTGGAGGAGCCGTAGATATTAGATTTTTCCGGTCTTAGCAGACCTGTATCTAGACCATTCCAGCTGTGTGTTACTAGGGATGGCTCAGCTCTGGCATACCCGCCCTCTAGTGCACTGTTGCTGGCGGTTCTCGTGTGCGGGTGTATGCTGTATGTGCTGGCCGGTTCGGAGCATTCACTACTTCGGTTACAGGGATCTGGCCAGAGCTAGAAGACAAGATCTACTACAGAATGAGCAAAGTAGAATTGACTAACCCTCCTATGATGAGGAGTCATAGTAGAAACCAGTGATACATTAATGATCAGAGGTTCCAGGATAGACGCAGGCTACAATGCCTTGCAAAAGAAATTGACGGGAGACGATGTCATGGCAATGTGCAGCCATCGACTACGATACACTTTGTCTTTCGAATCGAGACAAGGAGCCGATGTTTTTTTCGCCAGATGATAGAATGTTCATTGACGGACTGACTCTGGCTTTCGGGATGATTTATAAGGCAAAAAAGGAAAGACAGAACACAAAAAGATGGTCCCAGAGGGGCTCGAACCCTCGACTTTAACGTTATTAGCGTTACGCTCTAACCAACTGAGCTATGGGACCCGGTTGATGTTTGCTACTGAAAATGTATGTTAAATAGATCAAAAAAATAGCAAATGTGATTGCAGAATATTTCGGCTCGGGAACTGTATAGGCCGTCGCAGTAGGGAGTCTATTGTGCTGATCTCTGAGAAATAAGCATATTAAGTCGGCTTTGGTGTGTTTGAGTATGACCGGGATCTGTTAGTAAGCTTACTGTGCAGTCGTTGTGCTATTATCGGTAGGCTAATAGTGCATAGCTGTCCTATCAATCGAGCCACTGCCGAATTGCACAAAGTCAGATCGTGGGAGGCAACACAGTATGAGCTGGGGTCTGGAGTGTGTTCGATACTTCACCCGTAGATGCTTGCACCTAGGGCTGGGATAGGTCACATCCCCGTTGGTACTCTAATCACGGTGGTCGTGTTTACTACATGACCAGTTGTTATGCTGTATCACCACCGAGCACTCATTTTCCGCATCTAGGTAGATGTATTCTATGACTATCCGCGGGGCTCACGAGAGTCATTCCAGCTGTTCCTATATATACTGTCGAAATTGGAGCCCTTGTCCGTGAATATATGCCGTACATTTGTACTATATCACAGGCAATGTCTGGTAATTCCCGGGTGTGCTATGCATATTTAACCGCGTCTGTGGCCAGGCCATGAGCCACAATTCAACCTTCGCAGGCGGTTCTGGTGGCTCTACTAGCGTGGGTGGGTGTCGTGCCCCTCTTTTGTTCCCTGGGTGGGGATTGGCACTTGCAGATTGGGGTGGGCTCAATAGGGTCGCTGGTGCACTTTGCTCTACGAATGTATATATCCGATGCCGCGGGTGGTGCAGAGCAACCCAGCCCCGATCTAAACAGAGAGAAAAAACAAATACTATCACACACCAGTGAAACAAGCACCTAGATCAAAAGCACAATGCAACGCATAGACAATAGTACAAGACCAGAGAGATACAAAGCCGCACTGCCAGCACCTTCGACCACACGCGAAACTAGTTCGAGGCTTCAAGCAGCCAGCCACCGGCAACCACAGCGTAGTAACAGTCAAGGAAACCACAGAGTCAAGAGCATCATTACTAGATAGTCGACAGTTACCATGATCACTACCAGTAGAATTAGAATGTTTTCGTGGAATTCAGCCCGAGCGATGACCGCCAGAACCAAGCACATGAGTAATATACATTAATTAGGATTATAAAACACTAATTTCTGGCGAAATCAACAAGTGGGTCCCATAGCTCAGTTGGTTAGAGCGTAACGCTAATAACGTTAAAGTCGAGGGTTCGAGCCCCTCTGGGACCATCTTTTTGCAGTCAGTCCCGTTGTTTTATGGCCGGTTGCTCTTTATGTCGGTTGATGTTGTGCAGGACAGCACGCCATGTACTGTACAACACAGTCATCCATAGTGCGGTTCCAAGAAACTGGGACTGCCGGGAGCCGAAGCCGCTTAGCCAAACCTTATTCGAATTGAGTTTGAGGCTTGCCCGCGGAGAGCCCTTTATGTACCTCGCCTGTGAATAGGTTGGCTGGAAAAGGTGTATTTAAAGGTGCTCAAGGAGAAAATGCTTGATTATCTCGCACACGACTCAAGGTGCATACAGCTGAATCGAGTCCAATCCGTATCTATCCCGGTGCATATGCTCTGCGCTCCTCCCAACTAACTACCGTAGGGATCACCGAACCCAAGCAACCATGCTCACATTTCTACCGACTATAGAATCCAGGCCCACACGCAGACGATCGTTGAGCTAGGATATATATATATATACTAGCCCCATTGTTCCCCCACAAAGCATCAACGAATCCCGAAAATACACAAAACATCACGCACCGGCCATGCAGAACAATCGACGCAAAGGCCTCACAAATTAATCATGGACGGCTCTCCCGCCGTCGTCTAGAGCAAAGTAAGCCACCAATATAGCAAAAACTCTACCCTTATCCTGTTCCTCAGCAAGTACATTGGCTCTTTGTATGACATAGGTTACTGCAGCCTCATAAGAGACATAAATTCACGTTGCTTCAACAAGCGGGTCCCATAGCTCAGTTGGTTAGAGCGTAACGCTAATAACGTTAAAGTCGAGGGTTCGAGCCCCTCTGGGACCAGCCTTTCCTTTTTGCATTAAACACGCTGTTTTTGTGGATGGCATGGGGTGGCGGACGCATCGGTTTGTTGGTGAATAGGTTGGTGGATGGGAGAGGGCAGTAAAGTGGTGTACGCTGTCGTGACTCGTCTACATTCCGCACCGCCCATATACTAGGATATAAGCATAAGCGAGCACACCCTTATATAATGGTACGAATACAGGGCGGTACGAACAAGCGGAATTTCCAAATTGGACTTTGTCGCCAAAGGTGGCTGGCTGCGTGGGCCGCTTGGCCGCTGGCCGCTAATTGCCGCCGTCGACGGCATTGGTAACCGGTCAATCGGCTAATCTCGGTCCCCCACATCCGGTTGGGAATAGTATGAGGCCAATCATGTTTTCAGCTTGCAGCATGAGAGGCGACATAAGTACGACTGAAATAAACTCTCCAACTTGAACTTGAGCACTACTTCGAAAAAGACCATTGCAAGGATATCACGATGGCCGAATTCTCTACAGTACCCGGGACGGATGTCTACGGACCGGGTGCTTACATCGACAACAACCCACTCCCCGTTTCTACAGAAGCACGCCGCGTATTCTAACATCTCGCGTCACGGACTCCAGGATTTATAGACCGCTCGGCATGGGATTCTGTTGTTTTTGACGGTCACGATCGTCCAATCATTCCCGGTCCCATCAAATCAGCTGTTGTGGCCGCAGCTTTACATGGAATGTGTGGCCTCGTTGCCAACGAGATAATAAATCTCCGTGATGGCGAGAACCCAGTCGAAAATGGGATCACCATCATTATAGATCATGCGGCACTTTGGCTTGCCACCAATTATATTTTAAACGTGAACGGAATGGACCTGCCCACCCTTGCGCGGACTGGCAAGTTACCTGAGTTGTTTGCAACAGATTTTGAAAAAGACTTCGGAAAAGGCCTTGCTGCTCGAACTACCGCCGTTTATCAAACCAAGAACCCAAATGTTTGGTATCAGCTTCATGGGTCGATGGATGCTAATACTATGCTTGAAAGTATGGGTATAGATACCACTAAGTCATTCTTGTCTATGCAAGAGACATGTGACTGTATCCAAAGCCATGTGAAGAATTGGAGCGCTAATGAACTCGAGATGCATAATCTACGAAACGGTCTCTGCGGAAGCATCTGCTAGTCCCCGAAGGGATGGAGAGAAACTGAGATGGGGAAGCAGTTGGCTCGAGACCCACTTGCGAATTATAGTCTCGCGAACTATGCACCCGAGACATCGAAATGCCCAATCCTCAAGGTTGTGGGAGACAGACGGTCTTTGGCTGGTATCAAAGTCAATGAAATGGTTCGAATGATTGCAGGTCGATATTGACCTCAATCTGGAAGGAGACAGAGAGCTACTCAGCAATCTCCTTGCCGATGTGGACATATTTGTCAAAGGGTATCGCTACAAAAGCTTAGAGCGAAAATGCCTCGGTCTCAACGATCTACTCTTACTTGCCGCTCGACGCCACACAGGCATTGTGTACGTGGATGAAAATTGCTATGGTCCTAATGGTCCGTTTGCATCAAGGCCAGGATGGCAGCAGATTGCCGACGCTGCATCAGGGATCTTTTATGTTATTGGCCGGTCCTTAGGCTAGGAAGAGGGCCACAGCATTCTCCCCTCAATTCCAGTTGCCGATATGACAGCTGGTCTTGTGGGTTCGCTCGGAGCAATGGTGGCTCTTCGCGATCGTGCCACGAAAGGAGGATCTTACCATGTTTTCTCTTCACTTGTAGCTGCGAATACCATTTCTTTGGAGCCTATGATTGGTTTGTGCCCAATGGAGGTTCTGAAGGAAACAGCAAAGACTTTTGGTTTTATGTCCGGTACTGCTGATCAATACATCGCTGAACTCGCGTATCAAGCGGTCGATTGTTGGAAGGAAAAGTTTCCTGGCATCATGGACGAGGACTCGCCATTCAGGGTTAAATTTGACGATAGTTTCTGGCCACAGCAGAGCGTCCTAAAGCCTGTCATTCGGCTCCAGGATAAGGAAACAGCTCCTCAGTGGAAAAACTTCGCCTGTACCGAACTGTTTCCATCCAAGCAATATCACCTGGCTTTGATAGAAGGCAATTTCAAATGTAACTCATGACCATGCTGATTCGCACTTCCAACTGAGCTCGGGCTTTTCAGTCTTCGGACTTTGAAATATATTTGTTCAATTTCAATATCAACAACCCTCTTACTCCGGTAGTGTTTCCATAGTTGTAGTGCCCCTTTCTATTCTATCTTTCTATTTACCTATATCTACTCCATACAGGAGAACCCTATGATCTTATTCTAGTTTACAATACCTTACTGTCAGGTAACTTTCTTTCTACGTCAGAGTCATAACCCAGTGAAAGCTCATGTCCAGGTAGATTTCGTTCCTTTTGAGCGATTCTTGATGGATGCTCGGCACAGTTGAGAGAAGGCTTTGAGTTCAAGCGTACGAGTCCAGGCGTCAGGATAGACATAGCAAATGGCGCTGACGATCTTCTCCACCTTTATACCCCAGAACTCGGGGTAATCATTCAAGAGTCTGGACTTAGATTAGAAGCAAGTGTTAATTGTCCTAGACAGGTAGGTGATAATATCTAATCAGCCATGGTGACGTTGCTCGGGTAACGTCAGTAACGAGAGTAAAAAAAGATTGTGATAACAAGAGAATGCAGTCTGATGGGCTTATATTGTGTTCTTTAAAGCAACTCGTTCATCTGTCATCTCATTAGAAGACCGCCCTACACCACAAGTGAGATTATATACCAGCCATTGACCTAATTTGGCGCTCGCTGTTCCGAGTCGTTATCATACTTGTGATATCTTCAGTCCGAAGAATTCACCTTGTTCTATTTTTCACCAAACTGGTCTAGAATCCCTGGGTGCTGACGAAATGCCAATCTCTATTGAACTTGCAGGACAATCCCCGCTGATCGCCTCCAGTATAAATATTCGAGGACTGAGATACCTACTTACCATATATCATAGTCCCTCTTGGGTTATTAGATAGGCAAAATTCTCATATAATATCTTTCCTAAACTAACCTACTTCACAGGCGCCTTTGTATAGTCAGCCAACGGTCGGCTCTAACGACATCCCAATTGCCCGAAACGTATGGCACCCGCACTTGAGCGCTTGATATTCGTTAATAAAAGGAAAACAGGAATAGAATGATACTATGGAGACTACGTGACATGCAAAGCCTAGATGATCTCCACAGGAACTTGAACGACCTTGTCACGGAGGTAATCCGCGAAGTTCCTTTCCAAAGCCATCGAGGCGGCTAGAACTGCTCACGCCGCGTCCCAAGATACCATAAATAACAAAATGAACTGCGTGAATATGAGAGAATTCAACGCGCTCGATGAAGAAGCTATCACGCCAGTCTTGCCCGAGTAGTTGGCGCATACGGTCCTTGGTCATATAAGCTCGAAGCCAAGGCCAGTGGTTGGGGTTTGTAGGGAAAAATCCCACGTTGAGATTTCCTCCCTTATCCCCCGATCGAGCGAGAGCGATATCCCCCAATCGCATTTCTTTGGTGTTGCAGTTGTATGTTTGTGGGTTTTCAGGGTCGTAGTTGTCTCGAATGCCAGATTCTTCGTATTGGGGCGGGTGCCCGGTTCCGAAAGAGACAATCTTGTCGGATTCTTCGATGAAGTTGATTGTTTCATCAATGTCTGATTGCTTGATCAACGCAGGGTAGTATGCGAGGAAAGGCCGGGGTACGGCAGATCGCGAATCCAATGACGCATGGAAACCTATTTCGATTACAAACTGTTATCCCGGATGGCTTCTTGAATAACGAGGCTTGCAATGAATTTTTCCCTACCAGAGAAATGCTTCAGGGAGATGTTGCCCATCGCCTTTGCTGCTGCAGCTACAGCGGACTCTTTTTGAGAGGTAATGAAGACTCGAAGGTAGGTCGTGCTCTCCAGTTGACTGCTCGGGTTTTGAGCGGGGACCCCAACTCTATGCTATGTTAGCCAGCCCCAAGTTCAAATGAAACAGTTGTGGTCCAAGATTCTCGGTCATTTACCGTTGAAACTCCAGTGTCTCCAGGTCGCTCATCACTAATTCAGGAATGAAGTGGCGGAGTTGTTTCTCAAAAAGATCCCATTTCTTGGAAGTCGCATATCCTGCCGCATTGAGTAGGAGTTGGCACTCATATCCTCCTTGGTAAAAGACCGCGCATTTAGTGGTCGATGGCGGTGGTGTTCCGCGAACTCCAAATACGTGTACACTGTAGATGTTGAGGGTCAGTTCAAATGTGCTAGGAGGATCAAGTTCTAAAAGGGGTAGCCGCAGCGATCATGGGTCACATACCGATCTTTCCCTGCATCTTCAACGCGTAGATCGGCAATATGAGCGCTAACGTCGCTGTTGAAATAGGTATTTCCTTGTAGCTCGTAGAGAAACTGACAGCGCACGGTGTCCGTGTTAATGAAACCAGATGTTCCAGGATGTTTGGTAATCACACATGTGCCATCGATAGCAATTTCAGCGATGGGAAAACCTGGGGCGACGAGTTCGTCCAGGTCATACTTATCGAAGCCAGCGAAATTACCGCCAGTCACATACGTCGAGCATTCAATGAGATGGCCCGCAATCAAAGAACCTGCGAGTTCGTCATAATGCTGCTCAGACCAGTCATGCCAGAACCAAGCAGCGGCAATAACGGGACTGGCATCAGCCACTCGGCCGCAGATGATGATGTCCGCTCCCCGTCGCAAACCATCGACAATGCCTCGAGCTCCAAGGTACGCGTGTGCTGATACCATGGGTACTGGCTTTCCACCATTGTTGAGGAAGGCGTAGGTGAGCTCAGCTGGAGCTGCGGATGGGTTACCGGAGTCGAGATGACGCAATTCCTCCTTGGTAGTGGGCATATTGGGACCCAAAGCTGGATACATATCGTCGCCCGAGAGATACGCGACGGAAAGGCGGAGATTCTTTTCCGCAACCTAGTCAGAACCCATCCTCGGTTAGTGAGACTTCATTCCTCGATAGCCAAAGCTCGGTCGGAAGAATTGTTGGACTGACCAGTGCCTTCACTCGTAAAGCAAGGGCTTTAGGGTCTAGAGCGCCTCCGTTGATGACCACTCGGATTCCCTTTTGGGCGAGGACGTCGATCGTCTGCTCAAGGCCATCCCAGGCGGTTGGCTCGTACCCTGGATGCTTCCCACTTCTCCAGGCCTGCGCATTGTTGGCTAGGTTGACCTCTGGAGGAATTCTGATCAGCTTGGTCTGAACTCCATAGAGACATGGCGGATGAGACAGACGTACCTGCAAGATAGTCACCGGTGATGAAATCGACGTCGCCCAATGTCGCTTGGCGGTACATTTCGTATGCGGGATCGCCTGCGTTGCATGATTTAACGGGTGATCGTAGGTATGGCACGTATACTATGGGTACATACCATGGTAGCCGGAGCAGTTGGCCACTCTTACAGGTCGTTTCTCAATAGGACGCGGCATTGCAATGGTGGAAAACGAAGAGTTGGTCTGAGCGAGTAGACAGAAATTCCAAAGTAAGATATTCACGGATGCCGTAGTCAGAGCCCGTGCAACGAGAGTGAGAAAGATCGTGAGAGACAAACTGGGCTATTATTAGGTCTTTCGAATATCACAAGATGATGAAATGGCAGGCTCCCCAAAGTCCCGCGGGCCGCGGACCACGGACGACTTTCAACTGGCAACTCATCCGAGATTGTCTCGGGTATTTACTGGCGAGATCAACATCGTGCAGCCTTACGACGAAACTAAAGGGCCTTCTTCGAATACACTAAGGAATTCGAGAAACTTTCTAACGTGCGGTGGATCCTGTGAAGCTTGCGTGATGTTCCTCAAGACAAGATCGTGAGGAATCGGCCTAATTCTTGCGGGGATTGACAAGCGTGCTCCTGTTATGTCTGGAGTGACTTGAGTCAATCTTTCCGATTTCTATATCCGGTCGCTTATTATTCAAAAGTTGCATTACCGTAGTAACATTATCCTGTGACGTTGGAAGTCTCCCCGGCCCACGGAGCCTTCACTCCACGGGCCGTGGAGGCCGACTGCGAACAATATGTGGAACCAAGTCCCACTTGGTCTATGAGTGAAGCAAGATTCCTGGGGCCAGTGTTTCATCAAATACATTAGTCTACATTCTCCCTGGGCTTATGAACGGCCGTAATTGGCTCCTCCTGTCTCTCGCCGTCTGCATCTGATCAAGCTTCCATCACTCTCTCCCCTGTATTTGCAACTTGACATCGGTCCGCGCACCATGTCGACCCACGAAACAATTTCCGGCACGAATGTGTACGGCCCAGGAACGTTCGTCGACAAGAGCGCTCTCCCTGTGCCCGAGGATGCCAAGCGGATCTTTGAGGTACTCGCTTCGCGGACTCCCGGCTTCACGCAGAACAAAGCTGCATGGGATACCGTTCGTTTTGAGGGCCAGCCGAAGCCCATGATTCCAGGGCCCATCAAATCCGCCGCTGTGGCAGCCGCCCTCCACGCTATGGCGGGCGTGGTAGCCAACGAGTTACTGGAGCTTCGCGATGGAAAGGCTGTGACTGAAAGCAGTGTCACAGTCGACACCGACCACGCTGGAATTTGGCTTGGCTCGGTGTTCACCACTTACATTAATGGCATGGAATTATCGGAAATTGGGCGATTGGGGAAAATGAGTGCCTTGTTTCCCAAAGACTTCGAGCGTGGCGTCTTTCAAGGCATCGCTGGCCGGACCACAGCGATCTATCAGACGAAGGATCCTAAAGTCTGGTACCAGCTGCACGGCTCCTTGGATGCCAAGAAAACTCTCCAGTCTATGGGAATCGACACAAGCGTGACATTTGATAAACCTCAAGAATACTACGATTATATCCAGAATCATATCATTACGTGGAGTCCGGACGAGCTTGAGATGCATAACGTGCGTCATGGCCTCTGCGGAAGTATTTGCTACTCGCCAGATGGGTGGAGGAAGACAGAGATGGGAAAGCGACTTGACAGTCACCCCCTGGTCAACTACTCCGAGCAGACATATGCTAAATCCACCCCCCCGGTGCCTCTCGCCAAGGGTCTGTCTGATCGTCGACCGCTTGCTGGCATCAAGGTCCTAGAGATGGTTCGAATTATCGCCGGTCCTCAGATTGGTGTTACGCTGGCCTCTTACGGAGCCGATGTCATTCGAGTGAACTGCAGCAGACTAGTCGATCTGAATGTGAGTGCGATCTACTGATCTTACAAATAATTATATCACTCATGTTTAACTTGTGTTCCAGGTCTTGCAACTCGTCTTGAACGCGGGAAAACGGACTATCGACCTTGATATCACCAAGCCGGAAGACATGGATCGTCTCCACGAGCTCCTTGCCGACGTTGATATCTTCATTCAAGGTTTCCGAATGGAATCGTTGCAACGAAAGGGCCTCGGCCTCCACAATCTCCTCGAGCTGGCCGCTAAGCGCAACAAAGGAATCATCTATGTAGATGAAAACGCTTATGGACCAGATGGTCCATTCCACGCGCGCCCAGGGTGGCAGCAGATTGGAGATGCTGCATCCGGAAGCTCATACGTCATGGGCCGGTCCCAGGGACATGAAGAAGGGAAGAGCGTGTTGCCACCTCTTCCAGTGTCTGACATGGTTACTGGAATTGTCGGCGCGTTGGCAGCTATGATGGCGGTCCGCGACCGTGCAATCAAGGGTGGCTCATACCATGTCACGAGCTCTCTTGTTGCTGCTGATTGTATCTCACTGACACAGGAGGTGGGATTGTACCCGCTGCATGTTGTTGAAGAGACTGCCAAGAGGCTCGCTTTCCCTGACAGCACACCAGACCAATATGTTTCGGAAATTTTGGTCGCTGTTGTGAATGGGTGGAAGAAAGCTCTTCCCGGCTATCTGGATGAAAACTCGAAATATATGACTACCTTCGAAGAGGGTTTCTGGGGACGCCACACAATTTTGAAGCCAGTTGCGCGACTGAATGACGATGCGTCAACAGCGAGGTGGACTTCCGCACCTGTGCCACACTGCCACCATGACCGCTCTATTACCTGGCTATCATAGACTGAGCGAACAGAATATATATAGATGTTATCTAAGCGATACACCAAATGTGTCCTTTGAGAACCGAGTTTCTTCTTTCCTCAGAAACCAAGAAAATTGCCTCCATGCTAAGCCGTATAGTGTATTGTCAATTGATGATCCCACTGAGGGTCTCAATTCGATCCACTAGCTCTCCCTCGGTCCGTATCAGGAGAAAATGGCGCGCCAACAAATATATCTTGCCAATTCCAAAAAGGAGGTATTGACCACTGCGAATTAAGATAACCAAGATTTGCGTTATTGAGAAAGTCAAGTTCGTCATTGAAGGCGCTGTTATCGGTGTGGTCCGCAGGGCGTTCGCGTCCAGACAGGTCGGTGGCTAGGTCAACAGCATCCTCATCAGCACCTGCTGCTGGTGACCGAATATGATCACTTCGTACTTGTTGCAGGGCGCGTCTAGCAGAGCATTCGATTTCGGAACACACGCTCAGTATGAAGTCAACAAATGTGCCGGGTTCTTCATTTGAAACAGTTGTGAGAAATGCTGTTGCTTCATGAATCATGGCGAGGTCCTCATTGGAATGTGGATGGGTAGGATGGAGGCATATTTCATGAGCTAATGCCACACATGCAATGGGGAAGAAGTAGATAACGTTCCTTGCGAGGTAAGTATTGGCTCGATTCCCAGAGCGCAGTCATTCTATCGAGACTTGCCATCTGTAGTTGGGTCCGAGCAAACGAACATACGGAAGCAAAGCTAATGCAGAGCGCGCCGACTCATTAGCGCGCAGACAAAGCGCACTTATCTCTCTGTCGATCTCTCTTGTACACTCCTGTGACTCTTTATTGGGAAGGTATGAAGTCACGAGGGACATGTGACCAAGATTCGCATAGCAAGAGTGATAAGCAAGTTGTAAACGAAGAAGGTGTTGCTGGGAGTGGTCAGGTTTAGCAGCGAATATGTGCTCTGGTTGAATTGTATCTAGAGTTGACCTTTTCCACGACAGCAGAGCTTCTTCGCAAGCCTTGGCCGACTTGAAAGCTATCTCTTTGGGTTGTTGAGTAACGAGGACAGTTTGAATATGCAGATAGGCACGCCTTTGGACTATTGCAAATTGAGCGAGCAGGCGAAAGAAGTTAACTGAAGTCCCGTCGATAGAAATGGTACCTCGACCATCGTAGGGTATCTCAGCAGGCAATGGTATATTATAGTCCTCCATGTCCTGAACCGGTGGGCGTCCAACGCGCAGGGAAATATCAGCATCCAAAACGAATGATATCCAGAACGTTCTCCGCCTCTCTTCGATCTCAGCTTGGGTAAAGCCAGAAGTGGCGTTTCTGTGTAATCCAATAGAGTGCGACAGGCGCATAGCCGACGCCGCAAGCATATACAGGGCTTGTGCGTTCGGCGTTCCCTGGAAGTAAAGAGCCAATCCCAGTAGTCCCTGTACGGCAGGGAGATCTGCATTGCGAAGGAATAGGTCCACTACCACATTCAATGCGTTTTTGACGTGGCTCAATGACTTCTTCCAATCACCACTCGGGTCGACGCATGCTTGTGCCCTCTCTCTGTAGGAAAAAGCAATCACAACGTTGATCAAGGCCCATGATGATGGACTATCGTCCGGATTCCAGGAAAATTGCCGCTCCATCAAACGCAGTAGTGATGAAGCATCCACCAACGGAATAGTGTGATTGAAGTTAGCAAGAAACTCGGTCACTAAGGTCAGTGTAGCTTCCCTCGTCGGTAGAGGGTGAGTGGTACGGTGCCCAAAGTCGTCTCGGAGAATTCGGGGAATCCAGTTTGTCAATGGCCATTGGAAATTACTGGGTCGGGCCACATTTTCCAGGCCAACCTTTGGTTGTTTGTCCCTCTGGGAGGTCAATTTTCCAGAATAATGCGCACTGAATCCGGAAGATGCTCCTAAATTACCGAATCAGCTTTCGAGCACCAAGGGAGATAAGGAAAACCGACCGTAGAAGCGCATTCTGCCATTCTGCCCTCGAAGAAAGTAAGATGGCTGATCGGATGTGTTTTGGCCTGTCTGGACGGCTTCACCATCTGGAAACTGGGCTCGAAGAAGGACGTTTGCTTCTTCTTCTTCTTCTTCTTCTCCTTCTTCTCCAGGACCTGCAGCCACACCAGGAGGCCGCGAAGCATGAATTGCGTGTTGAGGCACCTTCTCACCTCGGCTGAGTCGCTGCAATCGATCCTCCATCTGTCTGAGACGCTGTTCTAGTTCGCCAATGTACGCCCTATATAATGAAGAGTTGGTTCCACAACCCAGGCACCATGTAGCGGAGAGGACCAGATTTGACTCACTTACTTGAGCGACTAGAATGTTTCCCGACATCTTCAAAGCCGCACGAAAGCTTGAAGATCATGCATGACGAGCAAATTGGCCGTTTTCCATCGCATTTGACTTTCTTTCGTCGGCAGGTGTTGCATGCCTATGTAAGGTTAAATTCGATGCAGTCAACGTTGTCGTCGGCTGGCTTGCCACTGACCTTAGCCGGACGTGATTTCTCAACACGGGAGGGTCCTGGTTCATTCATTTCATCGATGATGATGCAACGGACCTGATTTACAAGGAGTACACCCGAGTTCGACGGGTAATAATTTCTGTGATGGCGAACCCGCTGACGCGAAGCACCGGGCGGATACTGCGAGGGTACCTGATCAGGATGTGTTTCGACAGATACCCAGGACCCCCTGGAAATTGACTCAAGCGAACTATAGTTGACTATAGTCAAGTAGAGGGCATGTGATGAGTTAGCCAGACGTGGGACACGTGAAAGTAACCAATTAACGGATCGCACGACGGTGGTGCTGGTTAAGGGCGACTTCCGCCGAGCGGGAGAAGTATCACGTGCTACGGCGGCCCAGACCGGCCTCCGACCGGTAAAAAAAGGACTGGAGTCAAAAGTTATGTTAACAATTATTACCTAGTTAAGGCATTTCCACGCGACCCAACTGACCGTGTAAGGAGCGCAATAACACTTGAAACTCAGCCTCCTCTACTTATTAGCTGACTCGATCATGGCTAAACGTGTACATGATACTTTAATCAGTGGACTTCTCAAATTATCTATCGCCAGATATAAGACAAGCCGTATCCTCCTACGCCCTTTTTCTACAATCCGGAAGATGGCCGAACCTCGTGACTTGTTCGAGTACACGTCCGGCCGATGGATGTACTTTCAAACTAACTAGCACACCGACCATTTTGAGCTCCTTGACTGATTTGCGACTAGCTATAATGATGATTTGAGGCACGTAGAGGAGACGTCCTTTTAATGTCCCTGAACTCAAGCGCCTGCCTGCCTAAGCCGTCCAGCGGAAGGAAGACGACATCGTCGGGTTCGAGAAGCTTGCCGAAGGAGGATTTAACCGAAGTTTAATAATCACCACCCGAGACGGCTTCCAATTTGTTGCACGCATTCCATACCCGGTCACCGAGCCAAAAACCCTACTTATTACAAGTGAAGTTGCAACGATAGACTTTCTCCGTTCTCATAGTATGCCAGTGTCACGAGGCAGAATGTCAGAAACCCGCGGAGGACAACGTCAGCCAACTAAGCCCTCAGAAACGGGAAAACCTACAGGAGTCACGTGCAACTAATGAGAAGTATTACATATATGCTTCCTAGGAGCAACATCACATACAAAAAGGCTCCTAGGAGTAAAGTGGGTTAGTTGATTGATTGATTGATTGATTGATTGATTGATTGATTGATTGATTGATTGATTGATTGATTCATTCATTCATAGACTGTCCCAGCCGCCCTATTTCAGCAGCTATGCAGCGTGTGCAACTAAAAATACAGGTGTTACCGCTTCTGGCATCCAGAATCAAGCTCTTCCTCTCACGAAGTGCTTCCTCCTTTTGTTCCCGGCAGTTGCACCCTCCTGTACTAATAATTCTAATACCTGTTTCTGTACCTCTGTTCTTGTCAGGCCTTTCCTGGCCCTTCTCTGCTTCTGTCTAACCAAAATCACTCGTCCGCGGTAAATTGAGCACTGTGGATGGGCTGCCCCAGTAGTGCCCCTCCTGTAGAGACTGCGGTGGTTCGTTCTGTATGTCGGAAGGCACGCTACTTTGAGTGCCGATGTTACCGTGTGCGTGTGGTAGTGGAAGTGGAAGTGGCTTGCTCGTTGATGTGTTCTAGGTCCGTGTTGATGAGTGGCCACGTAGATGTTTCGTGACAGAAAGACATGCCTGGGACAAGCCCCTTGGCATGGACATCTGTTGGGACGTAAGCCAACTCTGAAGTTGCAAATATTGTAAGGGTCGAATTGACGTTCTGAGCTGTTGGTGGTGTTTTTGATAGTGTTTTTGGATGTTAATGTTGTTGGCTTCGTTTTGATTGCGTCGTCCATATGTTGAGCCTATGAACCACATAACCGGCTCTGCCCCCAGCCTATCGTGTCGTTGTCAATCCAAGCTGTAAACCGTTGTCGAGCAGGACGAACGGGGTGACGAGGTTAGCAATTGTCTTAGATCTGTTCTTTATTTATATAAGCTCAATTCCCGGAGTTTCTTATACTATCGAAGAACTATACTTTTAATTCTAGTCTATTCAGCTTACTGGATAGTTTTGATAATCTTAGTCTTAAGTAAAAGAAATAGACTATAAACTAGAAGAACTTAGCTTTGCTATTTAAAATATTATAAGATATCTAGTCTTATACATAACTAGTATATTTACAATTTTATAAAACTTGACTCTAGATTATAGAAATCTTTTACTTACTATTAACTATTCTCTTAGAGTAGCTTGGTATTCCTGCACCACTGTTTGATTTATTTATACTAGGACTAGTCTTTGCTAGAGCTTCCAGACAGCTATTTCTTTATAATATTAGAAAATAAACAACAAAGATATAATGAACAAAAATTACGATATAAGAATAGGCTTTATTTATATAATCTCGTAAGGAATTAGCTTTTTACTGATGATATCGGTTGGGTTTCAAATGACTACTAGGAAGTGATAGGAAAGGCAAATAGGGAGCTGCACAATATGTATGTTGAAACAATGAGCGAAGAGGTCATGCCCCAAGCAGCTGCGAAGAATTAGCCTTTTCCACTGCAACTGGCCTGATCTGGAGTCAAAGATTTTTTTTCGCTTGTTCTATTAATTCCGAGATGACATGTTTGCCTTCTTCCGGTTGTTCTTTGTCTATAGCTTTTCGGTTGATTATTGCTGTTGCAAGATTTCCGTGGGGGTTCTTCTTCAGCCAGTCTTTAAGGTCCTCACTCTAAGCCTAACTGTTGACGTGAAGATACATATTGTAGTGACCTGGCCTGTCTTGGACTTCTTCGCCCACGTCAATACGATACTGATATTCTACATCATTCTTGGGAGTTCGTGACGGTAGAAGTCGACTACCAGAGTTTGCTTCTCTGAAAAGCTTTGCTACTTGTTAAGGGTTATTGACGACCTCTCGCCAAATCTTTTAAGCACTCCAGACATCTCTGCAACGATATTCAAATTTCTAAGTGCAAGATCATAGATTAGCAAGATGTCTTCAATTAATAGCATGTGCACAGATTTCTACTCCTGCATGGATCAAGTTGGTGGTGACGTCTATATTGCAATTACTCTTCCCAGTGAAAGTAGAAGAAACCCTGTGAGAATTGCTCAACCTTAATTACCGCTTATTCCAACAGTGTTATTGACCTTACATACTGCTAAAAGCGCCGCCCAGGGTCATACAATGAGCATTATTATCATCTCTATCCAATTAAATTATGGCTTTAGCCGCGGAACGAGGAGCCGGGCACGTCAGGCTAAACTACTCGCATATTTTGCCATCCCTGTAGGTTATTTAAAGGTCCAAGTCCAATAATAGGCAACATCAACCGCCAGTCCCTTTACTGCCGGTCAAAAATGCAGGTGACAAAGATGATCACAAGATGAACAGGTAGGAAGAATGGAAAAGTGAGGAGTGAAGAAGAACGGCGAAGACCGTCGAAGCTGGAATGAGCATTCAGGGTAAGAGGTCGCGCTACCCGCCTTCCTTCCCTGAAATTGTCTTATCTTGTCCAGTAACTGGTCCTCGTTGCCTTCTTTGGAGGCCAAATGAGCTGGTCTTAAACGATTCAGAATCCTTGAACTGATGGCCTCAATTTGCAACAATCTGGAAAGACGTTATCTCACCAGCCTCTTTTCCGCTCCCAAACAAAATGCTGATGGCATGCCGGGCATTTCAGTGCTTCCTCCGACCACCGAGAGAAACAGGAATACAACCGAAAGTAGGCAAGGCAGATCATTAACAAACAGTCTGACACCACTTACAGATCTCCTGCGCCAAGCAACATTTCCAATTTCTCTTCCAAATCTCAAAGCCAGAAAAAAGGAAGCGTCTCCTAGTTTCGTGAAGGTTCTGACAGTAACACATTAGAGCAGAGGAGCCAACAAGCAAGATCCCTTGCAAATGAAATAAGGAAAATGCAATGAAAAGACAGATCATTTATATAGGGCCTTTTTGTGGCAAGATCACAGGCTGAAGCTCTACTGCTTGCTCGCACTGCGGAACGATATGTTTGTCTCTGGTGTCGGCGCCGATCTTAGGGTGAAACCTCGCCCGTACCGTTCCTTAAATTCGGGAACCGTCTCATCTCCCGCCGCATCGCTTGCGCGTGGCAAAGTATCGGATTCTGAGGTGGGCTCTTCATTTCTCGAATAAACAATGTGATGAGCTGTGAGGTCTCGTGATAGCTGCTGGATTGACTCGTTGCTCATATAGCCTCCTACTTGTCTATTCCTCCAACCCAGACCCCGATTTTTTCCATGAAGAACTTTCCCATTCGCGGAAACCATAAACTGCAGAGCGTCACCAGTGCCGTGGTTCTCGATAACACTGACAGTCTCCTTGAAGTGACTATCCGCACGGGTGCAGATATCCAAGCACTGCCGAGCGGCCTCCCATTCGTCACGTAGCCGCGACAAATCTTGGGCATCTTCATCAGAAACGGTAGTTCTCGATTTCGCGACCAGCCGATCCATGACATCTTGCATATGCTTTTCCAACTTGGCGGTTGTAGCAATTAGACTCCTTTTACATTCTTGTAAGCCTTCATTCGTAACAGTCTCGGGCGACATATCAGCCATCTCAGATCCGTCAGCAGGGCTTGCATTGTCGGATATCAGCTGAATTTGATCGATATGGCTTGACAACTGGGCGCAAATCTGAAGGCATTTTTCTGTACTCCGGCGCTCCTCCTTCAATGAGTGCAGTTCACTTGCATCTAGTTCAGAGAGAATTCCGTTCTTCTCAGCCAGCTGCTTTAACTTTTGATCAATATTCTCAAGTCGAGCCCCCAGGTCTTCCTTCGTATCTTGAATCAGACCCTCATAGTCCCTGATGCTTTCAACAGCAACCGTAGATTGGCGCCTGATGAGAGATTAATAAACAACGGAAGATTGTGATAGGATAAAACTGATGCTTGATGGTAACTTACAGTGTGGCATCAGTCAAGGCAATATTAATTGTAGCTTTGTATCCTGCCAATAAGTCACGCAAATCATCAATATTGCCACCCATGTATGTCAATCTTGCCCAATCACGGAAACTTGCGCGACTACTGCTCGATCTTGACGCGCATCGGAGTAGCTCTTGCTGGAACTCCTTGCAGGCATTGCCGCATCGGAACAATGGCAGATCGAGGACTGATAGATCAACCTCAGATGTCGATTTTACTAGATCAACAAGGGGTGCCAGCACGGCGCTCAAAGCTTCCAGCTCCCCGAGAAGGTCACGGACACGCTTTGGATGCGATTGAAAACTTTTCACTGTCTCATAAAGAGAGACACTGCTTTGAAAGGCAAACGTCGCCAATGCAAGTATTCCAGAGGCAAGTCCGATCGTTTCCGCCATAGTTATCTCAGTGCAACCATAAGTTGTTATAACACCGCTTTGAAAGTGTTGAAGTTGTAAAGAATCAAACCAAGACAAAACGAGTTATTCTGAAAAGGAGGAATAGGCAAGAAAGACTGTTGAATCTTCTTTCCGGGCCTAGTTGGGGTTTTATAAATTAAGAGGGGTAACACTTGTCGTCAAATTGTAAGCGTTTGGCTTAACTATCTCGGGATCGTTGCTCTGTGGTGGGCGAAGATTCCAATGCGCTCAGGTGGGGCGGCGGCTGCTCAAACAAAAAGGCGGCGGGAAACTAAGACCCAGCTACGGCAGATGGTTGGTTTGGGCCATTTGGAGTGCATGCGCAAGTTGAGTATTTTTCGCCTGTCAGCTTTAACGCCCAGACAGCTCGGACCTCTGACCTCTAATCTCCTACCAGGTCGCGCTCCGCAACAGTCCGTCGTCGCCTACTAAAGTGTCCCAAAGCCCTTTGACTTCCTTTTGACTTACTCTAATTCCCTTTTGAATTACCATTTACTTGCCGTCGACTTCAACTTTCACCCAACATTGCCATCTGCCAATCGCCAAAGCCCGCAATTCCCTGCCCACTTCCAACTGCCAAACTATAGCCCTATTACTATGGGACTCACACCACAGGAATTCTGTGAGAACCTAGCTCGGAAGCGAATTCATTTTAGCCACGACGAACAAATTAAATAAACAGAATTTATCTCTCAGACATATTACTTTATCTATACTTAATCTATCTCCGACAAAACAACAGAGAATTGTTAGACGCTGTCTCTAAGAAATCCAGTAACTAGGTGACTATATCTGGATTCTAGTAGCTATTACTTTTACTTTTACCTAGTCTTGTATATCTTTGTGAATATAATAAATACTTAAAGATAATCGAGTCTTGACTAAAAAAGTATTCTATTACTCAGAATTAGAATAAAAGTATCCGTACTTGACTACAAGCTTTAGATAATAAGAGATAGAAGGTAAATAATAGTAAGTAATAGAGATTATCTTCTCTACTACCTTGTCTCTGAGGGTGTTGAGCTTGGCTGGTACTCCGAATCCAGGAGGTCTAAGCAACTCTCTACAGAAGCATGGTATCTGACGGATTCCTTCAACGCAGAGAGCTATTCATCATTACCAAACATCAAAGTGCGTATTAGCTGCTTCAAGATTTCCTGATATCTCTGAGCAGACTGCTCTGCATAGATGAGAGCTGACTTCCTACATCTATCTCTAAACGGCTCGAAGGTGCAGGCTGTTCCGGTTTCGGTGCAGGCTTGACAAGGCGATGAGCCGACGCACTAGATATAATCGGCGGTCAGTAGCGTTGGATCGACTGCAGCTGAGATATCTTACCTTGACACGTTTCTCACAACACTTTAGACAGGCTGAGAATCGACGAGTCTGTGTGGAACCAGAACCCATTGCACTCAGGATTTGAGATGACGATGTAGCAGCAGGGAGTAAACACCGAAATGCTGGGGTCTTAGTCTTTCTTTTGGTAACTCGTGGTTCATGTTAATATCTAGAGCTTTATTGGAAAGAGAATATCTATACTCACTACCCGGTAGAAGCGACTTGTGTGCCCACGATACAACAAATTATCAACGATCAAAGTTGAATAATCATCTCTTTTCAATAAAGATAGATGCACCTCTTATATCCCCAGAGCTCATTTTGACGAGGGGTACTTTTCCGAGATATGCTTGTCATCATGTTTGTCGTAGCAAACAGAGAAATGCATGATCCTTGTTGAGTTTTACAGAATTTGAGTGGGTAATTTCAGACCAGGTCGAGCATCGTCACATCTGGTCTTGTATTCTTCATAAGTAGGAGAAATATTTATTTGAGGACTGACATTCAATAGCTGAGACGCTTTCTCTCAGCGGAGGACATGATTTGAAGATGTCTGCCAGGTGCGTATGCAAGTCCCACGGCTGCTGGGCTGGTTCCTCTGCTACTGGCGGAGGCGGCCCCTCCAGACTATTGTTCCTCCTGCTTGGCTTCCACATGATGTCGAAAAAGAGCACTGGTGGCCTCAACATCCTTGGACTTCTTAAATCGGATTGACTCTCCTTCGATGAGCTCCAGAATGCGCGACACCTTCATCAAAGTTACATGGCCATTGAGATGGGTTGAAAATTGCACCATGTCGCGAATCTCGTGGCAGGTCTGCTCTATCGATAGCAAGATTGGCTGCAGTTTGGTCCAGGGCTTGTTAAAGGCCTTGAGAACATTCTCTGCTGGTAGTTAGCAGTCTAGCCGGCATGAGGGGATTGCACCCACGGCTGGGCATTCTCTTAACTCAAGCGAGTTTGTGTGTAGAATTTCAACGCTTTAGCTAGAAATCTGTGGTAGCTGTCATATAACTTCGTCATCGCACCTAGCAAGTGCTGTGATAGGAAATAGGCTGTCAGATGGTCGACACTCTTCAGCTTGTCCTTGATGATGTCGAGGTACTCATGAACGTTCTGCTTCATCTCACTGTGATTGACCCGTGCTACTAGCAGGAGCTTGACCACTCCGTAGATGGCGGCGACATACTCTGGCGCCTGGCCGATGAAGACGTCCACAAACTGGGTGTACTCGTAAGCTGTCTCGCTCGCTGCTCGACACTCAGCTTTGACAGCTTCGATGATCCCATGCTCCGGGCGGCAGGGATACTTCGCAGCTTGTGCGTCGCGCATTGCATGGGATGATTTCAGTGATTTTGCGTCTGCTGTCCTCGTAGGACCTGCTCTTGATGGGGTGCTTCTTTCATGAACTCGACCAGTCGCCGATTTAACTTCGTTCTTGAACGATTGGCCTCGGGGGACCTTAATATACAATATATCTCTGCCGAGATAGTTCGAGGTCTAGGGAACTTACTGGTCCAAGAATTTGGGTCGTTCAAGTCGAAGAGCTGCTGATTTGCTCCTCTCCGTCTTTTTGGTTCATGACTACTGCCTGTGTCTATTGCCTCGGGCTCTGCGATAGCTCTGCGATAAACACCAGACCGGGATCTGATGTAGCATCTTCCTTTGGACGTGATCCCTACATGCAAGGGTAGGGATGTGGCCGAAGGGATGTAATGAAGCTATTGGATGAAGCTCTGTGGTAAACGGACTGCCACCAAAAGGATGCTGAGTAAGCGAGTCTCTGGATAAATAACTATAATCCTTGACCAACTAATAATAGTAAAGAATATCAAGTCTCTCTCACCCGCAGGGAAGAAGAGGGAAGGAAGACAGCCCTATATATCATAATACCAGTAAGTGGCGGTGTGCATCCTCTTGCTCTTTCTGACACGACGTGGCTACGGCAGTAACCGGGATATACGCGCTCGGCTCGAAGGCTGAGCAAACATGTTACGGTACCAGTGAACGTATATCCCTAAACATTAACTTGTACTTCATTTTCAACTGCACTACTCTGTATTTACTGCCAAATAAGCACAGATTGATGTCGCAGAAAGAATCCAAGCCCCTCCCAGACATTAACTTTCCGACAGCAGAACAGCAGAAATACTACTTATCCTCACCACGGTGCATTTCCCTAGTTCTATCTGTAGATCAAATATACCTGCCTCCTTACTATTGTCCTACGGAAACTACTCTGATAGAGTTCAGTCATAATCTATTTCTTATTTCAGAGTATTGATAGATTTATTACTCCATATACTAATAAATTTGAAGACTTCATCCAAAAAAAAATAGTATTAGTAGCTAGTACTCTACTTGTTAATGCTCCAAGTGCGGAGTAAGTCTCCACTCTGATAGTCGATATACTCCAAGGCTGTAAGACTAGTGACAGGTACCTTAATCAAGTGTAGAGACCTCTTGTGAAGAGACCTCTTTTCGTCTTCTCAGTCGGCAGGGTTGATCACCCACCCTGAGTTTTATGTGAAACTGCCCTGCAAAAATAGTACGCTTCTAGAGATGGCTTATTTTGGTACCAATACTACAGTGAAGAAGTGTGACTCTTCACTATGACAGGCTCGGAGTCAACGAATCCCAATAATGAAAAAGTATTTCAGCCCGATCTCCGCCTACTTGTCAAGATTACTATGCTTGCGAGTGAGAAGAGCGGAATATCTATATATATAGAACTTGATCATATACCTATACTAAAGTAAGTAGACCCCAAAAAACTCGAGTTTTCAGCCTTAATTTACTATAGCAGATAATCACTATAGTTACTTCGCTCAGGAAACTATACGAGGAGTTTAGTCAAGTTACCATTTCCAAGCCTCAGCCCATTTACGCAAGATAGATACCTACCTCTAGCAATTCTTGGCCTGAAGTCCCTTAACACCTTACAGTAGAAACAGTACATGATAAGCCTTGCCGCGCCTTGCCGCGCCTTGCCGACGCCTCACTACCGGCGAAGCCGAAAGGCCTATAACTAAATGTCTTTAAAGAACCGATGTCTTCTCTTCTTCCCTCCCTGTCAAATCATATGTGCTTGATAGCCCTAACCGGCAATATTGCAGAACTCCAAGTCTCGCATCAAACAGTACACAAAAGAAAACCATCGAGACTTGTCAGTGACTATGTAGCCTTGACTATGTAACCCTCCCGGAGTAAAGATATCGACAAAGACAATAAAGAGATTAAGGAAGAAAAACTAAGTGCGATCATGGGAGCTTGTCCAGTGTACCCACAAATTCACCGAGTTCTACTACACTATTGTTGAGGGTATACTCAATGCGAGTTTTTGGCTTCAACATGCTCTATATAGATTTAAATCTCCAAACTCCAAGCACATACGACCACAGGGTGTGGAAAATAGGGCTTCCCGTCCGCTCAGCCGTACTCAAGCCACACGCCGGGAGGTTAGTAGTTGGGTGGGTGACCACCAGCGAATCCCTTCTGTTGTATGTTTTTGCTGCTGTATTGTTTGTCGTTGTTTTGGCTGGGGATGAAATATCTGCTTATCCGTTTGATGCTGTGTGGAGGTAGCTGTGCCTCAACTTTGAGATGGTCCTGAGTATACACCTGACGGAGCTCAGCGTACCACCACCACCACCATCACCACCACCACCACCACCACTACTACTACTACTACTACTACTACTACTACTACTACTACGACTGATGCACTAATCCATTTATTCAGTCTCTCTATCAAGAAGGTCGCTGTCCCAGCCTGCCTGGATGCCCCCGGAGCAGCAATCTCTTGTAACATGTCCATACCCCCTCACACACACCTTGTAGATCCGATCATATGCGACAATCCTGTTCCTCTCCTTCGATCAGTGTCACTAGAGCCCCTACGGTCCTTGATCGTTGAGTCTTCCGAGAAAAGAAAGTAGACATTGAGGGAAAGATATTCATATTCCGTCATCCAGCTTAATAAATGGTGTAGATTTCATCAAAATGCATATCAAGAAAGAACAAACTCAGCCACCGTCTTCCTACTATCTACTTTCACAAACAAACTAAGCCCCAACAACCCGAAGGTGTGTTCGATTTACCTCCAACTGGACTGTAGAATGATACACACACGCACACACACACATACCCCTCTCCCTTAGAACCTATACTACTCCCGTAATAATCATCATCACCATCACTCGCCTAAATAAGGATACCGTAGTATTCCCTCCGTATCATCCACCGCCTCCAAGAAACTCGTGATGAGAGGTTCAATCCCCCGTTCCAGCGCAAGGGAGCTCCACTCCCGCAAGCTATACTCGCGGAAGGGCCGACCATGCACCCGCTCCATGTATTCCTTGAAGCTCTGGACGGGCACCTTGACGTTGCTCGAGTGGTGGATGAAGGAGACCCCGGATGGTGGGGGAGTGGCTGGCTCCGCGTCCCGGGCAGTCGTAAACCGGGATACCACCCGCGTGGCGATCTCCTGGGCGAGGATCTTGACGTCCTGGAAATCCAAGTACCCCTCCATGCGGGGCAGACGGGGCGTCGCGCCCAGGAGGGCGGAGTAGCGCAGGAGGGCGTTCAGAGCGTCTTGGGCGGGGGCTTGGTCGCCGATGGGGGTGCAGGGGCGGTGGATGCTGATGTCGCACGCATGTGTCCGAGTGTGCAGGTGCGCGGCCAGACGCTCGAGGAAGACTTCGCTGGCCCACTTGCTCGCTGTGAGGCCGTCCGAGCCGTCGAGCGGCGGGGGATGGCGGGAGACAGAGCCGGGGGCGAGCGCGGTCTGGCCGGACTGCAGGATGACGCGGCCGGAGGAGATGTAGTGGAGGGGAATGTGGGCGCGGAGGACGAACTCGGCCAGACGATGGGTGGAGCCGAGGTTGGGGGCTTTCAGGGCGTGATAGGTGTTGAGGCAGTGGCCGTGGGCGCCGTTGTGGATGACGAGGTCGATGCAGGCTTGCAGGGAGGTCCAATCCGCCGGCGAGAGGCCCAGGGTTGGGTCCAAGAGGGTTCCGTAGGAGAGGGAGACTTTGTCGCTCTCGGTCAACGTCGACAGGACGTGCGCCTCCTCCCGGTCCACGGCGATGCAATGCACGCGTGCCACCGCGGGCATCTGCACCAGCATCTGCACCAGCACGCGCCCCAGAAAGCTGGTCGCCCCGGTGAGGAGGACCCGGCAGCCGGATCCGGGGCTGCGTGGGCATCGCGGGCTGTTGGTGCTCGTCCACTCGAGGAGAGTCGGTGGGATGGCGGTTTCAGCTCGCCAGTCAATCCTCGTCGCCGGGGGTGTTTCGGCTTTGCGGGCTTCAACCTTCACGGCCATCTGCGCCAGCGTGCTGGCCCCGTATAGCTCCCGGAGGGTGACGGAGACCCCCATCGAGGTGCGGATCGCGCCTTGTAACCGTACCAGCAAGGTGGAATTGCCCCCGAGCAGGAAGAAGTCGGACTCGGGCTGGATGTGCTTGTCGGGCAGCAGCCCTTGCCACAGGAGCTTGAGCTCCCCCTCTCGCAACGTGAGTCGTTTGGACGGGGGGTTGGGGTTGCTGGGGGGTGTCGTCCAGGGCATGGCTTCGATTCTCTTCCGGTCAATCTTTCCGTTCGGGTTGCGCGGCAGCTCGTCGAGACGGATGACGGTGGAAGGACGCATGTATTGGGGCAAGGGGAGCTGGCTGGCGAGACGCTGGAGCTCGCCCTCGCTGGCAGTCTGGCCTGGCATCAGGGCCACAAAGGCGATGAGTGTGTCTGAGTCGGCCGAGGCGTCGGAGACCCCCTGGCGCTTGACACAGACGATGGCGGCGGACAGCAGATGGGGGTGACAGTTGACCATGGTGGAGGCCACGTCTTCCAGATCGATTCGAAGGCCTCGAAGCTTGATCTCCGTGTTGCCATCCATGCGGCCCAGGAGGATCAGAGCGCCATCCGCACCCATTTGGGCTTTGTCCCCGGTCCGGTACATCCGGGTCCATCCCCTGGCGATATCCTCCGGCAAAGCGAAGGGATCGGGCACGAACTTCCCCCGGGTCTGCTCGGGATTCAGATATCCCAATGCCAGTCCCGCGCCGCTGATGCAGAGCTCCCCGGGCGAGCCCAGGGGGACGAGACTGCCGTCGGCGTCCACGACATACAAGGAGGTGTTGGGAATAGCTCGCCCCACGCTCTGGGCCCCCTCGAGCTGCCCCGCGGACCTCGTCGCAAAGGTTGTGCACGCGGAGATCTCGGTTACGCCGTAGGAATCCTGCACCACCGGACAATGGCTTCCGAGCCGGACAAACTCGCGCTTCAGCGGTGCAGTAAACGGCTCACCTCCGAGACAGGCGTGTCTCCATCCGGAAGATTGGCTGACGTAGTCACGGCCATGTTGCAGCAGGACGAGGTATTCGGACGGCGTGGCGAGGGTAAAAGTCACTCGATGGTCGCGGATGATTCGTGCAATCTCCAGGGCATCCCCTCGCATCGCCTGCGGCACGATGACCAGTTTGCCTCCATTCATAATCGCATTGAGGGTCTGGGCAAGGCCCATGTCGAAGCCCACGGAGCTTTGCTGAAGAACCACCGTCGAGCTATCGAGCCCCAGCTCGGACCGCTTAGCCGCAAGGTAGTTGATAAACCCCGTCTGGGGCAGACAGACGCCCTTCGGCTGGCCCGTGGAGCCGCTGGTATATAGCAAGATGGCCAACGAGTCCCCAGTTCCCCTGGGGGTGGATGGCATGCAGGATTCTCGGATGGCTGGAAGGGTGGAAAGGTTGAGATGGGTGGACACCCCCAGTTCTGAGGCCCGCTCCGCGGTAGGAGAAGCACACACTAACGCTCGCACAGGCGATGCCGAGATCATCGCTCGATGCCTCGCGGCAGGGAGGCTCAGGTCGAGGGGCACATAAACCGCCCCGATGCGGAGAACAGCGAGAAAGCTTGCGACGGAATGGAAGGACGGGGGGCACAAGACGGCGACGGTGTCCCCAGGGCGGACGCCTTCCTGGAGCAAGGCGTTTCCAATCTGGATGCTTTGCGTGTGGAGCTGCGCATAGCTGAAATCGCCGTCTTGGTCCGTCACCGCAATGTGGTCTCCGTACTGATCCCTCATCTCCTGGAACCGCTCTGGTAAGGTCGCGGGCCAGCCGTGCGATATGCGCTGGCCCCGGTGCACCGAGAGCTCATGCTCGTCGTTGCGCTGGAAAGTGCTGAGAGGGGGGTCGAGACTGCTCTGCACAGATTGCGAGGGATCCGAGGACAGTTCTTCCAGGAGCCTGATGTATCCATCTAGCATCACCTCGGTGGCTGTGGGGGAGTACAGATAGTCCCGACAAGTGACGTCCACGAGCGAGGTCCCGTCCGCGCAGGGGGTGACATGAACGGAGATATCGTATGGGGCGGTCCCCATCACACTGCGCTCATAAAGGAGGTCGAACTCTTCCACCGACATGCGCGTGATCTCTCCCACTCGGTAGTTGATCGCCACCTGGAAGAGCGGCGTGACGTGCGGCACTCGCGGGATGTTCAGCCCATCCACGACCAAGCTGGATGGGATGGACGAATTCGACAAGGCGCGCAGGACCTTCGCAGAGGTCTTCTGGAAGACCTCCGCAAAGCTGTCTGTCCGTGGGATATGGAAGCGCAGGGGCAACATGTTGAGAAAATAGCCCACTGTGTGGGTGAATTGCGGGTGTTTGCGGTTGGCATCACTCATCCCGATGCACAACTCCTCGATCGACAGCAATCGGACGAGGAAGACTTGGAGAACCGCTAAATAGAAATGAAACGGGGTGCCGCGGAGACTGCGACTCGCTTGCTTGATTCTGTCTGTGACCTCGATGCCAATCTGGCGCGTGGAGGTGTGGACCTTGAAGTTGTCGGTGGGAGTGCGCGTTTTCTCCTGGGCGAGAGGAAGAACAGGCATGATCTCTGGCGGTAGTGACAGCTCACTCTGCCAGTACTGCAGCTCCTGCGCGAACCTCCCATCGGCGATGTGGCGATTCAGCATCAGAGAATAGTCCACGTACTGCGCCACCTCGCGCGGGGGCTGTTGCTCATAGAAGCACTTCAGATCCTGCAGGAAGGTGGACCAGCTCGCCCCGTCCATGACAATGTGGTGATATCCAAATAGGACGGTATGCTGGTCTGGTCCAACCGAGACCACTGTCACTCGGAGGACTTCCCCTCGCTCCAGGCGCCAGGGGTAAGAGGCCAGCCTGTCCAGCTCTTGTGAGACCACGGCAGCGCTGGACGACACGAGATGCTCAAAGAAGGGTGGTGCAGCTTTCAAGACCCCCTGGAGGAGATCCCCAGTCTGCGGATCGGAGAAGAAGGCCGTGCGGAGCGATTCATGCCGGAAGACAGCCTGGTCCAAGGCGTGCTTGAACTTGTCGACGGCAAACCCTCCCTGCACAGTGTATGATATCACGACGTTGTACTGGGTAAGGTCCTTCATCCAATGGCCGGCGAACCAGATCTGGGCCTGCTGGGGGGACATCTTCTCGATCCGGGTGAAGCTGGGTTCGCAATCCTTTGGTTCTTGTTCGAATTCGGAACCCGAGGAGGAGTCTGGCGTAGTGGCATCGAGGAGTGAGGCTTGCCTGGAGCTGTTGTGCTCCGAGGGGGATGCAGTTGTCGCGACGTCGACCACCTCGCGGGCGTTTGCAAGCTGGTCTTCTGGCTGCAGCACTTGGCTCGTGGTCTTGGACGCTGGGAGGGCTTTCTCGCACAACCCTGCGACAGTGGCCAGGAGTGCATCCATGGGAGTAATCTCAATGCCATATTGCTCTGCCAGCCAGGCCTGGATCTCCACCGCCAGCAGCGAGTCACAGCCCAGGTCGAGCAGGGGAGTGTGCACGTCTAGAGTCGGACCGGTCAGTCTGAGCAATGACATGACCTTGCCCGAGACAGGCGCAAGCACGCTGTCATACGTCTTCTGCTCTGGCTCCGATTCGTGCGGTAGCTCATCTGGATGAAGTGAAGACGAGGGTTCCTGTTCCGGCTCTTGCGCCTCTTCGGTCTGGGCGCCTTTTGCCATGAAGTGTGAAAGCAGAGGGTCTGATATCACCTTGGATGCTCCGCTCTGGTCAATCTGCGACTCTATCATTTGGAGGCCAAAGAAGATCTCGCCATTTCCATCAGCCGCAGCGACCACTTCCCCAAAGGCATGATGCAAATCAGACTCCGACAGGGGCGCATAGCCATGACGCATCATGCGCTGGATGACGTCTTTGCCTTGCCTGGCAAAGTATCCAGCATCAATCACCATTCCAAGGGCCAAGACAGAGCCCACCAGGCCTCTCAGCCGTCGCTGCTCAATGAGACGCGTCAGAAACCGCGAGGCGGCGTGATAGGCCGCCTGTTGCGAACTTCCAATCAGCGAGACCAGGGATGTCAGCAGGACGAAGAAGTCTAGTCCTGGTGTCGAGAACAGTTCGTCGAGATACGTTGCTGCATGGATCATAGCCGTCGGGGGAAGGCCCTCATCGTCTGCGACGGTATACTCGAACCCTTGGTCGGAGAGAGCCAAGGGGGCATAGCACACCCCCACAATCGGTGGCAAAGCCTTCTGGATCTGGGCCAAAGTGGACAGGAGGGATGTCTTGTTCGACACGTCCATCTTCATGGGCTTCACGGTGGCACCCAGACGAGACATCTCCGCGAGCCACGCCTCGGGGATGCGTGGATTTCTGCTGGCGAGAACCAATGTGCGTGCCCCGTTCTTTGCCATCCACCGTAGAATTGACAGCCCAAGGGGGGTAGCCATCTCAATCATCCAGTAGGTCCCGCTTGAAGAGAACGTAGTCGTCGTGCCTGCCCGATCATCCGGACTCGCTATCGGGGCAGGGCTGGTCCAGTCTACCACATGTGGATAGGCAGCTGTTGAAGTGTGTGCTGAGACTTCTGTGAAAGAGACACTCCCAGAAGCTGAGTGTGGAAGAGTCGACAAGGTCCGACATGCTTGGGCATAAGCATTCATAATAAGCTGCCCAAGATCTGCAGGCAATGCATGGCGATAGAGCTCCACCGCGTGTATGCCAGCTGGAGCATATATGTCGCGGAGAGTAGTCGCTACACGATCATCACTAGAAGAGAAATCGACAAAAACCGAGACTTGACTCGGCAGCACACGTTCGAGCATACGTCGCGATGCATGCGGATGGACTGCTATCCACCTTGTGCTGGAATTGTTGTGCTTCGACGTGACGAACGAAATCGATTGCTGAGGCTCGCGGATTTGCTCAACAGCAGCAACAAGCCATTCATCAGGCTCATAAAGGAGCATGGGCCCCGAACGAGACGTCGGAAGCAAGGATGCTAAGGTGAAGCTAGCAGTCGCCCGCAATGCCTCCGGAGTGAAGTCCTGCTGGTTAAGAGGAACGTGAACATGCTCCGGCCTGGCTGTGATGACGGATGCGATATGGTCAGAAATACCGAGGACAGTCGCCTCTCCATTGTCAACGCGTACACCAAACCAGAGATAGAGGTCTGTGCAGACATGACAGGAATATCTGACCTGGACGGCTATCGAACGGCCGGACACGGGGGGTGAGCGCCTGGCTCTGAGCGAAACTTGTCGGCGGCTGGCATCGTATCTCTTGTTTCGTTTGTCGTCCCAGACCAGTCGCGATATGTGTAGCGTGCATCCATCCCAGTGTACTTCAGGTTCATGCGTCCAAAGCATCTGTCTGTCTGCCAATACGGGGCTGGAAGCCCATGTGAGGCGCAAGAAGACCTCCACCACCATGGACGGCGAACTGTTTGCCACCGTGGCCACGTCCAGGAATTGGAGACTGAGATCAGATCCCTTTTCCAGTCTGATCGCTCTCCCAATAGCGACACTGATGCCTCCCCTGTCTGCAGTGGTCAACCACAGGACGTGCTTGGGCCGTTCCACCAGCTCCTTGAACGCAAGGAGCCTTTCGTGGAAGAGACTGCTGGAGAAGAACGGCTCGTCCAGCTCCACCAGGGAGATGATCGAGTGTTCCTTCGTAAGACCACTCAGCTCCAGCTGGTCAATATCCTCCACTATTGCGGTGGCGGTGCCGGATGCAGCGAGAACCCTCTGTATGCTCTGAAGGAGACGTGCTATTGGCAGCGTCTTGCCACCCACCAAGACCACAGTCCCCGTTAGTGGTGCCAGTACGGTCGAGTTCATCGGCTCTCGAAGCATCATCACCGTGTCATCCACTGCCTGGGTGACTATCACTGACAGACCATCTCCATTTGGCTGCCCCGAGCCATGAAAGACCTGATCGACGCCGGAGAAGCCCTGGGAGCGGAGCTGTGCGTCGCATCGGACGGTGGACATGTCCGACCAATTCTGTGCATCATGATCGTACCCCTGCCACCACGGGGCAAGACAGCCAAAGGTACACAACAACGAGAGGGGCATTCGTCCGGTGGCTCGCACGAAGACAAAGTAGCCACCGGGCCTGAGCATTGAACGAGACACGTCGAAGCGACGGGAGGATGTATCGGTGGCGTGCAGTGGATTGGCTGCCAGAACCAGGTCAAACTTGTTGCTGCCAGATTCCCCCGCGTCGATCACGGCGATATCGATGACCTTGAAAGATAGGTTGCGGTGCTGAGTCGCGACGCTGGCCATCGTCTGGTGGAGGACTCCTGCGTCTGCGCTGCTGAGGCAATAGGATTCATACTGGTCATCCAGCGCTTGCAGTATCTGCTGGGTCACACCAGTGTCCGCATGAAGGTCAAGAACATTCATGTGTGGATGCTTATGTGCAATGCGTCTGACAACACAGCAGATGTCTTTGTGCAGCTGAGAAAGTATTCCTGCAGCCTGCGACATCCTCTCGAGGGTACCAGCTTCAGGATTCCCATCCCCTCGCAGGACCGCTGGCAAGGCCTTGCCCAGTGAATGAACTGACTGAAGATCCACAACCCCTGCGACTTTCTCGATCAGTGCGACGACGTCCTCTTCGGACATGTCCGCACGATCAGGGGGAGTCAGGTAGGGCCCTCCACAGCCCGAGCCATCCGCCGCGATGCGGCACATCTCACGGTACAAGAGGCGATGATGAGGCATAAACCCGGCCGACTCCCGTGGATCGATCTCGTCCACGGTTCTTCGCAGATGATACAAAGCGACTGACTCTGCTGCCTCAAGCCAGCTCATGCTCTCCGTGGATGGAGGGCACGAAGATAGGGACGAATATCCAAAAGGGTCCACCTCCCACACCACGTGCGAGAACAGATTGCGATAGCCGGAAGTACTGGGCTGAGGGATGCTCTCCATCACCAATCCCTCCAGTTGTATCATGGGGTTTCCATCTGGATCGAACAACGAGACATCGCCTTCAACTCCCTCACTGCCGACTTCTGTCACGAACGCGTCGATCTCGCAGGCACGGCTCTCGCACGCCAAACGAGGCGTAATAAGGGCTCGATGCACCTTCTTTGCATGAAACGGACCCCGCAGTGATTGGGCCACTGGTGAGACCAAGGCACACATGAGTGCCTGGAACGACGCCTCGATCATCGCCGGAAGTACGGATTTTGGGACGCTCGTGTCGGCGGGCCACGCGGCAGACGCGGTGGCTTCGCCGGCAGACCGTCGGATCGAGGTGATGCTTCGAAACGGGCCAGAATAGCTGTTGCCGGCTTGCTGGAAGGAGTCGTACATCTCTGCCACATCCACCGGTGCGAGAACGTGGTTCCATTCCTCTCTGGGGGGTAAATGAGCGCCCTCAGTGCCCAGATGAAGCGTTAGACGCGCGGTGCATAATTCCGTCAAGACGGTTCCGTCACGGTGGCACGCATGACAGGAGGCTTCAGCATCGAGTCTGGTTTGGGCACTTGTCTGCATGCGATCCTCATGAACTCTTATCGTCGTGACATACTCCACCCCGGTTCCATGCTCTTCCCAGGCTATGGATTCTCTGACAAGGAAGTCATGCAGCTCGAGTAAGACCAGTCGTTGGCATGACGCCGCGGAGCTGGCCGCAGATAGCAAGGAAGAAACGTAAAACGCTGCTGAAAGGACCTCGCGGCCATGTTCTTCACATCCTTGGACCCAAGGCATCTCCTGTCGATGGAGGACGTTTCTCCATCGAAACTCGTTTGGAAATTCCCTCGTGGACAGCCGGCCCAAGACCGGGTGCCAGGGTGTGCCCTCGAGACGGTATCTTCGCGATGCTCGAGACTCACGCCAGTATCTCCTCCCATGATCCCAGGAATAGGTGGGTAATCCTTTGAGTAGTTGCAAAGGCTGACTTCGGGTGACTTGAAGAAACCGCCTCATGTCCAAACGGTCAGCCATGCGTTCCCAGAGATGACCGAAGGCGGCGGATGCAGTCTTGAGGTCATTTTGCCCTCGGTGAAGCAATGATCGATAAAGAACCCTTGACCTCGATTCTGGCTTTAACGTGTCCAACACTGGACCCCGAAGAGCTGGATGGGGGCCGATCTCAATACATGCACCAAGGTTTCGACTGTGACATAGTGATCTCTGCACGGCCTGGGAAAAGAGAACGGGCTTGACCATATTATCAACCCAGTAAGTAGCAGCGAAACCTTGAACATCCCCGTCCTGTACTGCATCTCTTCCAGTGACACTGGAGATCCATGTACAGCCGCTCCGGGGTGCCTTCACCTGGATCTCGCATGCTTTCAACGATTCTAAATATGCAGCCGAACAGGGAATCATATGATGGGAGTGGTACGCAACATCCACCTGCAAGGTTCTTGCAAATGTCTTCTGACGGTCAAGCAGCGCCTTCATCTCGCGGATCGCATCGGAGTCCCCCGATAAAGTTGAGCTCGCAGGGCCATTGCTCGCGGCCACCACGATGCGTCCCACAAAGGACGGCCGCAAGCACATTTCCCTGGCGTCAGCAAAGGAAAGACCAACGGCGAGCATGCTCCCTGATTTAGCTGGCTTGGTGTGTAGCCCACGGTAATAGGCCACTTTCATGGCATCGTCAGCGGACAGGATATCGAGAGCATAGGCGGCTACTATCTCCCCGGAGGAGTGGCCCACAACCACATCCAACTGGACGCCACACGCGCACAGGAGGTCGTAGAGGGCTATCTCAATCGCAGTTGTGAGTGGCTGACTGACGGCCGGATTGGTGAGGCTTGATACTGGTTTAACTGCCGCCAAAAGTTCCTCCTGCAGGGACCACGAGGGCCTATCGTGCAGCGTGGCCAGCACACGCTCGCACCGCTCAATCGACTTGCGGAATACGGGGGATGCACGTAACAGGTCTCGCCCCATTCCAGCCCATTGTGCGCCTTGTCCTGTAAAGACGCCCAGAATGCTCTGTGAACTGGGGGGGTGCTTCCATGAGGAGTGGCCGTGCTGGCTCGCTTCGCGAGATTTGTGCTCTTCCATCGCCTTGTCTATCTTTCCGAGCAGCTCGTCTGTGCTTGCGGCGATGATTGCAATCCTGAATGGTAAGACGGTCCGTTTGGCCAAAGTCCAGGCCAGATTACCGAGATCTACTGCTGGGTTGCTGCTGACATACCGGGCTGTTCGCTCCAGGTTCGCATAGAGGGACTGGAGCGTGTGTGCAGAAAATACCAGTGGGACGGGGGTTGTATGGCTTTCGGGGGCTGACGGTTGACCACAGATGGCGTGGCCATTCGCCTGGGAAGGCGTATAACTCTCAATGATGGCATGGGCGTTGGTGCCCCCAAAACCAAAGGAATTCACACCTGCCCTCCGGGGGCAACCCTGCGCAACGGGGGGCCACGGGATGGGGCTTGTTGGAATCGCGAGATGGTGGTAAAAGGGCGTGATGTTGGGGTTGAGCTGATCGAACCACATGTTTGGCGTGATAACCCGGTTCTGAATGCACAGCATCGCTTTCAGGAGGCCGGCCAGACCTGCACACCCTTCCAGGTGGCCGATCAGGGTCTTGATACTCCCCACGTAGAGTGGATTCTCCGGTCCCACAACCTGATGACTTGGGTAAAAAGTCTCCTGGATCGCCTGGGCCTCGATGGGATCCCCAGCCTGCGTGCCAGTCCCATGGCACTCGAAGAACTGGCACCGGTCCCGCACGGGGTCCAGGCCACTGCGTTCATAAGTCTCGCGGATCAACGCTGCCTGGGCCTCCATTCTGGGCCTCGTCATGCCGGCTGATCGCCCGTCCGAGTTGACGGCCGTCTCGCGGATCACGCACTCGATCGCATCGCCATCTTGCAGCGCCTGATCCAGGGTCTTGAGCACCACCGCGGCGCACCCTTCGCCTCGCGCATAACCGTCAGCGGCCCGATCCCACATGCGGCATCTTGCCGTTGGGGATAGCAGATGGAGCTTGAAGTGACTGAGAAAGACTTCCGGGTCCAGCAGGAGGTTGACGCCGCCTACAATCGCGGTGGTGCACTCGCCGTGGCGCAAACTCTGGACTGCTTGGTGCAATGCCACGAGGGAGCTGGAACAAGCGGTGTTGATGGTCAGGGAGGGCCCCTGGAGGTCAAAGAAGTATGAGATGCGGTTGGAGAGCATGCTGGGCGACGTCCCTGTGGCATGCCATCGGCTGATGGTGTCCAGATCCCGCGTTTGAATGTCGTGGTAGTCCGAGGTCATCGCGCCCACAAAGACCGATGTGGGCGAGCCGCGCATCTGGTCCAGTGTATATCCCGCCGCCTCGAGCGCCTCGTATATCGTCTCGAGGAGGAGCCGCTGCTGGGGGTCCATCGCCTCCGCCTCCGCCGCGCTAATGTTGAAGAAGGCAGCGTCGAAGCGATGGACATCATCGTCGTCCAGGGTGTAGGACTTGGTTGGGACGTCGGAAGCGCCCTGGTGCCCGCCGGTAGGGTGGTAGAAGCTGGACACGTTGAATCGCTGGGGATGTATCTCCCTGAGAACATCCTTGGGGCTGGACAACAGCGCCCACAGTTGCGAGGGTGAGGCTACGCCGCCGGGAAAGCGACAGGCGGTGCCAACCACGGCGATGGGGGTCTTCATGACAGTGAGGAGGTCACCTTGAATTCTGACCCAAGTAATGTCTCCAGAAAAGCGAATTGAGCAGGAGGGTCGGCTGAGCAACAGAAATGCCAGTACGACTCCAGCATGAGGGGAGGGGAGGAATATTTCCCCTCCTATACGGAGCTTTATTATCATCAGAACCCCCTCCCCCCCACAGTCCTCAATCAACCGCAACCTCAGCCTCTAATGCGCTGAATGATGAGCTGAGCTGAAACATTGCATCTGCCGAAACTATCAACCGTAAGTTGTATGGAGTGAGTGCGTGACGCTCCGTGCGTCCCTGGGAGGTCCCCTTTCGTGCTGCGGGCCCATTTCTCCGCTGAACAACAGCATCAATCCCGGGATGAGACACAGAACAATCACGTTGGCTTCAGCTCGTGCGATCGCCCTACTTGCAGGATCTCATCAGTGGATGCCCTGTATGGAGCCATTCAGGATGCTGCCTCTCACACGTAGCATCTTAGGGCTTGGCACGGCGAGAAAAACTGGCCTCACAAATCATCACATGCAGCTGAAGGCGACGGAGAACGCCGGAGTCGTACTGCAATAGTCAGTTAGGAATGGACAGGAAGTCCTCTGTTCTACACTCCCTGGTGATTTGTCAATGGTAGGTTTAGTCACTTATCGAATTGCATCCAAGAGGGCCACGATTACCCCGCCTATTCCCAGCCAAAGCATCCAGTGGCATACATCAGACACACGCACATGCAGGACAAGGATGTGGCTCTCGTCAGCCAGCCAGAGGTCGAGGTCTGTCCTGGTGAATGTGAACCTTGACAGTTTCTCTCCGCATGTGGGTGGGTATAGCCCTGCCTGCTGCGGTTGCAATCAGAAGAAACATCCAGAGAAGACGAAGCTTCCCTGTCCACCAACCCGCCCTAAACCTTCCTTCCAACCCTCGCTCATGACTGATATCCTGCGACGGCTTGCAATAGAAATCGAAATGTAGACGGTCGTAGGGAGTATAGAGTATTATTCCTTGGGGGTCCCCCTCGTCTTTCCACCCCGAACTCATACCACCGACAACACCACTAACAGAGAACCCCGAACGCTGAACGATGGAGATCCCCCAGCACGCACCAACCCAGCTGCCCAAGCCCTTCTACGTGCTGAGCCAAGCGCTGAACCTCTCGAACGAGCACCACGCCAAATGGTGGTATAGCACCGCTCCGATGTTCGCTGCCATGCTGGCGGGGGCGGACTATGATGTGCACGCCCAGTACAAGTTCCTCTGTCTGCACCGCGAGGTCATCATCCCAGCCTTAGGGCCGTACCCTGAAACAGGGCAGGCGATGCACTGGAAGAGCCACCTCACACGCTATGGACTCCCGTTCGAGCTGAGCTTCAACTACTCCAATTCACGTCTCCGGTTCGCCTTCGAACCCCTCGGGCCCCTGACGGGCACCCCGGAGGATCCCTTCAACACCCGTGCCATCCGGCCGGTTCTCCACGACCTCCAGGCGATGGTCCCCGGGCTGGATCTGGCCTGGTTTGAGCATTTCACCCAAGCATTGGTCGTGTCGGACGAGGATGCTCACACGCTGCTGGAGAAGGCCCACCACCAAGACCATCCGATCCCCGTCTTCAAGACGCAAAACAAACTCGCCGCGGATCTGGAGCCCTCGGGGGCCCTCGTCCTGAAGACCTACATTTACCCGCGCATCAAATCCCTCGCCACCGGGACGCCCAAGGAGACTCTCATGTTCGACGCGATCACGGCCGCCGACACGGAGGGCAGGGTGTCCACTCCCCTGGCAATCCTCAAGGAATTCGTCGCAGAGCGCGCACCCACCCTCCTCGGCCATTTCCTCTCCTGTGACCTGGTGCAGCCCGCCGACTCCCGCATCAAAGTCTACTTCATGGAGCGTCAGCTCAGTCTGGCCTCCCTCGAGGGCATCTGGACGCTGAACGGACGTCGCAACGACCCAGAGACCCTCGAGGGTTTGGACGCGCTGCGGGAGCTGTGGCACCTGCTCCCCGTCACCGAGGGCCTGTGTCCACTGCCGGACTGCTTCTACGAGCCCGGCACCTCGCCGCAGGAGCAGCTCCCCTTCATCATCAATTTCACTCTCCTCCCGAAGAGTCCCCTCCCGGAGCCCCAGATCTACTTCCCGGCGTTTGGACACAACGACCGAGCCGTCGCGCAGGGACTGGCCACTTTCTTCCATCGCAGAGGCTGGGGTGGGATGGCGCAAAGCTATGTCTCGGATTTGGCATCGTACTAGTAAGTCAACAACAAGTTTGCGGTGGGAATGGGACTGATTTTCCAGCTGCAGCCCGGAGGTCGACTGGGATACGGCAACTCACCTGCAGGCGTGGATCTCCTTCTCCTACAAGCGGCGGAAACCGTACCTGAGCGTCTACCTCCACACCTTCGAAGCGTTGCGTGCCGCGGCCCAGGAGGCGAGAACGTGGCGTGAGGGACAGAATGACTAGGATCTAATGCTCCTTGCTAGGTGTCTACTGAATGTGTTGGTCGTTGTTCTGTCAGGTAGTTTGTGTAGCGGTAGGCTAATTCTATTCATGGTGGATGTCAAAGAAAACTTGTTTTGTTGTGCACACAAGAAAAGCTACAAGCCAGAAAACCCTTGGAAACTAGCTCTCTCTGAGTACATCCAGGAATCTACAAACTACCATTGCAAGTCCCATTCATTCACGTAACAAGCTCCATGCCGCTAGTCAGTCACGATGACATGGATTCGTGCATAGCCACAAACAACGATGCCTGTCCTTTGCTCCAAACAGTAAACCAGCACAGACCAGAGCCAGACATCAACACATTCCACCCAGCTAGGAAGAACCCATCTGCTGGAGAACCTCATCCGTGTACCCCCACAACAAAGTCGAGTAATCCGACGCCCAAGTCGCGCCCGTCCAGAACGTGCTCTGCACCCCTTGCAGCGCATAGAGCTTCCGATAGAAGCCCTTGCGGATCTCCTCCGCCGAGACAAACATCGTGACCGGGGTGTGACTCGCAAACCTGACAATCTCGGGCTTATGTGTCGAGTAGACCCCCTTCTCGCGCAGGAGATCCAGCTTCTCGTACATGTACTTCTTGGCCGCTTCCTCGTCAAAGTTCGGCCCCCCAACGAGCTTGAGATTGTGGTAGCCGGGGGCCCAGTGGTTATCCAGGCGCCAAATGAGCGGTTCCGCAGGCACCCCGTACAGCCGGTCTGTGTCGACGTTGATCAGGTTGACATCGTCCGGGAGCCCCGTGTCGTTGAGCAGCGCCGCCCAGTACTGGTGGTACTGCCATTTGGCGAAGAGCTGGGATTCCTGATCCGTCAACGCGAAGCTGTGCAGATTGTCCAGTAGGGGGGGGATGGTGACGAGCAGCTGCTTGGCCTGGAGGAGGCGTCTCGTGGAGGAGCTGTTGTCGTTGCCGTCGGCGGTGCTGCTGCTGCTGCTGCTGCGCACGAGGACTTGCACCCCGTCGTCCGCGCGCTGCACGGCCTCCGGGACGGATTGCAGGAGCACATCGGGACCGAGTTCCTGCGCGGCGCGCTGGTAGAGGGCGGCGATGCCCTCGACGGGGCGGATGTAGCCGTCGCGCAGGGCGAGGGCGTGGGGCACCCCGATGTACTGGATGACATACAGGGTGAGCATCTCGAGGAGGTCGCCCGAGGTGTGCGAGAAGAGGGCGTAGACGGCGTCCTCGAGCTGGTGCTGCTGCACGAAGACGGCGAAGGGGGTGATGAGCGCCTCGGGCACCGGCTCGGGGAGGCGGTAGACCCCCTCGTCCAGGAACCCAAAGGGGGCGATGGCAGCGACCCATTTGGCCCAGACGTCTGGGGGCTGGCGCTGGCCGGGCGGGTATTCGACGCGGTGGCCGGTGTTGAGGTTCAGGTAGACCTCGCGCGCGGGGGCTGGCGTGCGCCCTGCATAGGGCACCTGGAGGCGTTCGAGATACTCGCGCGTCCTGCTCGTGTTGAAGAACCCCTCCACCCCAAAGTTGAGCGGCGTGTGGTCCGCCGTGTAGTAGGTGGCCCCGTGGCCCCCCAGGTAGTCGTTGCGTTCGACCACTGCCACGGTCTTGCCTTGATCCTTGAGGCGGATGGCCGCGTAGGTGCCGGTACTGCCTCCCCCCAGGATGATGACATCGCGAGAGATGGTCTCGCAGGGGTCGAGGCCATGCACCAGAGAATGATAGGGGAGGCTGAAAAGGCCCAAGAAGCTCGCTATCTTGGCAGCCATGAGTACAGAATGAATGCCAGGAAGTCCCGAAAAAGAAAATGATGACTAGTATACCAGTCCAGGGAGCGGATTTTCAGGATTTATACGATAATGGTGTCATGATGGTGGCCCACGAACGGAGTTTCTTCCCGCGAATCTTACACAGATGGTCTCATCATGTTCTGGACGCAGTTGCTTCACCCATGGATCGTGATTTGAATTAGTTTAAAAAGAGGATTGGGGGACTTTGATCATTCACTCCCCCGCTCCGCTGTGGTGATTTCTTGCGAAACCCTATCTACCCTCACTCGCTGGCTCCAGAAGACAGGGCAGACGCCTCTTCACGGCCAGGTTGTCCAAGTATACAGTGCACTCCATCTTTGGTAGACTCAGCTGGGAAATCGGCTTCTTCCCTCGTCAACCCAGTCCCCAAGACCAGCGAACAGGGTTATCCTCCACTACAGAATGAAGAGAAGAGGAGGACCGAAGCCCTGCTAGCTTTGCAACGCTATAAGCTATAAGGGCCTAATCACGGGTGACGGACCATAATTGGCTACTCTAAAGATAGGTTCTGGATTCTAATCAGCTACTACAAGTAACATTAATATGACTTCTAGATTTGAATAGCTAGCAGCTATTTATCATCTGATAGAGTAGAAGAATTAGGATTTATCTTCTCTCTATAGCCCCTAATATAGCTGTATATAGTAGTCTATAACGTATCTAGTAGATCTAAGGATATCCAGTACTACCCCAGTATCTCTTGCCCAAGTCCGATGCAGCCACTTAAGGGGTTGAGTTGGTGCGCTTTGGAACGCCTTTGGCTGAGGGAGGCACCCGCAGACAAGGCCCTCGTACGTAAGACTATACAGAGGCTGGCCTGGCTGAAATGAGCAACAGTCCCTTGCTGTTCAATAGTTTGCGAAAAATTCATTGGAATATGCTCTCACTTCTCACAGGCTGTAGGAGAATACAGCGTCGACAGTCGGTAGCTCAGATATCCATTCTTTATTGAGGTGAATTATATTTATAAGCACAATTCAAATAGAGTCCTCTAACTTTCATAGGCAAATCTATTAGTTGTGAAGAGCTATTTACTTATACAAATAGCTATTTCCTAATCAATAAAGAAAATCAACTCAATCGACGCTACTTAAAGTTCAATATCAATATACTTTGCGATATCGCTGCGACTGCCGGTGGAAACCTGGCTCTGTTTAGAAAAGTTAAGAAGGTTGAGGGAGATTTCACCAACGTTCTTCTGAAAACGCTGAAAATGAAGAAGAATAGAGAGGAAGTTATTGCAAAACTTCTATATTAATTGCTGGACTGAAGTTTCTTGCTACTGCATCTGAAGTCGAGGCTCTCCGGTATGGTGAGGATTCTTCAGCTACTGTCGTCACGGATTCTTGTTCATTGAGTCACAGAAAAAGAACACGCGAGTCTTCTGGTTCTGAGGGTCTTTTTTTGGGTCGGTAGATAATGTCAACCTGGTCGGTGCCAAGTATATTACTATAGAGAAGGCTGCAGGGATACTGCTGTTTGAATAATAGAAGAATATAGCAGAAATGGAGAGATGAGAACTGATTCAAAGTCTAGTAAAGCTTAAGACTGAACTGTCAGCTATTCTATTTTTAGTGTACGGTGGGCTCTATCGTTGAGCTGTTATGAATCAAATCCAACCATTGCAAGTATATACCACATCGTCTGATTTGAACTGTATTAGCCCGTCTTGTTATTCCTCAGATTATCTGGATTCTACTGTTTCAGCTATTCCCCAGACTAAGAATATTAAATGTGGACTATATAAGTAGCTTGACCTAGTAGATTTACTCTTGCTGAATAACTTTACAGGGTGGATATTGTTAGAACTAGAATTAGTAATTGCAAAGTATAAACTGTCTCATGTTATGAGAGTGTTCGACCAAGATCGCCCAGAAATAGTCGGCTTTGGGCTCGAACGGGAGATATTCTTATTAATTCAGCAATGAAGATATCAAGAAACACCAAGACCAATTCACGGGGTATCAAGTCTGAACGATATTCAACAACTCGCGATAGAATATCTAGACACCGACGCTGAAGAATGGACCTCCCCACAGCTGGATATAGAAGCGAAAAGGAATAAAAATCAGAAACTAATGTCGATGTGCATTGAGCGGATGGCCGGCGAAAAACCTCCGACGAAGCAAGAGCTATGTGACCTTTCCCGGAGTCAACGTCTGTTTCCTCTTGTTTCAGTGTCACTTTTGTACCTTGTGATGATTGTTCTGCTCATCCATTCAATGATATAGTCCTCTAATCGTCGACTGTCAGCATAGTTCGAGGACGGAATCTTCCTGATAGAGCTTGATACGTCGCCCTGAATGCTGGCCCTATCAGAAAGATCAATCAAGAACTGTATTTATCTACCAGCGTCGACTTTGCTGGTCGATGTGGATAAGATGTAGGGATGTATGTTGAGGTAGCTGTATGCAGTGGTTAGGGCTCGACCCGGCAACTCCAAAACCGAGGCACGCAGATCGGCTACGCATTCTAGGAGCCATTCAGTATCTTCATACTGCATCGCACCGTGATCTTCTCCAAACATACCAGCAGTCAACGGTGTACCTACTCCCGGTGCTCTATGAGGAAAAAGAATACGTCCCTTGCCTCGACCCGAGTTGATAAGCCGGTGACAAGCACTCCCGAGCATATGGAAAGCTTACCCTTTCCTCGAATATGATCTGACTGAGAAGATCATACCAGTCACTGGGATGAGACAAAAACATACAACAGAAGGGATTCGCTGGTGGTCACCCACCCAACTACTAACCTCCCGGCGTGTGGCTTGAGGACGGCTGAGCGGACGGGAAGCCCTATTTTCCACACCCTGTGGTCGTATGTGCTGGTTGTTTCTTGCAGATGCATCATGTAGACACAAGAGCAACAATGACTGCAGCGTGTCTCTCATATCGCTCTCTGGATTTGTCCGCAGAGCCGTGCACCTGCCACAGGGCGGGGATAGATAACCCATATTTGTGTGTATTTCCACATTCTGCCACTGACGCTGCTGCTTGAGACCCTGACTGCCTAGTATACCGCTTTCTCAATCTCGCTTACTTATTAGAATTACGAGGACTGTCTTATATATATATAGAAACTGTAAGGACTGCTTGTTACAGCTATGATTATTGTAAGTTTAAGTAGTAATTACTATAGTCTATCTTACTATATAGAGCTACTTCAGCTGGAATTTAGATAAGTATATAACTATAGTCTAGTGATTAAGATCTTATACTAAAATAATAATATAGTATAGTATAACAAGCCTTGGTGACCCTCGCTACGCTCGGGGCCAGTTCCAGGCCAAGAACGAAGGCGGTGTCAGAGGCGGTGTAAATAGGAATAGTAGAATAGTCTGTATCTTACTACCAAGTCAAGAACAAAGACATAGTTAATATATGTATACCAACATCCTCACCACTACCACCATCATCACTGTTTCGCGTGTTTTTTATCGAAAGAAGCCTTAGATCGGTAAGTTCTGATCTCTACGGATCTTTCCAGGCCTATTACATCTCCTTCCTCCTGCTGTACGCGTTTTGGACGGTCTTGAACGGCCGGTTGGAGTACTAAGCTGCTTATCTACAGTATGGCAAGTAATTATGCTAACAACCAATCAGCGCAGGCAGCGACCGAGGCACGTACTATAGCTCAGGAACCCTAGCTAACTGGATAGTTACAGAACCGTGATATGTTATCCTCCGCCCACTCCACACCAGCAAAGCGCGGCCGTGGCCGCCCCAAGAAGATCCGCCGCCGCCGGCCTCCCACCGCCGCCGCCGCCGCCGACGCAACCGCTGCCGCTGCCGCGACGGGCGTTCCCCCCTCCGATACTGAGAAGCTGCTGGCATTTACGCTCTGGGGGTTCCAGGGGCCCCCTTCGCGGGCGATGCAAGAGCTCGCGTGCCGGGGCACTCGCCGCGAGCTTGAACGCCGCAACCCGGCGGCCGCCCTCTCCCTTGCCTCTCGGCCCAACTATACGTCCGCGCTGGGACAGGTGGTGGGTGACCTCCGTGACGGGGCGGTAGGCACGGAGAACGGGCAGTGTAAGCACTGCGCGCGCGGCCTGGGCCCTTTTAAGGGCTGCGTGACCGTGGAGGGCTTCTTTGGCAAGGCCTGCGCCAACTGTGCCATGCACAGTGAGGCGTCGCGCTGTTCCCTGCGCTGTAAGTAGACCGTAGCGTATACTTCAAATTAGTTCCGTCAGGGGTCATTAACGGTTATATAGCCCGTTCAAGCGGCCACAAGCGGCACCGCGAGGTGGTGGAGGAGGAGGAGGAGGAGGAGCAGAAAGAGAAAGAAGAGAAGAAAAAGACTGCCGCTACCGCTGCTGCCGCTACCGCTGCCGCTACCGCTGCTGCCACCGCTGCCGCCGATAAGGCCGGCCGTGTATCCTTACCCGGTAGCGAGGACTCCGTGGCCCTCGCCAGCCGCACCCTCGCCGCCGCCCGCGCCCTCCCCTCCACCGCCCTCCCCTCGGCCCTCTGGCACGACCTGGCCAATACAGCCAACATTGAAGCCGTACAGTTATCGGCACAGGCATCTATGCTTGCCGCCGCCGCCGCGAACGCCGAGGCCGCCGCTGCCATGGTCCGTGAGAGGGCCCTCACGTACCGCGCGCACGCCCGCGAGGCCGAGGAGATTGAGGATGAAGAGTGGGAGGCGGCCGGCGGGGCCCCGGCGCCCGATAGAGACACCACAGACACCATCGACACCACCGAGCACCTGCACCGTCAGCTTGTAGTATAGTATAATATATAGACAGCTTAGAACCCTGTCTGTAGAGCTGGATTCTAATACTGACTAATAAGAGCTTATGATCTTGCAATCGGAGTAATCTAATTGGCCTGCCAGTTCCATGTGATCATTTTATTGCCGGCAGAATGAGGGTGATTGCAAATTGGCACGAGTAGCCCACCGTAGTCTCCAGAAGGTCTGTGCGCACGGCCACAAGGCCCTGGGTAAACTCCGCGGTCAATGTGCCGCATTTTGGTATGCATCCATTAGAGAATTAATATGGTCTCAGTCACTCGTGCGTAATCAGTAAAGGATGGAATTAGGAGCCGGCTCTTAAGACCCATTGTTGTACAAAAGTATAAGAACAAAGTCTATTCCGCGCCAAAGTTAGAATTATATTCTTCCTACTCAAGTCAATATTTATTCCAAGTCACTATCCCAGCCAAAATACGCTCACTCTTGCCTTTCTCACCATCAAATGTTGAGCAAGAACAACCTCTTAGCTCAGCAATATCGACTTGCAGCGGGGCGTTTGCCGATAACAAGTGCACACGCAGGCCGTGAAAAGAAGGGGCCTTCAGGCTCCAATTAGGGTATCGAGAAAGTGAATACTGTTTGGGTCATTCTATTAAATCAATCTCGACCCGACATGTATCATTTCTAATCCTCTACAGTGAACTTATTGGTTATCCTAACCTACTTTGTGCCGATTCGTGGCCACTATCCCAGGTCTAACAAGGTCAAGTGCGTATCGGGACTGTCGTGCAGCCCAGTGGGGTTTTCAGACCTCGTCCTGTTCGTGCCGTGCACGGGAATAAAATAGGTCAGTCAAAGATGCCTTCAGATGCTAGAAGTGTTCATGTTGGATGTTCAACCGCATGGTCAAGAGGGCGCTCTGTTAGGATGTCTACGTGGGCGCGTCTTTCCCATAGGTGGCCATTGTCGGCCAGTCGCGTGCTGCACGCAACATTTTCTAAAACACCACAGTGTCCCGGGATTGCGATTATGGCAAGGCTGCCTGGATTGGACACCAAGTGAACGTGGTGGAAAAGCGTAATTCACACGTTTGATTAGGCACGCAACTGCTTTCTTCTACCACTTATCCAAAAGTTGTATTGAGAAGCAAGAGCATAAGGCAGAGCGAACGCCAGAAAACAATGAGGAAGAAAATGCAAGTAAAACGAAGGGGACAAAGCAAGGAATGTAAACTAGGCGCTGAGGCCTTTAAGGATGTCTTCCACCCCAGCAAACGCCAGCTCACCCATCAGCTCCTCCCACAGTTGCTTGCGAATCTTCTCGCCCTTGGACTTATACAAGATGGGCGCCCAGCTGAAGGTACCCGTTAGCCAACAACCCGCTTGGACTAAGAGGGACAGGACTAATTTACTTACGCCGCAAGTTTGCCGTCCTCGATGAACTGGCCGTGGCTCTCGGGTCCGTGGTTGACGGCGGCGTCGGTGAGGGCACGGGCGCCGACGGCGGGCTTCCGGGCGAGGATAGCCTCCATTATGCCAAAGATGAAGCCGAAGAACGTACCGCGGTACTCGCGGACGAGGCCCGACTTGCACAAGCCTGGATTGGGCCCATTAATGACGACGACGGATGAGGGGACGCGCTTGGTGAGTTCGTAGATAAAGAACTGGCCCAGGAGCTTGGAGGTGGCGTAGCGGTCCACAGAGAAGAAAGCCTTATCATCGAAGCCAGCCAGGAGGGGACGGGTGTCCTGCTCCTTGAACTTCGCCCACGCAGGGGTATCAGAGCTGACAATGGTAATACGGCCAGGCCGTTGCGGGGTGTTCTTCGACCGTAGTACAGGGATAAGAAGGAGGGTTAGCAGCGCGGTGGAGAGGAAATTGACCTGGACCGACTCCTCGTGGCCTGTAAAGACGTTGGGCGTAAAAACTCGCTTTGAAATTCCCGCGTTGTTAACTACCACATCCAGCCGATCCAACGTCTTGGTGCGCTCCACGAAGGCCAGAATCGACTCATAGCTGGCCAAGTCCAGCGGCCACACCTCCACCCTGACTTTACTGCTGTCGCTCCGCTGCCCGCGGTACTGGTTCAGCAGCTGCTGCTTAGCCTCTTCTCCCTTGGCTATACTACGGACTGCGATAATCAGCTGACTCAGCCCCAGCTCCAGCAGCTGCTTGCTGCACTCCAAGCCTAGTCCGGTATTAGCCCCGGTGACAATAATAGTCTGCCCTGTAAGATCGACCTTCTGGCGCGAGGTAACGGGCGGTTCATTAAAGAGCTGGCGTTTAAAGAATGCTCCCTGTGTCGCCCGCTTTTCAATAGCAGCCGGAGTGAAGTTTGACATGATGAGGCCAACTGGGCGGATTCTTGTATAGAAGTGTATCGACGTGGAGGGGGTCTCACTATCTGAGCTGATGGAACAGAAGAGGAGAGAATATAATGTAGTTAAGTATAAGTCTGGCAATACAATGGGGAGATGTCGGCGATATGAACTGGTTAGGTCCGAACCGCGGCCGGAGTTAAGGCGGGCAAGCGCTGTTTACCTCCTGCTTCTCTGCTTTGCTGTTGGACCGTCATGCTGACGGGTGCATCTATAATGTGATAAGGCAGGTGGCCATGCAGTAGTTATTGCAATTGAGGCTAATGGTCCTTCTGACAAGGCGGGTGAACGAATCGACTTGGATGGAGATTGGGTTAAAGTCATTGCAAAGGGAAAAAGAGAAACCTTAGAGCTGCTTCTGCAAGAGCGTGGCGATGAAGTCAAACTTACCCAGGAAGTCCTGGTTGCAGGTGCCCGATACATGTGTGATGCACGGGCAATAGGAATGCTCCTAGAGAGGCGTGGGGTTGAAACAGTCATTGACCGAGAGGTCTTCTTGGCCGCGACCATAAACCAGTGAAACCCTGGTGCTCCTGCGCAGACAGCAAGCACATTTTGTGGTCACGGAGCAGACATTATGCCATGCTGCTCGGTGGCAGAATCGGGAAATGCTAAAGCTCCTGGTGGACAACAAGGTTGGATCTGATCTTCCCATTACGGAGGAAACCTTACGCTTCGCAGCAAAAAATCGGCTTTGTGGAGCAGCCATGGTGGAGGATCTATTTGATCTGCAGGGGCACAATCTTTTCAGCTCAGGAGATTTGGTAATATTAATCGCAGATGAGGAATATTGCACTGAGATATTCACGTTCTTACTGGAAAGATGGCCAGAACTCCCGGTGACTGATCGACTGCTGGAAGCGGCATGTGGCCTGGGGCCTGACGCCATAGCTCTGCTACTGGATCGGAGCCAGGACTCTCTTCCGCTAGAAAGAATGGTCGGAAAATAAGCAACTAACTGGATTGCCTGGGCATGAAGTGCTGGAGATGCTTCTCGATAGGCAGCTGGTGGAGGTAGATGAGTGGCTGGTGGAAACAGTAGCTGGTCAGCAAGAGAGTCTGGAGGTCATTTACAGTCGATGTCGAGCCTTTCCAATAACACCGAAGACGGTGGTCAATGCGGCAAGAAGCGTCGATGCAATGAGGGTCTTGCTCAATAGCCAGATAGATCAGGTTGTCATCACAGACGAGGTGGTCAAGTCTGCATTGACGGGGTTTGAATCCAATGAATGCATAAGCCTACTGCTGACTCGTCTGGGATCCGAGGCAGTGCCTATTACCGAGGACATCCTAATCCATGCTATCCGGCATAAGAAGTTGAAAGCTCTGGAGTTGCTTTTGGAACGACGCCGGGACCTGAACCTCGACGCGGTCTGGGAAGCAATATGGCAGGATATTGAAATTGACCCATATCTTCTGGCAAAAGCAGCGCAGGCTCTTTTTCCCTTTGCCAAGTTTAACGTCTCCAATCCAATGCTGGACAGGTTCCAACCTTGGGATTTTGACAGGTTTATCCGCTTGTGCATGCAGCATCGCATCCCGTTATCCACCACCGAGGCAACAGTCGAGTTGATCGTGGAGAGGTCGAGTCTGTGTACGATCGACGGATTCCTGAACGATCATCCTGAGATCTCCTTCACTGCCTGACACGTCCAAGCTGCGGAAAGGAACCTGACCCAATACTTAGATAAGGATGCTTTCGTGCTGCTTCTGCGGTCCCGGTCAGGTTCCTCTTGCAGTACGGAAATGGTCAAGTCTTCTGTTGGATAGAGATGTATAGAGTCATAATCCGCTGCATCTTGCTAAGAGGGGCTCTGGAGTGTTGACATCTCAAGATTTATGATTTGTGCTTTTGAAGGTGGAGCGGCGGTCATTCAGAATCACCGCATGCGGCAGTATATTCTTTGTGGACTTTGCTGTGCAGTGATATATGAATTCTCTTGTGCTGAGAGAGAGTGCCATGGTAAGCCCCCTATCCAGGGTCTATGAGTGAAGGCTTATCTGACCACTTGGAACCAGCAACTGTGATTAAAAAGAAAGAAAAGGTTCGTTCAACGATCAAATTGCCAAGAATCTCAGTTGTGAAAAGGACGTGCTGCCACAAAATCAAAAAGAAAGCTGGTCCCAGAGGGGCTCGAACCCTCGACTTTAACGTTATTAGCGTTACGCTCTAACCAACTGAGCTATGGGACCCAGTTGATACATTTTGCCACTTTGCAGGGGACTATGATAGGTCAAAAGAACTGTGGATGAATACATGCATATCACTGGTATGCGGTGTGGCATATGGGAAGGGAGGGATAATCACCAACTTAAGAGATCCGCTAAAACATGTATGAGCATGAGTCATCAGCAAGTAACTGCTATGGTGGTTCAACTCAATGTAGTACGTAGTGGCTCCTCCTGGCCTGTTTTTTTTCCCACGGATACACAAAGGCACAACAGATATACATCCTTACTATATAGATCTATCGCGCTATATCACATACCATACACCAACACGACCAATGAAACTCGTATCGTCATAGACAGCTACATCACATCTAACCCTGCACATCCACCAGAATCTTGCAATGCTTATCGCGATGGCGCACCAGTTCCTCAAACCCCTTCTCCACCACATCATTTAATTTGACCTTCGCGGTGACCATCTTCTCCGGTTTCAATTGACCTGTCGCAAACAGTAAGCAACTTCATTCCAGTCCCCCCCCAAAAAAGACAAGACATACCATGATTCAACGCCTGAATGACATTCACAAACGCACTCTCATCGTACAGCGCTGACCCCATATATTTCACCTCACTATACATCAAATCATTAACCCTGATGGCAGGACGCTTCTCCCACACCGCAATATTCACAATCGTCCCGTGGGTGCGACATGCGCCGATCGCCTCGTTCAACGCCGCCTCCACCCCGGCAGTATCGAAGATGACATCCGCGCCCACGCCCCCCGTCAGTTCACGTACACGCGGAGCGACGGTCTGCCTGGCCTCGCCCTGGCCCTGGCCCTGGCCCTCGCGCGGGTCCACGATATGCGCGGCGCCGTAGTCCCGGGCGAGCCGTTTCCGGTTCTCCATCAGCTCGGCCACGATGATGTTCTGCGCGCCTTGCATCTGGAGGACCTGGACGATCCCGATGCCCACGGGTCCGCCGCCGAGGACCAGGACGCTGTCGCCGGGTTTGAAGGGGGAGATGTTGACGGCGTGCCAGGCGACGGCGAGGGGTTCGATGAGGGCGGCGGCTTCGAGGGAGATGGTGTCTGGGATGGGGTAAAGGTGCTCGGCTGGCGCGACGATGGATTTGGCGAGGCCGCCGCCGTAACCTGCCATGTACAGTATTGAGGTCAGTGTGGTTTTTACTGACTGGACGTCTCAATGCCATCACTCATCTGGAATGTGTGCGAGCTTACCCGAGAGTCCAATGAATCCGATGTTCTCGCAGCAGTACTGGTAGCCGAGCTTGCAGGATGCACAGTCCCGGTCGAAGATGGTGGGTCGGACGACAGCCCGTTGTCCGGGCGAAACGTGGCTGACCCCTTGGCCGACTGCTTCGATGATCCCGCCGAATTCGTGCCCCAGGGTTACTGGACGTGTGGCGCCGGTGATCTTGTGGGGTGTTTGGGGGACGAGGACGGGGCCGCCAGTGTATTCGTGTAGATCTACCAGATCAGTACCTACGGAGGAGAGCCGCCTAGAAGTCAAGTGACTTACCACTGCCGCAAATCCCCACAAAGGCTGGTCGCAACTAGAAGGAGAGTCATCCTCATGATTTGTGACCGACTGCTCTCGCGCGAAACGAGGTACCTTCACTTGACCCTTCCCGCAAGTTGGCTCTTCGATCTCATCCAGTCGGATATCGCCGCGTCCGTGGAAGCGCACGGCTTTCATGACGGGCGCAGTTCCTCTGAGGGTCGTGCGAACAGCGTTGACTGAGTCAGTCGCAGTGTTCAACATTCTGGTGTCGGGGGTTGTCGATGGATGGCTTTGAAAAAGGGTATCATCCAGTATCGTGTATTTTGAAAGAGTTCAAGCAATGCGATGGCAATTACGGCTAGCATTCACTGTTTATAAGGAGACGTAAAGAAGAGCCCGGCTCGAGGCGAATTCCGAAACGTTGCAATGACGTTAAGTCGATATCAAATCTCCCACAGGGACATTTTATTTTCACTCTCGACTGATTGGTTCGATGATATGTACAGTACTCGCCAGAGGGGCATATAATTGGTCAACAGCAGGCCGTTCATCTGATACTTAATCATTACAACATATGGATCGATGTTGCACCGAACCGACCCTGTGTGGAGCAAGCCTCACGGAAGGCCCCAGTAGGTATTTTGGATCCCGTCCAGGAGCAGCACGAGTATGATTTGCTGGATTCATGCCCGAAGCCGGATACGTCAACATATGAGCTATTGGCTCAAGTCGCAGGTCCGAATCAGCATACTCGTTGGATTGTCGAGGTTGATGCGTTGAGCGCCTGTTGGCATTGTCAGGACTCTGCGCTGTGGCGTCCTCACGCCTCCAGATGAAACCAAGATCCCCCGCCATCTCCCCACACCTGTCACTGGGTGACACGGCCCACCATCATTCCCTGCGCAAGATTAGCCACCGATCAAGGTCTGGGGAAATGGCATGGAACAGACTCCACTGGGTTGCCCTACGTTGGGCTAAGGTGGGCTCTAAGTGGCAGAGGAGTTCAGCCACCAATCAGACAGAAGCGGGCGGGAGGGAGTGCATATAAACTTTGGACTGAAGTAATCCCGAGGGAAGGGAAACAGGTAGTTAAGCATCCGTCTAATCAGGCTTCTTCATCATGCATCTGCTCGACGAATGCGCGTAGGATGGATTCCAAGCCCTCGTTCCGGCGGGCCAGGAGCATGACATCGCTGACATTGACCGTCGAGCGGCCGGCATGCCTAAAACGGAAAAGCCGAGCAGTCAGCAACGACGTCAATTCACAGCTTGGAGGGCTGGGCCAAGAACCCTCAGGAGGTCCAGCTAGCTTTTACTCCGGACTGGAAGGTGTCGAGAGAAGCGCTAGTAGAAGAACCACTTACTTCGAGAAGGATTCTAGATCCTGGCTAGTCGTCTCTGCAATTGATTCGTCAGCAATGGGCACAGAACGAGGCGAAGAAAGAGGATTGCACACAACAGGCATGCATCAAGCATCTGTTCCCCGTACATCCGCGCGGTGGATTCACGAGAAGCGGAGAGACAAACCTATCTGAGCCCAGACCAATTCCGTCAACGCTCCGATGAACTGAGGCGTGGCGTTGATACCGAGTTTGATGGTCTCTTCGTCCACAATTCTGCCGATTGCCAGCCAGAGCGCGGACTTCAGACGCTGTCAGTGCGAGAGAAATAGATTAGCCCAGCTGCCAGACCGTATACTCTGTGAAGAGCATGGATATCAGGACATACCTCTTCGAGCCCAGCTTCCTCGTTTTGGTCCATGGCGAGCTTCCAACACAGCTCCAGGTAGCGTAGTTCTGCAGTAATCTTCCTGCCAGCCAGCCGATGCGCGCGACTTGTGCCATCCGTCGTGTCGCCGACGCGTTGAGTATGCAAACTCCGTGCTGATTGGCCGAACTTGCCTCCCGCCGGAAGCAGAGTTGATCCGATGCAGAAGTGACGCTAAGCCCAAACCGGGGTCGTCCCCCAAACATCCGATGATCTCCACATTCGGAACTTTCCCTTTTGTATGAGTGATTTTATGCCCGGGCGAAACTAAACTAAACTAACAGAAGCGTTTGCTAAACTCAACCTCCCACTGCACACCAGGTGGCCTTTGTGACCTCGAGATTCGTCACTCGCACAGACTTCCAAGCTTTTCCTCTGGTGCAGTTACACCATTACAAGGCAATCCGCCTTACCAAAACCTCTTCCTTCCGTCTCCTCCTCCGTCAATTGAATTCCCACCACATCCGAACAAACCCGCCTGAACCTACTCCCCCCAACAACCTCAATCCTCATTCCAAAATGTCCACCGCAGCAACACCAGGCGAACAAGCCTACGATGCCCTCGCCGACTTCTTCAGCCAACTCTACGCCTTCTTCGAAACGGGCATCACGCGCTTCATCACGAACTTCCACGCCTCCTTCGCCAACGTCTCGACCGGCCGCTGGACGAAAGTCATCTTGTCGGTGGTCGGCTACCTGATCGTGCGGCCCTACATCGAAGCCTGGTTCAAGAAGATGCACGAGAAGGACCGCAAGAAGCACATGGAGAAGAAGCGCGCCCAGGAGGCGGCCGCCGGTGCCGCCGCGGCTGGGGGTTCCTCGAAGGAGAAAAAGAAGGCGCGGATGTCGGCGAATGCGCTGCGGGGCGGTGGTGGGGGAAGGGTGCTTGGGGAGGTGGAGAATACGGATGATGAGATTGAGGATGCAGAGGAGAATCTGAATGAGAATGGGGGGAACGCGGCGAGTGCGGCGACCACTACGACTATCACGCAAGAGGATTTTGCGACGGCGAGTGGGGTGCCCGAGTGGGGGAAGAATGCGCGCAAGAGGCAGAAGAAGTTTCAGAAGAGTTTGGAGAAGGAGGCGGAGAAGCAGACGCAGAAGTTGTCCGAGGAGCAAATCATGGAGTTGTTGGATTGGAGTGAGGATGAGGCGGAGGGGAGAAAGATGGAGTGAGGCTTTGGGTGTGGTCATGGGGGTTCATAATCGAGGGGTTCATCGTGCTGGGAGTCGAGTCGGTCCAGGGGGCTTGAAGGCTGATCTTGTGGGATTTTTTTTGGATATCCATCAGCGGAGTACGTGTATATATGCCTCGTTTGTTGGGACTACTACTATTTTAATCACTCTACATAATTGGTATAGACAAAATGATGCGATTGGCTTATCATTTGCAAACTCTTCGCGGCATTTATCATTCATGATTCGGGCTAACGGTCCAACACGAAGTTGATGGACATCTTCAGACTTCTGGAGCCTCGAATTGCAGCGGGAAAGACATTCGCAAGCCGCATCATAAACGGCAACCACAGAGGAAGACAAAATAGCGATGTATATGTCTAGAACCACGAAAGAACAGACCCGAATTGATATAATATAGTGATCGAACTACCCATCATCGCTCCGTCGATGGGCGACCTAGAGCTGATTGACGTTTCATGGCGATCCGTATCTCTAATTAGCCTCGTTATCCCGATCGATCTTGAAGCCACTTGTACACCACCGAGAAATCTTTACCCCGATGGTCTTCTTCCACGGCATTGTACACAGTACGAGCCACGTCCGCCAGGGGCAGAGGCGAGCCCGACTCCTCCGCAGCCGTGATAGCCAGCCGCAAGTCCTTTTTCATCAAGCTGACGCCAAACCCCCCTGCATAGTCCCGCGAGGCTGGCGCTGTTTCCACCACTCCAGGCACAGGGTTGTTGACCTCCATCGGCCAGCACCGCCCGGTTGACGTGTTCACCATATCCGCCAAGGTCTTGGGGTCCAGCCCCCAGCGTAGACCCAGGTTCATCGCTTCAGCTGTGGCGATGTTGTTGATCGCCAGGATATAGTTGTTGACGAGCTTCCCCGAAACGCCAGCTCCGGGGGCGCCCATGTGCCACGCATTCTTCCCCATCAGGGACAGCACCGACCGCACGCGATCGATGAACTGGCCGGTTTGAGACGTGGCGCCGAACATGAAGCTCAGCGTCCCGTTGCGGGCACCGACGACCCCGCCGGACACAGGAGCGTCCACAAAGCGACCTTGACGAGTGGTGTGGATTGCGTTGGCGATCTCCTTGGAGGAGCTAGGGTCGATCGTCGACGTGTCGATGAACAGACGCTCCTGTTCCAGTGCCGGAAGGTCGCCGTGGCGGAGGATAGAGTGGAAGACATCTTTAACATGCTGCGGTTCCGGCAGGCTGGTGATCACGACTGTCTGGAGGGAGAACGTTAGCAGACGAGGTAACCATGTGTTTGGACCGGCTTGTGCGTGCTAAATCGGCCGTGGTAGAGCTCTAGCCACTTACAGATTGTTCTGCAATGTCCCTCGCGCTCTCCGCCACGATAACGTTGGCTGTGCCGGTGCTCGCCGTGCCTGTCCCGCCTGCTTGATGGCCCTCCTTCACAAATCGGGCGGTGGTGTCTGGATTGACGTCTCGAATCATCAATGTGTCGGTGGCAGGGATCTTGGACTGTATATTCTTGGCCATGTTGTACCCTACGCATTGTCTCATATGGTCAGTCATCTAAAGGATACTCCTTCAACAAGGGGGTAAGCCACGCATACCCATTTGTCCGAGCCCAATGAATCCCCAAGTGGCATCCTTCTGCGTGGATGACGAGAATAGTCTTCGTGGAAGGATGGCTTTGCGGAGAGGACCAGTTGTCAGAAGAGTCACCCTTGACGGGGGGTTTCCTCGCAGTAGGGATGAGAAAGCACCAGCGATATTCATCGTGAGGGTGTGAACGTGGCTCCTAGCATAAGAATCAAGTCAAGCTGGGGTCAGTTGCGACAGCGTGAATTGTGTTTGATGTATTGGGACAGCGGTGCTGGTTCCGAGGACGGAGTTGGTAGATTGTACGCCCGATAGCAGTGCCGTGAATATCCGTCAGCTCTACATTGTGGTGCGCTAGAAGTTGACTGGTGAGTGACGGGCCCGAGGGAGACAAGCTGGGGATGTCGATCTCCGCCCCGACCCCATGCGGGGAAACCCCAATTCAGTAAAGCTGCGGAGGTGGGAACCCGACTGAAACCGAAGAAGCATCACGTGCCATTCCCGGGGAGGTAATGCTATATACAAGCAAAGGGAGGAGCTTACTACAGTATAGATTATTTGTGCTCTTTTATGTTCCACGCTCTTTTATGTTCCACTGTCTAATTAAAATAATGTACAGAAATTGGAAGAAAGATGCACGTGCATCTGAATCGGACAAGAAACGCTCGGCCGGCACCAGGATTAGCGATAATGGGGTATGTTGAACGCCTGAAGAGAAAATGATCGTGTTGAGACGCCAGTCAATTCTTGCCAATGATGCATGTAAAAGAGCAAGGCGAGCAGTAGAAAGCATTCAACAAGATCCAGAAGCGTACATGGTATCTCATTGCTGTCCCGGTGATGCCGGGTTGCTAGTCGGTCCATTCAGATACTCAGAAGGGACTTTGGGTACGCGTGGTGAGCTGACTGCCTGTGCCCTTTGCTGCGCGCGGATCAAGTCCCGCTGACGTTCCTTGTCCCGACTTGGGGCTGTGCCGCCAGTAAGTCGTCTCATGCCGCTGCGAATCATCGACTCAAGCGAAGACGAGCCTTCGGTAGCGCTGCGTACTTGATTGATAGGATGGGATGCAATTGGTTTGCCTTCGGCAAACGTGTCTTCTGTCTCGTCGTCCGAATGGAATGCAGATTCGCTAAAGCCAAGGACTGGCGTGGATTGCTGTGCACTGGCTGACGATGGCGAGGGCAGGTGATTGGCCGGAGACGTCACGGACCGAGTGTGGGAAACCGGCCGTGCAAGTTGGCTAGGGCCAGGGGGTGTGTATGTCCCCGAAGGTTGTACTCCAGTGCTATCGAAGCGTGAATTCAGCGGGCGAGACTCCGCAAGACCATTGTGGAAAGAGGATGTGGAGGCAGTCCTGGCAAGAGATTTGCGCAGGATTGGAGCCGTCTGCTGATCATAAAGATTCGCACTCGTATCAGCATAGGCACCAGCAAAGCCACGCAGTGCAGGGTCCGAGATGGTGTCCAGGACTGGATGGAGTGGATCTGTCTCTTCGAAGAAGTCATCCAGACTGTCTAGTTTCTGCACAATATCTCCCATGTTGCCGTCGGTTTGCGTGTCGATCGATTTCATGGTGTCTGCCCGCATAGGGAAGAACGAATCATTGTATTCGTCTGCATGGAATTCGACGTCAGGCTTGACAGTTTCCTGCACCTCCATGCGGTCCACTTCAGCGCAAGTGTAGAATACCGCGTGAACATTCTGGCGGGTGATGTTCGACTGAGAAGCAGGCATTGGGATTGACCACCCGGTCGGTTCGGGGATTCCATAGAGACTCTGAATACGCTCATATTCTTTTCGAATGGCACGCGACGAGGTAGACGAAGCCATGCTCATTCGAAGGTGGTGACGCTCCATCGCGTTGGCCGAGACTGTCATAATGTGATCCATGACTTGCAGAGCCTGAGGACACAGATCAGTCTGCAGGAGCCGCAGCAGAGGTGAGATAAGATCAGGCCCGTGGCTTGTCACCTCCTCTCGCCGCATATCAATCTCCGGAATCAGCACACAAAGTATCTTCATAACCTTGAGGCGGAACCACTTGGTTGTATTCGTTAGCAAGCCCATGAGGAAAATGAGGCTTTGCACATCCAGTCGAGGGAAGTAATAGGAACGCAGCTCGGTGATGATATGGCTTAGGAAGTCATTCTCTGCCTTGTATTGACCGTTGGCGAATCCTAGCAAAGAAGCCGCAATGCGTGGACACATTTCGCTTTCGGCAACACGAGCAAGTAACGTAGCACGTGCCAATGCTTTGCTATCATCAACATCTGAATCGAACTGATGAAGAAAGTGGGATAGATTTGCCAGGATCGCGAAGAGGAGCCTGTCGCTATCTCCGATGAGGTCATTATTCGGGAGACCGCTCAGACGGTGTAGAACGTCCAGTGTCAGGTTCAGAGAGTCGCTGGACTTCAAGCCTTTATAGATCAGGTCCTGAAGACCACCAAAGTCGCCTTCCCACTTGGGTGGTTGGCCTTTGATGAGCTCCGTAACGACCATGGGATCACTCAAGTCTAGACGATCCAAGAATTTCTCGAGCATACCAATGCTCTCCACAAACTCAGTTTCGTGGATTGTGTTCAAGCAAGCACACGTGGTCCAGAACAGCTGTGGGTACCGCAGCAGGTCTGCGGGAGCCAGCGAGCCGATGATGATTTTGAGAGTGGTCAGAATCTCCATTGAAAAGGTGCGGTAATCTGATTCCTCGTCTGCAATTGTGTTTGATAGACGAGCGAGCATATCGGCGAGCATCCTGGAGTCGAGAGACAAGGATATGCAACGGAACACCTGGAAAGATCGGCAGGCTAGATGCCGGACCGGGCAGGACGTTGCCCAACTCAGAGCCTCTTTTGCCCAGAAGTCATTGATGCCTTCGTATGCAAGGTTGAAGAAGCCGACGACTTTGTGTGTAACATCAGACATCGAGGTAGGGACACGACGACCGTCATCTCCATCGTCTTTGTCGCTATTGTCTTCGTATTCCCACACCACCTTGGGGTCACTCTTGCGGATCATCTCCACAAAATCCTCAATGGATTCTCTGGTTCCAGCAGGAGCGTCGTCTTCTGTCTTAGCGGCGACCAACTCATGGATCAGATGAACCAACATTTCCCTGGCCTCTTCCTGGACGGTAACAATGTAATGGTCCCATAGAATGAGAGCAACATGGAGCAACTTGACCACATCTTCCAATGCCGGTGTGACGGAAGCGACCATGAGATCAACAAGTAATACTAGGGATACTTGACCCAATGAGAGCCCGGCCTGTTTGTTCCCCAGCGGAAGTACCGTGTTAAGGTCAGCAACATACGGCAGACTTTTGATGTCCGCCGGAGCTGGTGTGATCTCCTTCCTCTCTTGCACCATGTTCTTAGGAACAACCTGCATCAAAAAGAATTCGATGACCTTCGAGCCAGCAGGTGTCCCGGATAGAAACACAACTACTTGTTTGGCGTATTCAACAAAGTTTTGCTCTTTGCGCTCTAAGCAGAGACTGATAATGAAATCGAGGACCAATTGCACATTTCCTCCATGCGGCCCGGTCGCCAAGGCTTGCCAGAGGGCTTGCACCTCATTTGGAAGAGTGGTGCTGCAGCGGATGGTGATCTCAAAAAGATTAGCGAGAAGCATGTAGGACTTTGCAGTTGGCCCGCCGCTGGGATCAACCTGAAGTTCCATTGTCTGGACCCATGGAAGGATAGCAGCCACCATGTTTCGTTGGCTATCTGGTCTCAAATTCTTGAAATGCAAAGAAAGCTCGGAGAACAGCGGAAAGGCTAGGTCGGAATGCTGCATGGCTAGGCGTTTGGACGTTTCAAACTGGGCGAGTTTGTAAACAGCGGTCGTCTTGTCAGAAATGCTGATATAGAAGTCCTGCAATCTCGAGCTTTTCTGCTGCCGCTCCTCCAGAATGCGAAGTAGCTTGGCGGACTTCATTCTGATCTCCCTCTTTTGATTCCCAAGTGTGACAAGGACAGCACCCAAAATCCTCCAGAAATTGAGTGGGAAGTCGGTGTGCTCAATGAGTACCTGAGTGACGACTTCGAAGTAACTTTCCAGCGCTTTGGGCCTTTCCGCAACATAGCACATCTCGATGGACCGCTCCAATAGATATGTATGTTCCTTGTTGTGGACGATCAAATTCTTGAGAGCACGTCTACCAATCGCATGCCATTTGTCGCTGATCGAGGTCGTGAAGATGATGTCAATCCAAGACAGCATTCGGCCTACGTCGAACTGCAGCACTGAACCGCTCTCTGTTGTGATGCTGATGGGTCCAGCCTACGAAAGTCAGTCAGCTGTCTCGTATGGAGAAGACAGAAAGAGCAGGTGGTACTTACACACAAGGACGCCATGGCACTCAGAGCCGCCGCACGCAGGTTCCTCTTTTCAATTTCCATGGCAGCTCCCGACTCATTATTTTGAGCAGGAGCATATTTCCGCATGTTCTCTTCCCTTTGCGATATTTGGGACTGATTTGGCGAGTATCCACACCAATCTTCCATCAACGAGAATGCAGACTTCCTAGATTCAAATGGCATCCATCGGGAAGGATCGCTGGTTCGATTGACACCCTCAAAGAGTTGCTCCATGAGTCCACAATAGTGGTATCGAAGTCTTTGAAATTCCCAATCATTCTGAACTTCAGCATCGCTCAAGAATATTCGGAGATCCTTTGCATAAGTCACGAGGTTGTTGACGATCCAGTCATCATTGTATACCTCGGGCTCTTGTAGAAAATGCGAAGTTAGCTTGTATACATACGTCACTTCCGTCCGCAGTCGGTCCGTCTTGCGATTTCTCCGCGGACTGCTTGGGGAGCGATAGTGCGTGCCAATCCGTATTTTAGCTTCCTCGTTGCATGTGGTGACTGCATACTGCAGTGATTCGAGAAGAGTCCGGTAAAGATTTTTGTTTATAGATCCGAGGGCAACCACTATAGCATTTCGAATGGTAGGACGCTCGGCTGACAGCAGCGGAATCACAAATGCGAACAGACTTCGAGCTGAGCTGATCTTATCTTGAGTCTGTTGTGATCCCTTCGAACCTTTTCGCGCATGCTGAGCGTTTGCCAGCTGGCTTTGTGATTGTGCGCCGACACTGTTCAGAGTGGTGCATGCCATGACCAGGTACAATTTCCATTGCTCGATCACAATCTCGGCCGGTAGGTTGCCCCTGCCCAGTATGCGAGCCTGTGCAGCTTCCATGGGACCATATTGCTGTGACGGACCCTCAGCATAATATGTGATCGCTTTGTGCATGAGGACAAGCCTTGCACACACAATCTCACGTCCCAACGTCACAGCAAAAGGACAGGTTTCGAAGCTTATGCGGATAATGTTCGGAAACACCTTTGACCATAGCGTCGAGTCGTACGAGACCTCACTGCTACACATATCGATCACAACCTTTTGAGCAGCACTCCTTCTCTTGCTCTTCTGGATCCTGCTCAGCTCAGCCACGGTCAAAGATTCACTGTTGACATCCAAGATACGGTGTGAGTCGGCCTCCAGAATGCGAATGATTCGAGTGTTCTCTTTGCCAAGAGCACTATCAAACTCCGTGATCAGACGAAGAACCGTGATGGCAAATGCACGAACTCGTCGAGACTGAGAACAGAGGAAGAACAACCCATGAGATTCGATTTCCTCCACATGGGCTAGCACGCTAGATAGATCCAGTTGGAGAGCTCGGCTTCCGGAACCGGTCTTGTCATTTGATTCTGCAGCCGCGCCCTTGGACTTTTGTTTGATCTCCTCGATCCAGATCCTCAGCAGCTCTACATAGAGCCTCAATGTAGATTCAATATGACCTGGTCCTAGCATACCTTCGTCGGACATAGTCGAGTATCTCGCATCAAAATTGAAGATGAACCTGGCGAAGCCAATCGTGACCTGCTGGGCGTGAGACTGACGTGCGATGGCCTTCAGCGATTCAGCAGATGAAACGGCTATGTTCGACTGAACATGTGCGGTCCCAGTGCAAAGCAGATTGATCAAGGAATTGAAGGGAATCCGGTCCGAGAGGCACCGAGGCAGCGCCTGCACAGCAACATGAAGTAGGTCATAGAACCCTTGCTTTTGATCTAGGGTGGTTAAGTGGTCGTCCCGTCGACCGAAGCTGAAGGCCTCTGAGATCGGAGTCTTTGGTGTCGTGCCGCCGAACTTCTCGTCTAGCGCCGCCTGGCCCCCGAATGTGTTGTCACACAAGAGGGTTATCTTACCGAGAACGTCGCAGAAGCGGAGGTAGTATTCCCGGATATTGTCACTGAGCCTTGCTGTGTTGACGGGTCTCGACAAGGAACTGTCACGATTATTTGATGCATTCGGCGGTCGAGGATCAGCGAGCAGATGCGGCCGATGGAAATGAGTCGGAGCAGAGATGTCGGTGAAAGGATTCGGGATGGATCCTGTGGGGAAAGGGGGACACAATTGATCGCAATTCTCTAAATCGGTCATAATCGCAAGAAATGTCCTAATGCCAATGACCATTTTCTCGGGCTCCATTTGTTCGATTTTGAGCTCTTTGCCCGAAAGAAAGAGATCGGAATTGATCATAGGAAAGATGATGGTGCGGAAGCACACATCGGGATGCTTAAAACCAATCATCCGTACCAGCTGGACCAGAGGGTCCGAAACAGCAGGCTCCGTACTCAGGTACGTCCTTTTCCCCGGTGGTAGGGCAATTCTGGCCACCTCTTCAACCTTGCGCAGTGTGGCTGTTGGGGACTCCGAGTAGCGAAAAAAGAACGTCCAAAGCAGGCGGCACATTGCCTGAAGAGCTGATCCCCGAGTAGGACGATCTTTCAGCCGCGACGGAAGACTTTGTATCACCGATAGCCATTGCGAAGAGAAGTTCTCTTTAGGTGAGACGCACAGCAAGAGCACGTGAAGGGGGAATGCTGCAGCCCAGTGGCGTGGCTTGGTTAGCATCTGCGACAGACGAGATTGCACCAAGTCGACAAACTCCTTCCATTTAGGGAGCGTGAAGTCACAAGTCGAGCTTGCTGCTACTGGGAGTAATAGCTTTTCGAGGATGTAGCAATATGCCTGTTTAACGCGCGGTCCGTGAGCGTTCACAAACAGGCGCGCGAGCGATAGCATGAAATCGCAGCATTTGCCCCAGATTTCAGGATGAGTCCTAATGCGAACGTGCCTCATCCCCAAGATCAGTAGCTCGGCCTTGGCATCTCCTTCTTTCGAAGGGCCGCGGAGGGTTTCGTCCTTCTGGTATTTATCCAGCTCCTGCAGGAATCTGTTGGCAACGCCCGCAAAGCTGGTTTCACTCATGATACCGAGCAGCTGCGAGTAGATCCTCCAATTAGCCATGCGGAGAGAAGACGCTGAGATCTGATCCGGATCCACGGCCCTCAATTGACCAAAGACAATGTCCTCGAGGCGATCCACCATGTCTAGAGTGATAGAGGCGAGGCTACTCTGATTAAATATCTCAATCAGAATTCTACAAACCAGGTAAACCGATACCGTCGCTCGCCTCTCCGCCATGATGACTTCGTCGTGTCTAGATAATAGCGTGCGCGGAGGGGAGTTTGAGTCGGACGGTGTAGCTGACTCGGTGATAATCTGAGGTGGCTCAGTGTTGCGGCGAATGAGGAAACCGTTTTCAGCAGCGGGAGGCTTGGGCTATAACAGTGAAACGACCACATCAGTAAGAGATGACTGAAATTTGGCGAGAGCCTTGCGACCTACTTGACCAGCAACCTGTTTAGCCACAATAGCCGCATCGCCTATCGCTTTCCTCCAATACATGATGGTGTCGATCAACGGCTTCGGATTCCGCCGTGCGATGTAACCCAGAGCCGATATCAATTGATCGAAGTTTGCGTCTGCACCCGGCCCGCATACCTCTTCAACTGGCGCATCGGATTCACCAAGTCTCATGATAGCCTGGTTGATTTTGTGTTCGGCTTGGCCTATAAACTTCCAAGAGGATCAACATTTGTATTAGGCCAAGGTCGGTGCGTCGACTTACAGCATTGAAAAGATGATGAAGTGCATATTCTTCCGTGGATTTGATATCCGAGTGATGAGGTCTCGAGTGCGAACGGCTATGAGATCGTTCCTGCTTAGGCTTTCCATTGGAATTCATCCGCCTGTGCACTGCAGCCGCAAGATTGCCGCTAACAACGTCGTCGCCATCCCGATCATCTATTGTACTCAGGGTCCCTTGTGAATGTGTGCTCGTTCCGTTGCTCCCTTGGTGCTGGAGATTGGCGAGCATACTGGGCTGCTCTGTCCGACTTGGTCCGGCCCCTTCCGGTTCGATAGCGCCACCGCGACCCAGGGTTGCGATCAACTCGGGGCTCAGAGGGCTGCTGGACGTTGTCGAAGGCGCAAAGCTCGGGTTGCGCGAGTGCTGGATCCCGTGTACGATCGAGGTTTGACGGTGGTGACCATAGGAGTTGGACGGCCGCCTCTCCAGACCAACATCATATCCGAAACCGGGTCGTCCAGCGATTGTTTCGGGACTTTTTGAGTGGGATGCACCGCGGCGGTTGTTCTGAGGCTGTAAAGTCGAGGCGGGCAAGGCAGCAGAATCAATTCCCCTAACTGTGGACGTTTCGCGGCTGTGGACCGTGGATGACGGGGTGCTTCTAGTGACGAGACGTTCTGGTGGAGCTGAAAAGATATGGTGCGACACATGATTCGAATCGTCAGGGATGAGGGGCATTGGCGTTGATTGCAACGGACCAGCCTTAATCGACGGATGTGAGGCCACTAGCGAAACAAACAGTTTAGCACCAAGAAACCGACTCGAGCTGGAAAAAACCAAGTTGGATGGAAGGAAGCGGTGGAGTAAAAATTGACGTGCAAAGTGGCAGTGCTATCAGACGAAAGCAAGCCTTTTCGTCAGGCAGAATCACGTACTATTAATTGTATTGGGTGGTTTGATGTCAGACTGGATTCATTTCTGAGTAAGGCTCCCTTCTGTCAGAACGGAACGACCCAAGAATTCGGGCAAGCAGTGCATTGTTACTCTGCTGCTTAGGGGGTTGTCAGCGAAGACACGGGATCATGATTCTGGAGACACTGAGGTTTTGAAGTCAGAGGAGCTTTGTTGCTGGAAGAGCCGGTTCGTTCGCGACCGAAAGAGGCTCGGAGCACGGGGAAGTTGGGTAACAGTGCGGAGGACCTCAAAAGGGACGAACGTCACAGCTCTCGAACTTCACTCTCTCTCTCTCTCTCTCTCGTACTTTTCAGTCTGTCTCTCACAACCCAGCCTCGTCAACCATGTGCTAAGCTATTATCTTATTATCTATATGAAACTTGCGATCTAAAGCATATGAGCAAAATTCCAAAAGGAAAAAAAATTGTATCGTCTGTTACCATGCAATAATACTACTCTTGTCCTGGTCGGTTTGTCCTCCGCTCTCCACGGGAGAGTCTCGAGCTCTTCTCCGACAAAGCCAGTAATCATCCATCGGACATCGGAGTCCGTGAGTGAAGTAAGCTCAATTACTAACCTTGAGAACTGTGCATGACAAGCATTACCCAGTCTCGTCCTAGCGATCAGCATGAACGAGTGAAACACAATACGCACGAATGCAAGGTACCTATGCTCCAGGAGCACACCGAGAAGATCAAGGGGCGATGTCGACCGCCAAAACCTCAACCCAAAGTCTCACTGGTCGAGATGATCATCTCAAGCTCCGGAGGCTGATTCCTAGCTAGTTTGGAGAGACACTCAAAGAAGCCCGGCTTGCCATAATCTACTCCGTAGGTAGTCCTTCACTGGTACAGACTATGGGCTTGTGGAGCAGTTTGATGAGAGAGATAGTGACTAGTAGCAACACGAAGTTGACTTGGGATTTGTAGGCAAGCACGGAGTATGCTACAAATATTCAATTTTTTCCCCTCGTAATGAGACTCCAGTGAAGCACTAGAACTATTTCTCTCATGAAGAGGTTACGAGCGAGCAGATGTGCGGAATCAATCCGTCCATCGTTATGAGTTTGGCCGGAGAACGGCACTGCGTCTCGAAATGCCGCGGCGCGGAAAACGAGATCGATTCGAGCCTTGGGGAGCACGCGGAACAAATAGCAGTGGCGGCTGTACGGGGTTGCTGTCTGTCACACAGCGGTAGTCAGAACCAGGCAGTATTTGAGTTATTCAGGAGGGATTCTCTGGTAGTTTAACGAAAGTTTGAAACATATGCTCCATGCTCCATGCTATGTACATAACTTGAGATTTTGGAGATTGAATGGGTAGGGAACTGCCAGAAAAGGCGGAACTCGGCTGGTTTGGCAGTGGCAGAATTAATCGGCAGCGTCGTTCGGGAGATCCCCCAGATCACATTCATGGCTGGTCGGTCGCCAGTCGAACGCCACCGTGGATTTTGCGATGGTTATAGGCTCATCACAGCGCCGAATTCTCCTTCCGAACCAATGTCTCTCTCGGGCAAGTGTCGGTCCATGGGGTATTGATCCCCACATCCTCCCTGCTACTCCGAGGGTATATATTCATCGTAGAACAGGTCCAATTTTCAAGATCCTCCCTAGGGGTTTCATTTTCTCGAATGACTTGTCAAACTACTGGTATACAAGCTATCCTTTAACGTGAACAGGCTCATATCGACACATCTTGTTCGAGCAATGTACATTGCTCCTGATTCAGTCTGAATCCCACTAGGTGCAGCAATATTCTCACACACTATCAATCGTGAGACTGCTCAGTGCTTCCCGCTCATTCCTGCGACTTGCCAAGGAGAGACTAGCAGCACAGTTGAACCCACCCCACCGTCCGAGTTCCGACGCACCGGACCCCCCGAAGAGTAAAGACTCAAGGAGTAAAGACTAAAAAGGCGGCCACATTCGCTTGAGGCCTGAGGCAGTCCAGACTCCACTTCAGTTTTATCGATCGTCCCTCAAAAGTTCCCCGTCCGGTATTCGGTGCCCCCTCCCTCGGTCACTGTCATTGTATCTTTTTGATGCAGCCTGGCCTTGTTGTGCTCATTACAGTACTAACTTGACTGCGAGCCTGCGGGAGCTACTGTTGCTCGTGCTTTGGGGCCAAGCTGATTATCGGCATTCCACTTTACCTCGATCAGACCACGGTTCCCTCATCTTACCCTCCTCGCGTCTTGGCCCTGGTCGTCTGCTCCTCCTCCTCCTCCGCCTCCACCCTTTTCTCTTCTTTTCTTCCTTTACTTATCTTATATTCTTTCTTTTTCTTTCTCTACCTTCTTCGGAGTTCTCCTTGGAGTATCTCACCTGCTCGGATTAAACCTTTTGGTGATCCCTGCCGGGAACTCTTGATACAATCTGAGGGACCCTTTAGATTTTCCCTCCTCTATCCTTCCCTCCCCCTCTTTGCGCCTTCCCGTCCCTCCGCCCGAGTCAGCGTTCACTCCTTGCCAGGCTTACTCCCGGGGCTACTGCTCACGCATCGCCTAGAGAGCCCCTTCACCATGGCGCAACTCGACACCCTCGATTTGGTAGTCTTGGCAGTGCTGTTGGTGGGTAGCGTTGCCTACTTCACCAAAGGCACTTACTGGGCTGTTGCCAAAGATCCCTATGCCTCGTCAGGCCCCGCCCTAAATGGCGCCGCCAAAGCCGGCAAGTCTAGGAACATTATTGAGAAAATGGAAGAAACAGGCAAGAACTGTGTGATCTTCTATGGATCGCAGACTGGAACCGCCGAGGATTATGCCTCTCGATTGGCAAAGGAAGGGTCTCAGCGATTTGGCCTCAAGACCATGGTCGCTGACCTCGAGGATTATGACTATGAGAATCTGGACCAGTTCCCTGAGGACAAGGTTGCATTTTTCGTTCTGGCCACGTACGGCGAAGGTGAGCCCACCGACAACGCCGTTGAGTTCTATCAGTTCGTCACCGGCGAGGATATCGCTTTCGAGAGTGGCGCTTCCGCCGACGACAAGCCGCTGTCTTCTCTCAAGTATGTCGCTTTCGGTCTGGGTAACAACACCTATGAGCACTATAATTCCATGGTTCGCAACGTGGACGCCGCTTTCCAAAAACTCGGTGCCCAGCGGATCGGCACTGCTGGTGAGGGTGATGACGGCGCTGGTACCATGGAGGAAGACTTTTTGGCCTGGAAGGAGCCCATGTGGGCGGCGCTGTCTGAAGCAATCGGTCTGGAAGAGCGAGAAGCTGTGTACGAGCCCGTCTTCTCTGTCACTGAAGACGAGTCCCTGAGCCCTGAGGATGAGACCGTTTATCTCGGCGAGGCTACCAAGGGCCATCTCGAAGGCACTGCGAAAGGCCCATTCTCCGCCCACAACCCTTACATCGCCCCGATCGTTGAGTCACGCGAGCTGTTCACCGTCAAGGACCGTAACTGCCTGCACATGGAAATCAGCATTGCTGGAAGCAACTTGTCTTATCAAACCGGTGATCACATCGCTGTCTGGCCCACCAACGCTGGCGCCGAGGTGGATCGATTCCTCCAAGTTTTCGGCCTCGAAGGAAAGAGACACTCGGTCATCAACATCAAGGGTATCGATGTGACCGCCAAGGTGCCAATCCCCACGCCTACCACATATGATGCCGCCGTTCGCTACTACCTGGAAGTCTGTGCCCCCGTTTCCCGTCAGTTCATCTCATCTCTGGCCGCCTTTGCCCCCGACGAGGAGAGCAAGGCGGAAATTGTCCGTCTCGGTAGCGACAAGGATTATTTCCATGAGAAGATCACAAACCAGTGCTTCAACATCGCTCAAGCTCTTCAGAGCATCACGTCCAAGCCGTTCTCCACTGTTCCATTCTCACTGCTTATCGAAGGCCTCACTAAGCTGCAGCCTCGCTACTACTCTATCTCCTCGTCGTCTCTCGTGCAGAAAGATAAGATCAGTATCACTGCGGTCGTGGAGTCTGTTCGTTTGCCTGGCGCCACTCATATTGTCAAGGGTGTGACCACGAACTACCTCCTCGCACTCAAACAAAAGCAGAATGGTGATCCCTCTCCTGATCCTCACGGACTGACTTACGAGATCAACGGTCCCCGCAACAAGTATGATGGTATTCATGTCCCCGTGCACGTGCGCCACTCGAACTTTAAGCTGCCATCTGATCCTTCTCGCCCTGTTATCATGATCGGACCTGGTACTGGTGTCGCGCCTTTCCGTGGATTTATCCAGGAACGGGCTGCCTTGGCTGCCAGAGGTGAAAAGGTTGGCCCAACGGTTTTGTTCTTTGGCTGCCGCAACCGTAACGAGGATTTCATGTACCAGGACGAATGGAAGGTATGTTTTGTCTACTCATTCAAATGTGAATATGGACATGGAAGGCTGACTGAATCAATGATGTAGACTTACCAGGAGCAGCTTGGAGACGCACTGAAGATCATTACTGCTTTCTCTCGTGAATCTTCCCAGAAGGTGTATGTCCAGCACCGCTTGAGGGAGCACGCCGAACTCGTCAGTGATCTCCTCAAACAGAAGGCTACCTTCTATGTTTGTGGTGATGCGGCGAACATGGCACGTGAGGTTAACCTTGTTCTTGGCCAAATCATCGCTAAGCAGCGCGGTCTGCCTGCTGAAAAGGGTGAAGAGATGGTTAAGCACATGCGCAGCAGCGGTAGCTACCAGGAAGACGTGTGGTCATGATCATTTTGCTGAGCCTTTTGTTGCTATGACTTCTGCGTTTCCGTATTTCTCATGTCTAGATGATCTTTGCATATAAACTTCGCCGCATTTCTTGGTTTGTTGCTTGGCGTGGTTTGATGTATGCCTAGTGTTTGACGCTTCTCTGCAGCATTTGATTTGGTTCTGCAGGGCCATTGGGGGTGGTGTGTGTACTTCCCGAGTTTTGGTCATGGGTTGTTGCAGGGAGCCAAGATAGACAGTGATGAATGTTTCCTTCGCTTCAAATGATTGACATGAATGCTTTATAGAGATAACTAGGAAACACTAATCTGAAAAGTGCATTAGTGCATTGTCAGTTCTTGACGGGGTCTCTGTAGTGTTGTGTTAGCGGTGTCTTGCGTTCCAATCTCTATCTGGGATGTAACTGAATAGAAAGCTGTTGTTCAATCATAACTAGATTGGAGAGAACCCGGAAGCTTCATCGCAGGGGATCATTGTGGGAGGTGGAAGAGAGAGCACCGATGCCGCGGGCATAACACGGAGTTTAGCACCTCGCTCATCCTCTCTGCTGGACGGGACGAGCCCGCCCGCGACCATCGTCATTTCAACTACTAATCAATCCTACATTCCAACCTCGCCGCTTTCTGACAATTCCACCCCACCCAACTCTCAATAAATTCATCCCACAGGAAAGATATGCGGCTACTTGTATAGCCTTGGAATCGCCGACCTTGCCACCACATTCGTTAGGAATTATTACATTGTCCGGGGCCGTCCGTAGCCTGTTGTCTCGTTATCATATCCCCCGCAAGCTGGCTCCACAGCGAAAAGCGCAACCAGCTGCTCTCTTCGACTGAGCAGTGAGGGATACTCGCACCGCCAGGATGGCCTATGTTGTGCCAATCCATCGGGCAAGCAGCATACGACATGCGCTAACGCTGCAGTTCATGAAATCGGAGGAGGATGTACTGGTTGTTGCGTTGGTCGACCTTGTTCCTGCAATTGAATCGTTTCTCTGCGCGGCAAACCGATGGCTAATTTTCCCTCGCTCGTCTCTGACAGGAAAGCGAACCGGCTCGAGTTCTATAACCTCACTCCAGATGGGTTGAGCCTCGCCAGTTCGTGCTCCCTATTTGCCAGGGTCACGATGCTGGCTCGACTTCCAGCGCCCGCCAACTCGTCTACCGATCACCTCGTGGTGGGCACAGACCACTATACATACTGCACACTGTCGTGGGATAGCACGCTGAATCAAGTGCGCACGGAGCGAAAGTATGTGGATGTCGCTGACCCGTCGTCGCGTGAGGCTCAGACGGGCAATCGTTGCTTGGTCGATCCAAGCGGCCGGTTCATGACCCTCGAGGTCTATGAGGGCGTCATTGCGGTGATCCCTATCGTGCAATTACCCAGCAAGAGGAGGGGTAGGCAGGTTACCCTGCCTTCGGGGCCCGATGCACCTCGCATCGGCGAGCTCGGCGAGCCAACAACAGCTAGAATCGACGAGCTTTTCGTGCGCTCCTCGGCCTTTTTGCACGTCCAGTCAGGACTGCCGCGGATTGCGCTCCTTTACGAGGATAACCAAAAGAAAGTGAGGCTCAAGGTCCGGGAGTTGCACTATAACGCGGCCACCACAACCATGAGCGCGGATGCGTCGTTTGAGGAACTGCTAGACGGCTTCTCAGATGAACTCGACCTCGGAGCCTCTCATCTCGTACCGGTTCCCGCTCCCCTAGGTAAGTGTACCCTCCCATCACCCTTCAGGCCTCCATTGGCTGGTTTCAGCTCACCGGCTAATCAACCCAGGTGGTCTTCTGGTTCTGGGAGAGACGTCTATCAAGTACGTTGACACGGACAGCAACGAGGTCGTGTCTCGCCCATTAGACGAGGCTACTGTGTTCGTGGCTTGGGAACGTGTGGATAGTCAGCGCTGGCTGCTGGCTGATGATTATGGCAGACTGTTCCTCCTTATGTTGGTCTTGGATGCTACTAACCAGGTTCAGTCCTGGAAGCTGGATCACTTGGGCAACACATCCCGGGCCTCTGTCTTAGTGTACCTTGGAGCGGGTACCATCTTCGTTGGCTCTCACCAAGGTGATTCCCAAGTACTTCGGATCGGAAATGGTTCAATCGAGGTAATCCAGACCCTGTCCAATATTGCACCGATTCTTGACTTCACGATCATGGACCTCGGCAATCGCACCAGCGAGAGCCAGACGCACGAGTTCTCTTCAGGGCAAGCCCGCATTGTCACAGGCTCAGGTGCCTTTGATGATGGGACATTGAGAAGCGTGCGTAGCGGCGTTGGCATGGAGGAACTGGGTGTCTTGGGTGAGATGGAGCACATTACCGATCTGTGGGGGTTGCAGGTAGCCGCTCAAGGCGACTTTCTCGACACGCTGCTTGTAACTTTTGTGGATGAAACACGAGTGTTCCAATTTAGTCCGGACGGCGAGGTGGAGGAGCTCGAAAGCTTCCTTGGGCTCAGCCTTTCTGAGAATACGCTACTCGCCGCCAATCTCCCTGGAGGACGGATATTACAGGCCACCGAACAAAGAATCTTGGTTGCCGACATTGAGAGTGGCATGGTTACATACGAGTGGACATCCCCGGACACATCGGTCATCACTGCTGCCTCAACCAACGATGAATGTGTGGTTCTTGTCATTGGCGGTGAACTTGTGACCGTTCTATCCCTCAAGAATGAGCCCCAAGTGATGGCCCAGAAGGACTTCGGTGTTGATAGCCAGATTTCTGGCGTGACGCTGCCCTCTAACCCTGCTGATGTCTGTATCGTTGCCTTCCCCCAATTAGCCAAGGTCTCCGTATTGAAGGTTCAAGACCTGACTGAGCTGCACACATTATCACTCGGTCCGGCAGGCGAGGCTTTCCCTCGCTCTGTTCTTGTGGCCGATGTCCTTGCGAACAGTCCGTCGACTCTGTTCATTTCCATGGCAGATGGTAGTGTTATCACCTACTCATTTGACATCAAGAATTACTCTTTGTCGGGGATGAACAAACTTATCCTTGGGTCTGAGCAGCCGACCTTCAAAAAGCTTCCAAGAGGGGATGGGCTTTATAACGTGTTCGCGACCTGTGAAAATCCTAGTCTCATATATGGCTCTGAAGGTCGCATTATCTATTCCGCTGTCAACTCCGAGGGCGCATCTCGCATATGTCACTTCAACTCTGAGGCATATCCCGAAGCTATCGCTGTTGCTACGCGTCAAGATCTTAAGATCGCGCTGGTGGATACGGAGCGGACAACGCAAATCCAAACTCTTCCAGTGGGTGCAACTGCCCGCAGAGTTGCTTATTCACCATCGGAGAAGGCTTTTGGCATTGGCACTATTGAACGCAAGCTGAAGGATGGCGAAGAGCAGGTACAAAGTCGGTTTGTACTCGCGGATGAAATTCTGTTCCGTCATCTGGATTCCTTCGACTTCCAGCCCGAAGAGTTGGTGGAAAGTGTTGTCCGTGCCGAATTTTCAGCAGGTAAAGATGAGAACGGCCGAGAGGTGACCAAAGACCGCTTCATTGTAGGAACGGCGTACTTGGACGATGAGGGAGAAGAGTCCATTCGAGGCCGGATTTTGGTTTTTGAGGTTGACAATGGTCGTAAATTGGCCAAAGTCGCTGAGCTACCTGTCAAGGGTGCCTGTCGTGCCTTGGCTATGTTGGGCGAAAAGATTGTAGCGGCGCTTGTCAAGACTGTAAGTGCTCCCAGGGCATCTGTGAGCGATTGTTCTCCTTTTTACTGACACGAGGTAGGTTGTGGTCTATAAAGTGGTCAACAACAACTTCGGAGCCATGAAGCTAGAGAAACTAGCCAGTTACCGGACTTCGACTGCGCCTGTGGATGTCACGGTCTCGGGAAATGTCATTGCTGTCGCAGATCTCATGAAGAGCGTGTGCTTGGTCGAGTGGAAGGAGGGCGAAGATGGTGCTCCTGACACATTGACCGAGGTGGCCCGCCACTTCCAGACAGTTTGGGCTACCGGTGTCGCCTGTATTGCTGAGGATACCTTTCTAGAGAGTGATGCTGAGGGTAATTTGATAGTGCTCCGTCGCAATCGGACGGGGGTGGAGGAGGATGATAAGCGCCGACTGGAGGTTACCGGCGAAATCTCGCTTGGAGAGATGGTCAATCGAATCCGGCCCGTCAACATACAACAATTGGCAGGCTTGACAGTCACACCGCGGGCGTTCCTGGGCACGGTATGTGGGAATGAACTTCGTGATCCTTTCACTCATTCACAGATTACTAACTAGCATTCGGCAGGTCGAGGGCTCCATCTATCTATTTGCTGTGATCAACTCGGAACATCAAGACTTTCTGATGCGCCTGCAGGCTACCATGGCAGGGAAGGTCGAGTCTCTAGGGAACATCCCTTTCAATGAGTTCCGCGGGTTCCGCAGCATGGTGCGCGAGGCCAAAGAACCGTATCGATTTGTGGACGGTGAATTGCTTGAACGGTTTCTGACGTGCCCACCCAGTCTACAGGAAGAAATTGTCAAGTCCGTTGGGATGATGGATGTTGATGAAGTCAAGGCCAAGATCGAGGCCTTACGGCGGCTACATTAGGATATCTGGAGATTTGAAATGACACCGCTATGCGAATTTGCAACAAAACTTTTTCCTGCCTCTTCTGTATGCTGTCAAGCGGTCCTCACTTCTGACTGAAGTCAAGGGAGAGGTGTTAACCATCTGGGTTTGGTACTATACCAGTCTATGGGATGCCAACCGTGTGCCATGTAATGTCCACGCGACAAGCCAAAGAAAACATAATCAACTCTAAAAAAATAAAGAAAAAAGAAAAAAGAAAACAAATTCGATGTGAATAAGGGACAGCACCATCGATGTTTTGGAGAAGTTAAAAAGATAAATAAGAGATCATCTCTCACTTTCAGTCTGGGTCTCCACTGCAACCAAATCTCTCTCTCCACTGTTATCATTCCTTCTCACTTCCCCATCTCTGACTCTTACAACTCTTCCAAACCTCCAAACCAAACAAGCACTGCAATCGTGATCGCGTGTCTGTGTTAGCTTGACTGCAGACATGGCTTTCCCCTCGTGGCACGGCAGAGACTGGCCGGTTGAGGTGATGGAAAATAACCCGATCAAAAAGGCAGGACGTGACGAGATGGTGATTCCTTCTACTGCAGCAGCAGCAGCGTCTGTTCTTCCTCTCCCTCTGAGTCTTCCTCTACGTGGGAAGGACATCAGCGAGGAACCACAACAGCAACGTTCTTTCCCTCAGCAGCCAAATGCTCCCATCCTGCCGTCTTTCTTGCTCTCGCCTCCCGTTTCGCCTCCCACCTTGACTCCTACAACTTCCTCCTTTTCCTCCTCTTCCTCTTCCTCCTCTTCTCGAAACACCACAGCAACTACTACAACTACTACTGCAACTACTACCACTACTACTTCTTCTTCGTCTTCCAGCAGTCGTTCTCTGCCTTCACATCCGGCATCTTCCTTACCATCTCATTTATCGTGTATGTCGTGGTTTGGTCTCGTGGATGCTTCTGCTACTGGCTGCATGCGCTGATGTTGCTTCTTAGATTCTGCCTTCTCAAACCATCCGAGCTGTCTTACCCTTCAGCGTGAGTTGTCCTAGGCCTTCGTCTTCGTGAAATTACTGACCCTGGCTGATACATGATTAGAGGGCAATTTACTGATGGCGACTACTATGCATCCTCCTGTGTCTGACTCCAATCAAATCCCTGATACACACGGGTTGCCTTCTCTCTTTGGCGGACTGGGATACCATAACCAGAGACCCGGAGCGAAGTACAACGGCCTCAAGAACAACATACCAGTGGCGATGCCTCCCTATAATCAGTTTGTTCTTCTACCCAATGGTACCATCTTTGGCGGAATGCCTTTGGATCAGAACCCGTATTTGCCTGCACATGGCATCTATCCCGGCTTGACTCCACCCTGTCCAGTGGTGCCGCCTCCCCCGAACGAGTTCTTTCATAACCCCAATGCGTCTCTAGATGGCCATGGTTTGCCGAACTTTGGATTCGGTGGTCTTCCTCCTCAGCCGAATGCGGCCTGCCTCCCTTTCCAGATGATGAAGACCCCGACTGGGTATATTCTCCAGGATCTCGAGAGCTTGACACAACAAGACCCGCCTATTCCACGAGCAGTACCCGCTATGTGGACAAACCCATCCGATCTCACACTGGCCAAGTGTCTGGAGAATCGAGAGGGTATTACCAATGTCTACATCCGCGGCTTCCTTCCAGAGACAACGGATGAAATGTTGCATGCCTATGCCTCCCGATTTGGGAAGATAGATCGTTGCAAAGCCATTGTGGATTTAGATACCGGTCTCTGCAAAGGGTGAGTTCGTGTTACCGTCTTGAGATACTTCCTCACAGTGTTTTAGGTTTGGGTTTGTCCAGTACTACAACTTCGAATCTTGCGAGAACTGCATCCGCGGCTTCTTTTACCTTGGCTACCAGGCTAGTTTCGCTCAGGTGCCGTCTTGTCTCTGACTTTGTGCCATCCTGTTACTAATGACCATTTCAGAAGTCCCGCAACTCTAGACTTAAGGACTTGGAAGACAGATCTTCGACTAACATCTACTGCACGAACCTTCCAATCGAGTGGACAGAAGCTGTGAGCATGCATATGCCCGAGAGAGGTGTTTCGTACTAACACTGTCTCTTCGAAGGATCTTCGCCGTCACTTTGAGCCATACCGAGTGGTGTCTGAAAAGATTAGCCGCGATGAGAAGACTGGAGTAAGCAAGGAAGTTGGCTTCGCTCGGTGAGTGTCACGAGCCCCCGGCGTGAGTTGTCACTGACACTTTACTGTAGATTTGAGACGCGTGAGATTGCCGAAAAGGTGTTGGGCGAATTTCACAACGTCGTCTCCAAAGATGGAGTCAAGTTGCTTCTTCGGTTTGCCGACACAAAAGCACAAAAGCTGCTCAAACAGCAAAGCAATGAGAGACGTGCTTACCGCGCTGGGGAGTATAACTATTCGGTTGAGGTCGTCCAAGGATCCACTCCGTCGCCTTCGTTGCAGCGTATCCAACAGACTGTCTCGCATCTCAGTCCCAACTCACAGGGCAGCTACGCGTCCCCGGTCGGTGTCTCTCCAGTGGGCGTTGGATCAGCATGGACTCCCGCAACATCCATTTCCCCATCGTACGTCACTGCATCCCTTGTGATTCTGAAACATACTGACGATACAAGTAGGTATCCCTTGATGAAGAGTCAGGCGGGGAACGTGCGATTCAACTCCTGGTCATCTAAAGGCGGGCAGAGAGCCTTGGAGAATACGCCTCTTCGTCGAGGGCAACGCAACGCCTGGACTGACAACATCTCCAGCAGTTCATCAAAGATGAACTTTTCAGGAACTCCTTGTGTCGAGAGTCGCTCCGAACAATCTAGTCCTCGCAAGGACCATGTCAAGGCTGGCTCCGTGTCTCCGATCTCTGCATGCAAGGAAGTCATCATCACTTCACCCCGCTCGGTCCTCTGATTATTGGATTTCGACTGTGCTCAAGGCACCTGGCTTGACGTGCAATGTCTGTTCGCGTGATTCCCTTTTTTTGTTTTCTCGCTCTATCTGCTGCAAGGGTGTTTGAGTGTCCATTATCTTCGGTGGTGGACTTGCTTCAAGGGACATGCGAAACGAGCCACCGTGCACCATGTTCTCCAGGAAGTATCACTGATAAAGCTGCATGTGTAGAGGATCACATGTTTATTCCAGGGATGGATGATTGTTATGAGCCTCGACTGCCTCATCCATCTCCGATGTCATATCGCCTTAATGTTCGCTGCATCACTTTTGTTCTCTTTCTTGAGCTTTTGATTGCCGTTTGCGTGTTATTTGTTCTTCATTTCTTGACGACAGCCACGATTGTATGTTCAGCAGAATGATGTCTAATTTAGGAGTTTGTATCTCTTATGACCCGATCATTCTGGGAATGAGGGAAGAGGTGGGAGATCATGAAGCAGTGAGATTGAGTGACAGTGGAATTTGTGTATGTGTCTAACCATGGTTACACCTTCTTACTCCAGAAACCATCAATGCAGTCTACAGCGTGGGAATAATATGATAATGATACTGCGCAACCAGAGTCCATCCGCACGTAGCAAGTAGCCTGCTTGTACTAATGACTCTCAACGTGAATATCAAGGGCACCCTCTACCATGCCAACCGAATCATGCATACTGCCAGGAAGTCCAACCAGAAAGATATACGAGGGATAATTGGTCCCCGCGCACCACCTGTCTCAATGCACGCAGAACCGGTCGACTGACGATGCCAACGGAGCCGAGTCGACAGAGAGAAATAAACATGGTCGACGCAGCATCTAATTGCGGCCCAGTCTCTCCTCCAGATCCTCGGTCAATTCATAAGCGGGACGATACTTGAGCGGCTGATCCGCCATGGCCGCGGTCCCGTCCGACTCGACAGCGGGCTCAGCCCTTCCTCCGCTAACACGCAACTTGGGGTTGGGGCGGGTATCGGCGGTGCCACCCAGACTGGTATACCCCTGATCGTAGAGGGAGCAATAGTGCAACCCCAGATGGCGGATAAAGGCCCAGATCTCAGTGTAGTGCCAGTCGATGACGGGGTGGTAGCGCAGGAACTGGGGCCAGCCGCTGTCGGTGTAATCCTGGTGGGTCAGGCGGGCACCGTGGGGGTCGGTGCGGCGGGTGCCGACGAAGATGGCGCGGACATCCGGGTGCTGGGCCAGGTAGTCGGCGAAGACGGAGCGGATGGTAGTGCGCGGCGGGTCGGTGGTGTACTCGACGATGTCGAGGTGGTAATGGCGGGCGGACCAGCGGACGAAGTCTTCGACTTCGGGAAAAGGGTCGGGGGGGAGGGCGTAGATTGCAGGGATTGCGGTTAGGGGTTTGTGTTGTTGCTGTATTTGAGATTGCGATGAAGATTGCGATTGCGATTGGGATAGGGGAAGTGGTGATTGGGTGGTGGGGGCATGGTTGTGGGCGTCGTCATCATCATCATCATTTTCTTGGGTGGTTGTTGTTGTTGTTGTTGTTGTTTGCGGGGGGTTCGTGTCTAAGGCCGGATGATCGTGTAGACTCGCCAGGAACAGCACCAGCATCACCAGACAATCCTTCCCGCCGTTGTACGAGAGCGACAGATTGTGCAGCGGAAACGTGTCCAGCGCCGCGGCGAAGACGTTCAATGTCACGCGCGTTTGCTTCTGCACGGCCGCCAGCAGGGAGTCTGCGGGGTGGGATTCGGAGAGAAAGCGGTGGACTTGCTCGTGGAGGTGGGCGATTGTGCTGATTAGGGGCGTTTGCGGTGGGTGGGGATCGTCATGTTGAGGGTCGTTGGAGGGTGTGCTGGTCTGAGGGTTGGGTGGGAGTGTCTGCTGCTGCTGATGCTGTTCGGGTGCCTCGGGGGCGGCGGCGGCGGGGTATGATGTCGCTGGAGTGTGGGGTGCGGCTGGTGCTGCGGTGCAAGTGCCGTTTGATTGGGAGGACATCTTTTGGAGGTTGATGTTTCTATAGGTATGAAGTGGGGAGAGGAAAGGGGAAGGGAGGGAAGGTGAAGAGAGGGAGAGGAAGGAGGAGGAGGAGCAGGAGGAGGCAGAGTGGATTGTAGCGATGGATGAGGAGGCTAGATATCAGCTGGAGGGGCTCGGACCGAAATAGGCGTGGGTTTGAGGCCGACGCCGGTGATTCAGTCGCTACTAGTAGTAGTTATCGGATTGCTAGTACGAGGTAGGGGTGGATGGGAAATGGGTTGAAGTTGATATGATGATGTTTATAACAAGAGGCTGTGTAGAATATATAGATAGATAGTATGTACAGTAAAGTGCAGGATCCGATCATTTCATGGCTTTTAATGGCATTGAGGAGACACAAAAGGTTTTGGCTGGTGGAACTGGAATCTTCTTTTCTGCCCCCCGCAGGTGAATGCGATTCCGTTCTTCCCCTCCACAGTTCACCGCCTTCTTATCGCGATCTGGTCGATGACTCTCTTGCCTTGTTCTTTTGGTATGGCTTCAATTGCACGATTATTCTTGTGTGCAGGTATGCAGCATGAGTTGTATATCTATGGCGAGTGATTTGTTGTAAGCAATAGGCATGGCATGCACTTCCCAATCTGCTGCACTGTGGTTGACTTTGTTCAACCCGCCATATTTACTATGGATCGCAAGATATCATCCACGAAGAATTGTGGCTGAGACGAACAGTTTTATCACAATATCTGAATAGACCTTCGTTGCAATGGGGACCTCCAGCTTGAAGAACGAAACACTGAAGATGAACAACTTGTGAGATAGAGCTTCATTAACACTACTATAGCCCGTACTATACTCAAATCCCCCCCCCAACTTATGAGCTCTACCCAGACACTCAGCCCAGCACTTTCATTTTCTTCTTCTTCTTCTTATCCCCCTCCTTCTTATGTCCCTTCTGGAAGTCGCGCCAGCTACCAATCCGCTCTTCGCGGGTGTCTTCCCAAGCTTTATCTTGGTCGCGTTTCCGTTTGCGCGCCTCCAATTCCTCCTCTTCCTTGCGTCGTTCGCGTCCCTCCTCCTGCAGCTTGGCCTTGGCCTGGCGGCGTCGCCGGGCCTCTTCCTCCAGGAGCACCGTGACGGTCATCTTGCGCCATTCCTTTTTGAACTCCTCTGTTTTCAGCTCCGGCGAGTCGAGTGTGTACTTGTGTTCGCGGATCAGCAGCCGGCGCGCATCCGCAATGCATTCGTCCAGGTATTCGCGCTTCTTCTCGTCCATCAGTGCGGAGTGCGCCTTCTGGAGGCGATCAAAGGCATCCGGGGCCGCCGGGTTCTTGGTTTTATCCGGGTGGATGAGTAGGGACTTTTTGCGATAGCACATCTTGATATCCTTCTCTGTGCATCCTGGCTGTAGGTCGAGGACGGCGTACCTATCCCCATCCCGTAGGTTAGCTTCTGGAATTCTGCGCATAACACTCTGTGTCGAAGCAGCTCTGATGAGATCAAGCGAAGGGAGTGACTTACGCGTCTAAAACAAAAGCGTTCCTAATTCGATCAATCTCTGCATCCTGCCATGGGAGTTAGTATCGGCCGTGGCGCGGTCAACGGGACGGGGGACTGAAGCCACCTTGTCAAAGTCGGACGCCTCGCGCTCAAGAGCATCCAGCGCATCCAGCGCATCTTGTTCTTCAGAGCCCATGTTGCTCGGATCTTTCGGGGCCTGCAACGACCACTGGCAGCTAGCTCGCCCTGACTTCACTGGTCGTGTGTCTGCAGCTGAAATGGGGACGATAAGCATTGGCTTATCGGTGACTGAGTCAGCAGGGGCCTGGGCTGGCAACCAAAAGAGGTGAAAAAAAAAGTTGCTTCACCGCCCGGGGATCCAGATTCGCGTTTCCTGATCAGTCTGGACCACAGAGTCATTGTTCTTACCTATCCAATCGATCACCAGTTAGTTTCCGTCTTGTTCCTTAACCAGGACGCATTTGTGGGACGACGACTTCAGACTCGCCACGATGGCTCCCACTCACGGCTCCCGTGACAAGAAGCAGGCGAAAGCACCTCAGCGGGCCGGTAACTTGAAGCGCAAGCGTGCTCAAGATGATCTTTCGACCCTCATTCAGCGCGTGGAAGAGCTCGATGTCAAGGACACGATCAAGACCTTCTCCGATCTGCCCCTGTCTGAACCGACCGCCTCTGGACTCGCCTCATCGCACTACAAGACCCTCACCGATATCCAGTCTCGCGCGATCAGCCATGCGCTGAAAGGCCGCGATGTCCTCGGCGCCGCAAAGACGGGAAGCGGCAAGACGCTGGCCTTCCTGGTCCCGATTCTCGAGAACCTGTACCGCAAACAATGGGCGGAGCAAGACGGCTTGGGTGCCCTTGTGCTCTCCCCGACCCGCGAACTCGCGATCCAGATCTTCGAAGTCCTGCGCAAAGTCGGTCGCTACCACCAATTCTCCGCCGGTCTTGTCATCGGTGGAAAGAGTCTGCGCGAGGAGCAGGAGCGATTGGGACGGATGAATATCTTGGTCTGTACGCCCGGTCGTATGTTGCAGCACTTGGATCAGACGGCGCTGTTCGATACCTACAACCTACAGATGCTGGTGCTGGATGAGGCGGATCGCATTCTGGATATGGGATTCCAGAAGACGGTGGACGCCATCATCGGCCATCTCCCGAAGGAGCGCCAGACGCTGCTCTTCAGTGCCACGCAGACGAAGAAGGTCTCGGACCTGGCTCGACTGAGTCTCCAGGACCCGGAATATGTGGCGGTGCACGAAGCCGCCTCATCCGCCACCCCGTCCAAGCTCCAACAACACTATGTCGTCACGCCGCTTGCGCAGAAGCTCGATGTCCTGTGGAGTTTCATCCGCAGCAACTTGAAGGCCAAGACCATCGTTTTCCTCTCGTCAGGCAAGCAGGTGCGCTTCGTCTACGAGACGTTCCGACACATGCAGCCGGGTATCCCATTGATGCATCTCCACGGCCGACAGAAGCAGGGTGGCCGACTCGATATCACCACCCGGTTTTCATCGGCACAGCACGCCGTGCTCTTCGCCACCGATGTCGCCGCGCGAGGGTTGGATTTCCCGGCGGTTGACTGGGTTATTCAGCTGGATTGCCCTGAGGATGCCGATACCTATATCCACCGTGTGGGTCGTACGGCGCGCTACGAGCGCGACGGTCGCGCGGTGCTTTTCTTGGACCCCAGCGAGGAGAAGGGAATGTTGAAGCGTCTGGAGCAGAAGAAGGTGCAGGTCGAGCGGATTAACGTCAAGGCCAACAAACAGCAGAGCATCAAGGATCAACTGCAGAACATGTGTTTCAAGGATCCCGAACTGAAATACCTTGGCCAAAAGGCCTTTATCTCCTACGTCAAGTCTATCTACGTGCAGAAGGACAAGGAGATCTTCAACGTCAAGGATCTGAAATTGGAGGAGTTTGCCGCGAGTCTGGGTCTTCCTGGTGCGCCCCGCATCAAATTCATCAAGGGTGAGGATACGAAGGAGCGCAAGAACGCCCCCCGTCTGGCGGCCTACGCCTCCAGCGACGACGAGTCGGATGAAGACGGCGAGGCCAAGAAGAAGGCCAAGAAGGAAGAACCCCAAGTACGGACCAAGTACGACCGCATGTTTGAGCGACGGAACCAAGACGTGTTGGCCGACCACTACTCGAAACTCATCAACGACGATGGTACGATGGTCGAGCCGAATGCCGCCACGCAAGACGCAGACGAGGATGATGACTTCTTGTCCGTCAAACGCCGCTTCGAAGCCGGCGACGAGGACCTGGGCGCTGGCTCCAGCTCGGATGAGGACGAGGCCGAGGGGGGAGCGGAGAAGAAGCCGACCAAGGTGGTACAGCTGGATGGCAAGCAGACGCTGGTCATCGACTCCAAGCGCCGGGAGAAGCTGCTCAAGTCGAAGAAGAAGCTGCTCAAGTTCAAGGGCAAGGGTACCAAGCTCGTCTACGACGACGAGGGCAACGCCCACGAGCTGTACGAGATGGAGGACGAGGAGGACTTCAAGGCCAAGGGCGATGCCAAGGAGCAACAGGCGCGTTTCCTGGCGGAGGAGGCCGAACGTACGCGGCAGGCGGATGTGGAGGACAAGGAGGTCGCCAAGCAGAAGAAGCGCGAGAAGAAAGAGAAGCGCAAGGCCCGCGAGCGCGAGCTGCTGGCTGCCGAGGAGGAGAGCGAGGGCGGCGAGCGGGTGGCTTACCTTGCTCCGTACACGAAGGACGATCGCGATGGGGCCGATGGATTCTCTGCATCCGAGGCGGAAGAACCCGCCCCGCGGCCCAAGAAGTGGTTCCAGGACGACAGCGACGACGAGCCCAAGTCCAAAAAGGCCAAGAAGTCGCGGCAAGAGCCCGAGGGGATCCAGACCTTGGAGGATCTGGAGTCGTTGGCTGCGGGATTGCTGGGGTAAGGGGGTTGCATGTCGGGGTTTTGTTAAGGGTTGGTTTTATCTGTTACATAGCGACGAATCTCAAAAGCATCTTCATCTTCCATCTTCACCTTCATCTTCATTATCATGCCAATCCTACGATGTACATACAAAAGACACAACAACTGAGATCTAATCGCGATAACTCTATCTCTAATCACGTGGCCGACAGCCGAGCGGTGGGGCGCATCCGCTTTGCATCGGCAATCCTTCGAACAATATGCGCCTCTGCACCGCGCATCTTGTTCTTCCTACGTAACACTTTTCAATCACGCCATCGACAAGGGCAAAAAACTTCATCCCAGACTAACATATCGCGCGCAATGGCTGCTGTCTTCAACATGGACTTTCTTTCTCTCTGGATGCAACCACTTCTTCGCCCAGGAGGTTAGTAGTCGAACTTTATACAGTGATATCATATCGCCCTGCAACGCCGATCTTGTCTGCTTTTTTGGGGCCCAGTTTTTCTGCTGCCTGAGTTCCACTTGGCCTGTCACGGGTGGGACACCGACCTTTACCCGGTTGGGAAGACCTTTGTCATCATACTTCAGCCTGTGGTCTTGTATACCTGGTGAGCTTGGTTTAGTCTCCTGCTGGTGACTTCAAGATGCGCTAACAGGGGATGGCAGAGCTGCCGCAAGTCAACCTCATCGTAACACAGCAACAACACGGATGGCCGCCCACGACATCGAAAAGCAGCCCGCTGCGGCCGCCGGGGCTCCTCCGGGCAAAGGCGCCGGCGCATCGACGGGCTTCGTCGACGCCGATGCGCAACTCGTCCGCGCGGACCGGCTCGCGCGCAAGCTCTCTGCCCGGCAGGTGCAGATGATCGCCATCGGCGGCACCATCGGCACGGGCTTGTTCCTGGGAACGGGCAAGTCTCTGGCGACGGGGGGGCCTGCGTCCATGCTGACCTCGTACATCATCTGCGGTGCCATTGTCTACGTGACGATGCTGTCGCTGGGGGAGATGGCTGCTTTCATTCCCGTTGCGGGATCGTTCTGTACTTTTGCGGGGTGAGTTGCCTCAGCCCTCTCTCTTCCTCCAATGTAGTCACCGGCGCTGATTTTTTGCCATAGTCGTTTTGTTGATGATGCGTTGGGGTTCGCGCTTACATGGAACTACTGGTTCAACGATGCCGTGTCGACGGCGTCGGATATCATCGCGCTGCAGCTGGTGCTCGAGTTCTGGACGGATCATTTCCCGGGCTGGGCAATCAGTTTGATCTTCTTGTTCGTGGTGATCTTTCTGAATGTCATGTCTGTGAAGGTTTACGGCGAGGTTAGTCGCAATGGCTTGAAATTGGGGGGAGGGCTTGGGCTAATGCGCATGTGTTACAGATTGAGTATTGGCTTAGTCTTCTCAAGGTCGTTACCATTATTGTAAGGTTTCCCCCCGTGAGCACTGCTGCGCCGGGCAACCGCTAACCGATCCAGATCTTTATCATCCTCGGCATCGTTGTCAATTGCGGCGGCAACAAGGATCACACATACATCGGCAATAAGTTCTTCTACCAGGGAGAAGCCCCGTTCGTGGGAGGGATTGGAGGATTCGCCTCTGTCTTTGTGACTGCATCTTTTGCCTAGTACGGCCCCGCCCCCTTGTCCCTGTCCCACTTCCCACCCAGCGCAACTAAACAGATCGCAGCGGCGGCACTGAATCCATCGCCATCACCGCCGGCGAGACCAAGAACCCGTCCAAGACGCTCCCGCGCGTCGTGCGCAACGTCTTCTGGCGCATCGTCCTCTTCTACATCGTCTCGATCGTGCTGATCGGCCTCGACGTGCCCTACACCTACCCGGGTCTCTCCTCCAAGACGACGGCGACTAGCCCCTTCACCATCGTCTTCGTCGAAGCCGGCAGCACGGTGGCGGGAAGTTTTATCAACGCGGTGATCATGACGAGCGTCATCTCCGCCGCCAACCACGCCCTGTTCGCCGGCTCGCGCTTGCTGTACACGTTGGCCGTGGACGGCTACGCGCCGAGGGTATTTGGGCACTTGAACCGGTTTCAGGTGCCGTGGGTTGCCGTGCTGGCTACCTCGGTGATTAGCGGGTTATGTTTTGGGGCGAGTTATATCGGTGCTGGACAGCTTTGGTCGTGGTTGCAGAAGTAAAGTCCACCCCCAACATCCCCGAAAACCCTTAACATCCCCCAAAATTCAGTACTAACAATCCCAAAGTATAGTAGGAGTCTCCAACCAACTCTCCTGGTTATTCATCGGCCTCGCCTCCCTCCGCTTCCGCGCCGGCATCCGCCGCCAAAACCTCGAGCACCTCCTGCCCTACAAGAACTGGACCTATCCCGTCGGCCCCGTGCTCGCCATACTCCTCAATGCGGTCTTGATCCTCGTGCAGGGCTGGTCGTGCTTCAGCCAGAGCTTCCAGGCGGTCGATTTCGTCAGCTACTACATCGAGCTGCCGATCATGCTGGTCATGTTCTTGGGGTGGAAATTGGTGAAGCGCACCAAGTTTGTGCGGGCGGCGGAGATGGATTTGTTGACGGATCGGTATAATCTGGCGCATGTTGAGGGGAGGGATGTTTATGCTGATGCGGGGGAAGTGGATGGTCAGGGTGAGAGTCAGGGTGCAGGTGCGGGGGAGAAACGGGGGGTGCTGGGGGTGTTTAGAGAAGGGAACCAGAAGGGTGTGGTTGGGGTGGTGAAGAGGGTGGGGATGTGGCTTTTCTTCTAATTCAGATTTAGCGGGGTTTTTTTTTCTCTCGGTTCTTAAAAATGGTCGTTGGTGCTTGAGGTTATTTTAATTAATGTTCACTTTTTTTTCTTTCCTTTCGCGTTACAAGTAGCGGTGGGGGTGTACTTAAGTGTATTCCTGGTGAAGTATACCAATACCTACCAACTAGGCGATGCGATACTCCATCGCAGACTTGGTTGGCACTACTGGTGGTAAGGAGCAGAGAGAGAAGATATAGTGTCTCGTCGGGTTGAAATCATGAACAGCGTACACGAAAGAATAAACTCATGAGCAAGGTATTTGTGTCGACAAGCATGATGCCGATCTTGAACCCGGACCTGAAGCTTACTTACATCGGTAACCTTTTGTAGATACATAACTCATCCCCAATCATATGTACAAGCTCATCACTTCTGTTGCTGATCTCACAATCCAAGGCAACCACATATATCACCCACCCAACAATCCACCCTAAGACTCAAATGCATCCCCCTTAGTCTCATACACAATCTCCCCCGTCCTGGCCCGCCGCCGCACCCGCCCAAGCGCATCATGCTCCCGATCCCACTCCTCGAGCCGGTCGAGCGGCACCTTGACCAGCTTGTTGGCTGTCGCGTTCTGCTCGACCTGAATCTGCGTCTGGCGGAACTCGTACCGGCCTAGTTGCGGGAGCACCTTGATCCAAATGTGATAGTACACTCCGCATGAGCCGACACTGAACGGTTCAAATAGTTAGTGCATGATCGCGGCAAGTGATCACTCAATGGCATAAATCTCCGACGCTGGGGATAGCACATACATTGCGAGACCAACAACACAGTATGTCCCGTACCAGAAGCTCACGTCACCGCCGTCTGCCCCGGTCGAAGGAGGGTACCATGGTGCTACGAGCATATACAGACTGGAGAGGATCGCGAAGCAGACGGTCGCCGTCCACGCCCGGTAGCCGGACGAGGGGATGTTGAGACGCTGCCGGCGACGCCGCGTGAGCAGAAGCCCGACTGCGAGGAGGAGATTGAACGCATTGCTGGGGTATATGGCCAAGTCGACCACTACATCAGTTGGAAGTTAGCTTGCCATTCGTGCAGTATGTCTTCGCCATGGTAAGTGGTTGGGCGCACCGAAGTTGAAGGCATCACCCGCAGGTGGGGCAAGAATCATGATGACAGTCAGAGCCCATTTGAGGAAGTACGGGCCAAGGGGCGTGCCAAACGGGCGCGTCGAGGTCCAGAATGTGGTGAATGGGAGAACACCTTGTCTATCCAAGCCATTAATATGGATATGACGTGAATGACAAAAACACCGTGAGGCCGGCTGTCATGACCTACCTTCCACATTCTCTGAGCATGCGAGACTGCCCGATCAACACAGCTAGCAGATTTCCCAAGGCACTGAGACAAATCAGGACGTTAAGAGCTCGCGATGCACCAGACGATCCAAAAACTTTCTCAAAGAACAAACCCGCGGCAACCGTGCTCGAATTGAGTATCTCTTCCTTGCTGGCGGCAGAAAAGTACGCTATATTTGCAAGAATGTACAGAACGGCGACTAGAAGCAGTGATGCTGGAGCGCTCCATTTGAGGGTTTTGGTGGGGTTCTAGCCAGTCAGTTTAGTAGGCGCAGAGCGATCAAGACCCAGTAAGCGTACCTTGACTTCATTCGCCACATTGCATGCATTACTGTACCCAGCATAAGAGAACATGACCTTGACCAGCGCGTTCGTCGCGCCATAAACTGTTGCCTCGGAGGTTCCAGAGAAGGCATCCCGGAAATTGACGGTGGGATCCCTCACGGACGTGTGGCCACCAAGGACTACAAGCCCTGTGATGCCGATGCTGGACATTCGTCAGTAACCATCCGGATAAATCGCACAAGATTCTTACAGTATCAATGTTATGGTCTTGACGAATCCAATGGCGTTTGTTAGCCGAAGTGACCATTTCGTATCAAAGGCTAGCACTGATTCTGAATTAGGACAAATTACTCCGTATAGGTCGATTGACTCACACAAGACGGCAACAGTATACGCAGCTACTGCAACGCCTTTCTGCATCCATGCCGTCGAGTCCACGTTGGCAAGCTTGAAGAGATAGTTCGCCAGCACTGCAGACATCGTAAGCTCCGTACTAGAAATCCTTCGCCGGACGCACATACCAACGGCGTTACTGCTGGCAAACGAGAATAAAACAGTTTGCATGGCAAAAACAGTAGGGAAGAAGTACTTGGGTCGTGGGTAAGACTGTTCGAGATACACCACCTCGGAGCCAGATCGACTCGGAAAGTATGATAGAAACTCGAGGTAAACGCCGAGCATACTACCGGCCATGAAAAAGCCAATCACCCAGTAGAACAAAGCGAGGCCCACCGATCCGGCTCCAGAGAGCACCGTAGCCGCTGATTGCTGTTAGTTGAGCTCAAAGATCAGGGCGTTGACAACATACGAGTTGAAAAGACACCGGTGCCAATCATCTGGTTCAAGTTCAAGCCTATCACCGATATCGCACCTACAGAGTACCCCAGAGGAGACTTGATCTCAATCGGCGCACCACTGGCTTCTTGATAGGTAGCTTTAGCTGAATTGACGCCTCCGGCAGCAGTATATTGTAGATCACCATCTTCGATGACGCTAAACTCCTCAGATCGCTCATCCGTCTCTATATCGGCCGACTTCGTGAAGATTCTAAACCCCATGATCAAGTCTGAATCAACTGAGTGGGCGAAGGCCGGCGCTGTGCTCACATTCTTGCAATATTGGGGCATTTGCAGTTATTATACCATCTTGATAGGGCTCTAGAGGTGGCGACGATGCTATCTTGACGATGCTCATTGTAGAATTCGATGACGCGATTGCTTGGATGCGTTCACCTTGCATGATCCGGCAGAAGGCGACATGCTAGAGTAGATGAGGTGCTGAAACTAACAACGCGGGGAAAGAGAGCTGAGTGGCTCAATAGCCGAAGTAGGCACCTGTATATCGAGGTTGTCGATTTGCTCGACACCGTGCACAGGCATAATTAGGGCTCAATCCCAAAGAACCATGGACCACGAGGATCCGGGATTGAACGAGATTGAGGTATCACTTGACAAAACACCGCAAGACCCTTTGGTGCGTGTTATATAACATCGGGCACTCAGAATCCTTTCTATCTGCGTAGCCATCGGCATTTTTGTTAGTGGTGAGGAGACAGATTGCACGATCGCAGGGGCTGATGACAGCATCCAGCGCTAAGCCACGCAAGCGCTTGCTTGATTGATCACTGGTGTCGCCATCCACAGCTTATTGCAACGATGAATGAGAGTAACGTGCCCGGTCTCAATCTATGATAAGCGAGCTCAGAGATGGGTGATTTGTATTTTGTAATCCTGGCGGGGTGATACTGAGCTGCGTATTCGACGAACCAGAACTGTGCAACGCTGCCAAGACTGTCGATATCTGAAGCACGCTAGGACCTTAGCCATAGTCAATTCAACTTTACTTCTCTGAACAGACAGTAGTCTTCAAAACCTCGTCAAACAAGGCGTTACTGGCCAATTCGAGTGGGATTGCACTCGTCAAGTTTTCCTGAAGTGGCATCGACCATGCAAAAGATTGAACTCAATGGTTCTAGGACGCTAGCGGACAGGCTTGGTCTTTCTCAGAGATATTGCATCATCAACCTTGAGCACATAGCATGTCAACCATTGCCTCTAAGCCTGACCCGATACCTAAAATTTACTATGCCTATCGCCAGGGGCAGTCGAGGTTCGAAATCCACGTCGATGTTTCTATTCAGAGCAGATAAATCAGCGAAGCTCTCATGACAAGTGCAGAATGACCTGGGTCATGATTGGAGATCCTAACACACCCATGAACTGTTCTTCGATAGGGGATGTTCAGGAAAGAAGTCGTGGTTGCTAGAATGCAAGTCAGCATATTCCGATAACTTCCCAGAAATCAGTCCTATTCCAAGCAAATCCACAAATGAAGAGACACCAACACGATCTTGACCACAGGCATAAACGTCCATCAAACCAGAAAGCAACGGTAGTCTCACCCACGGCACACTCCACAGGCCTTCAACCAGTTTCATATCCATCAAAAACCCGCGAGACCACCCCATGAAACAATGGAATAGTTCATGCAATCCGGAAGCAAATTGTCACACGAACCAAACAACCGTATCCCTACGGTCATGTTCCAAACGTGCTCCCAAGCCAGAGAGCCCTGCCCAATCAGAGATTCAAAAGCTCTGCATCAGCCAAGGGACTGCCGTGTCTCGCGGACTTTTGTATTGTGGTTCCAGCCGCTTCGTCATGCTATACCTGCAGGTTGACAACGTGGATCAGGTTCACAGGCGATAGATATGCGGCGTGGGCATTTTCTCCGAGCCCACGTCCCCGGAAGGAGGTGCGGGTGGGTCTTCTTACTTCAATTACCCCCGGTTTGCGGGTCATACGTGGTCGTGCTGCGTGAGTCTGGAGTGCCGGGGGGAGGGGTCTGCTCCAGAAGTATCCGACGTTGCACTATCCAGTGGTGTGAAAGAGATGGGGTAATCGTCGGACTTGCATGAGCTGCGAAGGGTACAGTATGTAAGGTTTGTCACTTGGGAACGATGCCTGAGCCGAGCTCTTGCGCACAGAGTCTGAAAGATGAAGGGGTGGAGCTCTCATTCAGGGTGTAGGGTGTGTCAAACCGAATCATAGAGACATTTCTGGAAGAACAGCACCAGCACGCTCGGAGCCGGCCACGACCTGCACCATGAGAGCAAGTGATCTGTTGCATTTCTGCACATGGCTCTTAGCAACCAATCGTAACCTCTGGAGGTCTTGAAGCAAACATGCATGCTGAGGACGAATGCAGAATCACAAACAGGGGGGTGGGAAGGGTGTGGGAATGGATATGTGCAGTTCCAGTCACCTTTGAAATCCCATTCTCCCCCACGAGGCCAATTCAAGTCGCTTTAATCCCTGGTGGCGTGGAGGGAGCATGAGGGATATCTACTCCGATCTATGCATCTTTCTTCTCGAGTCTGACTTGATGCGTAGTTGAAACTCTGCAGTGAAGAAGAACGGAGCAAAGGATCGGTGCAGAACAGTCAAGCAGAGGAAAGTAAGTCTCTGGTGAACTTTAGCCGGCGACTACTTGAAAGAAAGACAGTACCGGGTCCTCCCTGGAAGAAGATCGAGAAAGAGCCGAAAGATCCCGTGACAATGGCCCTCGGCTGATACGGGGTTGATCTGAACAGCTCTCCAATCCCAAGCTCCCTGGACCCAGTCCCTTGTTTGTTGCAGCCTGCACTCGCGGACGCAGACCTTCTGGTGCCAAGGGAGCATGCCTCTGGGTGTCTACTCTTGGGTTACTGATCATGGTTCTCGCTAGGTCCAGCGAGGTTGTGCGCAAGATTACAGGCGCTCACTCTCAGCACCCGGCCTGCAGTTGGGATTTTCACTAAGATGGTGAGCCTGACCGCCCAGTTGGTACTCTTTACGCGTCGAGCAATTGACAGGCGAACTACTGGCTTACTGATCGGCAATTTTTAGAGTACGCTACATCGGAAACAGTGCCATCGAGCCTGTCATTACCACCCTCAAGACCTTGATACTGCCACGTCCAGTAACCCCGAGTTGCTACATCAAATCGCGTCAGCCAAGACAGCGAGGCAGTCCAGATTCTTTCAAAAGATTTCAGTGCAATCATCTAATTTGCAAGCGGGCTAAAAGGTTCGGAGATTAGAGAATTGGCGGGCATTGCATCATCACTTCAACAGCATTGGCATAAATCAGTTTGGAAGCTCTATCCAAACACTTCCATAATTATATTAGAGATCTGTCCAGCAGCACGAAGCACCAGCGTCTACATAGCCTGGCATATGGTCCAATTAAAGTACATGGATCTTGTCCGCTTCCCCCAAATGCAGCAATGCAGTCAACGTGGATGTTGAAATGCTGGAATCCCACAACGCCGTCTAACACAGTAAACCAGGTAACCAGAAGCCATGGAGTATATCTTCAAAGAAAGAACTGCAACACGCTATGCGTTGAACAACAGAATATATGAAACACACTATTCGAGTTCCAATCAGTCATGCCGCTCCAGAAAAAAACAAAGGAAAATAGGTCGTGACTAGACGAGCGGCGCGCTTGCGCTGGAAAAGCAGTATGCTGAGATGCGAACGACATAAGAAAGAGAAGGAAAGGGGGAAATGGTCAATATAAACAGAAAATAGAAAAGAGATCGTAAGTGAGACCGAATCATATCACAAAAGAAAGTGCGTCATGATCGTCTCCATTGTAGGCCCGCTACAAGAACCGAGCCTGTCCGAATGAAACTCCCCGATATGAAGAAAAACCCCGACTTCAAAGAAAGGACATGATGGCGGCAGTTCAGTCATTGACCATGTCATTCAAGGCCATCTTTCTCCGCTTGGCTGGTCTTGAATCTTCAAGGGTTGGTTCAGCGCCCTCTTGCTCCGTTTGAGCTTGCGGCGGGGAAAGTTGCAGCGACTGTCCTTCTGTAGCCGGAGCCATAGACCCCAATTGGCGTATTGCTGGGTCCAAGTATCCTGGGTCTGACCCTCCCGGACGCATCTGACTACTCGGTGAAATCGGCTCGATAAATCCATGTGGCGGCATATGTTGGCGGTGCTCTTGTAAAAACTCCTCTCGCATGGGCGACGACCATATGGCATTGTATGGATCGCTGCTTCCACGATGACTTTGTGACATAGAAACCGGAGTGGCCATCGTTGGCGCGTATATTGGAGGAAGTCTCACCGGCGACTCCCCGTACCCTTCGCGAGGATCTCTTCCCATTGGCATCTCTCCCATCGGCGCCCGGTTTACCATTCTCGGGGCCTCCGAGTAAGGTGACATCGGTAAGAATGCGTGTTGATACTGCGGTGGTGTCGTAGCAGGGTTTAAGGCCTGGTGGGTGTAAGCGGACAATGGCCTTCCAGCTCCCGTGGACATGCGACCCACTCCCATCACGGGATTGTACCCAGCTGGCAGAGAGACATAGCTGGGTGGCGATGTTGCCGTCATCGACTGCACTGATCCAGAGGAGGAAAATCTCCGATGGCCAATGCTTCGTTGCATTGTCATAGCGGGATCGAGGGCTTGGGGATACATCGAAGCCGACCATCGATGTGGTTGTCCTGACGAGGCCCCCATGGCCATTGTCCCTGCTTGACCCCTAATCATCTGCAAGTCTGTCACGGGACGTATTTCTCGCGAGGAGGTGGCTCGATGCATATGCGTTCTTCTCGATTGAGAGCCATGGTGCTCCCCGACCGCTGCTCTATCCAGCTGTGCGGCATACGTTCTGAGCGATGCTTCTTCTGCCTTCAACGGCGGTCGCCCTCGCTTCTTATGCGTGACATCTACACAGGTAGCCTAATTGGAAGATTAGCACGTTTATGCCTATTCAGCTTTCATGGTGCAGAACTCAATGCGCAAATGGGAGCGCGCAACGGCTCTCCGGTGAACTGAGCGGAAATGCACATGGACACTTACCTCTTTTCCTGATAGAACGCATCTCCGACAGGGCCGTGCTGGGTCGCAGCCCAAGTGCTTTTTCTTGCAGTTGACACACGCCGATGCGACATGTGCTTTTGTGCGTCTCGTTGGCTTTTGCGCTAGCGGGCGGCTAGAAGCTTCGGGGGGCGACGATGCGAACGAGGGTTGCACGTATGCAGCCACTGAAGATTGCGATAGAGCCTGGGCTCCTAAAGAAGGTGGAAGTCGTGCTGAAGGAAATGCATCGCCAACACTCAGCGGTTGCCGTAGCGCTTCCTCCCCAGGGGCGGAAACCAGGCGCTGCACTGCCGGTTCCGAGACAGCCACAGCACCCACGGAGCCCGAGGGAAGCTGAGAGCCGGAAATCGCAATAGGTGTTGTCGTCGGCGCTGTCACGCTTGCGGATGATACTGGTTGAAAGAGCTCAGGATGTCCGGGCCGCCTCGCGGTGCCAGAAGTCTCCAGGGAGTCCTCTGCTGGGACCGGACCGGACATAGAGCGAGGGGGCGGTAAATCCCGAGGCGTGTACCTTCGAGCATTGGTCGACCGATGGAGATTAAGAGAAAGCCGCTCCTGGCCGGGATTAAACCTTGGATGACCGAATTCTGTAGTGATGTAGGAAGAAGGGGGAAGGACGAGTGATTGCATCTGGTAATCCTGAATGCTCGGGTTGACAAAAAGCCACTGCTCACAAAAGTAATGGGACACTGTTCGGGTTGACTGTAGTTGCGATAGCCACCATCTCTGACATCAAGAGGGTCCTCGGTTTGTATAGGTGAACACGGTGTGTTGTTCAGTCGGCAGTAACCATTGAGAACTCCATACAGTGGCAGACAGAGGACCACAGGAGCTTATAATCAGTCAGTCAAGATTCACGATTGGAGGAGTCACAAAGGAGGATACGTCGATCAGCAGTAGATAGCAAGATCGTGACAGCGGTTTTCCATGGCTTCGATGGTCTCCATCTTGGGGTGATTTATTGCAGCATGGCGGGCGATCACTGGAGCCCAAGAAAATGCACAGAACAACAGGAAAAGCAATAATCATGGAATCAATTCGGAAATAAAATACAGAACTTGTACATTACCTTTCAGTAATGAAGAAGAGCCTTTTTTTTTTATTCTTTTTCCCTTGGCTTGTTGCTTTCCGGACGAAGTTTTTATTTTTATTTTTTATCTTTCTTCTCTTCCTTATTTCTCTTAAATATCAACTTTGATCGGAGTATCTCTCCCTACTGCATAATATCAGAGTCAAGGCCCGAGTATGAACTGGCTCAACCACAGGCAACGGCAGATGTGGGAAGTGATGAGGTGGTGTGGTGGTGAACTATACCGGAAAGTGAGGCGTATAGATCCGGTGAGATCACACTTGTTGTCCCTAAGAGGAAGCGTGTGTCTGTGGGAAGAGATAGGAAGATAGAAAGAGGAATAAGCCAGAACTAGACGAATAGGAGGTTTTCTGAGAAGGTCCAGATCAGAGGTGCAGCCTGGTTTAAAGGGCCAGGGAAGTTTGCACTGCACTTGAACAGAGATACAACTCGTTAAGAACTGGAAAGCAGCTCAGTCACCCCGAAGAGGGAATACCCATAAGGGATGATGTGACGGGTGTTAAAGATCCCAGTCTCACATCGTCGGTTCTGACAAGGCTTATACCCTTTTTTAATCCCTCCTCCTCGCTCTTAAAGGTAAAGGGACCCTGTCTGCTTGGTGGGCTGACAAGAGAGGGTGAGCTTGAGGTGTGGGTAATGGGTGCTCAGTGCAACACCGACTAGCAGCCGATAGACTACTTGATCTCCATGGAAGGGAAGATCTGAATGGGGAATCTCTGCCTCCGTCTCCTCTGGAAGCATGTCAGTATGTACGAGAGTCGATTTGGGAGGAGGGGGGAGGATCAGGAGAACGAGTGGTTCCAATCCTCCGGAGAGTTGGAGACGCGGGCTTGTCATGAGCCCCCATTTTCCAGATAGCTTCACCAGTTTGACAATGGATGGTCCCATTACTTTTGGTATTTTTTTTTTGTTTTTCTTTTTCTTTTTATGTTTTTCGTTTTTTTGCTTCTTTTTATTATTTTTTTGTAGAAATGTAATTCTTTTTTCGCAAAGGCACAAAATGGTTCTTGAGGTAAATACTATTGCCGACAGCTGCTTCCATAGCCTCCTCGGTGACTCGGATCTCAAACATAGTTGTGGCTGTTATTTGGATGTTTTTTTTATTTTTTATTTTTTATTTTTTTTTTTCCGAACACCTTGTTGGACCAAAATGAATCGACATCTTCCCTGTTCCGGGGCCAAGATGTAATTCGTTCTGACCGGCTGGTTGGGTCGAGAGCAGCAGTAGCTTGCATCAGGTGGTCGATGAGGACTGGATGCCGCTGTCAGTGACACAGGCCCCATAGTCTCTCAAAAAAGGAAAGCAAAAGAAAGAGAGCTGGAGAGTAATAAGGCTAAGCCCGAATTCGCATTTCTTTTTTCCGTTTTCCGCTTGTACACAGTGCTGCCAGGTGTGTATGTTATCATTAATTCATAATTCGTAGCAGTCATACCAATCCGAAGAAGCAGAAGCAAGGCGAGAAGAGCGAGTTGGAAGAAAAGAGGTGGAAAAGAAGAACTTCTCCCAATCCCCCCAAGGAGTGGGCGGACGGATCGACATCGGCGCCCACCCGCTGCATCCCATTGCCAATAGTCTCTAGTCCCGCTTCGGAAGGGATGGGAAAATAGAAATACCGTAAAAATAAAAATAGGAATAAGAAAAAGAAAAAGAAAAAGGAAACAGGGAATAAGCAAATAATAGAGAAGTTGACACGCGCGACCGATCGAGGCGTCAATGGAGAACTCGTCACCCAGCAGCAATCCATGATATCTGTAGTACTCCCGTACTCCGTAGTTACTGCTTGGGAAGACTGACTAGTGGATCATTTTTTTTAAAGCTCGTCTGCCATTCGCATTGGACGGATAGTTCCTGCTGTCATTGTGTAACCCCCTTTCTACATCCACCACCATATGGTAGTCGAGACTTCAATCATGCTAGCCTCTGGGTCACTATGAATTTCTGGGAGGTCTGGAAGTACGGACTTGACCCTATCTTATTCTTCGGAACTAGTTATGAGCACTCGCCGTTGAGTAGTCAGTACGGAGTAACTACTGAAGTTACGGTAATTGACTTCACTGCCTCTGCATCCCGCTCGAGAACGAGAAAAGCGAAGCAAAACTTCTATGCAGGATTACTTGTAATGCTGCATGCATTTCGCAACGAAGACATCATTTGTAAATCCAATTGAAAGCTGGACGGGGTAGAGAGAAAACGTGGTAGTGTTCGGAACTGCTCCAGTCATTCGACTTCGGTTTCCGCTGAACTTCAGTGCCATGGAGAGTCTCATCCATACAACCGTCGGTTGTACTCGAAGCATTCCTGGGGAATTTATCGGCCAATGATTCATCAGGTTCGACTGTCATCTAGTACTGAACTTGGATGTTGCTGCGGTAAAGACGGTTCGAGTATGTATATGATACTGTAGTCGTCGTCTATTTTCTCGGTGAAGGAGCTGGGTTGGAGATACAGTAGCTCCCGAGGCCCGCCCCATTCTTGTCAAACCGCCCACGGAGACATTGAACGCATGCCATGCGCGTTTCGCAGAGTGACATCAATGCTTGACTTCTCTCATGCTACCTAATTAGTCGCAGCCAATTAGTAGTATCAAACAATGTCAACTCCACCCAACTGAAGAGTTCGCGAACGAGCCTTACTGATATAGTGGTCTCTCCGACCTCTTAATGAGACGCTTCGTTCGAGCATGACCATGTCTTGTCCTATCAAGATGATTGGGGGGTGGTGGAGGGGTGAGCGCTACATTTAATAACCCGAATGGCCCCGAATGAAAGCCAGTAATTTTCCGGCTTGACTCTGCAATAAATAGCCTACGGCGCTATGTCTGGTCCCACCCGGAAAATGCCATTGGGGCTAACGGAAGTGTGTCCGACATCTGTGTAGAGTGTAGACTAATGACATTGTGTATGAGCCTGTACGTGCCACCTTCTTCGAGGCCAGTGTGCGACAAATTTGCCGGTCGGCTCCGGGAATTAGGTGCAAGTGGCGAGACCATCTCGCACACCTTACGCATTGGATTCGTTCAGTCGTCGCGGATGAACTGTTCTATGAGCAAGGAGGAAGCAATAAGTCCCTAGCTACTCGTTAGTAATCACGAGATCTGACCCAAGCACGGAGGTATTGCTTGTTTCCGTGGAATGGTGAAAACGTGCTGGAAAGCATAAACGCGGCGGATCTCGAACGGGGAACCGACAAAACTGACCAGGCCAGTGGATTAGCATTGAAGTCGAGACAGGGTCTTATTGTCCGGTGTGAAGAAGCTGACCATCACAACGACTTTCCCCCCAATGGTCCGACAAGATGGTTAGTGGAACAGACAATTAGCCTAGCCCATTAAACTCAATGACGGTCGTTGTTGCATGAACACGACTCATACTCCGTAAATGGCCCGCCTGATACTGTAAGGAAAGTGTGACCCACCATGCTCCCTTGGAACGGAGAGCAAGCTTGGATGCCAAGTGAGCATCTCGAGTAACTCAAAGGGCCTTCCGTAACGGCTTTCCCTAGTGTGAGGAAAGCCGAAGTCATTGTACCCGACACTTACTGCTTTATGGTCGTATTTAGTCAAATCAAAGCTTTGATTTATTTCCCGAAGCCTCGCTTATTGGACACGTTTGAGCCCGCCGGCTGGCCCTGAGCCGTGACTATTATATCCGTCAAGAGCAACGCGGGCCACAGCGGGGATCTTTTGTGCTGTCAAGTCCTCAGGCTACAGGATAGCCCGTCCTTGGAACAGTGTTGGTCATGGATTGCTAAGGACCTTCGTGTACGAGCACCCAGTCTCGTCCTCGATTTGGGGCAAACTTGACGCGAAACTTGGCAATTAGCCCCATCAGCATAAATGTAGTCGGTCGGTCCCAGGTCGGAAAAAGAAACCAACTGAAAGCGAGGGAGGCACTTACCTCATACATGGAGAAGCCAGCAAGGGAGCCAATGCAGTTCACACTAAGCACCAAGTACCGATGAGCCAACAAATCGCGGGACGAGTGTCTTAGTGCATCCAAACCGGCAAAAGCGTTCAGTCTAATTCGAGCTTGGAAGCGACAGCACGATCTGCCCGGACAGGCATCAATAGTTCGAGCAACCGGCCCCTGAGCCTTAAACCTCAATGGGTAAAGACTCAAGGAGTGTTGCGGATTGGGGGGACGCGTACGGAAAGATAGCTCGGTCGTAGAATAATAATAGTTGGTGATAGTCCCCGCAATTCCTCATGGCACTAGTGACTTGGTAGCTTTTAAGCTACTAAGGTCAGTGAACCTGCTCCTCCGTGTCACTGAGTCAGGCACCGAGAACGTCGGACATTGCATTGCTTATCGCTTATCGGGGAAGAAGAAACTAAGCATACAATGAACGCGTGTGTAGACTGAGTTGATGAGCTCTGAGAATTGCCTTTGATTGGATTGAGGACTAAACAAGAATGAATGATTGTACTCCAGATTGAAGATAAGAGGTACATCCAAAGCAACTGAGCCGATCTGCCTTTTGCCCAAAAAGGTTTAGCGGGACTGACAATTGCGATGAACCATTTTGGGAAACACGCAGGCTCCCCCCAGGGAAACGATTGGCAGGCGGTATTTGTCACTCACCCTCCCGCAACTCCGTACTTTCTCTCAATTCCTTCTCCTCCCGTTCGAGGCTCAAACAGACTATCGCTTTGACTACTGACGCCCCCCTCCCCCACTCTGCCGCTAAACTCGACTTTAATAATAAGACCGATGCTATAACTGCCACCCGATGTACTTGGACTTGGAAGTCCAAGTAAAGGGTCATCATGCAATATCTAAGCCGTCGAACTGATGATTGAGGCCAGCTTTCCCGCTCCATCGCTAAAATCTTCCCTGCAAAAGAGTTGGACGGAACGACCGGTAACTCGGAAACAAAAATGACCATCGAACTGGCACCGTGGACAACATAGGAGAACAAGCCATTGGGCGCCATCGCTCCAGTGAGATCAATGTGGTAGCACATCCGTGATCCCACAGCGTTTCTTGATGCGTGTGCCGGCTACACAACGCTTCTTAGTAAATTTCCCGAAAAGGGTCTTCCCGAGGCAGACTCCGGGCTAGTGCTATCGACACGAGGGCATTGTGCACGGTAGTTATCCGATAGTCACACTGACGATGCGGCCGGAGAAAGTGGCGGGTATACCGCTTCCATGACCATGCCATCACGGGTCTTGGTGGCGGCGAATGCCCCGATGGCCTCCCTCTCCGAACCAATTCTCCTGAAGGGAGGTCTACTTGTTGGTTGATCCGCCTATCACGTCTTCTATAGCGGCTGCCACACTATGAGCGTCTCCCGTGCGCGACGTTCGGCATTGAGTTTGGATTTGAGACCACTACCTTGATTAGGGAGCTCGAGTCTGCGCAGGAAACGCGGCTATCGGATTTGGGACGTATCTGCCTAGGCGAGGACATCATAGTACGCCAAGGTGATAAGTTTGTCACCGACAGACTGAGGACGGCTCGTCTAGGATCCATACATTGGAGTCGCATGGAATCCATGTTTGGTATGACTTGACGAGCCTAGGCAATATTTCCGCGTCATGAAGTGCTTCGCTTACCAGACACATCTCCAGTGTCCAAAACAGCTCTTTGCCGAAGCGCTCCTTGCGCGGGCTCGGAGAGAGACCCTGTGAGGGGGTTGCAGAGAGCCACTGCTGTCCAGAAACCCCCCCCGTTCTGCAATGGCCAATTTCGTCTAACAACATCCCTGACGCTCAGGTATTCTGGATTTGTTAGGCACTGGTAAACCCCGACGCTACGGACCAACGGTCTCTGGTCGCTTGCATACCTGATGAATGCGGCCATGAGGTCACTTGCTCCAAGTTACCCATAGCAATATCCTGTGGCTAGCAAGCTCTCCGAAGGGGCGACGCTTGCCTTTCCAGCCGTCTCATGCGCATGATACTACTTGTAAGCCAGCACAAGTACTGTACTGCCCCTTTCAAGACTGCTGGCATGCCAGTGAAGCTTGGAAGAGGCTGTTCTGGGTATGAAATCAGATTTGCCGTTGCGGGTCAGATTCCTCTTCCAAAAGTTAATTGATCCGCCCCAAGTGGGAATCCATACCTAGCTCTGCATCAATGGGTATTGTCGTTGGTCAGATCGGTCTGCAGGGAGTGCCGAATGCATTAGTAACCACTGTATGACGAACGTTCAGCCTGCGGTCTGCAGACTGCACTGCGGAATGATCAGTCATCTGCATGGGGCAACTCAGTTGACGCAGGCTTGACAAAGGCAGTACGCTCGTAGAGAGTCGGTGAGGATATGACCAGTCTCATTACGCGAACTCAATTGACTTCGATGATTCTCTCGGTTTCTCAGCTTCTTTCCGTCCTCCTCCCAGACCCCCGGTGAGAAAGGAACCGTTAACCCTAGGCCGGGACGGTCCGAGTATGATAGAGCTCCCATGATATGAACGTCCCAATACGGAAGATGATTCTTTCAATAATTGACAATGGAGAAAATTATTTATCCACGAACCTGCATCATTGCACAGAATAAATGCCTTCATGTTTCCGCCGGGCCCTTTCTTTATCTACGGCAATGCTGGTGTCAGATCGGTCCTCGCTCACGGTGATCTTCCAGACCCGTCACCATCATTCTGCTTCCCGAGACAAGGTAGGGTAGGATAATCTGCGGCTGATGCATGCCGCCGAAGTTGGGACTTCAGCTCGAAGCTTCGCAGCGTTACAGTGCAATCGCTTCCCACATTTCTGGTCGCCCAATTGCTGATACGGCCCAGCGACAACGTCTGCATCCAAGGCCTAGCATAGATTGGCGCGCGCATGAACTCTCTTCGAAGCGACTCAACGGACTGGGAAGTCCTTCGGCTCCTTTCCCACGGGCGTTGCTTGGGGCTGCAGTGAACAATGTATAATCGTCCTTCCGTGGAGACTAAGCTTGGATACGACACTGAAATTGTATAAATTGTATTTGGTATCAAGTACGGTCGGACTTGGCAATGCAGTGTTACTTTCCTCGTGGACGTGCATGCTGGAGAATGGGGAGTCTGCTTGCTTCCTCACCCCATCGTCGGAAGGTTGGCTTGTGATTGTCCGTTTGGCACCTTTCTCGAGACGACCAGTTCAGAGTGAACACCTGCCCAGCAATGCGCAGATCTAGTACACTCAGTCTCGATGATGGACCAGGTCCTGGGTGTACTCACCCGGCATGCCTTGCAGGCCCCGTGGCAGTCACCAGCACCTCCGTTTCCAAGTAATGGTTCAATTCAATCGGATAATTCGCCCCGTGAGCCTGATACTCAGCGAGCACTCTCGGCTCCGACATATGCTTGCGCCGGCGGCCGGATCCGCATGCGCTCTTGCTGGTGACTCGGTGCGAACTCTGACATGCCGAACAGGCGCGGTGTGTACAATCGGGCAGCCTACAGCCTACATCATCGCGATGAATGTCACGGTCGATCATCTGTGGTGGTACCCTGGAGAGTTTCTTGGGCCACCAGACCATTGGGGGACCCCTTCGGCGATAGCTTTGCTGGCCGGGTCATGACAACAAGGTCGACTCCTGCTATGTCAGGTGTTTTCTTCGTGGCGTGCGTCGGAAAAGGCGCATGCAACTGGGCTGGGCTCTAGTGATTTTGTTTTGACTTGCGCCTGTTAATTCAGGATTATGGGCGGTGGTTGCAAAACGAGTGGTGGTTGGCTACAGTATCGATCGTATGAATGTATATGCAATGGGTGCCAGGACGATTGAGCGATGTAACCCGGATGCCTTTTGGGCTATCGGGAATACACCGATGTTCTCAGGCGCTTTGCTTTGGCTAGTCGTAGCCTTTGTTCATCGCGTCTGAGGTGGCTGTGTCAATTGGCATCACTCAGTAGCTGTTCTGCTGTGAAGGGGCGCTGTGAGGGACGTTCTGATGCGAAGAGTATACGATCCTGCAGTTCCCTTGACGTCAATCAGGCATTCAATTCTTAGGATGATGTCAAAAGGTAGAACAGGGACCGTGTGGTTTGAAGTGAAATATGAATCACGAGTAAACGAAAAGCCAAAAAGAATGACCAGACTGGGGCTCGATCCCAGGACCTTATCGGTGTTAACGATACGTGATAACCAACTACACCATCCGGCCAATTGTTGAAAATTTGATTGTCTTTTGACGTTATGTTTGTTTATAAAATGAGCATATTCCTGATGATGCGACTGCAGGCAGCAACTTGATGTCAAGTTTAATGGTCGCACTTCGGAGTACAGCAAAGCCACCCCGACTGCACGGACCATAGCCACTAACATAAACTGTGGCTCGACTCTATCCGATCCATGGATGTCGCTACCATATCATATCATATTCCATCAATCAACGGTACCTTCAATCAGTTATTCACAACACGAACTTCGTATTTCTCCCAGACACTTTAGCTCAGTTCGGCTCGGCTCTGCTCAGCCCAGCTCTCCTCGACTCCGCCCCCCAGCCGGGTCCACCAGATAAACACAATCACCTGACCCCATCCAGCCCCATTAATTGGTCCTATGACGAAATAGACCCAAAGCATCCCACCAGGTACTACTATTACTACTACTTAGAGTCATTCGGCTTTTCTATTGTACTCCGTAATACCAACCCGACCACACCAGATACGAAGTCTCCGGTCCGTGGCCTGACTAGCAGGAGAGTCTTGTCTCGCCACTCCGCCGTAATCCAAGGACCCTCGGACCGAGTGTATTTGTACTTTTAGTGCTGACGGAGAGGTCTGGCCCCACTGGAGACTCATCCGACAGGTGGGATGCACGAAGGATGCTGCGGCATGGTTCAGCCTACCCCCTCACGAGGGGGCGGAGAGGGTATATTAACCACGCTTCAGCTCCTGCTCTCAGCTTGACTCGGATTTATATTCATATTGAGCAAATCAAACCGCGTACTATACTGTAGTCACTTGGACTGACACGATGATTCAACCATTGCATATTCGATTTCCTGGTGAGTGCACGATTCCATCCTGCGAAGAGGACATACTACACCACATAGTATAGTATCAACTAACCGGCGATGCGTAAATAGCTACTGATGCTCATGCCTGGAGTGTATGCTACACCCCCCCCACCTCACCACCACGAATCCTCTCCCCATCTTAGCCACTCAGGGGATACGGATGTTCTAACCGAGACATAGATTATAGCCGTCGCAGAGGAATTATCTCTCCCCTATGAGATGATGACCCATACACTCTCGAATCCTGAAAACAAGAATACCGATTCCACTGCACACCCGCACCACCTCCACCTCCCAGTTCCAAGTACGTCGAACTTAAACTTCATTTCAAGTTGAAGTCAATTCCCCTCCCCCAGCTTTCCGAAAACATTACAGTACTCCCAACTAATATCCCCCTCGCAAAAAAAAACAGCCCTAACAGACCCCAACACAACCATCACCCTCTTCCACGCCGCCCCGATAATCCAATACCTCGTCGACTGCTACGACACCTCCAATGTCCTGGGGGGGAGCGACAACAACAGCACCGACAGCCACGAACGCCACCAACTGAACCAATGGATGCATCTCCAGACGACATTCCGGGAGGTACTGGACGGTTCCTCTCCTACTACTACTACTATTACTAGTGTCCCCAACCGCACACAAAAACTCCACCAGATCCTCGCCACACTGAACGCAACCCTCATGCGGAGCTCGTGGCTCGTGGGCCAGAGGTGCAGTTATGCCGATTTGGCGTTTTTGGCGGGGTTGCATTCTCTTTTGGTGGAGGCGCAGGAAGGGGAGGAAGGGAAGGGGGAGGTTTTTGCGAGGTATCCTTTTGTTTGGGCGTGGTTGCGGAAGATGGCGATGAGGGGGTCGTGGAGGAGGGTGCTTGCGGTTAGAAGGCGGGCAGAGGAGCAGAAGGAGGTGGAGGAGGAGATGGATGTTGCTGGGGGTAGTGGTAGTGGTGTTCAAGAAAAGGGATTCTTGGATGAGGAGAGTGAGTGGGAGGAGATTGAGGGGGTCGGGGTGGAGGTGGAGGTGGAGGACAGTGGTAGGAGGTCCCAGAAGAGCGGTCCGGCTGTTGCTGTGTCTGTCTCGGCGGTTCAGACGGAGGTTCTCGGAGAGGCAGAGGAGGAAGAGGAAGAGGAAGACAAGGAGGGGTTGTTGGCGTGTGCGGCGGGCTTTGTAATGCAGAGCACGGCTACGGCTACGGCGCCTCTGGTGGATGCGCATGGAGACGATGAGGAGGAGGAGGAGGAGGAGGAGGAGGAGGAGAGGGAGGGGATACTTCCCTGTGGTGCATTTGACACGCACGCGCGGCTCCCAGCCGTGGTTGCAACGGTAGTTGAGGAGAAGAACGACGACGACGATGAGCGAGAGGGAATACTCCCCTGCACCGCTATCGGGATACAAACGAAGCTGAGAGCCCCAGAGACTCCAAGAGTGGAGGATGAGGACGACGAGCGAGAAGGAATACTCCCCTGCGGTGCATTTGACACGCACGCGCAGCTCCCAGCCGTGATTGCAATGGTAGTCGAGGACGACGATGAAAGAGAGGGCATACTGCCCTGCGCCGCAATCGGGATACAGAAAAACCTCAGAGCCCCCGAGACTCCAAGAGTGGAGAATGATGCAGACGACGAGAGAGAAGGAATACTGCCCTGCGCCGCAATCAGAATGGCCATCGCCCAGCGCACAACGCAAAGCAACGAAGACAGCGACGAGAGAGAAGGGATCCTCCCATGCGGTGTATTCAGCACACATGCCCAGCCCCCGGCCTCGAGCAGATTCAAGCCGGTGAATCACGATAACGATGACGATTTCGAGAGGGAGGGCATGCACCCTTGTTCTCTGGTTGGGATGGTGTATTGAGCTTGTCTACCACCACTTACCCACTGCTTTTTCGTCCAAACAGAATGACATGACTAAACCAAGCGACGGCCCCATGAATACTGTAGTTTTTAATACTTATACTCCATCCATTATTTATTGCACAAGCACAGAGGTATCTACAATGAGTAAACGAATGCAAACACAAAAAAATTTTGATAACCAGCCCCGAACAAATGGTATATACATAGCATAGTAAAAAAGGTAAGGAAAAAGAATCCCAGAGGAAAATCTACCTCTTTTTCGAAGGTCTCGCGTTCTTCTCCCGCCGCTTCTGCTTCAACTTGCGCGCAATGCGGATATCATCGGTGCCCTTCAATTCACTCTTGCCACCTGCTGCAGCCCCGCCAAACTTGCTAAACTGCCGCTCCTTGGCCGCCTCGTTCTTCTTCTTCATCTTCTCGTAGTCCCCGCGCAGCGGATCCGCTCGCTTGGGCGCCCGCTCCTGGCGATGGCGGAAGCGGTGGCCGCCGCGACCGGCAGCGTTCAAATCAGCAGCCAGCCCCGGCGTCTCGGCCTCACCCACGCGCGGCAGCCGGCCCAGACGCTTGCCCTTCTTCCAGGCGTCAAAGCGCCCAGACCGGAAACTGGCGGCGATCTTGGCGCCGGACTCGCCGCGCACCAGCCGGGTGCCCTTGGAGCCGTCCTCGTCGTTCTGGCGGGCGACGTACTTCTTATGACGCTTGTCCCAGCGCATCATGGTGCGCGGCTCGCCGAACCCGCGGCTGCCCTCGTCACCCAGAAGATCCATAGCGGCGTCGCGCGACGCCTGCGCGAAGTTGGCGTTCGTGCCGGAGTGCACACCGTAGGCGCGGTCCTCGGCCAGGTTGGTGGTGGTGGGGGTGTAGGACATGAAGTAATCGGGGTTTTGGAACGAAGTGGCCGCCGCGGTGCCGTCCTTCGTATCCTTCTTGTTGCTGTTGCTGCCGTAGGCGGAGAAGGTGACTTCGAGGTCGGATTCAGAGGCCATGGACATGTTGTCGGGGATGCCGGTGGCTTCATCGTCATCGTCGTCGTCAAAGGCACCAGTACCAGCGGCCTCATCGTCGTCGTCAGCAGCAGCCTTGGCTCCGGTGACCGCGTCTTCGACGAACTCGGACTGTTCTTCGGCCTGCGCCTGGCGCTTCTTCTTCGCGTCGAGCGTCGTGCGCACCCGCTTGATGGTGCTCAGGGCTTCCTCGTTCTCGGGCTTACCGCTGCGGCGGTTGTTCACCTCGAAGATCGTCTCCGTGGGCCGGTAGCCGCCGATGCGGGCGAGCATCTTCTCGCGCTCCGCTTCCAACTGAGAGGTTTCGTCGTTGAACAGCGGGTGGATGGCGACCCAGTTGTCCGAGGCGACCACCTGCTTGGCGCGCTTGGCGCTCTCGAGGGCGGCGGCATTGCGCGTGCGCATGTACAGCTTCTCACCCTTGGCGGCGACGGAGCGCTGGTTGGAGATATCGGTTGAGTCTTCGACGACCTTGGCGACCCACTCGCAGTGCTGTGACAAGCCATCCCGCGGCAGGCTTCCGACGACGACATCTTCGGCGTAGTTGACCTGGTCGCCGTACTCGCGGCCCAGCACGAGTCGCCGACCGAGGAAAAGCTGGAGATCCAAAAGGTAGGGTGCGTCCTGGTCGCGTACCAGACTGTAACTCCAACCCGTGCGACCAGCACGAGCGGTACGACCAACACGGTGGACGAAGATCTTGGCCTGCGAGGGGAAGTCGTAGTTGATGACGTTGGCGAGAATGGGAATATCGATACCTCTGGCCGCGACGTCGGTGACAACTAGGATGTTGGAGATACCAGACCTGAAGTTCTGGACCTGGATCTTCCGGGCAGTCTGGTCGAGGGAACCGTACACGTAGGAGGTGGCGAAGCCCGCTTCGCAGAGGAGCGAATACAGGAAGTCGACATGGTGTTTCGTGGCGGCGAAGACGATCGTCGAGTGTTTCGTCGGGGACTCTTTCGTATTGATAGCTTTGTCCATTGCCGACCGCTTGCGCTTTCGGTCCTTGAAGCTCTTCTTCTCGTCCTCCTTCTGACGCTGCGCAGCCTCGGTGGGGCCCGTGGGCATCTTGATCACGTCGTGAAGAATGTAAAGCAGCGCACCCTCCTTGTCGCCGGACTTGACAGAAAAGAACGCATTCTGCAGATCCGGGGAGATCTTGCTCTCGGTATCCAACCGAATGAGCGTCGGGTCCTGCAGACCGGCGCGGGCGAACTCGACCAGCGACTTGGGCAGGGTGGCCGAGAACAGCAGGGTCTGGCGGTTCTGGGGCAAGCCGTGCAGAATCTCGGTCAGCTGCGCGGCGAAGCCCATCTCGAAGAGACGATCGGCCTCATCAAAGACGACATAGCGGATGCTCGACATATCCAGATTCATCTCGACCTTGAGATGCAGGAAACGACCGGGGGTGGCGATGACGATGTCCGGGTTGCCGGCCATCATGGAGAACTGCTCCTCGAGGCTGTCACCACCGACCAGCAGCACGGACTTGAGGTCGGTGCCCTTGCCGAGCTCCTTGACGACCTTGAGGGTCTGCAGCGCCAGCTCGCGCGAGGGCGACAGGATCAGCGCGCGGGACCCCACCTTGGTGCTGTGGCTCTTCAGCTTCTCAATCATGGGGATCACGAAGGCAGCCGTCTTTCCCGAACCCGTGCGGGCCATGCCCACTACATCCTGGTCGTCCATGATGACGGGGATTGTCTTGCGCTGGATCGGCGTCGGCACCGAGAAACCCTTCCGGGTGATCGCCTTCAACAGATTCGCATTCAGTCCCATCGCCTGAAAGCCACCGCCCTTTTTCACCGTCCGACCCTTGAGATTCGAGGCCTTTCGGTTGGCCGACGCCTGTGTCTCCGCAATAAACGCCTCGTCATCTTCATCGTCGTCGTCGTTGGGACCGTTGTTGTCGCCGAGGAAATCGAGCTGCTGCGGCGCGGCCGCCTTGAGTGGTTGGCGCTTGGCCTTCTTGTTGGGGACCTGCTCGATCTCGGAATCGCTATCATGTTGGAACAACGCACTGGTGATGTCGAATTCATTCTCCGACATAGCCGGAGAGGCAGCACGAGGAGCCATTTTTGTCTTCCGCCGCCTGTCTTCTTGTGATGCGGGTTCGACCTGCAGATCTGGACCTCCAACATTTTTTTTTCTTGGGTGTCGGGGAAAAATGTCAAGGCGGTGAGGCAGGCGGGATCAACGTCGCCCCGGAAAAACAAGTAAAACAAGTTACGAGCAAAAGTGCAAACGAGTCAAACGGCGCAAACACGACAAATCCGACCACTCCGCGACGCGTCTTCCAACACGTCCCGAAGCGGTAAAATGCCATTAACTTAACACCAATTCCATCATCGAGCTTTGCTTCACTGGCAGTGAATAGTGCAGTGAACAGGGTGACCACCTTGACCTTTGTTTTATAATCTGATACCCCAAAGAATAAACGATCTAATGGGTAAGTCAAATCTTTCAATCTTCAACTTCAACCCATCCTCCATTCTCAATCCCCACCATCCCTCGACAACATTTTTCCTACTCTCCCGCCGCGCATACACCCAGCTAACCGAAAACTTCCTTGCAAATCAGATAGCGGCTACAACAACTACAACAGCAGCTACGGCGGCGGTGGCGGTGGCGGCGGTGGTGGTGGTGGTGGCTTTATGCCCGGCGAGATGAACAACAGTCCCTCTGGAGGAAAGGTAAACCAAACCGTCCTCTACAAGAAACCCAGCGTCAAACCCTCATCCCCCCCCCCCCAAACCGACCCCCCAAAATCCATACACCCATACTAACATCAAGACCCCCTAACAGAGCGACTACAACAACGCCACCCTCCGCCCCATAACCATCAAACAAGCCCTCGACGCCTCCCAACCCTACCCCGAAGCCGGCTACCAAATCGACTCCGCCGAAGCCGCCAGCGTCTGCTTCATCGGCCAAGTCCGCAACATCAGCTCGCAGTCCACAAACGTCACCTACAACGTGGACGATGGCACCGGCGTGATCGAAGTGAAGCAATGGATTGACTCGGCCAGCGCCGGCGGCGACACGATGGACACGGACGGACAAGCCAAGCCCGGCGGCGGCGGCACGACAGCAAAGAATCAGGTGCAGGTGGACGGTTACGTCAAGGTGTTTGGGAAGCTCAAGACGTTTGGGAATAAGCGGTTCGTGGGCGCCCATTGCGTACGGCCGGTCCAGAATATCAATGAGGTGCATGTGCATTTGCTGGAGGCGGCGGCGGTGCATTTGTTTTTTACGCGGGGGCCGGTGGGGGAGAAGTCTGCGGGTGGTGCTGGGGCTGGGGCTGGGGCTGGGGCTGGGGCTGGGGATGCGTCGATGGGTGGGGTGGATGATTATGCTGGGGGCCGGGCATTGCCGGCCATGAGTCCTGTCGCTAGACGGGTGTACAATCTGTTGAGGACGGAGCCGCAAAGTAATGAGGGGTTGCACGCGCAGTTGATCGCCGCAAAGTTGAGTCTGCCTATGCCGGACGTGGCTCGGGCGGGCGATGAGCTGTTGACAGCCGGGGTCATCTTTTCCACGGTCGATGAGCAGACGTGGGCCATTCTGGAGTATTAGGCTTGATCTCATCTCATCTTCTTTACGGCAATTGCGCGCTTTCTCTTGATGACAATATGAAATGGCTATCGATGGATGATTCTTTCTTCTGTGATTGGCTTGGCTGTTGCCGGACATGACATATACTGTACTGCACACAAACCCACTGGCTGGATTTGAGGCGGTGATACAAAACCGACAAGAGAGTTTAGTTTGGTATGGCACAGCGGGACATCACTCGAAGAATCTACACAACTTCTCGGTTCGCTTGCTGGGTTATGATCAAAAACTTTGGGCAACAAAATGCCTTCCCTTCCATATATAGACAGTACAGTAGTACAGTAGTACACTTATACCGGACTAGTCTCGACACAACACTATAAACACAAACAAACGCAAGAACAAAATCATCAGACATCATTGTGTCATCATTCGTGAGAATGTACTCCGGACGGTACAGCAAAAACCAATCAATTCATAGAGTTCCGCTTCAGGGCGTCCTCAACAGAACGATTCCAGTTGGTCTGCGTCAGGTAAAATCCCTCGATAATAGAGACGAGCATCAGAGCCAGGGCCACTCCGCTCCAGAGACCAAAGAGTCCCCAGTTGAGAGCAAAGGTCGTCCCGAAGCTGATGGGCATGGCGACCGCATAGTAGCAGAAGAGCTGCACGTACCCGCCGATCTCCTGCCGACCAATACCGCGAAGGATACCGTTGCAGTTGGCGGCGAGGGCATCGAAAAGCTGGAACGCGGCGCAGAGAGGGAGCACCTGGGCCACTAGCTCAATCACTTCCGCCTCGGATGTGAAGAGGCGGGGGATGTAGTAGCGCAGCGAAGAGAGGAAGAGCATATTGAGGAGTCCGACGATCACGGCCCCGACCATGGTGACCTTGGCGGAGGTTTTGGCGGCGTTGACCAGGGTGGCACCGATCAAGTTCGCCACACGAGTACTCCCGGAGATTGAGACGGGGAACGGAATCTGGAAGGTGATACTGGAGATGGTCGACAGGATGGATTGCGCGGCCAAGGGGGTGGTCCCGAGGTACGAGGAGGCCAGAGTCAGCACCTCAAAGGCCAGACATTCGGCCTCAACCATCAGGAGACCGGGAAGGGCCAGCTTGATCATGGGGCCCCAGTTGCGCAGTGCTCGCCTGGTTACACCGTTCCAGCATTCGGACCCAGCAACGAAGTACACATACAGGAACAGGAAAAGCGGCATCAGGTTGTCCGTGATGGCCACAGCGATGGGTGCTCCTACGAAGCCCCACCCAAACTGCCAGACAAACAGATAGTTCATCAATGCATTGAGAGGAGCGCAGATCAGGAGCACGTAAAGAGAAGCGGAAAAAAGGCCCTGCGCCTGCACAAACCGCTTTCCACTTTCAAAGCACGCATAGCCCGGCGCACCCAATGCAACCACTTTCAAATACAGACCAGCCAGCATGGCCACCTCCTTCTCTGGCACGATCCTGACCAAGACCTTGTCCGCGAAGAACCAGAGAATAACAATGGGGATGCTAATCGTCCACAGGAAGAAGACCATCTTCTGCATCTGCAACCCCACCAGCTTCTTCTTTCCGGAACCGTAGGCTTGGGCACAGAGTGTATCCAGACTTGTAGCAAGACCCTGGTAGACTGCAGGAGCTAGTTAGTCCCTGAATCAGCGCGAACAGACAGCCCGCAGCGAAACTTACTGGCATAACCCGTGATATTCGCGCTCATACTAGCTAGACTGACAGCGCCCAATTCCTTCTTCCCCAGGTGGCCCAGAGTGAAGATGCTAGCCACCGTCAGGGAATACTGTAGCAAGAAGGTGAAAACCAGTGGCGCCGCATTCTTCCCAATGACCTGAGCCTCACGCTTCCACGTTGTTTGAATCAGTCCCGCAGTGACGGCTTCCTCCCACTTCCGGTCTATCTCCTCAGAGTCAACCGAGTCATACTGCGGGCCCCGAGATCCCTCCCCAAGGAGCGCAGTCTCTTCTGTGGATGGTGCAGACTCCGAAGGCGCGCGACGAGTCTTCCTCCTCGACGGTTCGATGAAATGGTTGTCCGTAAGAAGATCCCGCTCGTCCTCGATCGCTTGGTCGCGTTCCCGCCGGGTTAGTCCCTCCTGATCAGGGCGATAGGGAACAACGGTGGCGCGCGAGACCGTGGTGAAGAAGCTGGGCCGTTGGTATGAGCCGGCCAACGAATGGGCTCTGGTGCCTGGATGACTGCCGATTGCGCGAATGGTGGAGGTCTCGGAGGCATCGTCATCGCTTGTAAGCATGGAGCCTTCATCGTCGGCATAATCTTCCAGATCGCGAGCGATTGCTGACCTCGCGAGTGGGGAGCGAGACATGTAATGGTGCTCGTCGGTCATTCTGGGCGAGTAGTGAGACTCGGAATCGCGCGGAGTCATGTTTCCGGATGAGAGATCGATAGGGAGGGGGAGGTGATTCCCAGTCGAATTGGTGGACGAGTGAAAGGGTTATAGGTGAGATTCGTAATACTTAAGCAAGGAGCGCAGCTGCATCATTTGCCGAAAGTTACAACAAATGACTTCAACCCCAAGCAAGCACTGTAAATAAACAAGGGGAAGTGACTGAGTGACTCGGATAGTCGGAGGGGAGGGACGCTTTTATCGTCTCGATTGGACAAATCTCGGGAAGGTCGAGCAGCGACGGGGTGCAGCAAAATTTGCGGCGCCAGCGATTGGCTTGAAGCTAAGGATTGAAGTCAAGGCCCCGTAATTGTGGCTGCGGGTCTGTGACCTTATCTTCTCCCAGCTCCAGCTTTGGCCTGTCCAGTGCGTAATTCACCTCGTGTCCTTGACAATCCGATTGCTTTCACAATTGGTGGCTCTCTTCAATTCGGAGGATATCCCAGTATCTGGTTTAGTCTAAGTGGATGAAAGAACACTCGAAACCGGTGTAATGCATGCTCTCATGTCAATTGTATGATGCTATGAGGTTCATGGATCAGTCCCCGCATATGGACCGATGGTGAAAGAATGACTAACCAGCAGCCTATGCGATTGGCGAATCCCAAAGAAGATGGTCCAGCCGAGAGCGGACGGTGGAGGCGCGATCGGCCGCTGCTGAGGAGGGGCGCGCGGGCAGGCATTGTGCGGGCATTTATCCACCGGAGCTCTGACATGACAGATGGAAAGGATCGATAAGGCGTGCACAATCAAAGCATTGACAGGAGATCAAACACACTGTGTAGACTGTAGAGAATACTTGCCAGGTGTGAGACAGGAACAATTCGCAAGACAACCGCCATGACATCATTCTGCCCCTGGTCGCCAAGTCTCGAATCACGTGCGGGATGCATCAACTAACAATCACTAGCAGCTGTCACCGAACCCTTTTTCCAGCACCCAAGAATACGATCGGTCTCAGAGAAAAGAAAACTCGGAATCTCGCCATGATCTTCACCCAGAAGAAGAATACTCAACTCGCAAGTTGCTGTTGTTCTGCGCGGTCTCGAGTTTCCAGCTGTGATCGCTCCGCCAGTACATGAATTAGCACCGAGCTACAGGGCCACTCCGTACTGTCCACCAATCCACAATCACGCCAAAGCCCAACCCTCCCCCAGAGACGTACCACATTGTATAACAATGACAAGCACAACAGCTCAGCAGCAACAACAACAACAACAGGAGGCTACAACCTTCCGACAACCCCCCTACAACCCCATCATCAACGCTGCAAACGCCCGCCCCGTGCTAGCAAACGAGTCAGTCACCCCATTCCCATTCCCATAAAAGCCACAAACAACCCAGCAACTTGTTTGAAACTGACAACCAGGAACCTCAGACAACCCCCGACAAACCCGCACATCTTCCTCGCCCGCCCCTGGTTCGGCGCCCTCCTCTTCGAGAACGTCACCTCGGACGCGCGCGATCACTGCGCCAACGAACGCACCTTCCTCTCGTGGCTCCGCCTGGCCATGTACCTGGGCGTCGTCGCCATCGCGATCATCATCTCGTTTCACTTCCAGACGCCGCCCACGGGGCTCGAGCGCCGCATGGCCCTGCCGCTGGGGATTGTGTTCTGGCTGCTCAGCCTGACATGTCTCGTCACGGGATTCGCGAACTACATCCGCACGGTGCGCAAGTACAGCCAGCAGGCGGCGCTCGTGCAGAGCGGGTGGAAGACCCAGGTTATGTTCACCGTCGTGGGTACGGTGATCCTCGCGAGTTGTGTTCTGTTTCTGGCGACGGACGCGAAGACGCGGTCTAGGTGATTTGCTCCCAGCCTGCTGGGCGCAGAGCCTTGCGGGTATGCCGTGGATCATGGGGAAAGGGGATAAGGTGGTGGATTGCGAGTGATCCACTTTTGACGTTCATCAGGTGATATCTGTGCCTGACAGATCGATAGAAAGACTTATTATGATTGTACGAAAGAAGCGAGTAATTTGTAGAATTCCTTGCGGTTCGAGACTCACAATATCATATCTGGTTAGCTCAGACTGGAGAGCACCGAAACGCTGGCCATGCAGTAGTAGCAGTAGTTGTAATGAGGGGAATAAGTAAAACCGAGATATCAAGTAAGAACTTGCACATGCGAGCACAGCAGCAATAAATAAGGGATATTAAAAATATGTATGAAATGCAAGAGACTACCCCGTCACCACCGACCAACTCACACCGCCACGCGTTCTCACATGCGACGGATCTCCCTTTCGTTCTTGTAGGACTCCAGCGAGGGAGAGCCGAGGTGGCTCCACCACTCGAACAACATCGAGTTGCAGATGAGCTTGAACCAGGGCGTAAACGTGAGTCCGGGCTTCTCGAACATCTGCTTCAATTCCTCGGCCGAAACATAGCAGGTGTCGCGGATCTCGTTCGGGTTGACGTTCAAATCGACGTCGGCTTGGATGAAGAGGATATAGTCAACTAGAATGACGATTCCGTAAGTTTCTGACAAAGAGGACAGACTGAGAAAAAAAAATTTGAGGATAGGTATGGCAACATACTCTCGTGCTCTCCCCATTTGCCATCGCTGGGCGCCTTGTAGTGAATGCGGGTGAAGAACTCAAACTTGTCCAACGGCACCTGCTCCGCCTTAATGCCCAGCTCTTGATCCAACTTGCGCTGCGCCGCGCGCTTCACGCCGAGAATGGCAGCATCGAGCTCGGAGCCAGTCTCGCCGGGGATGCCGAGCGGGTGGGAGCAGCAGGTGTTCGTCCACATGTCCGGGAATGTGATCTTCTCGGTGGCGCGCTGTTGTAGGAGCAGGCGGTTGTTGGAGTCGAAGAGGAAAACGGAGAAAGCTCGGTGGAGAAGACCGCGGTCAATGTTCGTCATCAGATGGCCTAGAATAGAATCAAGTCATGAATTGTCAGCGACCAGTTTGAATGGACGAAGCAGCGAGAGAAGAGAAAAGATAAGCGGCACCGCCACCCCTTTCGTTATCTTTCCCAGTGATTGCGGATTCAAGAAGGGAGAGGAATCAACTCACAAGCTTTCTTGCTGGCACTACCAATAGGCTTGTCATCCTCATCCAGCACAATGCACACCTCATCCATTAAACGAACTTGTTCCTCATCGTAGCCGGCCAGGTCGTCGCTGGACCCGGCGGCAGGGGCATTTGTCGCAGTCGGGAGCACCTCGCGGGCGAGCGAAGTATCGACCTCGGGGAAGAGGGTCGCAACATTCTCGGCTGTAATCCTTGGCGTTTCGGTGACCGTCATAGTGGTGCTCATGGTGAGGGGACTGGACTGGAGATAAGGGAGGGTGCTGAAGAAAGGGAGGGGTTGCGGAGAGAGCGAAGGCGGACGGCTGTCTGTATTTATTGACCCTCATTTTTCCGCGGGGGAGAGAGGCGTGCCACTCCGGGCGGTGGCAGAATCCCAACCCTCGTGCGGAGTTCTTTTCATTGTCGCACAAAACTTTTGCTGCGTTGTTCTATGCATGCACTGCAAAGAAGGGTGTGACGGTGGACCTATGATTGAATCATGAAGAGGTCATGCGCTGCATCGAGTTGTTGGCACCTTGCTGAAGGTATTGAGCAACCTCCATTTGAGTAACAGATCTTCTTCTGCGGGTGGATTATTTCGACTGTTTGCCTCGATCCCACCCCTGCCTGGGTGCACCTCGGTGCTTCCAAGACGAACGGCCAGAGCCTGGATGCTGCACCAGTAGGCAAGGAAGAATCTGACCGCTTGTAGCTTGCCAGTGGATAATGAGCATTGAGTATGAGGGTCTGGCATGTACAGGCTATTCGGTTGGCAAGTGCAGCTCACTCGTCGAAGTTCTCGAAAACGAACCTGATGCAAGAAATGAACACGAGGAGTCCCTGCAAGCTGACTCCATTAGAACATTCTGCGATGACAGTTCAAAGCAGAAGCAGATGGATACCTCCGCTGCCTCTCGCTTGATTATGAGTGAGACGGGTGGAACACAGTTGGGTGATGATTGGGAGGAAACCGCATGGTTCAGTCAGCGTGGAGCCAGCCAACAGCCATATAAGCTGTACCTATAGACTAAGTACGGAGTAAACCACGGTGCTCCTCAATATCCCATTGGCATCGAAGTTAGACATCCATGTCCTTGTAATCCCTGAAAATGCAGACAAATCACCTGCAGCTATACTAATCCCAACAAACCATGCAGACGGACTTTGCCATCCTCCTTGAACGCCGACGAGCCTTCCCATGCTCGAGTATATATTTCTTGAGTCCCCCCAGCATCCGGAGTGAAAGAAAGTGTAAACTTCTGAGTGAACTTGAACAGTACAAGACATGCAGAACTTACCTTGTGTCCAGAGGTCAGACAGAAGACCTGAATGCTCCGAAGACCTTCGTCTTACAGCATCAACCAGCTAGTACTCAGTACTCATCTTATCTTCCTGCCAATCCCCTCTCTCACTTTCTAACTGAATAACCTCGAAGCCCATTGTACCCGTCCACCACAACCAGAACCACAACCACAACCACAACACTTACATATTGCCCAGTTGCCAGATGCCCCCTAATCCGCATCCATCCCTCACCCTCTCCAACTCCTAACCTCAACCCTCCCCCCGGCCGAAACTACCCCGAGCCACCTAACCAAGAAGAGCAAAAGCTTGCTCAATACTCCGTCAATCTCCGCCATACCTCCCACGGCGTTCACTCCGACAACTCTACTCACAACTCCGAATCTCCGGCGCCAATTTCAAAACTCCGGGTGAAAACCCACCTTCCCCCCCCCACATCGTCTTGACTAAGGGGAAGTAAGCGAAGCTAGAAATGTCCTTATAGATGATCACTGCTTTCCAGCTACTAATCTCCTCCCTATAACTTATGACAGTATTGATTTAGCTCCGAATGGATCCATGGTTCCAGTAGGGACCGGACCTTAACAACTCGACTTAAGGCCCCCGTCCGGTAAAGGTACAATCCTTACCGGCCGGGCCGGTGGGGAGGGGGGGGATTTCTTTTGATATACCCGGTATGGAGTGATTAACTGGCTTACCTACTTGCGGGATAAGGGGAGAAGGGAAGGACGGGGCAAAATTAATCTGGTTGAGATTGCAGAGGTACAGGGCGTGATTCACCATGTCAACCGGTCGGACTTGAAGTAACTTGTTTCCCCAGATTAGGTATGTGACAAGGTACGCCGTAGAGACGAGCGCTCGGCAGCAGGGGACCCTGGAGGTGACCAGTGATGCTCCTCTGGAACGGTCGAGATCGCTCAGCCTACGCAGCACCATTTTCTGAATGGCAAGAGATGATGAGATGATCTTCATGGCCGATCGGGTCAAAGTCTCCTTGCCAGGTACTGGAGGTGAACCTGTTTTCCAGCCCATCTCTTGCACGGAATAGTCTTGTCTAGCCTTTGGATTTCTTTGTCTTGTCCGATATTACTCGAGCCTAGTGTCGGTTAGTGTCGTGCCAGATTGGCACGGCTGGCTGGTCTAGCCCATCTATTCTTGAGGGTGTACGGAGTAGCAGGGAATGGAACAATGAAGTGATTGTGTCAACGTGTGTGATTGTATGCTGGGAAAGTGTCCACAGTCAGCCCCCGGGCTTCCGTATGGACCTGCCATGCGGGATGCCCTGAGGCTCCATGGCCCAACCCATGTGCTCTATGTGGGCTGCAGAAACACTCTCCACCCCCAAATTCAAATGGCGCCAATGTCAGCGCAACGAAATTCCCAAACGCAGCTGTAGGGGAGAAACAAACACGAAAGATCGATGATCACCCGTGCAACGAAAAAGAATAGCTGGACCAAACCTCCCAAAAGGTGCAATGCTAGTACCGACTGTAGCCCCTCAAAAATCTTACAGACGTAGAGTTCGTGACCATTATGCTTGCGATCAACGCAGAACTGGACTGATTTCCCAGATGTGTGCGGCGGTTCCGTTGGTCTTCCTCCATGCTCCAGATAGACCGATGCCGGCTCCTTTCGGGCAATGTCCTACTCGCTGGAGAACAGACACGATGCTGCACAAGCTGGCAAGCCTTGACCCCCTTTACGAACGGTTACACTTTCGAGCCTTTCGAGGGCATCCATCCGTCTTGTGCCTAGCACAGCGTTAGAATCAGAGTATGTCGAATGACTTGCAAAGAAGAACCATCAACACACCTATTGAGAGTATCCTGCCGGCTGTAAGTCTGACCGCACTGCTCACAGCAGAATTTACGCTCCTGAAGATGAGTCTGCGACGGTCAGTAACCGAACATCGCAGACCAAGCAATGTCACTTACGCTCTGCACATGTCTTCGAAGGTCGGTATTTCGCCCATATGCCTTTCCACAAAGCGCACAAGGAAAGGACTTTCTCAACTGAGGGTTGTGCCTCTTTTCGTGCTCCCTGCAATTAGAGCGTCGAGTGAAGCGAAACCCACACACACTGCACTGCAGGCCACTCGCAGACGGTATCTTCAACTCTCCAGCGGGAGAGTCAACCACCTCCTCAATCCATCTTGAGATTACTTCCGAGGGAATCGACCCGAGTACGGTTGCTTGGTCGGGTGTGAGCCCGGACGTGCCGCCATTATTATCGATTTGAGACCATGGAAACCCATAGCCTGCGTCACTAATTGGCACAGGTGGCATTTGCGAAAGTGCAGAAGCTGAATCTTGCGCCAGATTCTCGTACATTGATGGTCCCCGCAACTTGCCCAATTCCCCGTCCAAGATATAGTCTACAGGCACGTTCGCACTCTCAGAAGTTGGAGTGCGAGGCCATGTATTTGAGCCCTCTTCCAGTCCTGTATCGTGGCGACCTTCGCTTTCTATACTTGAGCCATAGCTCGGCGATGTACTGAAAGTATGTGAACCGTAGAAGCTGGAGGGGGAGGTAGCGGCCTCTATAAGACCGCCAAGTGGCTCATAGAGGGTAGGCGGAGTGAGGAAACTGTAATCTTGTGAAGGTTGCAGGAAGTTTTCGGGCTGGATAAAAGTGTTCGACCAGGCGTAGGTTGACAGGGCAGGAAGTGCTGGACGCGGATACGGTTCTGTCTCAGACGCACAGCTTTCCACTCCGATGTGCGATATGCCTAAGCCAACCAGCTGTTGAGCACTTTGCAAGTCGACAGACGTCGCATACATCGAGGGCGCATATGATGAAGTGGCACCCAACAATGTGTGGCCATCTGATTCTGAGCCAGTGACGGGAGGAGGTGATGGGTATGATTCGGGAGTGAAGTTCATAATTGATGGAAAGGGATGTTCAAGAACGTAGCGAAGAATAGATGATACGGGTAGAAAGTTTGTGAGTTAACGTGGAAAGGATATCGACCTTGTTAATCTCTGGTTGAAGCCAAAGCTGATTGAACGCCAACTGAAAAATGACAGAACCGTTAACAGAGCCGTGGGTGCGAGGATATTATATAAAAGATCTTCTTTTGGGGTTCAGGATGACTCGATAGTAATGCTGCTGCGATAGAAATAGTGGCGCACCACCAACAGCGGCTGAAAGTAGTGACAATGAAATGTCATATGGCGGTTGGAGTACAGCATCCGCCGCATGGGGCACAGAAGGGTGAGGTAGAACAAGAAGAAGACCGACGCCTCATCAGGCAAGGCAGACTTGAACGGATGTTGCTGCATGGGCGAGGAGGGACTGACGCGAAGGGGGTGCGCAAGGCCTAGCTGGGTAGGGCCGAACCAAGTGGACTGCAGCCTTTGGTCTGCAATATCCAGATAGGCGCGACAATTAGATATCATGCACGATAATTTAGCGCCGGCAGAGTGTGATCAGGCCAAATTGTCAATCGTTCTGTCATTCTGGGCAAAGGTTTTTTACCCTTGTTTTTTTTTTTTTTTTCTTCTCGAAGGAGGGGGTGGGGGGAAAGTGATGCATGATGCGATTGACATCGGACAACACCGTCCGGACGTTTCTGGAGCTTTCCTGCAAAGAGCACCTCAGACGCATTTGACAGCGGATAGAGGGGAAGGACAGCCAGCGGGCGCTTGAACAAGAGGAGGGGAAAAACAAGGGAAACGGAATTAACCCCAGTCGATAGAGGGGGGGAGTGCAGGGGAGGGGGACAGAGACAGGATTGCCTGTTGAACCCAGCGCTGCTGGAGGACAACCAGCATCAGCAGCGCCTGCATCATAATTATTGAATGGGACCGCTGGCTTCCCCAATGGCAGCACTTGTCGGGCGCGATTTTCTTTTTTTCTCCTTTCCGTCTGGTTAATTTTCAGTCTTCTCGCTGTGGTTCAAAGAGGAATAGCTGGTCCCGACAGTCTGGTAACTTGCTTGGCAAAGCAACAGTGCGTGTCGCCAGGTATGATGGACAAACACTGCCCCCATGGCTGGGGAAACGAGAGGACAGGAATGAATACTCCCGAGTCACTGTCACAGAGGGTGATGATATTGGTGACAGTACTCTGATTTTTGTCGCAGATGTGGTTGTGGTGAAAAATGCATGTCAAAGGCTGGCTGGCTGGCTTATCTTGATTGATGGTGAAGAAGAGAAGGGAAGGGTGAGTTGAGGTCAGCGGAAGGTGGAGGGCAGAAAGAAGGGGGGGAAAGTAAATTAACCCCCGTGACCCGTACGGGTACAGGTTTGGGGGTGTATGGACCAGGCCCGGGGGGCAATGAGGGGCATTCGGCCCTAACCCTGGGCGACCTTCCAACCTTGGAATTTGGAAAACATGGCATGGTCCCATTGCAATTTGCTGCAGTGCCTCGCTCATTGCGCTTACTGTAACTTTCTACAGGAATAATGTCTGTCTGTATTTGCCTCAATCATACACGTCTACGGCGCCTCGACTGTATTATTTACAGTACTGTCAAAGTATAGAAGGCTTCCAGAAGTCTCGAAGTACTTATTGCATCATGCCACCAGCACAAAACATAGGATTCTAAGCATGAACCAGCGCCGCATTTAAAAAAAGCGAGGCGAAGAAAGAAGCAAGAAGAGAATGCAGTGCATCCGACATAGAAGTGGCACAACTAGCCGTCTTGATTGCTCAGAAGAACCAAAAGAAACAATTCAACCATGTACAATCATACCGTACTGTGTAAGAATGACTCTCATTACTCGGACCCAGAGATGCGAGTCAAAAGAGAACATTGACAATGAAGGCTTCGGATTCTAAGAGCGTTATCCACTACCCAGTCGGTCGCTGGCCGGTGCTCACGCTAAAACTTAGGTTCTGGAACTGGCCCTGCGGCGAGTGCGTGTGCCTAACAGGCGACAGCCCGACCATCTCCGAACCCTAGTCTAGCCCCCTCCCCCGTCGGCCGAAAAGAAGGACAACTTAGTATCCATCAATGAGCTCGATAAAGGAATGATACTGTTGTAGCAACTCGTTCCACTTGAACTCGCAGTCTCTCGATTTCATCAATCATATCCGGACCGTCAATGGGTGCAGCCGGGCCTGAGATTGACCCGTGCATCTCCGAGCTAGATCCCTCTTTGGACCTTCTAGGTCTAGAGGGCCGTCCCTCCAATGCGGAGCTTTGCAGCGGGGCATGGTGCGTGGAGAGAGCAAGGCCCGCTTGGAAAGACGAGCTCGGGCGACTGGCCCCTCCTGTAGAGGCCGTTGGTGGAAATTGACTATTTTGCCGCGAAACATAGCGGCGGCTAGATTCATAGGCCCAGATCAGCGCAACGAAGGGAAGATGAGTTGCGCGGAGCAACACAATGCGGACACGGCGAATATGCTCCGCAGGTAGAAAGAGCCTCAATGGCCGGATACAGAGAAGAGGAATGAGGTTCTATAGCGTGACCAATGCTACTGTTAGCGGCTCGTTCTATGGTACAAGTTCAAGTTGCTGCGAAGGACTGACTAGAGGAGGCATGAAGTAAGTCAACCTTCGCGAATTGCTGCTTTCCAAAACGTAGATCGACAGTCTATTTCGAGCGTAAGGTATTGTCTGGCTGCGTAATACAAGAACAGAATGCTCACTGAAAGAGGTACTCTTCTCGAGCATGAGCCATGACCTGGTTGGAAAGAATAGATTAGCCGTTGGACAAATCAAGAAGTGCGCGAAGCAGCCATCGGACGTAACGAACATACCCCTTCTAGACTCATGCTCATAAGGCTGACCAACGACGAGAGCAATAACAAATTGGTCATGGAGACGAAAATTAACCTGCATATCAGTGCCCGTCAGCCATGCTTCTTGAACTAGAATCGAGGTGATAGTGTGCGTAATTGTTCGCATCTAAGCCGAAATGCAACTGCGAGGCTTGACATGCTCCAACGGCGTCCGATTGGCGGCCCGGCGGAACCGGCGTCTATCAACGGGCCTTGAAAGGATAGAGTATAGCACAAGACCCTATGAGGTATGATGCTGGCATCGCCACCTTCTGACGCCATCTGGGCAGGGAGGAAGTGGGCTCGAAATCAAGGACAAACAGGGGAAATCGACAGGGGAATCGCCAAACGTGATCACAGGCGTATGCGACCGGTACGTCTCATGGCATCTGTGGCGCAGTATGTAGTACGAAGTAAGAAGGGAACAACACACATCAAACCGTAGCCGAAGATCGGGGAAATCTAAGAATTAGCGCGTTAGGAAAACTTAACACCAGAGCCAATCGATCCCGAAGATCCTGAGCATCTTCCAATCAAAACTGCATGGTGTCCTCCTAGTGCATGAGACTTACATCGTGAGCGATGTCCTATTTCCAATCATTTCAGCCACCGTCAGTCTTGCAGAAATCTTGAGCACCAAGAGACAAGGGAATAACCCACGAAGCCTAGGACATTCGATCTGCGTCACTCTGTTAGCTAGAGAGAAGGTTGGCGGGTAGAGATTTTCACCGACATACCCAAAGAACACCTTCACCAAAATCCACGACATCTGCCTGAGAGAGAGGCGGTCACGGGCGAGCATGGTGAATGTAGTCAAGAACCCTGCAGGAACACCCCCATTGCATTGGCATTAGGCGTTCTCGAATGCGTCTGCGTCGTTTAGGGCTACCCACCTAGATACAACACTACAATCACAGGAACAAATCGAAAGAACGCTTTGGTCTAGACGACTTCTATCAGCTTCCTTGCCACTTGCAACTACGGGGCGGCCGGGTAACTGCACCATCTCCTTGAGAACTGGGATCTATGCATGGCTGTGTTAGCCCATACTCCGAGAAAGCGTGCATGATCCGCAGGGATCGCCTACCAGACTCCCAAAATAGGAATTTAAGCTCACCAGGGAGCAGATCCTGTTCAGCCCGAGTGTCAGAAGCAGCTGAAACACATATCACCATGCTGGCGCAGGGACTTCCGGACTCACCGAGGAACCAGAAACAAAGCCTCTAAAGACAGGATATCGAAAGAGAGGTCGGTGATGTAATCACTCTTCTTTCCAAGACCGATCACCCCTATTGATGTTTCGTTAGTTAACAGAGAATATGCGAGTGCCCCAGTCAGGAACCTAGTTGCACGGAGACTGCGCTCAGCTGAAAACGATAGGAGACTGCGACAAGGCAGATTCAAGGTCTACATCCATGACTCACTTATGGTGACGAAGGCAAGACCGGTGCCAATAATGGCCATGTTCCAAACACTCCAGAAGTCCAGCTGGTAGAAGACCATCCCCGCATCAGTCATGCCGCTGAATTCGTCATAGGCAAAAGCAGCGATCCAAATGTACATCAATGTCTCGAAGATGCCTATTCCGGTGGACTTCCTCTCTACCAAAACAGCATAGTAAAGGAAAAGGAAAGAGACGAAGAATGCAGCCTCAAAAGCCTTGCGGTAAACTGGAACCCTCAATCGGGAGTACGGATCCGCCGTCCTGTACAATTCGTCTCTTTTTAGTGACCTGCGAGGTGCTTTTCGGATCAGTTGTATGGGGCCCTACCGCTTGTTGAAAAACTGTGGTTTCTTGGTGGAATGAACACTGAGCGAGTCCCAGAAAACAATCTCCCCGTTCCAAATGTTATCGATGACCTTCTGAACGACTTTCTGACTGAGGAACTTCTTCGCTTCTGCGATGGCCGCTATTTCCAGCGCGCTCAGGCCAAAGAACATGGAATACTTCCCAAGCTCATACGCGTCTGCATAGGAAACGTTACTTCCAGAATTGGCTATGTCTGAAGTACTCCCTGCGCGATTTTTGGGGCCGAAGAATCGGTACAGTGAGGAAGTTGAGCTCATCAGTAGGGGTGTTCTCTCGCCGTCTCGCGGGAACGTTCGCTCGACGTCTGCCGATGCGATACCTGATGCATCTCTCTCCGCTTGCGTGAGGATGACGGGCTTGAGAACTGGGCTAGGTAGTTCCTCCAACAGGTATTCAATTGTCTCGCGCTGGTTCATGTGACAGAGAAACTGCCAGGCTACGTACTCGCATGCATAACCGCGACCCTCGTTTAGACCCCAGTCATTCTCGGCTGCATTCTTGAATTCCCACTTTAGAATCCTGCAGCGGGTCAGCTCGGAGATGCCTGCAGCTACATGCATCGAAGTAAATACTTACATCAATGCAGAGATAATGCATGGGTTGTGTGAGTTCTCTGCCAAGGAGTGTAGCAGTAACCTAAGCTTTTGTCCACAGGGCGAGAATCTTAATTCCTCGAATGAATATGAGACTTCCGAAATCGCCTGTATCATATAACTAAGTGACAACAACCAGTCAGCGTAAATAGCCGCCCTAGATCGTCTGGACCAGAAATTACTTTTGCAGTTTGCGCACAACATCGATGAGGGGCTCATTGTCATCGATAATGGGAACCTCAATATATTCCTGATCGGCGGGCGGAAGTGACGCCATGGAAGACTCCATTCTCAGAGAAGGCATTGATTGAATGAATCAAATTTGTGGCCACAGTGACCGTTGTACCTGGGCACGGGGTCAGTAAATGCCGCTGTTGTAAATGCTTAAGGGCGGGAAACAACACCACAACAATAGCTGAACACGTCTCTAGAGAAAGGAGATGAGAGATACCGTAGAGAGAGCCCAAAGTCAACCTGGGTAACTCAGCTTGATTTTGTGTACATATCAATAAGCCCGGGTTCCCCTTTACTGAGTGTGCTAATTTTCTCGAAGGGATCCGCGAATGATTTGTCGGTGAACGACTCTTCAGGGATGCACGTCAGTCTTAGCCAGGGGACTCAGACCTGATAGTACTGGATCTGAAGGAGGTACTGGTTCTGGCACGGATGCAGAGGTAACGAAGGACTATTGGGGAATTTTCTAGTGGGAAAGAAGTCTTCAGTCAGATTAATGGGTCATTTGTCTATAGAGATATATGCCAGAGTTTTTTTCTGAGCAGCTGAAAGTGACTATTCTAAATAGTGTTAAGTGTTTCTGAGGTGTTCCCGAGAGGATGGCGAGAGTCTCAACCAAGGCGGCATGATTGGCTCTCTCGGTGCCATGAATCCGCCGGCGAAACAAGCTCTGCGGGACGCCATCATTGCAGCCACATGCCATTCGCGCCCAATGATGAAAGTATTTATGAGTTGGTGACTTGTAGTTATTCATCGAGACCATAAGAGATATGGAAATCCTGCTGATTGATCTTCGTTTTCCCGCCGCAACGTCGAGTAGTAGTGTGGATCTTAACACCGCGACCAGCACAAAGTGGAGATAACATGATTGGGTTCTAGCTGTGAGCAGTTTAAGAATGAAAACAATTTCGATTGAACAACACTTGATCCATCGAAACAAGCACCATATCTAAAGATGGATAAATGAGATTTGTACATAACTAGTAGTTATGACAGTACTGGTAGTTGGTAATGATGTAGAGTAACTACTGCAGTGAAGCCGAAGGAAAGCCGCTTGACCGCCTTTTCTACCCATGTGACCTGCACTGATTTAACCGTGTCGGGCGCGGCTTCATGTTACTCTCCATGACCGAGTCCCATCCACTGCCATCGTCCTTTTTGACCTGGCTAATCTAATCTTATCTCAGCCCCAGTGAATCCCGTCAAGCTTCTTTTTTTTTGCCATACTGCTCTGGAATCCCATCATAATCCTTGATGTGAAGGTCGGAAGATCGTTTTGCCATATCTGGGAGATGAAGGCGCATCAACACCATGGGCCAAGGCTATTCTCTCACCACCCTGTCCGCGGGTTCGGCTGGGATCGATGTTCCCGAGTTATCAGACTTGGCGTATGAGAAGTCTATGGGTGGTGGCAGGTTTATGAAAAGTATCCGAGCCAGACAACAAAATGGTCTCGTCTTCGTAAAGGTAATAATGAAGCCTTATCCCAGTATGAAACTGGAGCTATACATCAAGGCTATTCTTCGTGAGTTTGATGGTCATGATCAGCTTGTGCGCATGCGCTGTGGCTCTAACACCGACGGTAGGGGAGCGCAAGCTGTTGGCAGATGTACCCAATGCTCTGAGTTACCAGAGGATACTCGAGACTAGTACCGGTGGTTATCTCGTGCGCCAATACATCCATAGCTCTCTCTATGACCGTATGAGGTACGTCTGTTGAAAGCCTGCCACGATGGCATGTTTTTAATCATGAGCCACAGTACGCGCCCGTTTCCCGAGGAGATCGAAAAGAAGTGGATCGCCTTTCAGCTGCTCTGTGCACTGAGAGATTGTCATTCTCTTGACGTTTTCCATGGCGATATCAAGACAGAAAACGTTCTAGTAACGTCCTGGAACTGGCTCTATCTTTCTGATTTTTCCTCCTCATTCAAGCCCACATTTCTCCCAGAGGATAATCCGGCGGATTTTTCTTTCTATTTCGATACTTCAGGCCGTCGGACCTGCTATTTGGCACCTGAACGGTTCCTTGAGGCTGGTGAAGAACCTGGAAGCAGACACGTCAACTGGGCTATGGACATCTTCAGTGCTGGTTGCGTCATCGCCGAACTCTTCCTAGAAGCTCCCATCTTCACTTTGAGTCAGATCTACAAGTATCGCAAAGGCGAATATAGCCCGGAACATAGCCAGCTGATCAAAATAGAGGATCCAGAAATTCGTGCTTTGATTCTTCACATGATCCAGCTTGAACCCGAGTCTAGATATTCTGCGGAAGAGTACCTGAACTTCTGGAAAAACAAGGCCTTTCCAGAATACTTCTACAGCTTCCTACATCAATATATGTCTCTTATGACAGACCTATCGTCGGGTAGGGCACAAATCGAAGCAGGCTCTGCCACTCGAGGAGAGGCCGATGACCGCATCGAAAGAGTTTACCTTGATTTCGACAAGATATCTTACTTTCTTGGTGCCTCACCAGCAGCCACTCAAGATCGGTCTAGTCGCAGTCGCCCCAAGCTTACGGGCGATACTTTTCCTGTGGAACTAGACCTTCCGCACTACAGTCCTACGACGACCAAGTCGCAGCCACAAGGAGATGATGGGGCGCTTATTTTCTTGGCCCTTGTTGTCTCCAACTTGCGTAATACGTCCAAATCATCTGCCAGAATTAAGGCCTGCGACATTCTGCTTGCTTTCGCCGAAAGACTGTCGGATGAAGCCAAGTTGGACCGTATTCTTCCTTATATCATGGTACTTCTCAATGATCGTACAGACACGGTCAAGGTAGCTGCCATCCGTGCTCTCGCTCAACTGTTGGAGATGGTTCAGGTTGTTTCCCCCGTCAATGCCTATTTATTCTCGGAGTATATCTTCCCGAGGTTGCAACCTTTTGTGCCTAGTACCAATTCCAACCCGAGTCGACTGGTTCGAGCAGCATACGCATCGTGCATTGCCTCGCTTGCACACTCATCGCTGAGGTTTTTGGACATGATTCAGGCCTTGCGCTCTGACACGCGGCTTCCGACCCTGATACCAGTCGGTTCAGAGCCCAGGTGGACAGAAGATGCGACCTACCATAATCTTTACGACGTTGCGAAGCTTGACCTGCTGGAGTACTTCGAGGCACATACAAAAGCCCTCTTGACTGATAGCGATGCTTCAGTCCGTCGTGCCTTCTTGGGTTCCGTGTCGGAGCTTTGCGTATTTTTCGGCAACCTCAAGACTAATGAGGTGATTTTGAGTCATTTGAATACCTATCTCAACGATAGGGATTGGATCTTGAAGTGTGCCTTCTTTGAGGCAGTGATCGGCGTTGCAGCTTATGTCGGTACTACCAGCCTAGAGCAGTACATCTTGCCTTTAATGGTACAGTCGATGACTGATCCTGAAGAGTTCGTGGTTGAAAGAGTACTGAGGTCGTTGGCAGCGATGGCTGGTCTCGGGCTCTTCCAACGCTCGACTACCTGGGAGTTGATTCATATTGTAGTTCGCTTTCTGGTGCACCCGAATGCCTGGATTCGCGAGGCGGCTGTCCAATTCATTGTCGCGTCAACCAAGTTCTTGTCCCTGGCAGACAAATACTCTATCCTGACGCCGCTTGTTCAGCCGTTTCTGAAAGTCAAGATTGTCGGTTTTACGGAGTGTGAACTACTTGACGCTCTCAAGCGACCACTTTCAAGGAATGTGTATGAACTCGCATTCGTTTGGGCATCGAATGTGGACAAGGGCCTTTTCTGGAAGGCGACGGCTCGAGAAGCGAGCTTTGCACTTGGCGGGGCTGATAGTACCTTTCCGAGATGGGCTCAAAAGAGCTCGAGACTGTCCATGAGTGCGCAACCAAGAAATGAAGAGGATGAACAATGGCTCGCTCGGCTGAGGAACATTGGAATGGGGCAAGAAGATGAGATGAAATTCCTCGCCCTCAAGGAGTTTATTTGGAGAGTCATCGCTCGCCAATCGAAGGACAGTGACACGGGCACATCGCCTCTGAATAGTGTCGTAACCTTGACTCAATACGGAGTCACGCCACAAACCGTATTCTTTGACAAAACGCAGAATACCCGATCTCACACAAGCTCCCTTGGGACCGCAGAGAATGCTAAAGCAGAAGACCGAAGGCCACACACAATCACCGATGCGTTGCTCGATGCCTCCACGTCCATTGACAATAGGCCTGAGTCTCGCCGGAAACATCTTCGTTCGAGAAGCCAATTAACTGACCACTTGACTATACCTCGCCCGATTGCTATTAACAATATCAGATCTGAGAACTCCCCTACTCCCTCGCCAATTGCGTCCTCTCCAGGGGCTGCTGGACCTTCCTCATCACCTAGTTCTGATGCCGAACGCAGAGTATCGGAGGGTCTTGAAAGTCCGGAGCAAGACAGCTCGCCAACGCCCACTGATGCGGAGAATCCCACTATCAAAAGACTTGTCAGCGGAGTACAAAGGAAGTCGAGCGCCATGAGTTTGCTCAATCGGAAGGACTTTGCAAAGGCGTATGCTGAAACAGGCACCAGTCCTGCGAACGCTTTTGGTAAGGTCGACCTTCCTTCGCAGCGCGAAGACGAACAATCAGTCGCTTCGCCCACGCTCCCTGTCAGGACAGCCCTACACAGTCCACAGCAGTATCATGCCAATCACTCCTACGCTGGTAACGACCCAGTGGTGCTCCGCCTTCTTGACTCGGTTTTCGCGGAGAACTACCCCACTGACCTCTTCGACCTTGGGCCCTACGTCAAGGACGTCGATACCAAAAAGCCAATCATGAAAGCTAGCGGACAGGAACCCAACAAAGTGTGGAAACCGACTGGCGGCCTTGTGGCAAGTCTTGGGGAGCACAGTGGACCTATCAACCGTGTGGTAGTCGCTCCAGACCATGCTTTCTTCGTCACCGCCTCTGATGATGGCACTGCAAAGATCTGGGATACGGCCCGCCTCGAGAAGAATCTAACACCGCGTTCTCGTCAAACATACCGTCACTCCACCGAAGCGAAAGTGAAGTCGTTGACATTTGTCGAAAACACCCATACTTTCATAACTGGGGCAAGTGATGGCAGCATCCATGCGGTCAAAGTCGACTATCATAACGCTAATGGGAACATTCGCTACGGGAAACTTCAGCTCGTGCGCGAATATCAGTTATCCCCGGCTGATGATGGCACCGTCGAGTATGCTGTCTGGATGGAGCACTTCCGCCCTGAAACACAATCGACGCTTCTGATTGCGACTAACACATGCCGCATCCTAGCCCTCGACATGAAGACCATGCTCCCAGTCTATTCTCTCCAAAACCCCGTGCATCACGGAATACCAAGCACGTTCTGCTGTGATCGCAAGCACAATTGGCTTTTGATAGGCACAACACATGGCATTCTTGATCTTTGGGATCTGCGCTTCCGTGTGCGACTGAAGGCCTGGGGTCTTCCCGGCTCAGGCGCCATTCATCGGCTCCAAGTTCACCCGACCAAGGGCCGTGGGCGCTGGGTCTGTGTCTCTGGTAGTGGTGCTCATGGCAACGAGATTACCGTCTGGGACATTGAGAAAACCCGGTGTCGCGAAGTATACCGAGCCGATTCACCAGGACTAAACGCCTCCGGACCCAACGGCACTCAAGCCGACAATCGGCCCCGGCCATCCTTCCTGAACGCACGGGACTATGAAGCCTGGCACGTAGAAGGCGACCGACCGGAAGGCATGCTCAGTCGATTCGCAATGGAAGGGCTGGCCCCGGGGCTCTCCGACCACCCCGCGGGACACTCTCCATCCAGCGCCCCCGCCGGCATCTGTGCTTTTGCTGTGGGTTACGACTGTCCAGACGACGGCCGTGACAGTAGCACTCGATGCGGATTCATCGTCTCGGGGGGCTGCGACCGCAAGATCCGCTTCTGGGATCTCGCCCGGCCGGAGCTGTCAACGATCGTCAGCGGACTCGATGCCGTGTCTGCCGACGGTGGCGCAACGCAGAAACCCCGGTACGAGCTTTCCCAGCCTGGCCCGTCACTTCTGGTAACTACGGAGCACATTCCTAATAGCTCTACCTCCTCCTCGAGCGCCACGGGCAGCAGTAATAAAGGCGGCGGTGGTGGCAGCAGCAGCAGCAGCGGCAAGAAGGGCAGCAGTAGCGGACGATTGCCCCGCAGCACGGTAATCAGTCTCCAGCAGCAGCAGCTCCTGAAGAGCCACTTGGACTTCATACAGGATGTCGCGGTGATTCGAGCGCCGTATGGGATGGTGGTGAGTGTCGATCGGGCAGGGATGGTGTATGTGTTTCAGTAGACTATCTCTATTTCCGGCGACAAAACAAGGTAGTTAGTCTTTTATTTTTTCTTTTTCCTTTCTCCGAGAATTGATCACATATCAAGCAAGTGCCTGCAGTTGAAACGTTTTCAAAATCAGCCACACAACACGATAACTTAGGGGCACATCTCTGAAACACCGAGTCCGAGGGTTATTTCGTATTCAAAAATCCGACACCCCGCAACAGTAGGTCTATCGATCCATCATATGCACCTATGAAAAAAAAACGGCTGCGACCACGGTCCCCTTCCCCCTCCCAACGGTCAACATATGTAGGCCCCAAGTAAGTTAGGGATCGCGGGCGGTCCAAGCGGGGTGCTGAAACGGGGCCCTGCAAAGGAGGGCCCTAATCGCTGCTTGTCCTTTTTCCCAATTAAGGCGAAGAGTAGGATCCCGGGCGGCCTGTACTTGTGTACTTTGGATGTACGTACAAGGATTGGACGAGATTCGACTAGGTGCTGAAACACACTAAGTAGGTCACTTAATCATTGGCATCTCCGTCGATGGGCTGATTTATCAGGTTCCATAGGGGGGGGGGGGAGGAGGAATGTACTTTGTTGAATGTACGTTTGCAAGCTGAGTCCTTGGGCATGTGGTGACTAGTACTAAGTGAATTTGCAGTTTTGAAGGGAAGTGTTGAGCACAAGCCTTGGAAGGAAGGTTAGTTGTTTGCGGTGTATGGAAGCGATGTTGCTACCTCTCGTGAAGCCAGAGAAACGAGAGGCTGCTAGTTAGTTCGACAGGCAGAGTGCACACGTCTTGGGAAGGGAGAGAGGAAAGGGATCTGTACCGTAGCGAGGTGCGTGGACTGGTGGTACCCTTACTGAGTATCTTCCCTCTTCGGAGCTGGAGGCTTGAGAGCTTTGTCAGTTACCATAGTTAAGTGTTGCCAGTTAGTTAGTGAGTGAGTGTAAGGAGGGTCAATCTGCCCTACCTACTGTGTATTAACTTATGTCTGTTTGTCTAGTAGTGTCTGCTCCGTACTCCCCTTTTGGTTGGATCATGTTACAAGCAAGACATTCGCTCTGGCAAATTAGTCCCATCATGTCTACCGTAGGGTAACTACTGTCCAGTGTAAGATTATCAATCTTATGAATTCCAGCCCAGATCGCCAATTTCCTGCAGAGGATGTAGGACAAAAGTACACTATCCTACCCTATCCTACACTATCCTACATACACTGACGAAGGTCCAAAGGGATGTGAACTAGGGTTTACGTCGCAATTTGCCCCTCTGGCCAGCGAGAAGTAATCCCGAGAACTCAGCCAGAGCTGGTGGGGCTGGGAGGGGGGTTTTCTTCGGGAGATCATGGGCGTGTGGACTTCAGGTTATGCGATGCGATGCAATGCCAGTAGGAGGTTTGCCTCTTGTAATTATGATTCGCAGGTCGTATATTTGTGACTGGGGTGGAGCTCCACGCATCCACCCCACGCAAGGGGATCTTCGCTGAGGCCTTCTAGAACAGGAGCGTGGCCGGAAAAATAGGTCTTGGAAGAGAGTACTCCGTAAGGACAAAAGAGATTAAGAGCGTTAAGGAGAAGGGCGGTTTCTTTTGGAGGATAATATTTTAGTTAAGTTAGTCCAGGAAGTATTCCGCCGTAGGTGGTGGTCCAATTCAAATTATACACTGTGTGTGCCACTGTGCAATGGGATCTGCTGGCAGACGTGGCTAACTTATCGTCCGCTGTACGTAACCAGAGACTATTTAACTTACTCACATACTCCGTACATAAGGGACCGATAGATTCCCGCTCATGAACCATGGATGGCTGAGATGAAGGCCAATTCCTCCTCACCTCCGGAGCCTCTATTTTCTGTGCTCTCCAGTGGACCCGTTCGCAGGTACGGAGGGAATGAAAGCGAAATTGCGGTGTGTGCGTTTTGTAAGTTGCCTCCCCGTTGCCTCTTTTCACCTTCATCCGCACTGTCGAGATCCAGTTTCTGGAGGCGAAAAAGAGCTGTCGGCAATCATGGACCTCGACTCAGTATTTATTCTACTCGAGTGCATGCTTCACCAGCTCGGTTGATCATATCAATCTGCGGTGTCCAGCGGATTATCGCGGGCGGACCGTCCGATCCCTCAATCATGACCCTGCGATCGCTGTCACCCTCGACACACTCACGCTCTCTCGATCCGTGAGTGGATGGCTTCAACGTTAATCGACTGACAGGTAACTGCTAGTCTGCTACGGAGTGCATATCTCAGGGCTGTCAGTCCCAGCTCCTCTTACCGAGTCCGGTGGTCTGGATTGTGAATTGACTCGAACGGTGGAGCCGGTAGACCCAGCCGTCGGCAAGCGAAACGAAACTGCCGCCCGCAGTTCATCATGGGTTCTCGCCAGACTTCTCGCATCACCTCGAGCTAGTTATCTGCTTGCTGGGAAAGTGGCGGGTGCAATCCGATGCTATGTCGAAAAATGACCAATTCTCCATGCACCATGCCCTTTTCGCCAAAAAAAGACTGGCCATCCGAGTGGTAAAATAGGATTTGAGGGCGAACTGCTGCAAACCATGAAGGGAAATGACGATCATCCTCTGGCGGAGACAGGGATGACTGATCAGTCAGTCATTGACCTGCAGGACTGCACTTTTGACAGCCCTTCCCCCCGAATTGCGTGCAGTCGATTCAAGGCTGTCGTATGCGAGCTGCCAGATGATATGTCTTGGATTCCAAAGAAATCTCCTTTCTGCTTCATGGCTTTACCGAGGACAATTACTCCGTAGAACGAGAGAATTGATTGTCGACCGAAAGAGATAGACATGTTTTCATTGGTCTGGCCTGGGACCGACGGTGCCCCTCTTTACCTACCGGTACCTCCGTAAGAGACGGGAAAGGGGCAGCGCTGTTCCTGACCTCTTCTGACCTTGTTGTGGCAGTGGTTTCCGTTCGGGAAGGCCCCATGGTCGCGTGGTTGAGACTTCCGGGCCGATGAATACTTACCGTAGCTGGTGTGGTCTTGTCATGTCCACGGTGTAGCCATACTTACGGTGTATGCTATGGCAATTCAAACTGTCAACTCGGGGAGAGCTCGCTGCCAGGGCAAATGAATCTCCTGTCAGTTCTAATGAGAATAGTGCATTATAAGCTTCTCCTTTTCCCCGCACGGGACACAAGCAACGGTTCCCGGTGTGCAGCCTCGTCTAGGACAGATTTCACCGGAGTGAGCGAGAGAAAGAGAGAGAGAGAGAGAGAGAGAGAGAGAGGGGAATTGGATTAATGCTGTAGAGCTCGCCTCTTGCGCATCACACCTTGCACTAGTGAAGGTGTATTGTTGTAGGTCTTGCTGCGCAGACATGAAGGGAACAATAGCCAGCACGAGGAAGTGGAGATGGAAATTTAGTGGCTCGGAACTAAAGAGCTTTAGTGGGTTGGCTTTTCATCCACCGGCGCAGGAACAGCACCGGCTGTCCGCTTGTTTCCGCAACCCCCTTTCATACTTTCTCTCCTCTTCCCTCCTCCTCCTCCTCCTCCTCCTCCTCAGGGTCAGTCAGGATTTGAATTGAAGTACGGAGTAAATCAAGTTAATTTATTTATTATTTTTTTTTCCTTCGTCTTTTTCTTTTTTTAAACCTTCTCTAAAAGACCAATTCTTCTTCCCGTCTTCATCCCCCTCCCCTCGTCTCCCTCATCTCCCTTCTTCCCTCCTCCTCTCTTCTCTCTTCTCTTATCCTCCTCCCTCCTCCCTCTTCCCTCTTCCCCTCACTCGAGGATCAGGTCTATTCCGTGTCAGCACCACCGCCACCACAACCACCACTACCACCAACCACCCTTTTCCCAGGGGGCAAAGCAAAGAAATCCCCTTGCCTCCAGTTCACCTCATCACTTACATATACACATGTCTGACAATTGAAGACGTGCTGTATCACCTGGGAAATGTCCATCGTTTTGAGTAGTGTGTTTGTGTGTGAGCAGTAGCTGGGACCGAATCGTCCGATCTCTCTTTATTATCAATCGCCTCTTTTTTGCCCCTGATCGGTATTGTCCTTCCTTCGGCCTCAGCTTTATCCCTACGGCTAGCAGTGCTACCTATCTTCCACTCGCACTGGTCCGGCTTGACTACTCCATTGCGAGCGCTCATTCCCTTCTTCCATCAAACTACTCTATTCCCCTCCTTTTCCACCGTCAGATCTCTCGGAACCTGCGGTTTGAGAGACTTTTGCCACCCCCGATCAACAGAATTGACTGGTCAACTTCGTGCAGAAGCTGAAGAACAGCTCACATCTTCCCCATCGCGACATAGCATAATACAACCTCCTCAACCGTCAAAATGGGCCCGTCTCTGAGAGACGCAGCGTCTTACGCCCGTCCATCGACCCGCGATCGGCCTTCGACGCGCGACCAAAGCGAAACCTCGCTGGTCGTCCCTAGTCGCACCTCTTCACTTCACTCGCGCATCACCCAACCAACTGCTTCTCAGATGAACGCCAAACCCACTCAACGGACCCCTAAGACTCTCACCCATGCCTACATGGTCTGCGGTGTCGGCCGCGAGCCTTCCCAATGGGTTCGCGCCCCCGCCCCCGCTCAAGGCAAGATCGCCCACATGAAGGGAGCCGTCAGTCAGTTCTGGTTGCCCGAGATTCTGGGCAGCAGCCCCCGGTTAGAACAGGACAACGAGATCGCCAAATCCTTGCATGCGGCCATGAGGGTATGTCAGCAACTTGTCCTTAAAGATACGGTACAATGATGGTGGATGAGGCTAATAGACCCTAGGCTTGCTTCCCCCACGATGTCGAGATTTGCACCGGCAAGACCCAGCCACACTGTGTACACCATGCTTTTGTCCTGCAACAGGATTCCTCGCATACACTCTACGGAATTGCGCTGCGGGTTTGGTCCCGCGCCGACGACAAACGCGCCGAAACCATTCGCGAGTTGCGTAAGAAGACCGAACAGGATTTCTATGACAACCCAGAGGAGATTTACTGGATTCCCTACTGCTTGAGTTTCCTCTCTCGCTATCCCTTGTACGATCTTCTGGGCGACTATCTGCGCGGCATGTGGATTCATTGGAACAAGGCGACCAACCTCTTTCACGCTGAAGAGGTCTCGCGCATCCTGAGCTTCCCCGCCCCTCGTCTGAACGACCTCGTCCGCATCGATATGAAGGACTATGCGCTTTGCTACCAATTCCCCTCGTCTCCGACCGGTTTCCAGAACTTCTCCATGTGGCCTCTATTCACCTGTCTCTCCATTCCCAACATCGTTGGTGTCATTGAGGCAGCTGTATCACCTACTCGCCGGATCATCTTTGTCAGTCACTATCCGGCCATGCTCACGATGGCTGCTGAAACCATCCGGTACTGCGTTCGCATCTACGAATGGAGCGGTCTCTACGTGCCTATGGTTCACGCGCGCCACGTCAAGGACTTGGTCCAGGAGCCCGGCCCCTACATCCTTGGTATCACCGCAGAGTGCCGCTCCCTCTTCAACGCTCCTTCAGATGCCTTGGTCATTGACCTCGACAAAAACTTTGTTCTGACGTCGAGCCCGCCGAGCGTTCTGAGCTCCGGTCAACGCACCAAGTTCATCAACCGCTTGACTCAGGCTTTGAACGGTGATGTCTCGCCGTCTGGTGTTCCCAATCACCTGCGCTCCGCCTACGCAGGTGGCAAGCTCATCCCCGCCGGTCAGATCATTGTCATGCGAGGAGAGGTGGAAAGTATTCAGGATCCATCCTGGTGGAACCAGGATGCGATCATGAGTGTCATGGATCATGTGTGCGAGAAATTGGTTTGTGCCCCTTCTTTCTTTTCCTCATCCTACACGTACTAACATAGAGATTAGGGACGCAACACTGGCATGAAAGCGATTTTTGGTGGCTCGGTCAAGAAGCCTCTGATGACCAAGGTCTCTATGAGACATCTCAACGAGATCGTGCGTGAGAGAAACCAATACTCTCGGGATGCCATGGAGGCCTGGCAAGATTTCATCAACCTGAAGGGTCGCATGGACACGGAACTGACCAAGGTCACTAAGCGCAACAACTTCTTGGTGGAGGAGCTAGAGACTTGGAAGCAACAGGTATAGTACTACATAGTTCGTCCCACGCGCGAGCACTGTTCTAACTTCACATACAGTTCCTCAAATTCCAGGCCTTTGCCGAACAACTGACCAAGGAGACTTCTGAGCTCAAGGTCAAGATTGAGAACCACAAGCGCGAAAATCGTCGTCTTACTGGCCTCATTGATCAGCAGAAGGATGATGTGGCTCGTCTTACACTGCGCCTGTCTGGCACAGAAAAGCAGCGCGACGATGCCCTCGAGGCGTTGGTACTGCAACAAGAAATTGCCGAGGAATTGGAACGCGAACGGAAGCGTAACCAAAAGGAGCTCGCAGCCCTCCAGCACAGCAACGCGTCCCTGGCTCGTCAGCGCGATGACGCGCAGCGGGTGGTCCTGCACCTCCGCAGCCTTATCAATGGCCAGACCCACCACATGGAGCATATCGTTCGCTCGATTGGCAGCTCTGCTGAGCTGTCCGGACTCGCGGAGAAGGAGACGATTGAGGAGACCAAGGAGGTCGAGGTCGAGGTCGAGACCCCCAGGGAGTCCGCAAGCTCGCGCTCATTTGCTCCGGAGCCCGTGAAGACTCCTCTTAGCGAACCAAGCTCGGACCTAGAGCAACATCTCCTCAATATTGGTAAAGGGCACAATCGTCTCGCGCGTTTAAGTATAACTGATGTTGCAGATCGCTACCTGCGCGACAAGACTGATGCGATCTCGGATATCATCCGCAGCATTAGCGAACAGTGCGCCGCCGCCGTGGAAGGCTTGCAATTGGCACAGGATGCCGAAGATGATGACATTGATGAGCATGGTCGGACAACTCCCTCGGGTAATCGCCTGAGACCTGGGGTCCACGATGGACTTCTTACGCCTGCGGGAAGCGAAATGGGAGACGGCGATAACAATTCGTTGCACCCAAACGACCGCCATTCCAGCGTACCTCCGACGCCGGATTTAATCCACAACCGGTCAAGCACTTCAATGTCGATGATTAGCAGCTCGACATTCCCTGAGAGGTCGAGTCAGCAGTATGGAATCGGGGAGATTCCAACTCGGATAGTTGAGGACAACGACGAACGCGTCCACGAGACGCAGGACTTCGATGATCACTCTGACGCTGGAACATTGTCGAAACAGGCCAGTGAGGATCTCATGCAGTCGAGCACGCCTAGACTGGTTGTGTAACTGCGCCCGATCACTGACATAGCGTCTGGTTCCAATGATCGTGACACGACATCTGCTCTTCTACCGTCCCGTTTTATTCAGAGCGAGTTGCAGCCATGCTTGGTTCGTTTTTCCTTCTTCTCGGTGGACCTCTCACATTTTGGCCCCGGTTGGTCCATGATTGGACATTTCTCCCACGATTCTCTGCACCGGTGTTCATCTTGTTGATCTCATTTTCTGCTGGAAGATATTTTGGATCCTTGCCATTTTTGGTAGATCATTCTTGAGACCCCTCGATGCCTTGGGTTGCTGTTTCTTTCTTTTTTTCCGACTTTATACCACTTTTTGTTCCTGGGACTTTTGGCTGTCCCCGATCTTGATAGTACAACACCTTGGCATCCAGCTCCGGAGCCGACCCTTCTTTCGCTGAACTTTCCTACTGTGTCACTTACCTGTCTCTTAATTGCGTATCATTTCTATCCTCTGGCAAAGGCTGCTTGAAGCTGCCGCGCGGATTTCAATATATATGGCTCAGCCGCGTCCTTGATCGTGCCGCGAGTGCTGCGCGGGTCATCTCACATTAATTGAACGGTTTTCCAGAACTACTTATTAATTACACGAACTCCTTTCTCCATGTTCCCATGTCTTAGGCCAGTTTGCCCGGGACGAATGGGTGACCAGCACTCAGACCGCCGCAAACCGCCCACGCCTGCCCGTTGACGTAGCTACTCTCATCACTGCCCAAGAACAGGGCGACTCGCGCAACTTCGTCAGCGATTGCACCCCGCTGCAAGGGGTTCAACTGGCCGAGCTTGCGCTGCGTACCGCGGGCGCGCGCCGCGTCAAACATCTGCTGCGTCATCCCCGTCTCAATCAGCCCGGGACAGATGGCATTGACCCGGATCCCGGTCCCCGCCATCTGGAAAGCGGCCGTTTGCGCGATATTGATCACTGCCGCCTTGGAAGCCGAGTAGTCCGTCGAGCCCCCATTGGACCGGAGACCCGCAATCGATGCCGTGCAGATGATGGAACCGCCTGGGTAACGCTTCGTGGATGACGTCTGCTGCATCGCCGTGGAAGCATATTTGACGGCGAGAAATACGCTGCGTGAAGATCGTTAATCGATAGGAGGCAAAAGGGCGACCCCCCTCGCAAGCTTGGTCCGCTGATCTCCCTCACCCTCCCAAAGAAACAACACCAAGGAAAGAAGAAAAAAAAAAACAAGGGGAAGTAACCCACCCAACAGTATTCACCCGCAACGTCTCCGCAAACTCCTCGGCCGAGATATCCGTCAATAGCTTCTGCTGCCCCACGACGCCGGCATTGGCGAAGAAGATGTCCAGCCGCCCGTGCTCTCGGATGGCGTCTTCAACGACAGCTTTGACGGAGGCTTCGTCGGCGGCGTCGAATTGACGGATGTGAACTGTAGTATCCGGGTAAAGGGACTCGATCTCGCGCTTGTGCGTAGCGAGGTGGTTGTCCAAATAGTCGCACAGGTAGACGGCTTTGGCGCCGTTGTGGGCGTATTGGTGGGCAGCGGCGCGGCCGATGCCGGTGGGGGAGTTGGCGCCTGTTTAGAAGGGCTGTCAGTGTTGAGATTTAGGGGTGCGGAGGGGAGGGGTTGTCTGGTGGTGGTGGTGGTGGTGGTGGATGGCTTGTGGGGTCTACCCTGTGTATTGTATTGTAGATGGAGACGTACCGGTGACGATAGCGACTTTATCCTTTACACGACTGCGATAGGCGTTATTCAAAAGCTTGAAAAATTAGGACTGGAGTATGGGTGAGGGTATAGGTAGTTATACGAACGGGCCTACTGAGTCGGGGGCAATGGTTCGGATCCGGGGAATGTCTTCGAAGGTGCCGGCGTCGGGGATGCCTTCGACCAGCTGCTGACTGAGAGCTTGAAGACGGCGTTTGGCAGTCATTGTTGTTTGTTTCTAGGATTTTAGATACTTTATTGGAAGCGCAAAGGGTAGGGTAAGCAGAAACTGAGCTTGAAATGTTGCCAATAAATACGGAAAGGGGTGAATCCCCTTTGGTCTTATAGATGAGCAGCTGCTCAGCTCCCCGCGGCATTTCCGCCTACATTTTGCGGAGAACCGAGGCTGGCCGGTGACTCTCACGTGACCAGATGGCTGGCCCCAGGCATATGATGACTCAGCAGTCACATGGGTTGCTGCAGCCACACGTCATGCCTGATGCTCTCCCAATACATTCCACTCGAGACTCGCTGCGTTGCCCCGTCCATGATTTTTGAATTTTTTCCTTCTGCTCGTGCTTCCACTCCTTCTTTGGCTCTCTGAGGCGGTCTATGCTGTGACTTGCAGCTCAGCGTGCAGCGTTTTAGTACTACATCCCCATTACGACATTCCTGAACACTCTTACAGATGAGAAAAATCCAAGACGCACCGCACAGCTGATACAGTTGCACGAGAGACCACCCCCCCACTCCCCGAACAAGGCTTTTAAACCAGATTACACCCACTGTTCTGGCCTGAATTTTCTTCTATGGTTTCTCTCCGTCTTTTGTCCGAACCGAACTAGCTAAAGGGAAACACAAGAAAGAAACCTACATGAAGACCACAGATCTGCAGCCCTCCTGTCCTGTTCACCGCCCCAGCAGCTATGGCGGAGTGCGAGATTCCTCCAGCCCAGACGGCACCAGCACCGACACCAGTCCCACGTCGCTCGTCTTCGCGAACCTCCTCCTCTTCCCGACACAGCCAGAAGGCTAGAACCGTCCGCGCCCGCTCCCAGAAGCGTCATTCCGCCTCCTCCAGCGCGACCACGACCGACCTCACCTCCTTCCCATCCCTTTCCCCGCCCGACCGCTCCGTGGACGGCTTCCTCGGCCAACCGGCGCTCAATCGCGCGCTGACGAACGCGTTGCTGGACCGCGATAATAGCCTCACCGACATTGCACACACCGGGGACACCACACGCGATCGGAGAGCCACCCTGGCCAAATTGACGAGCACCTCATCCACCCACAGCGCGTCGGGGCGCGCCGCCCTCTTCGGCGACTCGGTGCCCATCCGGGACTTTCCCGGGGCGCTCCACCTGGCGGACGATGCACATATTGAACGTCTCATCGCGACCACGGGGGCAGTCAAGCTGGTACGGCAGTTTGCACGGGACCTGGCGCAGCGCGATGCGGAGATCTCGGCACTCCGCCAGCGCGCGGACGCGCGGGAGCGCGAGTTGAAGAGGATGCTGCGTGAGGTCTCGGTTTCGAATCAGGACATTGAGCTTCGGCTGTATGCCCTGGAGAATCGGCCCGTGAACCCCGAGAGTGCGAGGGATAAGGAGAACGGCTCCGCGACTGCAGAACAGAGCGGGAGCTCGTCCTCAAGTGTGCATGGACTGATGCAGCAGGCGATGGATGAGGGGTTGGGGTTGCATGGACCGGAGGAGATGGGCACGGAAGCGGGGCCGGAGAATGCGCAGCAGGCCACGGTTCGCGCGCCACAGCGTTCGCTCGAGAGTGATGCGCGCTCGGGCCACTCGAGTCTCGACTCCAATTCGAACCGCAAGCGGCAAAGCTCGATTCGGAGCTGGGGCGATTTCATTTTCGGCGGCACCTTGGGCAGTCGGAAGACGAGCCGCGCCAGCAGTGTGATGAGCGGTGCCGACGAGGAGACCCAGCGGCCTCGGAATGCGAGTAACCCGTCAGGCCGCCGCAAAGCTCTCGACGACCAGCTGTTCCAACCTCCAGACGAGCCAAGTGGACCCGGGGCGGCTGAGGTCGTCGGACGGCGTCTCGCGGCAGCTAACGGCGATGATGCTAGTGTCCACTCGCGCAAATCCTCCAAGTCGCTGTCGTCGTGGACGGTTAAGTTATTTGCTGGGAATGCGCAATCGAGCAAAGATGAGGCGAATGCGGAGGATGCACGCGGAAGAGCTCTGTCGATCAACCGTGACGCGAGCAAGGCTGCGCCGCCCGCCACCTCGGCAGTGGCGGCCCTGAAGCGAATCAATAGCAATGTCAGCATTCAAGGTGCGCCGGGACGGTCCCCTGGGCCCAGTGCCTTGTCTAAAGTCAGCCAGGCGGGTCGGAGACAGGGCTCGTCCAGTGTCTCCCAGGGTGCGAGCTCGGAGGCTGCCACCAAAAATGCCACCAATCTCGGGCCTGTGGAGATGGATGCTATTCTGCCGCTCGAGTCTCGACCTCCGACCCTGGCGAACATTTACAACAACTACCAGTCGGGTGATCTATTGACAGACCGGTTCGGGTTCATCTACGATCAAAGTCGGAAGAGGCGACAGAGGGAAGCTAGCGATCTGAGAAAGGCCGGCCCGGCGGGCAACCGGCTGAGCATCGCGGAGACCCTGAACAGCCTCCGCAGTGAGGCTTCGGATGGAGATGATGGCTCTGAATATCGAAGTCTACTGCAATCCAGCACAGGCAACAGGTCTTCCCCAGCGTCTTTATCTCCCGAGAATGCTGAAGCTGGGGCTATCGCGGTCGGGCGATGGCAGGATTATTTGGTCGTGCCAACGGCGCCGACTGAGTTGCTTTCACACACCCCGTCCGCTGGTCCCATCATCTCCCTGACCACTGCCGGCGACACTCAGCCTCGCAGTACTGCGGTGGCCATCGACAAGCGGGGTTCCGTCTCAGTCAGTCCCAATGCTCAACCATCTGCGTCTACCTCGGCAGTGGTTGCCGATCGCCCCGAGTTTGCCGGACTGTCCTCTGATGAGTCTGCTGCACTGGCTGCCAATGAGAATGAGCCGGTTAAACTGCTGCTCGAGCAGCTGACGGATCTTCACGACTCTCTACAACGAGATAGAACGGTGAGATGGAACGAGTTTCTGCGCAAAGTGCGCGCCGAACGCCGGAAGGATGGGGAAGCCGCGGCCGCGGCCGCTGCGGCCTCGGACCGCCCTTTGCAGTCTGTCGACACCCCCGAGGCGTCCTTGGCGGATGGCGAGATGGTGGGTATCTCTGGGCTGGGTAACAAGGGCAAAGTCGGCCGTGCTAAATGGCGGGAGTTTCGGGCTCTTGTGCTTGGAGGGATCCCCGTCGCTCTTCGAGCCAAGATCTGGTCCGAATGCAGCGGGGCGTCCTCGATGCGGGTGCCTGGGTACTATGGTGATCTAGTCCGCGGGATCGGTGGTACTGATCCCGATCCTTCGGTCGTGTCCCAGATCGAAATGGATATCAACCGGACGCTGACGGACAATGTCTTCTTTCGCAAAGGCCCCGGGGTGGAGAAACTCAAAGAGGTCCTGCTTGCCTATTCTCGTCGTAACCCAGAAGTCGGATACTGTCAGGGAATGAACCTGATTGCCGCCTCTCTGCTGCTCGTCACACCCACCGCTGAGGATACTTTCTGGCTTCTTGCGTCCATGATCGAGGTCATTCTGCCTGAGCATTATTACGACCATGGTCTGCTCGCGTCTCGTGCGGATCAGGTGGTATTACGGCGGTACATCTCGGAGGTTCTACCCAAGCTGTCAGCGCACCTCGAAAGCTTGAATGTTGAGCTGGAGGCTCTGACTTTCCAGTGGTTCCTTTCCGTCTTCACCGACTGTCTTTCTGCCGAAGCGCTGTATCGGGTGTGGGATGTCGTCCTATGTCTTAACGTGACCAGCTCATTCACTCCCACGAACGCCTCGGCATCGACCGTCCGCGACAGCAATGATGCCAACTCCACCAATGCGACCAACGTCTCCAGCAGTGGCAACGGCGGCGGCAGCACCTTTTTGTTCCAGGTCGCTCTCGCATTGCTGAAACTGAACGAACAGCAGCTTCTCACGACCTGTTCCACGCCCGCCGAACTCTACACCTATATCAACCATCAGATGACCAACCACGCCATTAGTATCGACGGCCTGATTCAGGCCAGCGATGCGCTGCGCAACGTCATCCGCCGAGAAGAGGTGGTGGCCCGTCGCGCCGACGCTCTTCGGGAGATGCAGGAATTTCCGGGGGGTCGCCCAGCTTCTGCCGCCGAAGACACTGGCAGTCAAGATGCATGAAGCCGTCGTCAACTGGCTCCGTCCAGACGACCTGTAACAATCCAATCCATGTCATATTACAAATTGCATCCATTCCTACAGAGCAGAAAAGAGCGAGAACAGCATTGCCCTCGCCCTTTGTTCTTGCTGTAACGTCCATTTGCCTCCGAATTACGCTTCGTGTCTGCACCTACCGACTCATTTTCTGCACAGCTCGATACCACCATTAGATATGTCTTTCATTGTGAGCCCTGGGTCTTTGCCTTTGCATCGTCATTGTTTCATAGATTGGTTTACTTTTGAGTGTTTTCTTGGAGTGTTCGGAAAGACCTTATGTTACTTATTCCACGAAGTTGATATGCTCGATGCTGTGCTTTATAGACTTGACCTGATCATTCATACCGTTCACTCCTTCTCTGTCCTTTTTTTGGTAGTTGAGTTCAGCAAATGCATGGCCGGTGATTTGAACGGAATTGAAATACCCATTCCTTATCCTTATCTGGTTTCTGAATGCACGGAGCGTCACTCTTGGACTCCCTGCATCTTGACAAGTATCCCATTCAAGGCCTGGCCTTGAACTATTTTCCAGAAAGAATTTCTTGATTTCAGCTTTGGCTATTGTAACGCCCTACCCACAGTACAGCTACCGGCATGTCCCCTACGCAAATTGTGTTTGCAATGTCAATCCTTCACTTAGCTTACGCACCACACTCCTCCATCTTGAATTCTCGCCCATACACGGGCATGGTGGTATGTACTGGACTGGACATACCGGACCCAACCGACCCAACCGACCCAACAGAGACAAACAGAAACAACCACTGCACGGCAACTAGAGCAAACAATTACCACTGGAGCACACAGCCTACACTAGACAGATGGCTGCAATCCGAAATTGAAATCATGTAGCAGTCACATGCCCCGCAATGCACGAGAGAAAAACAGTATAAGTACCACGCGGGCATAGCGCGACTGACTTGGGTTTCTCCACTAAACCACCTAAAGCTAGACGTTTAGATTAGAGGGGCGAGGGCGAGGGGCAAGGGCGAGGGGCGCGGGGCTGTGTGGCTTGAAAGGGGGTTTCGGGTGTGGAGTTGGCTTCAATCGCCAGGTTTGTTCGGTGATAGTTTTACGTTAGACTACCTGGGTGAGGTGAACATGTTCATGGCAATGGGCCCGGGGACATTCTCAGAGATGATGAATGAATGTTTGCAATGGATTGAGCTGGACAGTACTGTGTATATCACTGGGTAGACAGATGGATGTTGTAGACTTACTCGCTCACTCACTCACTCACTCACTCATTCATTCACTTGCAAGTCAGTAGACGGCCTGGATGACTCGGGCCTGGGACCGAACCACAGATGCAGTGTGGCCCGCAGTGGAGCATCCGCGAGACTAAAAAAACCTTAAAAGTGCTACTCTGTATGTATGTATGTATGTATGTATGTATGAGGGACAGGGAGCTCTCTCTACTTCGCATTCCGGCTACTGTAAGTTTCTCCGCACAGTACGAGGAACTCCAATGTACCTCATATACTCCGTATGCATTATTCTCGAATGCTGTGCTACCGCATACTCAAGCAGAATAGATTCTTGAAATCCCCACAAAGTCCTCAGATGAATTGCGAAAATAAATGTGCATTTTTAGGTGGGTCGGCCGGGGCAAAAAAACCAAAATCACAGTGCACCAGCCGCCGCATGGCACGAATACTGCATTTCTGCTGATACGCAAGCGACGAATACCCACAGAAAAGCCACGGGAAACGTACCCGGCATGGACATAAACAAAAACCGCAAGAATATATCAGTTGCCAAAGTTACTAGCTCAACTCGACCGCATCAGCAGCGTCATCATCATCATCATCATCCATCAGCTCGGCATATTCCGGCATGTGAATACACCCATGTCATATCATCAGTATTTGGTAGTCAGGCTCAATGTTCAGTCATTCTTGGGGTATTCGGGCAGGGGTATCTTCGTTCGCAATGGTAAAGAATATCAACAGGAATACTTTTCGTCACAAGGGGGTGGAAGCGCGGGTGCTGATATATTCTTCGGGAGAAAAAAAAAAAAAAAGGCAACGGGGCTGATATCTCCCCGAGTCGAGACGTTTGAGACAGGAAATGCCTCTAGTCACACAAAAGCTCAACGGGGAAGCATGTCGGGCATCCAGAAGCGTCCGTTTTCGAGCATGGTATTTAAATCTATCTGGTCCAGGTTGGGCCGGAGACCCAGATCCATCACGTCGCGCGCCACCGCCTTAATTTGCCGCATGATGCTCTGGGAAATCGCCCATGTGCGGGCAAGCGTCTTGAAGACGCCGATTGTCAGCGTGAGCCGGTCGCGACTGGGGTCGGGCATCTGGCCCGCTTTCACGGAGCAGGCGGCAAGCTGCACCATGGAGCTCAGAACTAAGGTGCAGATGAAGAATGGGGTGTGCTTGACGACAGGCATCCGGATGGACGCCAGCGTAGAAATTTCGCTAGCCGCCTTGACGGCCTTCATAGCGTGCGAGTGGTGCGAGAACGCGGGGATGCTAAGCGGGCCATGATGGCCGCAAATCACCTCCGCAGCCACCGCCGGGGACGACAGCAAATCCGACCGCGGGAAGTGCAGGTAGATGGACGATCCATTGATGACCATGGTCGCCTGGAACATCATCTCGTCCACGGATCCATCAGGACGCAGAAGCTCAGCCTTCGACTCGGGCAGATGGTGGAACCAGCTAGTGATCCGAGCGTCAGTAGCTTCCACTTGATCCTGCTGGCCCTCGACCATATCCTGGATGGCCACCACGCGACCCAGGATCCGGGCTGCTTCAATGCGGTAAGTGTAGGACGAGAAATCTCGTTCTTCATCATCAAACGCCCGCTCGTCAAACTGTGCAATCGTCAGTGGGGGTGGAGGAGCCAGTCCGTCCTGGTAGATTCTCTCCTCGCAAGGTAGTGGCACCTCCAGAGGCACTGTGTTACATCGGTATTGCGGTTGAACCCCAAGGGCGGTCAGCATGGCCTCAATAATGAACAACTCCCACCAGGTTCGTCGCAGACTCTCCTCCCGCACGGGATCTCCCTCTCCCATGGTCTGCGCGAATTGTCGAGTGTGCAATCCCAGCTCGAAAGCCAGGTCGACGGCCATTGCGATGCACACTCCAGCATCGGATCGCTCATTTCGCGAATGGAGAACGATGGCCAGGAGCAACAGAGCTTGGATTTTCTCCACAGAGGGCTCCTGCTCTATGACGGACGACATCACCGTCGGCCTATATGCGTCGCTGGAAGCCGCGGGGGTGAAATGAGTGCCAATGAATTTGATCACGTGCTCCAGGAAAGGTGGGACATGGGACCGACACAGGACCCGGAATGGAAGGAGGATGGGGTGGGAGGGGTGGAAGTAGGTGTAGTAGATGTCAATGAGGTAGTTGTCGTTAGGGATAGAGGAGTAAGAGTCCGGGGTGAGGGGACTGTGAGCCGCGCGGAGAGGCTGCGACGAAACCGAGCCATCTGTCGTCAGTTCGGGGCTCGTGGTGGGAAGAGAAGGCGGCAGGGTGCTGGTACTGGGTAGCGGAGTGGTCACAGGCATCAGAGGCATGCTGGTGGGCAGGACCCATTCGGAGGGGACATTGTAGTAAGGCTGAGCCTCGAACGAGGCCGACAAATCCGTGGGGATTTGGTCAGGGGAGGACGGGTTGGCGCGACGTTTCTTTGATGGGCCTTTGTACCCGCGACGCGACGGGGTATACTGGCACTCGGCGCCCGTGGCTGCACAACGACCACAGACGGGTGTGTTACCGTCACACTTGAGATGCTTGTGTCGACATAGTAAGCAGGCAAGGAGTGAAGGCCCGGCGTTCTTGGGTGGATTAGGGGGTTTCGCAGTCACGAATGGGTTGATGCCCGGGTCCATGGTGGCAGGCAGACTGTCATCGATTGATTAACAAAAGGACGTCAATGTGATACAAGCCAGCTCTCTGCTGAAAGCAAATTCCGCAAGGAAGCGAGACAGCCCCAAGCAAGGATCAATGATCGAGGCTGTTCTGGGGAATACAAGATGCTTAAGAGGGTTGGGGTGAAGCAGAGGCCGAGATCTGGAATAGAGCGGGGAGAGCCGCTGTCTGGAATTCTGGGGGAGAAAGACTGAGGGACAAACACGGGAGAGGGGAAAGAAGAAGAGGGGAAAAGAGAGAGAAGACAGCAGACAATGCGAGAAAGGAAAGATGAAGCAAAGATACATACAGTAGAGTCGAATATATATAAGGAAGGCTACAGTAATTGAATCCAGATAGTAAAGTGTAAATTGTGCTTATCCGCGAGCCATGCAGCAAGAAAAGAGGGGGGGAAGAAAGAGGGATTTGGAAGCAAAGCAAAGCAAAGCAAAAGCAGATGATCGGAAGCCGAAATGCTAAAATAATTAATAGCGGCCGGCCCGTTGCGGCCGCTGCCTGTATTTTTAGGCACAAGCACAGCAGTTAAACTCGATGAAAGCTGGAAGATTGTTGTCGCCTGAAGGACGAGGCATCCATCACTGTCGGGCGATGGATGCTGACTACTACTAACTACCAAAGTTAGTTACTCCGTACTAATTAAGTGACATTCCTCCACCCCGAGCGCAAACTGTCCTCCTCCGAACAATCAACAACCTATCACTCTTCATTGCATTGGCAGCTCTTGTCCAGAAAATCAGGTACGTTCCGTGCATCAAACTCTGCACTAGCTGCGCCATTAGCTGGAATTCACGTTTCCTCCCCTTCCAATCCCGATCGACCATCTCATCCCAACGATTTAGGCTAACGTGGCTTCCCCATCCTCCGGACAGTTACCACCTCCATCTCCGCTATCTACTCCTACCCTCACAGCTCAGCGATTCTCCCTATCGTGCATCCACCACCACACCCAACAAAGCTCAATTGAGTCTTACGCTCATACACCCTACAAGTCTGACTTGATACCGGTTACTCCCAACACAAACCACATCCTTCACAATGATCACCGACGACGAGCTCCACCGCCTGGCCGTCTTCCTCGGCAGTTGCGCCATGATGATGATCGTCCTCTACCACTTCCTCGAGGTCAATGCCAAGGACGACGGCGCTGAACTTGACGCCCCCGCCGATAAGAAGGTGCCCGGTATCTCGCAGCAGACGGCGGCGGCGGCTGCGGCCGTGGGATCCTCGTAGGGTGCCAACCGGAGAGATTGGAAGGGGAGGAGAGTAATCGCAGAAGAATGTTATACCCGCTACTTGAAAGTTCTATCTTGCTTCTTTGTCGCGTTCACTCTCATGTCATGTTTCTTGATCCGTTGTTGTACAGCTGTTTTTCATAAGCGAGTGGGCTTGGGGGAAGGATGGAAAAAAAAAGATCAATGGTCATGATGGGTTTGTTTGTTTAGAATACCCGGGCGGTTGTTCTTAGGTAGCTTCCGTCCAATGCATCGTTTGCTTCCCATAAGTCGGTTCAGGAGTGTATACGTATGTGCATATGTATCAACAGTCAAGAGACCCCAGCTTTCCACGGTAGTATTGTAGAAAAACGTGGTTATTCTGGACAGGCTGGGGACAAGCAGAGATGGGTAGAAAGGGAAAGTGATCGGAATACTAGAACCTGAAGGTTGATGCTCTCGGATGCAATAAATCGAGATACAAGTGAGAAGAAACCACTCCGCCCATGCAAAATGTCGAGTTCTTCACATTAGAATGAGCCGCGCGTCTAAACAACCACTTCGTAGACATTCTCGTCCGTGCTGTGTCGCTCGTTCCGCACAAAGTTGGCCAGTTCACAACCTCCCGGATCTAACCCCACGCCGATTTGTTCTTTCAGTCGCTGCACGGCCTTGAGGATCTCCTGAGCTTTTTGCTGCTGAGTGGTGTTGCCGTGAACTCTGTGGTAAGATCTGATTGACGAACCACTCGCCGGAAAGATAAGCATGTCATCCGTGCCTGGTCGGCCGGTCTGGGGGATTGTAGATAGTCCTGTTTCGGTAGTCTTGTCCCCTGTGTGATAGTGCAAGCAAAAGTCAAATATTAACTGCTGCTTCTTCAAAATGCTAAATATGCTACGCGTGAATTAAAAAGGCAATCATCCAGATGCTTTCTCACCAGGTTTTGGCACAGACGGTCCATCACCCAGCCGCCACGCGATAGAGCCCAGATGGTTAGTCTTCACGTGTTTGAACAGCTGCGCAGCAGGCATGGGGTCCAGGTGTGTGCATCCACTCCAGCCGCAAGTCAGCTGTTGGGAAACATGGACCTTGAAGATGTGCTTTTTAAGTCCTTCCAGATTGTGAAGCTCGCCACGACAATTGGTCCATTGACAGCAGAAAACCTGGTATGGCACCTGTGATACAGTCACCACCGGCTGCTTTGGTTTATTGCCGCTCCCAGGCGGACGGCCCGGACCCCGCTTGCCAACCATCGTGCTCGACGGTGTTTTGGGCTGAGATTGTGGTTGCGGCTGCGCCGACGGAGGTGGTGTGTATGCCTGCTGCAAGGAAGGAGGAACACTGGTCTTGGCGGTGAGCTGAACTTGGGGACTTGGAGCTGGGACAGGGATCTCAAGGGTGGAGGTGGGCTTTGATATCTGCGCTTGCGGCTGTGGGTGTGGAGGTAACGTCTGTGGAAAGTGTGCAGGGGCTGGCGGGACTGGGGCAGACGGGAAGATCTGCGGCGGCGGTCGCGGCGCGGGCTCTTGGCCGACCGGCCCTTGATCACGTGCCTCATGTGAGTCGACCAAGTCCCACCGGAACGTCGTCAAATCCGACCCATTGTCCACGTGTGAAAAAGCGTCGCGCAGACGAAAGAGGTGATGATTTAAAGGATCTTCAGTTGGATGACGACCAGATGCTATCAAAACATCTCTAGCAATGGTCTTCGGATCGTAAAACAGCTTGCGGGCAGCATCATCTGCGTTTATCGGCTTCACAATGTCCGCGCGATGTTTGAGATGATCCTTGGCTCGGGGCCCAGTGGTAGTTGTGGGAGCATAACTGTAGACCGACAGTCCACCGGCCGGAATCGAAGGGTGGCCGGCATCTGTGGCTACAAACGAAGCTGGCTGCTTTGGTGTCTTCGGATCTGTGACACGACGTCTCTTAGCGGCGGGTCCGGGCTCCTGTTCCCCAAATACATTGATTTGCTGCTTCTGAAGGACTGCTTGCAAAGGCGCTGGGACAAAGCCCGGGTCGGGCGCAGGAGCAGAAACCGGTGTATGTCCAGACTGTGGCATATGTGGCATACCGTGCGACGGTGTCTGGTGAGGACCTGCGGACGGATTTTGATTCGGTCCACCTGTATACTGACTTGTCGAGAAATTATGAGGCACACTTTGAGAGGATCCCGCGTCAGTCCCGGCGGGAGAAGCATGATTCACCGCCCCGGAATATTGATATGTAGGCGGACCTTGTGGCATAGGTTGAAAGGGTGCGTTGTAAGACCCAGCGGGGGGAGTTTCCCTGGACCCGCTTGTATGCTGGTGTGCTGGTGGATTTTGCAACAGCGCAGGGTAGACCACAGAAGACGGCACCGGTTGCGACGCTTGAGGATAAACCGCTTTCTGCGACTCGGGCGGCACCGTCTTCGAAGTCGGTCGAGGCGCGCTCCCAGTCGCTGACGATGAAGCCGTTCTGTTTCCGTCTGCTATCACTGTCCAGGCTCTTCCGGCGTGCGGTGCACTAGGAGGCGCGCTGTCGTGCGGTTGTGCTGATGTGGGATTGAGCAGTTGAGGAGACCCTGTTGTCTGAGGCTGCCGGGGAGCTGTCTTTGATGGGGGCGGAGCTGCTGCTGCCGCTACCGTCGTACTCGGGGGATCGGAGTGAGATGGCCGTTGAGCCTGTGGAGACGGTGCCCGCTGTGAGTGGCATAGAGCTTGCTGTGCCAGGTTCTGATACGCCTCCGGCCCCTTCACAAGAGCGAACCGATGCTGCGGGCTCTGGGTCCGTGACACGGGGGGCGGCGCGCCGTTTGAGGAATGAGTATAACGAGGCGGGGCTTGCGCTGGGCGAGATAGCGCTGACGATGGAGCTGGCGCCGATGAAGAATTGGCAGGTGTAGGCCTCACATTACTCCTTTCCGCTAAAGGACGGCTTTGCGGGTATGGTGGTTGAAGTCGAGCGTGACCCGCTCCTGGCGAAGGGTGGGACATTTGAGACGGGGGGGGCAAGGCAAAGTACGGATTGGTCTGGAAGTACACCATATTATTGTCCTCGAACCTTTGAGCTTCGGGATCGTAGCCATAGCGCAGGTAGCTCTCGAGCCACTGGATATCATCATTGTTTGACATTTCTCTTCGTCGGCGATGGTGCCGGGATCGCGTTATCAGGGTTTCCCGCGGCGATTGATTTTCGATTCAATCATGAGAGATTATTGACTGACATGGAAGCAGGGGAAAGAGGTGACATAGAGAAATACTAGTGACATATCAGCTCTGTGAACACAGAAAAATTGACACTCGAATAAATCGAGAAATCGAAGCTTGACGCGACTCTAAACGGCGCATCGCGAAATGCAATGGAACAATGACCGGAGGATCATCAACGCGGACCGCCAGTCAAAGGAGCAGGCGGTGAGCTGTCATCTGTACTCGAGAAGAGTAGCCAATAGGAGAGCTCAAACTAAGCGTCGCTCAGATCATGTGACGCACACTAACTAATAAATGCGGTTGCAAGTTGATGTTGACTTCGATAAAGCTTCCACTTTTCGATCTCTGTCAACACCTCAAGAGTGCAATGCAGAATATCCCAGCTCAGAGTTTGCTGTGTGGTCTGGTGTGATGTCTCCGATGAATGGGACCATATCCAGACCAGCTCTTTCTGATGGATCGCATTCGACGCAAGCTTTCGACTTGACAAGACACAGTTCGAAGACAGCGGCTCATTCAGGGAACTTTTAACTTTTCTGCATGCTGGGAACACACGATTGAGACTCTTTAAGATCAGAGCTACATGCTCAGCAAGGCAGTCTCGCGCAGTCAACACGAGCGCAACGCTTCTGAAGCTACGACGCTACCGTAGCTGAAGCTCCCCTTTAGATTATCTCTCCCCCAAACCGCGCCAGGTTTATCTCCTCATCAACCCTTAACAATGCTTGATGAGGTATACGACTGGCGAAGAAGGAATTGCAAATGACTTTACACTGGAGCTAATCCAGAAGGTTGGTTTGCCTCGCTTGCAGACCCGCACTGATGTTACTTCGGTAGCAAGGAAGCTGTGGGTTTGAGAGTGAGACACATACATACTGTAGATTTTAGCGGTTAGCTTTGAGTAGCTGTACAATCAAGCTCGTCAACACAGAATCCGGTCTTAAATACTTTTCCGTCTAATTACGCTTGCTCTGTGAAGCTGCTGGAGCAGGGGGAGGATTTAATTTTCGATAATTCTTAACTGAATTACTAGGCCGGAGCTCGAGATTGTGAGCTGTACAGTAAAGTTTATCATATATATTTGGCTGGTTGGAATAGCTTCGGGTGTATTCGCTTCAATTGTTCGGTTCGAGTCACATTTTACATATTGCGTTTCTTGAATTATCCCTAATAACTCAAGACTGGCCAATGCACGAACAATCACATAAGAGCAGACACAAACTACATTATCATGATATTATACAGAGTAATAAACGCTTCGTATCCATCTCACAGCCCCCATTCCACCGTTCATCATTCAGCATTCATAAGACCATCAATCACCGAATAACACAATAAGACTTGCAGTCAGGGAAGAAATGCATATGAACAAGACACACAGATAGGGCTCAATCTCAAACCTCAACAACTGTCGAAACAAACAGATCAACAACCATGCATCTTGTGCCAGATGCCAACGCCACCTTGTCAATCATCTCCATTCCTCATTCGAATTGCTTTGAGGTCAGCCCACGCATCTCCCCCAAGCCGGCAACCCACACCCCATCCCCACAAACAGATACACCAAAAACACCACTACAACAATCAACAACGCCACCAACTTGACGTTCTTCCACCACATGCGCCGGCGCAGTCCGCGGCTCCGCATCCGGAAATCATGCGCGCTGCCCCCGAGTCGATCCGTTTTGTCCACCAACAGGTCAATGCGCTCGCCGCGCTCCAGCACCCGCTCGATATTCTCCGTCATGATGTCGCGCACATTGTCGATCTCCCGCCGCGCCGAGGCCAGCGAGTCTGAGGGCGGCGCCGTGTTGTACGTCTGCAGCAGCGCGCGGAGGTCCGGGTTGAACGCGGCGCAGCCGTAGGCGGGCAAGGTGGAGAAGTCGGTGCTGGATGGCGGGTAGGTGGCCAGGAACTTGCGCTTGATCTCAAGAAGAAACGCAAAGGGGATCCGGCGGCCTTGTTCGGCGGTGGCGACGACGATGTAGCTGAGCGGGGCGTAGGAGTTTGGTTCAGTGCTGGACGATGATGATGAGGGTTCGGTGTTGCTGCCGCCGCTGGGTGAGTCGGCAATGTAGTGCACGAAGAGGCGCTCGTGGGTGTAGGTGAGCTTTTGGGGTTTGTCGTGCGTGATCTTCGGGAGGATGATGGAGGCGAGCGAGGAGGCGGCGGTTGAGGACGTGCCTGGGGAGGAGTGTTCGGCGAGAATCGTGGTGCGGTGCGCAATGCAGGAGCTATTGATCATAGAGGAAATTAGAATGATTCTTATGTTGCGTTAGGTTGAATTAGGATGAGGGGCATTGCTGAGTTGGCGGACTAGTTGGCAGACAGATCTAGGCTGGGTTTCCGCTGATGTTATGGTTCTTGGAGGGACGTACTAGAGGAGGAAGCTCGAGGGCTTCGAAGTTGAGGCAGCAGCCATGATGCTGAGTTGTTTCAGTGTCACGTCGTCACCGGCTGGCAGAGGCAGACGAAGAGTATGCGGTTGTTGTCCGTCTGGTGCCTGGAGGCATTGATTGCGAGATAAGATCCTCGGTCCGTGACGTCGCCGCCCTCAAACCCCAGACTCAATCACGTGATATGCGTCTTGTTTCTATGTAAACACCCGGGGAGATGGCCTAACAATTGAAGAGCCTCCTGGGAAGCTGGAGATTCCGGCTGGTTTGAATAAAAGAATAGGATTATCTATTAGCTGCCGGTGTACATCATTCGGAGACTGTCAATTCGAACTCTATACCAAGTAGTCTTAGTACCTGTACTCAACAAGATTCGGGATAGTTCGCCAGAGATAAAGATATAATCTACTAGCAGTCAAACTCATAGGGGTCTATATATCAGGACTACATATGATTTGAAGTAAGTATAGTCTCTAATACTTACTATGTCTATAAATCTAGAGCTAATCCTCGGGAGACTATATTCTATACTAGAAGATAAATGATAACCAGTCAAGTAGTAGCTTTCATATAAATTCAAATTACTAGAGTACAGATAGTATTCTGATATACCCTAAGAACGCTACTACATCATGTAGTTTAGTCAAGACTGAAAGAAAGCTCTTATATAATCGAAATCAGTCTTCAATGCTTTTCTCTTCCTAGTTACCGCGGCGTCTCCTCTGCAGCAACCAGAGGAGCTGTTCACATCTGAACTGTTCAAGTCACCTGGCCTACTTCTGGCGTCTGACAACATTCCCCTTATATCTTATTCACACGGTTGAAACTAGCAACAAAATCAGCTGATGTACTACTACGCAGTAATATGGAATTTACTCACTGGACCGTCAGTGAGATCTATATGGCTGGAAAAGAGATACCTCCCAGATTGTGCCATTTACACCAGATTCACTTGAACCTTGAATCCACACCACCGACTTGGTCTTCTCCAACCTGCAATCTGAACCACGGGGACTGGCAGCGCGTAGAGTATGCAAGCCAGAGCTTCGGGCGTCATGTGGTTGACACATATTCTCAGCTCATTAAAGGTGAAATGCAATGGCTGACGGAGCTTCCATCGGCTCCAAGGTGTGCTATCGCACCATCAAGCATTTCCAGCTTTCTCTGCTGAATGAAGCATCTTACGAAGATTGATACAAACAGAATACTTGCCCAGGTATAAGTGACATATATGTGAAAAGGGTCATGAAAAGGGTATCAAATGAGAATAAACACTATGTACCGCAGCATAACAACAGAATAATGAGACAGCCAACCATGTACTTATATAAAGACAATGAACATTTCATAATCATAAATGCATCACGTGAGATCGACGGCTACTGATTCTGTGAGATGGTTCCCTCCTCGCGCAGGTGAGTGCTCGACTCGTCCGAGTATTGACCTTCGCTGCTGGTCTTGCTTTTGCGAGAACCCGGTCCGTTCTTTTTCGCCTCTTTCTTGTCACCGGCCCGTCTTTTCTTCTTCTCCCGTTGAGTGATGATACCTTGCTCGTCAGGTCGACTTTGGCTGCGACTGCCTCCACCGCGACGGAGATCCTTGACTTCCTTGATCACCTCACGGAAACCTTCTTCAATATTGTTCATCCGAGCCAGAACGAGTTTGCTCAGCATATCCTGGTTGCTGTTTGGACTGTCAGACCGCCTGATGTTGCCCGTGGCGTAGGCCATTTGGGTAGTCATGCTTGACGGAGCCCCGCCAAGGAAGCCATTCGCGATAGCCTTGTTGTCTCCCAGGTCAGAGCCCAGTCCGTCGAGCATTGATGGCTGTCGGCGTCCCCTGAAGTGAGAGTCTGGCGCCGAGAAACCATTCATGTCTGGGACTGACATGGGGTCAGATCTACGCAGGGTTGTGGTTCGAGACCGGCCACCGTCCGTACTGTGCCGTCGTAAGGCCCAAGGTCCCCTGGATGTCGGACCAAGGATACTACTGGCACGGTCTGGCGTGTGGGCCCTCGGCCTGACAGGATGTGGCATAGCTTCCGGGTTTTCATGTTCGCTTCTCCGGGAGATCGGATTGTACAGCATAGTGGCACCCGAGTAGTTCCGTGTATGCATTCTGAAGCGCCGAGCGGGACTGTTCTTGCGAGATTTTAGTCGCGCTGTTGAGGGCCGGGAGCTGAAGAATCTCGGTGGCGTGGCATGAGAGCTCTCGTGGGAGCTCATGAGAGTGTTCTGCTCGGAATTCTTCGACGGTGATTGATGATCCTGCCCTCTCTCAGCCCACTCGCCATTATCGTCGCTCGTAAGCTCATCATCACCCTCCATTCCTGTCTGCCGCGAAAGCTGTCTCGTTCTTGCAGGTGTTAAGAAGCCTCTCCCAAACCGGGGTGTGGCAGGTGAAGATGCCGCATGGTGCGCAGATTCCTCAGGGTTAGAGGTAGCCGACCGGTTTGACTCTGTAAAATCGCGCAGACTCCGTGTCGTTCGTCGCGGATACCCGGATCGGTTCCTTGGAAATCTTTCCAAACGGTCAACTTCATCCGAGTCCTGCTCATCGGGAGGGTGGATCGGCCCGGATCCCATGGTTTGCATCCAGTTATTAACGACCAGGTCATTTTGTCGAGGATGAAGCTTTGCAAGACCTCTGCCAGGCTCATCCTGATAAGGTTGTCGAAAAACAGCTTCTAAGGCCCGGTCTTTCTGATAGGTCGCTACTGAGGGTTCTCGGACAAGCCGATGGCCTTGGGAAGTGAAAGCTCTGAATCGATTACGACGGGGTCGAAAGCGATCTGCGCTATCGGTACGAGCAGATGGATCGAAGAGGTCGATAGAGCCCATGACTTGCAAGCTGAGTATTGTTTTCTCATAAAGGCAAATGGAAAACAAAATCGGCAGGTGAGTCACTTTGATGATGGTGCGGTTAAGTCGCACAAACTGTCTGAAAGACATGAAGTAGCGCAATGGAGCGATCAACCATGCCAGTATGTTTGTCGGCGCAACATACGAAAAGAGAGCATCCGATTTCACCATGGAGATGGTATTGACAGCGAAAAGGAATTGGTGCTCTTGATTGGCGTTCTGTACAATGGCCATAAAGGAATTGGTGAGAACCGTGATCAGTATGGTCACGACAACGAAATGACAGATGAATAAGAAGATAGTCAGTATGATCTTCCCCAACGTGTTGTAGTCATCCCAGAGGGTCCAGGCCGTTGGGGTAAACCCCATCAGCATCTGGAATAGAGCATACGCCACGGCACCAGGCGAGTGGTCTTCGCCATTGCCAAAAGAGAGTGTGAATGCAACAAAGAATCCACTGCAGGCTATGATGATCAACAGAAAGACTGCGATCAAGTCCGAGGCCATGATCCGGAATGCGATGAGCAATTGGGAGAAATACCGATAATGATCGAGGATTGAAAAAAGGCGTGGGAACAACAGGACGGCATTCGCAGCCAGAATATCGTACGCCTGATCTGCAATGTATTTATTACGCGTGTATGGCATCACAGCGCCATAAAGCCGCATGCAGTAATAGCAAAAGAGAAGGAACAGGATCCCGAGGTCAAAGAGATTCCAGAAACTCATGAGATATAGGCTGAATCCCTGCTCGTTAAAGCCAACGATTTCGTCAAGCATAAAGCCAGCACTCCAAAACCAGAAAACGATCTCAAGTGAGGTGATTTCAAGGCGACGCTGTTGCAGAACAGCTAGAAACAGGACCAGCAAGATTGCGAACGAAAGTGTGGATAGAAACTGACGGTAACGAGGCACCCGCAGCCTGGAAAGCTTGAACAAAGATGCGTCTCTTGGGTCGTAGATAGTCACTGAGCGGCGCAGACCGGACATTCCAGATTGTACCTGCTGATTGACCGGTACTGCATTGGAAGTCGAGCCGTAGGCCAGACCTCCGTTCCGATGAGGTCTTGCCAGCGAGCGATGAAGATTGTCGGCTGCCGAATGAAACACTATTGTGCCTGCCCAAATGGCCTCGAGCTGCTGGACAACAAGAGGATGTGATAAGAAACGTTTGGCTTGGGCTCTAATGGCTATTTCGAGGCAGGAAATACGGGCAATACCAGGTCGCTTATTGACCTGCGTGGAATTCCAACCTCGTGTTCGTTCGGTGACAGCCTGTCCATTGAGCGGATAAAACTCATAAGACAGAGCATCAATCAATTCTCGCGTCGTATACTCCCGCAGTAATTTTATGGCGAGAAGCTCGCTCACCATAGCCCTGGTCTGACTCACACCACTGTTTCCGGGGTTCGAATGCACCTCTTTTGCGAATTGCAAGCAGTTGGTCATTAGCGCGTATAAAGTGGCTCGGGAAAAGTGTCCCGCTCGTATTTTCTGTTGAATAGGCTTCACGAGGAATTGAGAGATCTGAGGCGACCGCAACTGGTCCCAGGTCAAAGTAGTTTCGCAGCGCGCGACAATCAAGGGGCGAATGGCGTGCGTGATATCATATACCGGAAGGGTGTCTAGAGTTCATCGTATGATTAGCCCATGTGTAAGCGTAAACTCACGGCCCATATAATCCGTACCGAGGTGAGAGGCAGAAAAGATAGGAAGAAGAGGGCTGGTGTCCGCAGGTGTCTCCTCCCCTTCATCTTCATCGTGGTTGAAGCCCGGTAGTTGACCACTTGTCTCATTGAAGCCATTGTTTCCATCCAATTCTCCATATCCTTGTCCCCCTTCCCCTTGCGGGGTGATACTGTCGAGAAACGGCCACGGTGAGTCCCGAGTAGTATACGGCGATGAAAACGGAGAACGGTCTGCGTATGTTCTCCGTTTCTTCGGGCGTAAGAGAGAGGCAAGCATCTTTTCGAGCAACTCCTGGCAAAGTCGCGATCGGACGAGGGGCGGTGACTGGAAGGGTCCTTTATCTTATCATGTTCCAGCAGCCCCAAGTGAAACAAACAAAGAGGGAAAGAATCTATGCGCGACGATAGATGACAACCAAAGGTCAGCAGTAATCTGCAAAGAAAGGATTGAGGAATTAGTGAATGTCGTCAGACAAGTTCGCGTGATCGGAGTTCACATTTCTGCGCCGGGTCAGATAAACAGGGAGAGCTACCGAATGATGAAACGATTTGCTGCAAACAATTTGACGCAACTCACATGCGCCTGCAGTGCAGCAGTGGAAGAGAAGTTTGCAGGAGTGCAGGGAGATGAACGGCCATCTTGGAGATTTCATGCGACAACGCCCAGGCCGCGTCTTAGCGCAAGATAAGTAGTAGCTTTAAGCCTTGGCCAGCCCAGGCTGAAGCACTGACCTGCAGTGGAAGGGTGAGACCATATTACGTAGGGGGGGAAAGATTCGGGCGGAAGGCCGGCCTTAATAAACTAGTAGTTTAGTCGCTAACTTAGTTGACCGGAGTATATGATATTACTATAGTACGGCTGCTAGTCTGCTACACCCCCTTCAGCCTGCTCTTTGCATTGGAACCATAAACAATTCTCTGTCCATCAGAAGACTCCATGGACTCTCTCCACCTTCCAGGTGAAAATGCGAATTCTACCATCAATTCCTGCTCACTTATCCAGAATCATTCAGAAATCCCCTAGTATTAATCATTTTATCTACTTATTAACCCATTGGCCAATTTATGGAAGAGATAAGAGTGGTCAGATGATGATGCATGACCCTGCCACATTCCAACCACTAACCTGATTCAAAGCTTAGTCGTGGTGACTGTGGTGTACTAGTTAGTCTTCCGTAGATGAGATCTGCCCCTCTGTACGGAGTAACACAGTGCCACCTAGAGTAAGGACTGGGTAGAGGGTTGACTTGATTGAGTACACCCTCATCTGCTGTGCGAGCACAGTATACTTCCAGTTTGCATTATGTACTAACTTACTGGGTTTTCCCACCCAACCGGGATCGGTACCGCCAATTCGGGGAAGGAAAACAGGGGGGCAAGGATGAATCATACTCCGATGATTGATCCAGACCAGATCCAAGGCAGGGAACCCAAGTGCTGCTCACCGCCTGCACTAATTCCGCCGCACGCGAGGTCGATCAACACTAAAAGTGGCGATTCTCCACTTATGACCAATGAGTTTGTGTGCCAAGTAACTGCAATAGGTCTAGGGCGGCATCGGCAGATTCTGGATGGGGACGGGAACCCCCCTCCCTTCGTACGGAGTAGGACACGGAAAAGTCACAGCACAACCGGCCCGTATCTTTGTGGCGTGTGCAGCACTGCAGAACCCATCACTTGCCCCCCCCCCCTCTCTGCGCCCCCCTTCCCCCTCCATGTCTGCCCCGAACCCCTCCAGAAACCGATGATCGGAGTTGGCGAGGTATTTCTATTAGCCAACAGACCCAACAGCCGACCTGTATGACCTCACCCACGAGGTCACTGTTGTGGCTGTCTTTTGCCTCCCCTTCCCTCCCTCTCGCCTCTACAGGGCTCTTATATGATGTGCCACACTGAAGGTATATTGACAATCGTACTGCGAATCGACGGGAGGCAATTATGAGGCTTTCTTTCGATGATCGCGAGCGATAAAGAGTGCCATTATATAATAGAGTGAGCAACACGAAAGCAACCAGCATGACCCAAAACGGTAAGGTCAAAAGTGAAATCCGTCGAAAAATTTTCCTTGCGGGCGGTAGAAAATGGCAGAACGTCTAGCAATCCCCGGATCGGTGAAACAAGTAGTCCAATGAGAAAGCTCCAGTAGCCCCCCGTACACAAAATTTTTATTCTGAGATTTCTTCTTCTCCTCCTCTTCTTCTTCTATTATTCCTCTTCCTCTGCAGAAAGCAGCGAAACTACACCTCTCCCTCCTTGTTGCATCTCTACACAAAGGGTCTAGGAGGCTGCTGATGCTACGGTAGAGAGATTACCTCTGACAAACAGTCCCCGAGAGGACCTTTTCCCCTCCCCCCACACAATCCACCGCTATGCCCCAATCCACCGAGGAGGTTGCGCTCCCCTCCAGCCCTCTGGCTGGAGGCGCCGTGGCCTACAACCAGATCAGCAAGGAATTGCAACCGCTTCCCCCTATGGAAGCTCACAATGGAGCCGTGATTGCTCCCGCATCCTCCCCTACCCGTGACAGCAACGGGAGGATGATGTCCCTTGAGCTCGAGGACGGCACAGTCTACCAGGGCTACAGCTTTGGTGCTGAGAAGAGCGTTGCTGGTGAATTGGTCTTCCAGACCGGTATGGTAGGATATCCTGAGTCGGTCACCGATCCTTCCTACCGGGGCCAAATCCTGGTCATCACCTTCCCCCTCGTCGGCAACTATGGTGTTCCGTCCCGGGAGACCATGGATGAGCTTCTGAAGACTCTGCCCAAGCACTTTGAATCCACCGAGATTCATGTCGCAGCTCTGGTGGTTGCTACCTACGCCGGAGAAGATTACTCCCACTTCCTGGCTCAGTCATCGCTTGGGCAATGGCTGAAGGAACAGGGAGTCCCTGCCATGCACGGTGTTGACACTCGTGCTCTCACAAAGCGCATTCGCCAGAAGGGTAGCATGCTTGGTCGTATGTTGCTTCAGAAGTCCGAATTCGTGGACAGCGCTACCGCAGTGCCTACGGAGAAGGATAGCTGGCGACCTTTCTTCGAGGAGACGGAGTGGGTTGATCCCAACAAGAAGAACCTTGTTGCTGAGGGTGAGTCGCTCTGCCATCTTGTTCTTAAGCAGGAATCATTTATATTGACGGTGGTGAAATAGTCTCCATCAAGGAGCCTAAGCTCTTCTCTCCTCCCGAGAATGTTGCGCTCAAGCACCCATCCGGTCGCCCAGTCCGCGTCCTCTGCTTGGACGTCGGTCTCAAGTTCAACCAGCTGCGCTGTTTGCTTGCCCGGGGAGTCGAAGTCCTTGTCGTTCCCTGGGACTACGATTTCCCTACCCTCGCCGGAAAGGACTATGACGGTCTCTTTGTTTCGAACGGTCCTGGTGACCCCGCTACTCTGACTACCACTGTCAACAACCTTGCTAAGACCATGAAGGAGGCCCGGACTCCCGTGTTCGGTATTTGCTTGGGTCATCAGCTGATTGCCCGCTCCGTTGGCTGCCAGACGCAGAAGATGAAGTTCGGTAACCGTGGCCACAACATTCCCTGCACCAGCATGGTCTCCGGAAAGTGCCACATCACCTCTCAGAACCACGGTTATGCCGTGGATTCTACGACCCTTCCTGAGGGCTGGGAGGAGCTTTTTGTCAACGCCAACGATGGTAGCAACGAGGGTATCCGCCATGTTAGCCGTCCCTTCTTCAGTGTTCAGTTCCACCCTGAGAGCACGCCCGGACCTCGGGATACCGAGTTCCTCTTCGACGTTTTCATCAACACCATCAAGGACACGCTCACTTCTCCTGAGGCTCTTACCAAGCCTGTCTCCTTCCCTGGCGGCGCTAAGGAGGACAACATCAAGGCCTCGCCCCGTGTCTCCGTCAAGAAGGTTCTCATCCTGGGTAGTGGTGGTCTAAGCATTGGACAAGCTGGTGAATTCGACTACTCTGGTAGTCAAGCCATCAAAGCTCTGAAGGAAGAGGGTATCTACACCATCTTGATTAACCCCAATATCGCCACCATCCAGACCTCGAAGGGTCTAGCGGACAAGGTCTACTTCCTTCCGGTCAATGCTGACTTCGTGCACAAGGTCATCAAGCACGAGAGACCCGATGCTATCTACGTCACATTTGGCGGCCAGACTGCTTTGCAAGTCGGTATCCAGCTTAAGGATGAGTTTGAGTCTCTTGGTGTCAAGGTTCTTGGTACCCCTATTGACACCATCATCACCACTGAGGATCGTGAGCTTTTTGCTCGCAGCATGGACTCGATCGGCGAGAAGTGCGCCAAGTCTGCCTCTGCCTCCAACCTGGAGGAGGCGCTCAGTGTTGTGGAAGGCATTGGCTTCCCTGTCATCGTCCGTGCTGCCTATGCACTTGGTGGTCTTGGAAGTGGTTTCGCCGACAACATGGAGGAGCTCAAGGAACTTTGCACTAAGGCTTTTGCCGCCAGTCCCCAGGTGCTCATTGAGCGGAGTATGAAGGGTTGGAAGGAAATCGAGTACGAAGTTGTGCGTGATTGCAGAGACAACTGTATCACTGTTTGTAACATGGAGAACTTCGACCCTCTTGGTATCCACACTGGTGACTCGATTGTTGTCGCCCCTTCCCAGACCCTCTCGGACGAGGACTACAACATGCTGCGTACGACCGCAGTCAATGTCATTCGTCATCTCGGTGTTGTTGGTGAATGTAACATTCAGTATGCTCTCAACCCCTTCTCGAAGGAGTACTGCATCATTGAGGTCAACGCTCGTTTGTCGAGATCTTCCGCGCTTGCTTCCAAGGCCACTGGATACCCTCTCGCTTTCATTGCTGCCAAGTTGGGTCTGAACATCCCGCTCAATGAGATCAAGAACTCTGTCACCAAGGTCACCTGCGCTTGCTTCGAGCCTTCCCTCGATTACTGCGTTGTCAAGATCCCTCGCTGGGATCTGAAGAAGTTCACCCGCGTGTCTACCCAGCTCGGATCCTCCATGAAGAGTGTTGGTGAGGTCATGAGTATCGGAAGAACCTTCGAAGAAGCGATTCAGAAGGCTATTCGCTCTGTTGACTTCCACAACATGGGTTTCAATGAGACGAACGCCCTCATGTCCATCAAGGGCGAACTGCAGACTCCTTCTGATCAGCGGTTGTTCGCTATCGCCAACGCGATGGCTGCTGGCTACAGCGTTGATGACATTTGGAAGCTCACTTCAATCGACAAATGGTTCTTGACCAGACTCAAGGGGTTGAGCGACTTCGGAAAGCTTATGACCTCCTACAATGCCACGACTGTTCCCAGACCCCTGATCAAGCGTGCCAAGCAGCTTGGTTTCTCCGATCGTCAACTTGCCCAGTTCTTGAGCTCCAACGAACTTGCTGTTAGACGTATGCGTGTTGAGTCTGGCATCGTGCCGATTGTCAAGCAGATCGATACAGTTGCTGCCGAGTTCCCCTCGTTCACCAATTATCTCTACCTGACGTATAATGCCTCTGAGCACGATGTGAACTTCAACGACAATGGTATTATGGTCCTCGGATCGGGTGTTTACCGCATTGGTTCTTCCGTCGAGTTCGATTGGTGCTCTGTTCGTACCATCCGCACTTTGCGCGAGCAAGGTCACAAGACTGTCATGGTCAACTACAACCCCGAGACCGTCAGTACCGACTATGATGAGGCCGATCGTTTGTACTTTGAGAACATCAACCTGGAGACCGTTCTCGACATCTATCAGTTGGAATCCTCTAGCGGTGTCATCATCTCCATGGGTGGTCAGACCCCCAACAATATCGCCCTGCCTCTCCACCGCTTGAACGTCAAGATTCTTGGTACATCCCCCGAAATGATTGATGGTGCCGAGAACCGCTACAAGTTCTCTCGCATGCTTGACCGTATCGGCGTGGATCAGCCAGCCTGGAAGGAACTCACCAGCATTGACGAGGCCACCGAGTTCTGTAACAAGGTCGGCTACCCTGTGCTTGTGCGCCCGTCCTACGTGCTTTCGGGTGCCGCCATGAACACTGTCTACTCCGAACACGATCTGGCTAGCTACCTGAACCAGGCCGCTGATGTCTCTCGTGAGCACCCTGTTGTCATTACCAAGTACATTGAGAACGCAAAGGAAATTGAGATGGATGCTGTTGCTCGTAACGGTGTCATGGTCGGACACTTCATCTCCGAGCACGTCGAGAACGCTGGTGTCCACTCTGGTGACGCTACCTTGATCCTGCCCCCTCAGGACTTGGATCCCGAGACCGTTCGCCGCATCGAGGAGGCTACTCGCAAGATCGGTAACGCCTTGAATGTCACCGGTCCTTACAACATCCAGTTCATTGCCAAGGACAACGACATCAAGGTCATTGAGTGCAATGTCAGAGCTTCCCGCTCTTTCCCCTTCGTGTCCAAGACCATGGGTGTTGATCTCATCGAAATGGCCACCAAGGCCATGATCGGAGTTCCTTTCGCGGAGTACCCTCCCGTCTCCATCCCCAAGGACTACGTCGGTGTGAAGGTTCCTCAGTTCTCGTTCTCTCGCCTCTCGGGTGCCGATCCTGTTCTGGGTGTTGAGATGGCTTCGACTGGTGAAGTCGCCTCCTTCGGACGTGATAAATATGAAGCTTACCTGAAGGGTCTGATCTCCACCGGGTTCCGTCTTCCCAAGAAGAACATTCTCTTCTCTATCGGTTCTTACAAGGAGAAGATGGAGATGCTCCCATCTATCCGCAAGCTTCACCAGCTGCAGTACAACCTCTTCGCTACCGCTGGTACCGCCGATTTCCTCAAGGAAAATGGCATTCCTGTCAAGTTTCTGGAGATTCTGCCCGGTGAAGAGGAAGACATCAAGTCTGAGTATTCTCTCACTCAGCACTTGGCGAACAACCTCATCGACCTCTACATCAACTTGCCGTCCAACAACCGCTTCAGACGCCCTGCGAACTACATGAGTAAGGGTTACCGCACTCGTCGTATGGCCGTTGACTACCAGACTCCTCTGGTCACCAACGTTAAGAACGCCAAGATCCTGATCGAGGCCATCGCCCGCCACTACGACCTTGCCGTCCGTACTCTGGATTACCAGACTAGCCACCGCACAATCATCCTTCCAGGCTTGATCAATGTCGCTGCTTTCGTTCCTGGTCTCGTCACTCCCGGCTCGGACGATTTTGAGCTCATGACCAAGGCTTCTATCGCCTCCGGCTTCAGCATGGTCCGCGTCATGCCCGTGGGTGTTGATGCGTCGGTCACTGATCCCGCTGCCCTCAAGGTTGTCCAGCAGAACGCCCAGAAGGGTTCTTTCTGTGACTTCAACTTCTCAGTGTCGGCTACCTCGACCAACGCTGACCAGATCGGCCAATTGACTGGAGATGTCGGCTCCCTCTTCATTCCTTTCAACCACCTTTCTGGTAACATCAGCAAGGTCGCTGCTGTGACAAGCCACTTCGCTGCTTGGCCTTCTAGCAAGCCCATCATTACCGATGCTAAGTCTACTGACCTGGCATCCGTGCTGCTCCTGGCTAGTCTCCACAGCCGCAACATCCATGTGATGAACGTGACTTCCAAGGAGGACATTACGTTGATCGCTTTGAGCAAGGAGAAGGGTCTCAAGGTCACTTGCGATGTGTCCATTTTCTGCCTCTTCTTCTCCAAGGATGAGTACCCCGAGTCCTCCTTGCCCTCCGCTGAGGACCAGAAGGCCCTGTGGGAGCACCTGAGCACTATCGATGTCTTCTCTATTGGTAGCATTCCTTTCCAGATGGCCGGCGACAAGGGCTCTCCTGTCGTTGGTGTTGCGGAATCACTGCCCCTGCTGTTCACTGCCGTCGCTGAAGGCCGCCTGACTGTTGAGGACATCATTGCCCGTCTCTACGAGAATCCCAAGAAGATCTTCGAGATCCACGACCAGGCCGACAGCTCGGTTGAGATCGAGATTGACCGCCCTTATCTGTTCCAGAGCCCTCATGGCTGGTCTCCCCTCAATGGCAAGAATGTTCGTGGTGCTGTGCAGCGTGTGACGTTCCAGGGCAAGACTTCTTGTCTCGATGGCGCACTCACTCCTGACGCTCCCAAGGGAATTGACATGTCCACTCATCGGATTGCCCCGGCTTCTCCATCTGTGAAGGCTATGTCTCCCATGGTTCGCGCTCGCCCAGAGAGTTCATTTGACCGCAGACTTTCCATCTCCGGCACCCCTCTGCGCCAGGCCCGTCGGGCTGCCGATCAGGCTGCCGCTCCCGCCGTCGGTGAACTTGGTCCTCCCTTGTACACACCCGTGCCTCAGGTTTCCTCTTCCTTGATGGAGATGCTTTCCCGCTCCCCCTTCAAGCAGAAGCACGTGCTCTCGGTGAACCAGTTCACTCGTGCCGATCTGCACCTGCTCTTCACTGTGGCTCAAGAGATGCGGTTGGGTGTCCAGCGTCAGGGTGTGCTTGATATCCTCAAGGGTCGCCTGTTGACCACGCTGTTCTACGAACCTTCCACTCGAACCTCCGCCTCTTTCGACGCTGCCATGCAGCGCCTTGGTGGAAGAACCATTGCCATCTCCACTGAGCACTCTTCTACCAAGAAGGGCGAGACTCTGCAGGACACTCTTCGCACTCTTGCTTGCTATGGAGACGCCGTTGTTCTGCGTCACCCTGATGCTAACAGCACCGAGATCGCTGCCAAATTCTCTCCCGTTCCCGTCATCAACGGTGGAAACGGCAGTGTTGAGCACCCTACTCAGGCCTTCCTGGATCTCTTCACCATCCGCGAGGAGCTCGGTACCGTGGGTGGTCTCACCATCACCTTCACCGGTGATTTGAGATACGGCCGCACTGTCCACTCCCTGCTGAAGCTGCTCCAGTTCTACGACGTGCGTGTGCAGCTCGTTGCCCCCAAGGAGCTTGCTCTGCCCGAGGAAGTCCGTCAGCAGCTCGTGGCTTCTGGCCAGCTTGTTGTGGAGTCTGAGGAATTGACGCCCGAGATTGTCGCCCGCTCTGATGTTCTGTACTCCACTCGTGTTCAGAAGGAGCGTTTCGCCGACCTTGAGCAGTACGAGCGCCTGAAGAACACCTTTGTCATCGACAACGCTCTTCTGAAGCACGCCAAGAGCCACATGGTGGTGATGCACCCCCTGCCTCGCAATGCTGAGATCTCGGAGGAGGTTGATTTCGACCAGCGGGCTTCTTACTTCCGCCAGGTTCGTGTTGCTTCGCCCCCTAACATGTTTGAATCTTCACTGACTTGGATACAGATGAGATATGGCCTTTACTGCCGCATGGCTCTTCTTGCCTTGGTCTTGGCGCCTTAGGTCATTCCGGGGGTACACCAACGGATGTCTGTGTTTCCACAGTTCTGACTGGCGACCTCGATTATCATGTGTTTCCTATTTGTTTTCGCGTTCCGGCATTGGGTTTGCTTTTGAAAAGTTGTTCAATGTCATTACATACACCGCGTAGGCTATTTGCGAGACATATTAGAAATGCTCGCGTGTTAGATTAGATGAATTTTCCTATTTTCCAGTATACGATCCCGTTATGTGTATGGATTGTATTATGTGTGTGGTGTGTTTTGTGTGTGGTGTGTGTTATGTGTGTTATGTGTGTGGGGTGTGTGTGTGTTGCGTTCGTTGCGTTCGGTGCGTTTTTTGCGTTGTGTGTGTTTGGCGTGTTTCTGGCGTGGTTTTCCTATGTTTTTTTTTTTTTTTTGGGGGTCCTGTTCTTTGGATTGTTATTTGGGATTGGAAGGATACTGGGATTTGGGATTTGGGAATTGGGATTTGGGAAAGACACTCGGCGTTGGTGAAAGGATGACCTGGAAGGCCAAATTTGGGCGGGACTGGATTCCCAGCAAACTTTATACCCCTTGACGAACCACTCGGCCACGAACTACAGCTACGATTACAACTACAGCCACTAACTTACTACACTGCGGTCCTTGATGGCCCTGCTGCTTACACTGCAGCAATCAATCTAATATTTTTATTCTTCCACTTGCCTCCGTTTCTCCAATATGACGTCTAGATTCAGTTCTTGGCTAGTTATAGAGATGTCAACTCAGAGCTTTGTTCCTATCGGATTATATGCAACCATCGCAATTACTAGTACAGTAGTAATCGAATACATAAGATGGCTTGGATTGGACCACAGAGTTGCAATACATAAAGGTGCAATTTGATTAGTTCATGCCCTTTACGGACCCCGACGATAAGAGCCGAGGGGTCAATGCGGTAAGCCGTGATGTCCTCCTCCTGTCTTTCTTTCTTACCACAACCCACCCCCTTTTCTCTTGCCATCCAAGGCATCTGACTATGGCTGAATTCACAGCCGCGTCAAATTGTTCTCTCGATGCGGACAATGTATTTGGGCCAGTGGTGACCTTGGCCTGTCGCAATGGCTTCGACTTCACGCTTCTCTTTGAACAGAGCATGCTCGGGATTCTCCCCGCGGCGATCTTCCTGCTTGTCTCTCCACCACGTGTTGGCTACCTCATCAAACAAGATGTGCGAGTGCGGCACAATTCTTTGCGGCTTGTCAAGCTGGTATGATCATCCGGCAGATAAAGGCTCTGAACCTGTTGTTATTTACACCAGGGATAGGTCGCGACCTTGACTTTTGCGATAATCCAACTCATACTCCTTGTGTGCTGGATTCGTCATGCTATACCTACCACCCCAGCTTCAGTGCCTGCAGCTGCAATCAATTTCGTCGTGGCAACGGAGCTCCTTGTGCTGTGCTGGCTAGAAGATGGTCGCTCAGCAAGACCTTCTACGCTTCTCACGGCATATCTTGTCATTACCCTGCTATTCGATATAGCTCAGGTCCGGACTCTATGGCTACGTCGTCCGACAGCGACCCTCCTTCCTGCGATCTTCACTACAAGCATAGGCTCCAAGGTCATGATGCTGCTGCTTGAGAGTCTTGGCAAGCAACGCTTTCTCACTGAGAAATACCGAGATTTACCTCCTGAATCGACCAGTGGGATAATCAATCGGTCGTTGATGTGGTGGCTAAATCGTATGTTTGTCACCGGATCGCGACGCTTGCTTACAATCGATGATATGGATGGTCTGGATCAAAAGTTATGCTCCACGGCTGTCACTAAGAATGCTCAACATGCTTGGGCCAAGCGACGAAGTCCAGCACGGCGTTTTGAGTTTCCATGGAAGATCTGCCAAGCCCTTTGGAAGCCCTTGTTGATGGCTGTCTTTCCACGAGTCTGCCTGATAGGTTTCACCTTTGCCCAGCCTTTCCTGATTGCCTCGCTACTTGACTGGCTTGATAGCGGGCAACATACCGAACAAGGTCACGGCCTGATTGCGGCCACGGTTCTGGTTTACCTAGGCCTTGCCATCTCAACGCTCCATTCCAATCATCTCCTTTACCGTTTCACCACAATGTTCCGAGGGGCGGCGTCTTCGCTGGTGTACGAGCACATGCTCTGCATCCCGGATGGTAGAATCGAAGACCGATCGGCCGCAATGACCCGGATGACCACCGATATCGACCGGATTTCCGCCTGCCTCGTCCAGCTACATGAATGCTGGGCGCGCACCTTCGAGGTTGCGATTGGTATTGCCTTACTCACGCTTCGCCTAGAATGGGTGAGTGTAGTGCCTCTGGTCATCGTTATTGGTAAGTACACCACTGCACCACTGCATCCCGCTTCAAGCGGATGGGATCTCTCATAACTGTGAATCCCAGTCTCTAGCCTTGGCAGCACTTATATATCGAAGAATATCGGACACCGTCAAAAGGAGTGGGTGGATGCGGTGCAGAAGCGCATTGCTGTCATCACTTCAGTACTTACAGAGATTCAGACGGTTAAGCGCATGGGATTAAGCAGGCCCTTGACTCGAATCATCCAGGAGAAACGAGTCAGCGAAACACGGCAGATGTCGTCCTTTCGATGGAACTTTGTCTGGCAAAATATGATCCAAAATATGCCTTGGGCACTAGCACCTGCGCTAACATTTGCAGCTTTTGTTGCGCAAGGCCACTCGCTGGATTTCACAAAGACGTTCACTAGTCTGTCGATAATCACCCTCTTGACTAATCCGGCCGCAAAGCTTCTGAGTGCGATCCCGTCTACGGCATCGTCCCTAGGTTGTTTTGATAGGATCCAAGACTTTCTCCTAATTCCGGCCGATACTGACTCTCGGAAAGATGATCAGAGTGAGAAGATGAGCGACTCCGTTAGTACACAGATGCGGATCAATGCTTCAGAGCAATATTTACTGCGAACGAAGATCCCCTCTAAGATGAGGTCAGCCGTGGTGGATTTTGAGAATGCTGACATTCGTCCAGTACTAGCGTCAAAGGTCTTGCTGAAAGGGATCAACTTCCAAGCCCCAAGGGGAACCTTTTCCACAATTCGCGGCCCGGTAGGGTCGGGAAAAAGCACTCTGCTCCGAGCCATCCTTGGTCAAGCTGTATGCGAAACGGGGTCGATAAAGGTGGCCACTCGCCAAATCGCTTATTGCGCGCAGCGGCCATGGCTGCCGAGCACCACCATACGTAATGCAATATGTGGAATCGTGACAACTGGTACCGAAAGGTCGCAGCCCTTCGACTCCGGATGGTACCAAACTGCGCTTCATGCCTGTGCTCTCGACCAGGACTTGCAATCTCTTCCTGAGGGGGATGGCATGCAAATTAGCAGTGGTTTGGGCACTAGTCTAAGTGGTGGGCAAATGGCTCGCATTGCTCTGGCTCGGGCGGTGTATGCTAAGAAAGACCTTGTTCTCCTGGATGATGTCCTGAGTGCGTTAGACTCGAATACGAAGAGCCTCGTACTCGAACGGCTGTTTGGGAAACAGGGTGTTTTCCGAAGGCTGAATTCCACAGTGATTTTCGTGACCCATGAGAGTAAGTTATTCCGTCACCATATGGTTCGAGACTGCCATGGTAACATATCTCAGCTGGATCGCTTGCTTACGCAGACAAGTCCCTCGTCATTTCCAATGGGTCACTCAAACAGGATGATTGGGATGGTCTCAGCTTGGCTGAACCACTCAGCTCTGAAATGAACATGCTCAGGGCGAGCGGAGAGAAAACCGCAATCTCAACGAGAGATGACGCGGTGCGAATTGCCAAAGACAATCAGCTCAACGATTTGAAGCGGTCGACAGGTGACTATCAAGTCTACAAATATTATCTGCGCTCCATCGGCTGGTCAAAGACTCTGATGTTCCTTCTTTTCGTGACGGTCAATGTTTTCTGTAGTACTTTCGGCCGTATGTTGCTTCTGGGTATACCACAGGGATCTGTCTGCTGATTCTGCTTCTAGAAATATGGCTAGACAGATGGGCGAGTCGTGGGAATGAGCAAAGCTTACTCTACGTCACAGTTTATGTTATGCTGGCAGCATTGAACGTCATAAGCATGGGTGGCTATGTCTGGTGAGATTCGCCGCCCTACACATTGTTTTGGCGTGCTTACCCGAAGATAGGGCAATCCTGATACTCATATCACCATCAACTGCGCGCAAGCTTCACTACGTTGTACTGAAGACTGTCATGGGGTAGGGTCAAGGTCTCGTGCTTGAACACCCGGCGCTAATCTGGCATTAGAGCATCTACGAGTATGCTTGCGACCATGGACAGTGGCTCGATTTTGAATAGGTTCAGCCAGGACATGACATTGATCGAGAGTCAATTACCGGTCGGTCTTATGGTCACGGTCTCGAGTAAGTTGACGTCTTCACGGAAGTGGTGGCCGCAACCTACCAGGAGACGTGGAGAACAGCCACAGACAAAGACAACATGCTGACGATATATGTAGATCTTTTCACTGCGATGGCGGCTGCTGCACTCATTGCAACGGGCTCAAGTTACATGGCTATCACTGTGCCATTTCTCATTATTGCAGTGTTTGTCGTGCAGCATTTTTACCTGAAGACATCCCGACAACTGCGACTCCTTGATTTGGAGAGTCGGAGTCCGTTGTACTCACATTATCTGGATACGATCAACGGCCTCAGTACTATCCAAGCCTTTGGCTGGGAGGAAAGGTATCTGAAGAAGAGCTTTCAGCTGCTGGATATCTCGCAAAGGCCGTACTATCTGCTCTACTGCATTCAAAGGTGGCTCGCCTTGGTGCTAGACCTGATCGTCGCCGCTGAAGCCATTCTCCTTGTGAGTCTAGCTGTCCAATTGAGGGCGTCGACTAGCATTGGACTTCTGGGTGTCTCGCTCAACAATATTCTTTGTATGTTGTCCCTGCGCTTTTGGCTGGTCAGAGGCTGACACATGCCTCGAAGCTTTCAACCAAAGTCTCTCGTCCTTGATTACTGGCTGGACACAGTTGGAGATCTCACTTGGATCTATAGCGCGAATTAAAGACTTTGAGAAGAATATGAAAGCTGAAGAGATACTTGAGGACGACGATGTTCCTGTTACTTGGCCCGACCGTGGCGTGATTGAGTTCAAGGGGGTAACAGCGCAATACAAGTAGGATGCCGTCACTTGCCCACGTCATGGAAGAGTACTTAACGAAGCATCTTTAGTCCCTCGGCTGTTAGCCTCAAAGACGTGTCTTTTCGAGTCCGAGCCGGTCAGAAAGTTGGAATTTGTGGTCGCACAGGAAGGTGAGTTCTCACTTGCACAATACGATCCACGTTCCATGAAGTCGGGTCTAAACATGCTCGAGGACTTCAGCGGCAAAAGCTCCCTTCTCGGAACAATACTAGGCATGCTCGAGATTACCAGCGGCTCCATCATGGTCGACAACGTCGACCTGGCCACTATATCCCGCGAAGCCGTCCGCGAACGACTCGTGACGATTTCGCAAGAGCCCCTCCTCATACTCGGCTGCCCCGTCCGTTTCAACGCCGACCCGACCGGCCTCGTCCCCGACGCCGACATCATTGCCGCATTGGACCGTGTAGGCATCTGGCACGACGTGCTAGATGAACGAGAAGGGGGATTAGACGCCGAGCTTGGCTCAGCAACGCTATCCCGGGGCCAGACCCAGTTGTTCGGTCTGGCCCGTGCGATGCTGAAGCTGCAGCACAGCGATAGCAAGGTTCTGCTGCTGGACGAAGCTACCAGCAACATTGACCCGGAGACGGACGCCCAAGTGCAGGCTCTGCTGCGACAGGAGCCGTTTCGGTCGTGCTCAACCCTTACTGTGGCGCATCGATCGAACACCATTGCGGACTCGGATGTGCTTCTTGTTCTGGAGCAGGGGCGGGTGGTGGAGATGGGAGATCCGAGGGAGCTGGTGAGGAGAGACGGGTTTTACGCGGGGCTCGTTGCAGGGTGCTGATGGGATGTTATGTTGCATGGGGAGGTAGTCTAACTGCTAGTATGTATTCATTTGGTTGTGTCGACTGTATCCTATTCAGGTGTGCTGCAGATGATGGTCGAACACAAGCTCGATGCTGAGTGGTTAGATATCGAGTACGATATTGTGATTGGTGTACAGTTGCACATACATTGAGAACGATATTTATAACAACTTGAAGTTATACTCCAAGCCCATGAACTACTACTAGATGCACAATGAAAACTAGCAACACAAGCCGGCAACGCACCATAGAATCATCCCATCGCAGCGTACAGCAAACCACCTCCATCCTCTGACAGTCAAATCGACACAAGAATAAAGATAACCCCCCACCCCTCCCTTGATGGGAAACAAACCACAAACCCCGTGCTCGGAGAAGCCCTTATCCGCACGTAACCAGGAATGATGATGTTGTTGTTGGCTGATAGATGCATCATGCAGCAGTAGCAGTAGCAGTACTAAGGTAGGTAACTAGCAGTAGGCATCCAACTGCACCGAATGAACCAACACAGACTCAAATCCCCAGAACGTGCAGAAGAAAACCCCCTCCGCCGATCGGCTCACATGCCGTTATCTATTCGGCTGATTGGGCGGTCCCGGGGCGGGCGGGCGGGATCTCCGTCGGAGTCCAAGTCCCTGAAGGAAAGGGTAGTAGTACCTAAGGTACCTACCTACTCTACTACGTTCTTATACTGGCCGCGGTGCAAGGGGGCGCTGATTGGTGTACCGCTCCCACCCCCCTGAATTGGGAAATCTGCAGAACGATGGATACACCCTGTAGGGCGCAGACTTGACGATGTTACCTCAGTCGGAGGTCCTGTGCATTAGACTCTGGTCTGT